GCATTCCCTGTATTATAAACACGCTTACAATAAAAAATCTGGCGATGAGAATGAAACAATATTACAATGCTATTTCAGAAATCTGATAATCATCATGTTCACTGCAGAAGAGTTCGTTTGTCCCTTACCCAGTCGCCATCAGTAAATTAATCTTCAATTGGCAATCAATGAGATTGGAACACAAGACATTTCTGAATCAAGCAATAGGTAAAATGAAACCTAATGTCAACACTAGACACATGAAGGATTGCGCGCCTCAAACACGTCCCTGCTGAGACCAGGAAACTGGCTTGGATCTCTGCCAGGAGACTTTCCAATTTATCAGATGGAATATTGTCAAAGATAAAGCTGCACTGTATGAAAATATATCAGAAATGTACAGCACTGTGAAGTGTGTAAGGTTGTCAGGTGTACAATTCCACCAGCCTAAAATCATGCACACGGCCATCCAGAACGTCATGAGTGAGGCCGAATGCATTTATTTCTGTCAGAACCACGGGTCATACACGAACCCAATCACAAAGGTATTGTTATATTATTCAGCAATGCTTGATCATGTACAATCAAATACGTCTGTAAATAAGACTTGACAATTTGTGCCAAGATAATTTGGGGGACCTGAATTACCGTGGAGCAAGAATTTTTTTTAAGGACTCCTACTCACATACTGGCCATATTGTTTTTAGCAATGAGGGCGATGTGAAGAAGTCCTTTTCTGGGTGTCAATAAGGTAGATATATCATATTAATTTTATTGGAGCAGTTATGTAACTTTACCTCAAAATATACAAATTTAAGATTGTGGAAATCTAAGTTTTGATTTGAATAGAAACATATAAAATTACGCCAATAACCTGGGATACGCGTCTGTTTGTACCAAAAAATGTCATCTTTACAGAGCCCTGATTTACTCATGAATACAGCCTATAGTTAACTGAATGTGGTTTCCTACCCACCCACCCCCCCCCCCCCCCACCCCCAATCAAAATTCAGCTACAATATGTACATGTATGTTCAGGAACCTAAATCTTGGGAGAATATATTCCCTACTTATAACAGCTGCTTCACAATATGCAACTCAATTTATACAACATGTATATTTAAGGCCAAATTTGTTCGCAGGTAAATTGCACACACATAAATTGCACACCTTGATTTAGTGAATGGCATCAACAATAGACTGATTATAAGCTCCAGCCTTTGATGTTTTGACAAATCACAGCCGTGCACCTGCATGACATGTGTGTTTGAACATGCAGCATGGCCATGGCATTGAAGAAGAACAGTGGGTGGCGCTTAATGAATCAATCTATGGATCAAGACATGCGAAGTGTAGTCTACCAAAGAATTGTCAATAAAATGAAAAGCTTCTCCTCCAATGTCTCCTGTATGGGGGTCAAAACTAATATACTGTAAATTGATTAACAGTCTCGTTGTAAATAAGGCAATGTTTAAATATAAAGGTGGAATGCTTTTAAAAAAACACACAGCTTTTCAAAAACTTGAACTGTCTCACTCTTTAGAGTGACAATGCAGCCCTACCAGTATGTACGGTATGTTGACCCAGCTTACAAATGGTTCTGCATTGAAGGGCTGCTCAGCTGTGGGCCATGATGTACAGTGCATGGCCTGGGCTACAATGTACGGTACATCCCAATTACTTGGCTACAACCTGCAAGTGGATTTGGATTTGGCTACTCCCATAGGCGCATGTGTGATTGCCGGCCGCAACCAAGTACAGTCTGACGCAGCCATGCTTCCCGTCAAGATTGTTAAGTGAGGCAGATGGTAGACAAAAATTCACACACTCCAAACTCGTGCCTTGCATGGAAATGATCCAATAGTGAGCAATTGCCAACTGTAAGCACACTGCAGAATGTTGTCATGCAATGCAAGCGAACAGAATAAATGTACTGTAGCTACCGTAGTGGAAAACTTTGTAAACTTGCATGGTACAATGGCCTGCGTAATGGACGCCATAGACAAGTACAGGTACCCCCCCCCCCCCCACCCCCCTCAATGGTTACAAAGGGAGAGATGGGGAAACCACTGGGAGGGACATTCAAACAAACGCGCTGCCAATGAGTAAAATTGGAGTGAAAATAGTTGTGCTACTTTGCGCCATGCGCACGCGAAGTCGTGAACCAGTACATACACGCAGTGTATCCTGTCTACTGGGCTTTTGAAAGTAGTCAGAAAGCACCATCTATTGTTTCTGCACGGATCATAAGTAAACTGGACATTGTACTTTAACTTTGAAGCAACAACCAATCAACTGTGGTATTATCAATTATTATAATTTTTTCTTCATAAATGCAAAGAATACCATCACAATAAAATATACCTGTCTAGAGGTTACAAGAAAGTAACCTGATAGAATCTAAATGGAAATTGAAAGGAATCTCTCAAACTTACGCCTCACCATCTCCTACAATTCTTAAAATGACACTTGACGCAATTTATGAAACCCATCAGCATAAGCAATGTCTATGCATGGTAGGCTATAGTTTAATATTTGTAGTGCATACACATCAACATATACCTGGCTACATTATTGAAGGCTGGCTAAATCCCATCTAATATTGAGCTGTTTATTCTTATAGAGTACATTTTCAAGAAGCAAAATGATGTTATTTTTGTAACATCCTGAAGGCAGGCAATAATATCCAGTCCTTTCGATTATCAAAACAAAAAAAGGAAAGCCGGAAAAGAAGAAGATGGGGAACGCCACGAGCCAAGGGGCTCTTTGTGATATTGATTTTTTTCTCTCCACAGACCAGCAGAGCGGTTGTAGTATATGCAATTCTGCAGTGAGTTATTGAATATTACATGGCATCATATGACGAGTCAGTCTTCGATTTCTTGCTGTCTCCTACATCTGTACTATCCCATTTTTCCCCTTATATTTGGTGGCACATGTACTGTATTTCATTTGGAGACGCAAGAATGAAAGTCTGAATGCAGCCCAAGGGTGTACACGTATGATTCACAGAATTACAGATTTAACTTTTATAGATGGAGACACAAACTTCTTAGTAGCAATGATGTTGCCAGGATTATAATACTGAGAGTCAAAAATTGCTACAAGGTGGAAGTGTGTACAATTGCCACTACCGGTACCTGTGTGGCATGTGCATGTGTTTGCACACAGATTAAAAATTTTCTATAGCTAATCCTTTTAACTTTTGAAACAAAACCTTTACAAAGTTTTGTGACCATTTTTTTCTTAACTTAATCGATAAATGTTAACAAAACATCCCTTTCTTGTCATTGTCACCCTAATGTAATGCACATGGTCACTTTTCCTGAAAAAACTGTTTTGCTACATGTTCATAAATGAGCTATAAGATAAAACACACACACACAAGATGGAATCTAAAACTGTCCAAAATCAATCTATGGTGTCCAAAAGACACTCAGAATACTTGACCATGGAGCTGTGCTTAGTACAACCATGACTGAACCATACCCTGATAAAGCACTGACCTGGCAAACACCATTATTTGTTTTTAAATACAGCAGAATCTAATGGATGAAATGTCTGGACTTCTCCTGGTCACATGACTTGCGAGTGCAAAGCCAATGAACCATGATCAATTGCTTTTACATATTGTTCCACTTGAAGCATTCAGGATGATGACTAATGCTTGAAACCCATCCCCCCCCCCTAAAAACAAAAATCTGTAAAACACTTAGATGTTTTCTGAGCAAATTGAAGTCTAGAAATGTGCTCGTTAATTTGGATATTATACCCAGGTTTTAATTTTGCATTTTGCATTGTGTGCATTTACATTTACTTTTAAAAAGCATTACAGCATGAGTACGTACATGTACATGCACAAAGGAAAAGGACAAGTAAATTATAAAAATGCCCGAGTGAGCGCGCGAGTGTACAAGTGATTCATGTGACCTTTATTCAAATTATCCTTGACCTTCAATTCACTTGCGATCAATCAACCTCAATATTTGAAGATCAATAGTTCTTATTAATGAAGGTAATATAAAGCCATACAGGAGGCTTAAATTATGCAAATCTATTGACCTGAAAGCAAGATCCATGTTACTTTTCTATTAAAAAGAATAAAATATGAAATTAAAATATACTGTATTATAAAAACCACCAATATTTTTTTTCTCACTTAATTTTTGGGAGTGGGATGCATTTTTAATGTCTGAAATATTCACATTGAAATGTATGTATTTTCTTTACAAATTTAACAGCAAACTGAAATGATTGTAATTGTAAATGCAGCCATGGCACTAAATGCTTCTGACTATGTGCAGGATTGAAAGGGCAAGGTTATCAGATTAAAACAGACAAAGAGCACTTGGAATTTTTAGTGGTTAAAACCCTGAAAGAAGCAAAGAATGACATGCATATATTCATGTCACCTTGACAATCCTAATTTCAATGCCAAACTAAATTTAGCTGCTGGACAGCTAGATCTCGCAGGCTTCGGTGTATTTTTGTGCATTTTTTTAACCTACATGTAGTATGTCTAAAGGCATAAAATTCAATCTATTTGTAGAACAAGGATTATAGTTTCTTAATCAAAGATATTTTAAAACCACTTCATTAAGGGAATAAAATTAATAATTGATCATTTCATTGACAATAACATTTGAAAGATGTGGGTTTTTTCCCATTCCTTATTTGAAACAAGATATAAATGTGTAAAGAAATACACATTGCCTGGAAGTGCATATATGACAATAAGAAATGTCATCTAAACAAATACCTCAAGAAACATCATACTTCAAAATAAAACAAGATTTCAAATGCTACATGTATATCACTTACCAACGTACCTTAAATGTTTGACTTCTAAGAACCCCTGAATGTAATGGAGCTTCCTACATCACAACAAACCATATCATATACACCACAGTACACGTGCACAGTACGTTCCTATTGAGCCGACACTATCGACACACCTGACGTGATCCAATAAATGAATTAAACACAATCAGCGGACAGAAAAAAAAATTCAAAATTCTTACCCAGCACGACTGTCTGGAAGAAACAACAGAATCCAGTAAGATAATTCACAAGACCATCTGAACAGAGAGGTATATTCCCAATTCCTTAAGATGTGAACATCAGGAGCATACCGGTTCATCCAATAATGCACGTATATTACACACCACGCGCAGTGAAATTGTCACAGTTTATTCCAGTCAGCGTCTACCTGCCTATGCACATGTGCAGATGGAATCCTACGTAGCTACATTGTAATTAGTGAATCAATACGTACAATGCTAGTCCTATACCGTCTTGCTTCTCTTAATGCTCTTTTCATCAGTTGCCTCTCGGAGGCAACTCTGAGGCGTACGTTGCTTAGTCATCCAATAAACCAAGGGGTGGGTAAACCTACCGCTACACCAGCCAATAGGCGGTGGGGCTAGATTCATGTACCTGGGGCATGAATGATTTTGGTTCTCATTATTAAATAGGTCAGGTAATTAATCAGGTGATACACAGGTGCCAGATACTCAAAAATTCATTTCCTGATTAAGTTCAACTTCAATATTGATATTTCAATCTATCTGTAACAAATGAGGTGGTTCTTATATGGAAGTTTAACTTAAGGACATCTTAAACTAGAAGCAAAATGATATGCTATTAAAATTTGGGTTTACAAACAAATCCATTTTTGTTCAAAAATTATTTGTTACTTGTTAGAAATATTTCATGAAAATAAATAACAGCAAAATCATTTTTTTTTATCCAATATAATATTTCCTCTTCTTTTTATCAGGAGGAAGGTTGAAGTGAATCTCTATGATACTGATAGTACATAGTCAGATGCAAAGCACAACCAATGTTGGGCATTCCTGTCAATCATTATTAAGCAGCAGAATGTTAAGCTGCTTCATCAGGTACCGGTAGGGAAATCCCCTACAGTAAAACAGCTTTGTTTATATACCGGTACTGGAGTGTCACAGAGTCATTATGGTACATATTGACAGCATTGTAAGAGGTGTGCAATGTACCTGAATGGAAAAAAGTAGACATAAGTCCTGTCATCAATTCAAATATTCTGGTCTCTTTTCAATCTTAAAAGTTCATAAAACCTCAAAATGATAACTGAAAGATTGCTTACATTTTACATAAAACAGTAGGCCTATAAAAGGAAAGTGGTGTCAGCAACACACACTGTTTTCCCCTCAGGAATCGACACATTATTGGTAATAAGCTGTGCACAGTAATAAGTGTTTAATGCCTGCAGGATAACCACTTGACTCCAGCATATTCTGCTCGACTTCTTTCACACATCTCAGTAATAGCCAAACTCAATACTTCTAACCCATGGCATTCAGATTCTACTTCACACTTTTATCCATCATTGTCATCTGATAATCCAGGACAGCAATCTTACACTTTAGGGAGTATCTATGGCTTACATGTGTACGTGTAAATGGGAAAGTTCCATTAAATGGAGGGTTCATGTTCAAAGGCTCCCAGCCAGTATTAAAGAAACATAGTGGTCATTTGCTATCAAATATGGACATTTGATTCTACATGAATGGTATAGGTTTACAGTTCATTGGAAGGTGTTTAGCACTATCACTCACCGTGTGCTCAAATGTGTCAAAATTCAAGCCACGTCCAAGAGAAATACAAAGAGCTGAGTCAATGATATTGTACTCGAGTATTTCAATTTGCCCTTCTGACGGACCATTTTATCTGTATGAATGGCCTGTGAATGTGGAACAATTGGGGGGAGGGGGGAAGCATGGCCTAGGGGGATGAGGAGTGGGAGGTGAGGGGGGGGGGAGAGAATAAAATACTTACATGTTGGGTACATGTATATCTGGCGCCCCGTTAAAAGCTCTAGAATGCTATGTTTCAAGACACGCCATCTTAGTGAATTATAAATAGACTGCTCCACTAAGCCCCGCCCAACAATGTCTTGACCAATCACATCAATGATTAATATTCGACATGCATTCATGAATAATGTCCGAAATGCCTGCACTCACATATGGCGTGCGCATCTAGACTATGCAGTCAGGCATTTGAGAGTTGCAGTTATGCTCACTGGGAGGGGCCTATACTTTACAGACAGGTAGGTTTAATATATTGTTCAAATTCTTGTCTAGTATATTTACCTGCACCATTTGATATTGTCTGCTCCACTAAGGTATCCTTCACTCTTAACAACTGAAGAGTATAAAAACGTGCTTCACCACAGTCAAATTTCAATTAATTAGGAGACTTGTTTTGCCAATTGCAAGTATCCTTGAACCAAAAGTGTTTGTATAATGCAATTAAACCAATGTCAATATCAATGGAACAGTAAGTGATTAATTTGGAATGCTCTGACTGCCCATGAATACAATCCCTTACAATCATCCCTCAGTCTAATGTAATTTTCATGAACTGAAGTTTTGTAGTTGGTCCCTGCATGCACCAATGCACAATCTGCCATTAATCTAGTCAGACGTTCCTTACCTGGCATCTTGAGTGTATGAGATAGAACACTTGAAGGGGGAGCAATTGTCAAGTGGGCTTTTGTTGAGCTTGACATTTCCTCTCAAAATTTTAATTTAAATTGATTGGCATACGTGTATGTGTAAATAAAGCGATTTACAATTTTGCATTATTTCTACATGTTGATTGAACTCTTACGATGCTACAGGATCATGGTTTCATTGAATATGGCAAGAATCTTTCACAACATGTCAAAATCTCTGACCATTACATTATTTTTGCAACTTTTTTTTTTTTTTTGACTAATGCCCTGATTTCTTTCACTGAATAACAAAAGGTGAGCAACCGTTACTAATATTAGCAAGTATTCTTGCTATAGCCAATTACATTGTGTGTGTTACAATTACATTTATGTGTTGAGCAAAAATCAACCGAGAAAAATACAGTCGGGTCATTCTATTAAAGTTAGGGTCCCAAGAATGACATTTTTTCTGTCTCTGTTACTTTGCCACATTGTAATTTACTGTTGATTGAGAATGCCTTCAAACACTTTTTTTTGGGGGGGGGAGTTAGTTTGCTATTCGATTATTCTTGGAGGATGACTGCAGCATTAAGAAGTGCAATAAAATCATTTATTTATTTATTTATTTCTGGTAATGAAACCAAGGATTCCTTGAAAGCGCTCTAGGTATTGTTCAGGTAGGGGAATCATGGAATCAGGTACCGATAGGGACTGAAAACCCGGCATTGGACCAGGACAGGAATCGAAACCCAGGCCACAACAGTGGAAGGCAAGGACAGTAGCCAGTGCCAATCTAACTCCCATCATAGATGTCAGAAGTAACAGGTACAGGAAAAACAGTGGACCCAAATTTATAGAATAACCCAATTAGATTGTATGACATCATTTTGGTAGCTGGTAACATTCTTTGGCTGAGCAAGTTCATGTTTGCTAAGCAGCTCCACACAGTTGGCCCCTTAAGTTGTTCTGCATCTGTATTGGGTATCACTCCAAGCCATAAGGTCTGCTCATTTCTCCATTAGAAAAGAGAACAGCAATGATAGCATAGATAAAAGGGTGTATCTTCAGTATACTAGTTATCCAAGTATACTAATCAATGCCATAGGCCTGCATACACTGCACACCTTAGTATTCACCTCTACAGCTACCGTATGCCCGAAAGGCTGACATTGTATCCTGTGTGTCTTCTACATCAAGCTACAAGCTATGGGAGATGCATACTCAAGCAAGCTGTCAATGGATGCATCTAGATCAGATGTAGGGGTTTGGTATTCAAATAGACACCTGTCACTGCATCTTACAGGTGCCTTGATGAGGAATTATATGCAAGAAGGGGAGAACAGGAAATGAGTTCAAGATAATGCAGTGTTAACTATTTATTAAGTGAAGTGAAAACAAACAACTGATGCTTAATACAGTACAGTAAGAAACCATTTTTCATAACATTCTTTTTCAGTGTTTATTTTGAAGAAAAAAAAGATACAGAAAGTGCAACGTTCTCTGCTTAGCCTAATCCAATGAAACTGCATATTCTTGGTGGTTTTTTTTTAGAAATTACACTTATTGTTGTGGACTGATATTTGGAACTTTTCAATTTATTATAGATCAAAAACAGAAAAGTGATTTGAAATCTTACACTGTCATTGTGATAACATGCCGAGTTGTCTGAGAAATGCAGCAGACACCTGATGTACTCTGACTTCCCCTTAGTTCTTTGCATCCTTTGAAGCAGACCTAAAGCCAGGTGTGAACGTGTTACCGATCGATGACCGGGTACCGGTGACTCATTGAAACTGTATCCCAGACTGATGAGGCTAAGATTTTTTCACAAGTGGGTACTGCTTGGCTTGTGAGTATATGGAATCATGGGTCACTTTCCAAATGTAATTTAATGTGTTAAGATTCAGCTGCAGCTCAATATATCGGCAGGAAAGAGGGTGAGAATATCCCCAAGGTTATTTATTATGAACTGCTGAAAATATATTGATGTAACCTTCTATTATACTTCAGAACAGTATTTTTGTATGCACTTTGAAATATAATCAGTCTGCACAATGTACGGTGTACTGTATCTGAGTTCTGGAAACGTTCTAAGACAAACTGACTGTTCCATTCATGACCCATGTGGAATACACAAAATAATGAAAGGCAAAGTGGTCACGAAAAAAAACATTTTCAACTTGGTTTTGAATCAAATCTAACGGGTCAGAGAAGGAAATACATACATGTACCGGTACATACAGTGGGTATAGTCATCAATGAAGAACTTCAAAGACAATTTGAGGTATGCACTAAGGAATGGTAAAGAGATGTGTCCACAATGCCAAACCAACAGATATAAAAACAGCTTTACACCTCGTGTTTGTATAATCGCCAGTAATTTTTCATTATCATTTTACTTAATTTTGTTTTAATTTTATGGATGTGCACCCATCAACATCATTCATTTTAATTATCCTGATAATAATCCTAATTCTTATATTTTTGTTTAGATGTTTGAAATCGTCTTTTAGCCCTTTTGTAAATTACGACCTTTATTTCTCGTTTTATCTTTGCATGTAATCCAACCAGTCTTGAATTTGCGAGGAATGGTTGCAATAAATAAATAAATTAATTTAAAAAAGTTGCACCACTACTCCACTACTGAAATAATCATATCTTTGCCTTGATTCCCCATGTTGTGTTCATTGCTGTGTGACCCATTCCATCTGCAGTCAAGTTTTGAAGTTACTGCCCATGTAAGCAGTAAGCGCCATCACACCGCACATGTACATGTATACGTAGGCCTCTGGCTTCTGGTCACTTACTATAAAACAGGCTAACTAGGACAAAATACACTGATCCAAGGAAGAAGTTCATATCTTAAATCATTTGTATTTATTAGAAAAGAAGTTAAAATTGAATTACTGTGTATGTTATTAAATGATACTGACACACACACTAAGTAACTTGAACACGCTCTTATTCTTAACTGGCCATTTGAAGGATAGTTTCCAGGGGGGGATATGATGCTGCAGGCCAACCGTCTGCTTTTCCACACCCCAACATACCCTCTAACATCCACCTGTCCCCCTCAAAAATCCACCTATCCCCTCCCACACCAGCAGCGTAGCTACGGGAGGGCGTATTTTACGGAGGTCTGGTGTCCGGTGAAAAACCTTCGACCTTTCAGCACAGATGATTTTTTTTGGGCACCCCCCCCCCCCCCCGCCCCCCTAGGATGAGAACCCTGGCTAAGCAGCTGTCTCACACTCACAATTATGTAACTGAAGACTGCAATGTGTGCCGAAGGGCGTCATCATTGGCAGTCCATAACAACAATATAAAATGGCTACATTTGAACGTTTATTTGCATCAAGTTTCTTTAAAAAGGGGGGGTTTATATTGCACAGTCAGTAGTACAATGTGCTACTGTTCAGTAAAAGAACATTCAAATGTTTGCATAAAAATTAATTACAACAAAAGCATTATAATATAAACTGTTAGTTTTTCGACCCCACTTGCATTAGTTTTAATGATTAAATTGTTATCGCTGAGTACCTTGAACCCTATCATTATAACAAGGGGGAGACAAAGAGACCTTGCTTGGTGTTTTGCATATCCAGGCACGCTAACAATCCTAGCACAAAGGCCCTGTTCAATGCTACAAGCATTGCGCTAACTATTGTTCAGATAATCCATCATGGGCAGTTGCTTTGTACAATAGCGTGCACAATGGTTTCTCCATTGAAGGGGGCCTGGTGAGGGATCGTCTGTAAAAGACTAGGCGATATTTCAAAAATTGTTACATGAAGAGGCATTTTTGAGTAGAAGTTGACAACATACATGTAACTTATATATTTTACCTCATTTCGGGATGCTGAATCCGAAAATGATGGTAACCAAGCTGGATTTTTAATGGAAATACATGTATACCTAATTTGCATAAATCTTTAATACCTGTCTTGTAATATATTTGTTCCCATATTTGGGTATATTTGTTATTATTTTATTTTTTTTAAAGTTTATTTTGGTGATTCTACTTAAACATGCCTCTTCTTGCTCTAAATGGGCCCTTTTTGGAAATATCACCTAGACTATAAAGCACAACATGCTTGAACATATATGTACACTATGCAGGTACGTGGCTATTTTCAGCTAACAAATAACTGTTCTTCTTAAAGTATCAGACGTTCAAAAATATTTCAGACGTTTGCATGGTGGACTCGCATTAAATGTTCTTCATTTTATTGGCCTTATTCGAATTGGTGAAGTCTTAAAATAAAAACACGAAAAATTCAATGAACCGGTACATGTAGATGTATTCACAGTTACATGCTATGTACCGGTAAATGTACCGGTACCTTACGTTTATTTTTATGAGAAAAAAATGATATCAATGCATGCAATTTCAAAATACTCGTACATACACATAATATTTATTCAAATATTAATAAAAGATTACATATTGTCAATTTTGTCATATTAGTTCAATATGTCATTTTTGAAGACTTTCCATGGTAACGGCATGCATGTCCTTAGCAACTGGTATTAATCCTGGTGAATAAAACAAACAAAATTAACAATTGTAAAAATGATGAATTTGAATAGGTTAATTTACATAATGAAATCATAAACAATGGATTAATGAAATGAAATGGAACAATTGAGAAAAAAAAATGAAGCTTCGCGTGTACAGGTAGCTGTAGAAAAGTACAGACAAATCCAGCAGCAGCCATTTTCTGCGGTGTTGCAAGGCTCGAGCGAATCGTGCTCAGGTGTAGTCAACACGCGCTCAGGGGGGTCTACCCGATGTTCCCCAATACCCATGTTCCCCAATACCGATGTTCCCCGAAATCCTTAGGATTAGGGTTAGGGTTAGGGTTAGAGTTAGGGTTAGAGTTTGGGTTAGGGTTATTTGGTAAGGATTTCGGGGAACATCGGTATTGGGGAACATCGGTATTGGGGAACATAGGTATGCACCCGCGCTCAGGTAGTACACACGTGCTCAGGTAGTACACACGCGCTCCGGGTCCCTTCAACCATTAGGAATACCAAAATGCGCGTGCAGCATATGCATGAGCGTGACACCAAGGCAGTAAAAACTTCTAATTCTGGTCGCCGGATTCCACATTTCCACTATACCGGTAGGATATGATATTCACAATTTGATACAAAATGCATGTTAGTCAAACCATGTATTTATACAGCACCATGATTAAACCAAATTATGTAGTCACAGCCATGCATTACGAATTACATATTCTGTGTTAATTAAACTCTTAAGTTACACATGATCAATGAGTCAAAGCTTGAAATGAGTTAAAATTACAAAGGATATGCTTACAACATGTAAAGCATTTCATTTGTTTGATACAAGAAACAGTGTTACCCGCACGGAGTGAAAAAAAGTTTATTTCAAGCCTCAAGTTAAAAAAAAATCAACTGGAAAGCGATAAATACCGGTACATGTATTAGAGATTAGAGATTAATGCTAAACAGTAAAAAAAAAAAAATACAGAACATGCAACTACATTTGTACATGACATAAGCTTTATATAGCCACTTTCTAAAAATCCCCAAAATAAAACTGCTCACTTTAGGAATTTATCAATGCATTTTCTGGAATCTGATGTATCCCTTACCACTAATTATATACATAAGGATTTGTCACTTTCATTAAATTTGTATCAATTACATGTATACAGGTATTCCATATTTTTCAACACAGATGTGATCCAGGTTACTCTGTTACAGTTGGCACATTAATTGTGCCAACTGAGGCACATATGATAACCCTAATATCGCTAATCTATTGTATGCTGTCATATCTGGTGACACACTGACTAGACACAGCTGGCTGCTGTATCATATGGAAAGCTAAAGGGAAAATGTGGTCAATAATGGATGCAGCCAAAGCCCAGTCAACCACACAAGGACAAACACATACAGACAAATGCCACGGGAAAAAGTCTGCAATTGAGGACGGTAGAACATCAGAAACTCCCATTATTACCGTAGCTATAGGCCTTAAGTATAAACATGGACATTCATTTAAAGGAGTGTATGGTCATATCCAAATAACGGCTGGCAACATGCATTGCCCGAGGAAGAACACTCGTGGTTAGAAATCAAAAACAAATCTACAATGTTCCTGGAAACAATGATGACTACCAGTACATGAGAAAATATGAGCTTATAGGATTTTGTGTTGCAGTAATTTATCAACACCTAAAGCAGTTCTCAAAACATTCCTTGTCCCCCCCCCCCCCCCCGCCCCCACCCACCCAAAATACCCCTTGCTGGCTGTGATGTCATCGGCAATATAATGTATACATGTAGCATGCCCATCCTCATATGCAGAGCCCTGTACAACTCAATGTGTTTGTGTCTTCTCATTTGTGTTCAGCCGTTACGCGTCTTGATTACCAGGATTACCAGAGTCTATTTTCCGTTCTGCAGTCTGCACCTAAGTCCTTGACTTTATTTATTCATTGCCTCTGTTCCTTCATTCGATCATCACGTGTACTTGCCATTGGAGGGTATTTTTAAGACTTTATGTTTGTTTTCCTTTCATTTTATTTCCATTGTTTGTTATAATTTTTTGTTGTTTTTTAAAAACCTTTTTGAAGTTGAAAAATATAACGTTTTCTCCTTTAAAAAAAAATCCACACAGAGCACATTTTTACAGAAATTTCTTTTTGGATTTTAAATTCACTACATCGTACCGAGGTATGTAGCAATAAATATGATTCATCTTTGAAAAGGGGGCTGGATAAATGTAAAAATAAAGAAGTACATATTATATATGTTCAACATACAACAAAATTCTTTTCTTTTGATTTTCTCATATATGTTCCTTTAGGACTTCGTAAACAAATTGTTCATCCTGTAATGTTGTTGAATAAACCTACTCACATACACATCTCCGTTTTGTACATGTACGTATGTTCATGTATAGTACCTCATGTACATGTCCGATGTAGTAACTAGTATGTCCTATCCTTATTCGTGTAACTCCACTGAGAGACATTAAATTTGATCAGTTTGTCTCTGCCTGTGTGACTATCATCTCATCTCCACACAGCCTTATGAGATCTAATTCAGACTAAGGCCACATCGGAATAACTTGGCTATGGCCAGTAAAATATGTGGCATTTGGAAACCACTATTATCCACTCATTTCCCATAGACACGTATGTATCTGCCAGCTGTAGCCAAGTACATGTAATCAGGCCTTAATTGGGTTTGGTGGGCTAGGTCTCATCATCAAGATAGTTTATAGACAGAGCAGAGACAGATTATATGAACGACTCCCTAATGATTCAGATACAGGGACTGCATCTCTCAACAGACTGACATGTACAGATGAGGACATCAATTAAGCACGTTAAGGCAGCTTTTCATTTCATCAGGGAAAAAATGATGTTGTGTTCCTGAAGATACGGTTTGGTTTCTGAGTTATCCAAATTAAGGACTGTGAATGTTTTTTTTGCCAAGATGTTTAATAGAAAATGAACCATTAAATATAAAGAACACTAAGCTATCCAAGGTCTTGCCAGAAAAACCAAGGAAATATAGAGAATTGGTTAAGTACAACAAATTATTCTGTACATAAAGTGTGGACATGTACATTTGCTTTTAAAGAAAAGAAAAATACAGTACGTATTATGCAGCGCTGCATAAAAATGAGAAATTGCCATTGCGAATCCTTGGGGACCTTGTCCTACTGTATGTACAATGTGCATGTACAATGTGTATGAACAATGTATCTTCAGGCCAAAGCAGTGACAACTGGAATTGGAATTCTTCAACTATACAGACTGTAGTCCTAAATACAACCTCTAGAGAGAGATTGTACATGTAATGATAAAGCAATAAACAAATTGGAGCAGGTGCAAGAAAAATTAAGAGAGAGTAGGGACACCCTTTCCTCGCCAATAATCTTCCAACAAACTCATTTCTTTCCTACTTCCTTACTTAAAAGGTTATTAATTTGTTTAGTGACCTCAATAAGACCTTGTACGTATTAGTGAATTAAACACACTTTGTTCACTGGCTGTTGTTGCAACGTGTAAGAGAAGAAAAAGTACTTGTACAACACAGTGGTGCAACACAGTGTCGCAACAGGTCTGCACTATCAGCTGCTCTACCATCTTAACTTGGAGTATGTGAAACACTATGTTGCATGGCTTCCTATCAATGTCTCAAAGTCCTTTTACCCACACACACTGCTTAGCCAGTTGTTTCATTTAGAAGAAAAAAACCCAAAATGGCTCCAGTATTCCCTTCACCTTCCCCAACACTTCAGACAAAGAAATGTGTACAAAGTACACCACGATGAATCACACGGCTCAAATCAGGAGACCGATAACAAATGGACAACTTAAGGACAAATTATGCTACAAATAGCATCCAAAATGTCTTTCAAGTTCTCCAAACTAGGAGATGTGTTCCCAACAGGTTTGATCTAGTGACATTAAGAAACACCCTAACCCTCCCGACTCCTCATCTAGGCACCAAAAAAATGACATCACACCAACGAAGGCATCAATCTTGCACACGGTATGAATAACTCACCATATAAGCAATATCTTACCTTCAATATACATGCAGGGTAAGGTGACTAGAAGACCGTCCCTAGAGCATCAAACCAAGCGAGTAGGCTGTTGTCTACGGCCGTCAATTCACCAAACTGCTGTAGTGTGATTCTACAGATACAAAGTACATTAGGAGAGAATATGGAGAATATATATCAGTGTGACATGTGAGGTTTGACTGCTGCTGAAGAGCAGAACTGAAAGAGTATCACAACAGAAGAAATTATAAAAATCTTGAGATTCCAAGGCAAATAAAAGTAAAAATGGAATTACTTTCACAAATTGTCTCAAAAAAAATGACAATGCTAGCAATTTATTTCTCCACACACCATAGTTATGTTTCATTTACATAAGAGGAATTTCAAACAACAGTCTCATTTTCCAAGAATCTTCTTGAATCATCTTTGATCCAATGACAAGCATTTGGCAATGATCCCAACTGACTCCCTTTAATGTCAAGCAAACCAACAATAAACCAAGAAGACCAAATCAGAATGCTGAGCTCTTCAGCAGGCCAATTCTACAGAGATTAGGCTGTGCTATCTTCCCATTACTTAGACGGAGGTTTACATTAGGCGTAACGAGATCTTGTCTATCTCCCTCAGGAGTGGCTACCTCAAACCAGATTCACTGCATCAATGTAGACGGCCAGAAAATGAGTGTGTTTATACTAACACAAGAGGAAAATAAAATGAGGTCAAGAGAGTTTCTACGGTCTAATGTTGTGTGCTGATGAGTAATGTAAAATAGTCAAGCAATATGTACATGTTATAGGACGAGTAATATCCAATGTAAGTAATATTCCTCTAGTTAGCTACATGTATGTGCATATACGGTACTTAGGGCAAATAGTTTTTCCTTAAAAATATTATTTAAAACAGTTATGTATGCTTTTCATTATTTTTCCCTTATTCGTCAGGTTTCTGTTGCTCTTAAAACTACATGCAGTCCTTTCCTTGAAGACAAACACGACCATTCTTCCAAGATTTATTATTAGGGAATAACAGTGTGAGGACCCAGTCTTCACTGCGTGATAATGACCGGGTTAAGGGATGGCCGCTGTTAATGGACCGAGCCGGAATGGTTTTTTTAACGAAATAAACACTTAAAATGCTCCAATTTTGTGACTTTTCTTTCGGCGATATTTCCAGACTTTTTGTGTTCATGTTGAAGGGCCATATTTTAGCTTTTGCCTGTGATATGCTAGCCTGTCTCTTCAATGCATTATTCATCTTCATTGCAATACGACTGACGTCCAAGGTATGAACTTCTGCTGCCATAGCAGAACAAATTACAACAATTTTTTTTCATATTTTTACCTGACGGAGGAAGCTGGAATTTTGTTTACATATTTCTTGCGTCTAGAATTACAAAGACGCTCGGTTTAAAAAAAGGAAATATGTCCGTGGGCGACGTGTTTACAGAAAATAAATCGCAGATCCACGCTTTCAAGGTAAACATCCTCGGTATGAACATGTCATGTGAAGACTTATTCTGCGCGTGCATAGCAATGTGTTGCATACGTGTGCGTGAGGTAAGTCTGCACGAGATGGTGGTTAGGCGCATGTGCACTGCTGTATTGTTACAAGCTACCGTAGAACTGTTGTATATTTGGCCAATCATTGGCTTACATGAGGCTGGATCAATGCTGGTTCAGGGACCATTTATTCGCTTGTTTTTGAAGCCGGTCTTTATATCACATTTTAATGCACACCCACGTGATTGAGTCTCGACCAATCAGAAGCTATCAACTCTCCAAGGTATTTATTAAGTTCAATAAATACATGTATGTTGATTCAAAATAATATGTATGTATTTTAGTAGGATAAATTAGATAATTAGGCATGCAGCATTTGAGACTTGACATAACTGTATATTTATAATTTCAAATTTCATTATCAAATCTAAATGTAAATTAAAACAAAACATACTTGACAAAATATTCTATGAGACAATTATAAAATGGTGATTTCAAATGTCATATAAACAAGATTGCTCATTTGAAAGTCAAAGCAAAATAGAAGACCAACAAACACATCTCTCAAGTTTCTTGAAGACAAACTTCAATTTATGTCATCCTTGTGAAACAGTACTTTCGTGTTATTTATTTCGATCTTGTATTGTATTTATTTATCGGTTTTCTTTTACCAGGGTAGCCCCATCAGTGGTCTAAGAACTGTTCTCCATAGGGCCCTGTCATCAGCACATTAAACACAAACCCAATCTCCACTCCAATACAAACGTTAAAAAATCAACAAATGTTTGACAACATAATAAAATAAAATATGTAAATGATTCCAGTTTTATAGGTGGGTCAAAATACTTTATTCAGTACAAGTTTGATGTATTCCTCCTCTCCAATTACTGTAGATTGTGGGATTAGACACAAAAATGACTTGGACAAAATGAACTATAAAAATTCATCTCTTGGGCCTTCACTTGCAAAGGATCATATTTCTTCACTTAAAATGCACTTACACATGTACAGTACAGAACTTGACTGAGCACATTCATTTTGCTTGGACAATTGATGGTAAATGGTTGGAAGATGTCTGTCTTCTGCCACTTCTATTTATTTATTTATTTTGACAACATCCATCAGCACAAGTACCAGAACAGAATGGATATGACTGACTTCCAGTGGGGTCCCTTGGTAGGAGATGTGGAAGGAAATTACAGTTTTAGTGGTGGAAGAAAACTGCAGAATGATATTCTAGGGAAAACCCACGGAATCAGGCAGGGACTGAAAACCCAATCAAAATATTGGCCCAGGCGGGATTTCGAACCCGGGTCACAGCTGTGGTAGGTGATGAAAGTACCGCCACACCAACCTGATCCCCCTCATGATTATAGATGGCTCTCATCATGGACCCAGGTGACCTGGCCTACATCCGGGTACCACAAACTCAACATTGTAGTAACAACAGCTTAAATGTGTTTTTTCTTGATTGCAACAGGCAGTATCCAAGTGAAAAAGTTCCAAGGGTTCCAAAGTTTTGAGAAAGTATCTCACCTTTGGTCTAAATCAACATTTGCCATCTTGAAGATGTTCTCCACCATCTCTTCAATAGCATCTTGTGACATTGCTTCCATAACTGGCCACATATCTTCCCTGTTTGACAAAACAAGTTTTAATATTGCCATTATTGAATTCATATGTTAACGGACAAAAAAAAAAAATTCAAAATACGGCTATAGGCGGATGCAACTTTGCGTGACCTCAGGTCAATGCGAGGTGACAACAAACGCTTGAACGTATAGCTTTGCACGGCGATGCTAGCCGGAAGTGACACGCAAGTTGCGTCCTCCTATATTTCAATCTTTGTTGAGAAGTTCTAGTCAATTTTCTGCTGCAAAGGTTACCAGGAATTTGATTTGACTGTTTAGGGTTGGGTCTTGTTTAACCCTATCCCTTACAGGTTCTCCAAAGCACAACAGGAGGTTTTCAAGGAATTAACAGAGTATTTAGGCAAAGACACTATTTTTACTTTCTATAAGTTGAAATACAAAAATGTGCGATAGAAGAAGGTGCATGCTTTTGCACCTCTTGTGCATTCACTGTTACTGAAGTAAAATAACTCAAACACCTCAAAGATGTCCGCTGAATGCAAAGGGTCTGTTTAGTTTACTGTTCAATGGAAGATATTCATAGGTTCAGATAACGCTTAGAGGAACATCACTGGAGGCTTTTTAAGGTGTCAGTAGAAAGGCAAATAAGAACCACTGACCAATCAACTCACCTGCTTCCAGGGTTGCCAGGAAACGGTGTCTTAGTGATTTGACTTGGATCGGATCCAGTATCGGTAGGAATGGGTGCACTGAAGAGCGAGGATACAGGTCTGCCTTGAGTGTCATCAAAATTGGCCATCTGAAAGCACAAGACAAGTCTTAGGAATGTAACCAACAAGTAACCACGCATGAAAGCCAAGAGAAAATTGTTCATACTCAGAAAACTGAAAGAAACTGGTTTTTACTCTGAAAGAGCTAGTTACTGTCCATACATGGCACTCAAGCATTACACTCCAATAAACCAATCAAATGGAATCAATCCAATAACGAATTTGCCGTATTATTCTAGGAAGCCAATACTGTGGTTACGAACATGTGCTATCTACCGGTACTCTGTGTCTGGATCACCTTTATGATTAGAAGAACCACTATTTGTAACAAACTTTGCTTTAAATATTTTTAAATCAGGCAGATTTAATGAGTGGTCCCCTGAATCAAAACATTCAGAGATCGAATAGAACACTTGAGGAATATCCCATTTCATCCAAAAGATTTACAAATAGCCCTGGGCCCTACATGTATTTCACTAGACTCATCAATAGCTCAACATACTCATCAATAGCTCAACACTTTATTATTTAAGCTTGATATCTTTTTAAATGGTTTGTATATGTGGATTTTGCATGTGTGTTTTATTCTCTCTTGAATTGTGTTTATTTTTAAATTTAATTTACCTTTGATTGTAAATCGCTGTGCAATTCAGCTTTTGTTCTGCTAAATTATAGTTAGATAAATAAACTTACCATTTCTTCTTCACATGCCTTGACAACATCTCTGACTAGTTCTATGGTGACGTAGAAGTATGCTTTGAACATTTTCCTCAGATTGTCTCGACTGACACAACCAATTCCATCTAGATCATAACCTTCAAAAGCATCTGCAGAAAAATCAGAGAATAATTCACAGCAATGACCCAATGAGGGCTTTCAAAACCTCTGCTTCAACTCCACATTTAGATTCATCCCAGGATTTAGAATCATTAAGAAGCCTTTAATATCAAAATTAAATGGAAATTCTCCTGGCCTCTTGCCTCATATTATAAGACTGGATGTTCCTGAAGGAATTATGGAAACATATAGAGCCAGAGTCTTCCCGAGTCAGGGAACCAAATTCTCCTCAAGGCCAAAGCCAGAATGAAGCGAAAGGTTTCGGAAACAAATGTCAACATTTTACCCCGATGTAATACAGGTAATACAGAAAGACCGTGCACATTGCAGATTTTCTGCGTTATGAATCCCTTCATGTGTTGGTTATTTTGATATTTGTACTCACATCTGACTTTCTCTTCCTGCGTTCCTTTGATGAGAATTGACAGACCTCGGACAAACTCCTCAAAGTCAATGTAACCATCACCATTGGAATCATAGAACTGTGAGAGCCAGAACATCAAAATGTACTACATGTCACTTGTGCAATACTTCTTAATGTCTTATACTGAAGCAGTTTAGACTTATTAACAATTGAACTCTGGGAGCTGTAATTGACTTTCCATTGGCTAAACGTTTGTATGCTACTAATTGTAGTAAGGTCCATCATCACCATTGTGTCCTACATTGTAAATCGATCCCTAGTCAATCCCAAATCAGTCTAAAATCACAAGCCTATGACAAGTCAAAACAGAAGTCAGGTCATCTCAAGTAAACTAACATGAATAATGACAAAGAACATCGTTGTCCTAGTTCAGCCTGTGCCTTGCTATGAATCTGGAGGGGCTTGTGATTTGCTTAAGATGGACTTACAACTCTGTTAAGCAATATTTAACATCCATTCCCTAATATTTGTCATTTACTTCTAGCTGTAATACCAACCTTGAATAGTCTGTCCATGACTAGATTTTTCTCCAGTCCCAATGGTCCTAAGCACAGGTCATATACATCCCTTGTGATGCCTCTATCTTTGGTGCATAGCGTCCGATACTGGTCAAATAATGCTTCAATTTCATGCTGGTCAACTGGATAAAAGAAAGAACAAATTCAAATATATTTATCGTAGGATTTTGTTTGCTTCATCGACAATTTCATAGGCACTGCATGCTTAACATTGTCTGAGGACAAAATCTCACTCAGGTGAGACTCGAAGCCACGACCTCCTGCTATGTAACCATACAACTAACAAACATAACGAATTGGCTAGCTTGTTCCGAGGCAGACGGTTATGCAATATAATTTAAACAAAGATTTGTCAAGTTTTGAACGTGACTATTTGACTTACAGTATGTGGTGGACCTAAGATGCTGCATTTCATCCAATGTTGGTCTTCTTCTTTGAAGTTCTTTACCTGAAGGTCAATAAAGAATACTACAAAGTCAGTATGCCATCTCATGACCAGTCCTGTGAAATTCCACTGCAACCACAGAGGACCTTTTGCTGCTATGTTTTTTTAATACTCCATGTTAGGCTTATTGTTAGGCTTATTGTATCGCCTTTACTGAACATCACGTAGCAAAACTAATTCACAATAAACTGGAACACTCGGAGGCCTTTTTGCAAGGAACATTCCTGACCCTCCCAATATCAAATGCTGAGCAGAAAATGCATGTCATATTCTTCTGTTCACAAACACTGGCTGGGTTGTTCTATCTTGAATCCATCAAAATATTGCAACATCTGGGTATGAGTTTTGAAGAATTTAGGTTTAAACTAAGTATCCAATAGTGCTGTAGTAAAGTCCATCACAAGTCAATCACAAGTTATCCAGTCCAAAGCCACAAGCTATTCAAATCAACTCTGACACAAGTATTTCTTTGATATAGTTCATCCTCTGATACTTGTTAGTGGATTCTTATGTAATTTGATTGTAATTACTCAGTATAGTTTCATACCAACCTGGATAGAATGGTTTGATGAGGACATTTCTTGGATTAGCAAGCGGTGGGATTGGTAGCTTAATCTTGATGAAGTTGTGTGTTCTGTTGTGTCTATCATGTGCCTCACATCTCTCACATATATCGTAATCGATGCAGCTTGCACACTGTTTGAAAACAAATTCAAAACTTCAATAATTAAAAAAGCACATGAAAAGGGTGAGTTTATGTAGCCATCCATTAAAAGTGTGGTACTCTGTGATATTATTCATCCACAGAAGCATATATGTTCAGTGTTTTCCCAACGCCTGTAAGAAATTGCTTCACAGATGTACTTGATATGGTGCACACTTCAACTTTCAAGAGAGTTACTAAGTGAGATAACAGAGACTTGAACGCATTGCCTCCATACACCTGACGCTCACATGACGATGACTGGTTTATACATTCAGAATCAAATCAATCTTGTGCATTACGTGCTATAAAAGCAAACCAGTGCAAGTATGAAATATGTCCTTCAAATCAAGCTCGCACAAATCAGCCTACTGTTCATACATCAAGCCCATAGTAGCTTCCTGGGATTTAGCCAAGATTCCTCAATCCTGCAAAATCCTGCAAACATCCTGATGGATTTGAATGGATCTGGGAAGAGCTCACCTTGTATCTGTTTCCACATATAGGACTTGCATTGCACATGTTACATGATATACCTCGGTGGACATAACTCTCTGTACAATGTGAAAACAGGAGAGAAAGAATCACTATCATGGCATGCATTGGCTCGGTCTATGATTTAATTCATTCATTCTTTAAACGTCTTGGGAGGGTGAACATTTCTGATCTGTAATAAGGGAATAAATATTTGCTTAGCCAGTATTAAACAAGTACATTTAACACAGGTTATGGGCCTGGATGCGGATAATGGCCGAGCAGAAGGCGAGGTTTTCCACGACCAGGCCTCTAGCCAGTTTTAAACCTAGTTGTTTAATACCAGTGAAGCATTTATTCCCATTCATAAGTGGGCAATTCCAAGCAAAAGTGGACACGGCTGGCAAGTGGAAACTGTATGAAGTCTTCCAAACTACAAGCATCACAACATCACATGTGGTGTCGAATTAAAGAGGACAACAAGATCTTTCATTTGAGCGGTGTGCCCATGAGATGGAATGTAGTTAAGTGTGATTTGGGGTAAAAAAAGAAGGGTTTTTTTGGCTAAAATTATGGATTTTTGGTAGTCTTTTGGGCACCTTGTTTTAACATGCAAAATGTGACTGTTATTGAGAGTTTTTGTGTTTAAGGCAGAGAGAAAGGTTCACATATTATCAGAAAAGAGTGTCATTATTTTACACTTCATCAAACTCAGATTTTATGCCGTGTTAGAAACCACGAAGAGGAAGTAACATGAGCGACGTAACGTGAGTGACGGTGCCTCCCTGTAATCTAATGTCCCTTGCATCTAAAATACACACTTATTATTTGATTCAAATATTTATATTTCTATATCTAGCTATGGGTTGAATGCAAGGTAAAAATATGTTACTTGTGTTGCAGACTACAGTTTGAGGAAACTGTAACAACAAAATTGCAGGACAATTTTCCATGTCCTTTTTTGTAACGTGAGTGACGACCAACAAAACACATGTTTTCAAAAACTGAATGAATGGATTGAATTTTTCTTTCCTATTTTTGAGTACTCCTTACCCCAAGGTTGTTGTATGGCTGGTTGGATTCAGCTTGATCAAATACTTTGTAGTGAGAGGTCAAAGTAGCCTCATGGCATATAAATGTAACGTGAGCGACGATGGAATTGCCCAAATACCTTTCAGTCAAAAAGTCAACACAAAACACAAATCCACAAATTTCCAACAAATCTGTTCAACAAATCCACTTCAGATTTTGTGAAACACCCCTCTGGCCATGTCTGTGGTATGTGCCTCGCATGCATAGTGCTAAGAATCTCCTTTATGGAAATTTTAAGAAATTGTTGAATAAAGTTGGAGAAGTACATGAGTATTTTCACTGTAATATATTGTGCATTTACTTCTCTCTTTAATTCAATCAGACTGAACATTTGGGTAACGTTTGGAGTAAAACGCTGATCGGGTGTTAGGCCGTCTCTGAAACAGGCTTCCTGAACTCTGGCTACGTCTACTTTCTAATTGGTGAAGACCTACATAACCAAACACCCTAGACAATACATTCCAATGCGGCTTTCTATTGGTCAGTTAATATTGTACAGATGTGTACCTTTCTTTGACTGATCTTCAGCCATATTGTAGAGTAGATTCAACAAGCTTTGGTTATCACTGTACGCTATACCAGGTTCCCTACTGACACCCGACCTCCCATCATGCTCTCTGATGGCATCATGCTGTGGAGTGCCTGGCAAGGCATGCTGGGTAGTATTGTGTCCTCTGTCGCCTGGTCTTTGGATATGTGCTGGAGTTGCTGGTCGTGATGAGGATGAAGTGATGGCAGGGAATTGTTGGCTATCATTCAAACTATCAAGATGTAAATCTGAATCTATACAAAAACAAAATTCAACTTCTTGCAAGAAATCATTTACGACCCACAAACTATTCATTCTATATGCATTCATTGATGTGTTTTGTGGATATATTTCAAATGCATTTCAGAGATAAATCAAAGATACTTAGATTTTTAAAAAAAAATGTACACTTCCAAGCAAATGGCTCTTTTTACGAAAGTGTTTCTTTCATCTACAAAAAAAATTACCCAACATCCTCAACAGTCCATATCTAATGAAAGTGTTCCAACCCCAATCATTATAATGAATTAAAAAAACTAAAATCATTATAAAATATTATCTTACACTCATCTACGGTTTGTCTGTATTTGGAGAATTTCCACAAATATCCAACTGCTGCTGTAGCAACAGTACCGATGGCAAGACCAATGCCAAACCCTAGCCAAGATTTGGCCTCAGAATCCACGGTAATCACTTTGGCATCACTCATTCTGCTTCTGGAAAATATAAAATTAGATGTCATCATCTCTGATTTCTTTTGGGAAAAAGTTGGTTTTAAGCATTTAAAAACATAACGGTGGTGGTCAGGGACACTTACAATTGGGAAGAAAGAGAAATTTTCCATTCAATTCGAAAACCCTCCTTTCGTCGTGCTGGAGGCCACCATATTTCTTGGCCATTTTTCAAACCCCGGCTTCAGTCTGTGTCCGCGTCCAGCCCTATTGCGAACCTGCATTCTGGTGCCACAGCAGAGCCACAGCTGATGTCTGGGTTTAAAAAACAGCCAAGACGGCAGCCTCCAGCATGATGACACAGTTGATTGATGCAGTACTGAAACGGTGTTGGACTGTTTGTTTCAGGTACCAGTCTATTTTCGGCGATCGTGTAGTGTAGGGCCCAGTTTAGTTTCATTCAATCAAATTAGAGTCAAGGGCATTTTTATTTATTACTCAAAAATTACCTTTTCAACCTAAAGCAGACTTACCTCAATGGGCCAAACCAAAAAAAAACATGTTTAGCGTCCTGCCTTTTTTAAAAAGGAAGGAGGCCCTTCCCCTCCCCCTCCAAAATGACCTCCCAACCGGCTATTTTTCAAGATGGATGGTCACCAGCTTTTTTTTTTAAATGGCTGTCACTCAGGAAATGACATACCACCAGCTTTAAAGTTTATTATACTGTAGTCCCTCGTCTGCTGACATGGCTGACGGAGAGAAGCCTTCTAATTCTAGAAGTACACGATCGCCCTATTTTCTCGTTTTGCATGTTAAGTTTTGGGACTCGTACACAGTACTGAGGAGTGAGGGTCGGCCGGTCCCAAATTTCCCCCTCCCCCCGTTCCAACATTCAACGTTTAAAAATGATTGAGAGTGAGACTGAGAAGTGAGAGATCGAGCATATTGCCAGCCTATATTATAAGCCTAACATTAACAACACTAGTCAACAGTTACTATTTGAATACAGGAATGGAATTTTTCGTTTCAAATTCACCGCGACATCGCCATACCTACCGATTTTTCTACTGTCGATGTCAATTTCGATAGTTTTTACGTTGTCTTGTAACACGTGCCCCAAATGCATGAAATGATATAGAACGCCAAAGCAAAAGTGAAAGAAACAGGTATCAGACTACACATCACAAAGTTGTTTACCGCCCTCTATTGGCATAAACGTTCAAAATCGGAACTGAATAATAATCTCCAATAATTATTGTAAAATTAAGCAATTATCATGAAATGGCTTTTATTGGTCGTTCGTTTTGTAAAGAAGCCGTGGTTCACAAAGGATTTTGTCCTCCAATCGTACTGTACACATTCACGAAATTTGTCCAAGTCAACGAGTCGCTCGTAGTACCAGGGAGGAATAAAAACACGTACGTACCCCGCCCTGTTTGCAGGGAGGGCGGGGGGGGGGGGGGGTCGCTCGTACCCCCGCCCTACGAGCGAAGACGGGGGGGGGGGGGGTACGAGCGAAGTCATTGAGAAGACAGGATCTCAATGTGAAGGCCTAAAGTGACATAAAAAAAACAGCAACCGTTTTAGGCCAAAAAAAGTCTCCGGTTTCTGGTATGGAGCTTGCCCAAAAAGTGGTACGGCGACGCGGCTTTCTTTTTTTTACCTGATTTTTTTGCTTCAAGTTCAAATGTCGGCTGATGACTGCAAATGGTGCCCGACTAAACTTAGTGCAAATATATGAGAGTCCAGAAAGGCCACATAAAGCTTATTCTCGATCAAAAAACACGTTAAAATTGTGCAGCAGCAGGATTCCAGTCAAACCAATGAGTTTGGCGGTTTTGAGACATCATCTTAATTTCATTAAAAACATTTTTTTTCATTTTGCCGACGCGCATGGATATGGCTACGGCGACGCGCGCTCATAACAGAAACCGGAGACCTTTTTTTTTTGCTTTAGAAAGAAAAAATGTGTGGCTCGCTTATTATTATTTATTTTTTGAAAAATAACATAGGAATAAAGTACACATGGACTAGCTGTACTGTGGGAATTTAAGTTATTTAATACAAATATCACACAATCCGGGGCCGTTTATAAGTCCAAGTCCGAAATTTCGAACTTATGACTGAGGCGTCGGACTAACTTGAGGCATAAATTCCGCCTCCGGTCCGACCCGGCCTTATTGATAATGTCTGAAGCCTCATTAAGTCCGACAGTGGACAAACGCCGTTTTGGACTTATGAGGCTCGGAGTTATATGAGGCGTCGGACATATGCGGTGTCGGACCTACCTATGAGGTGGGGTTTATGCCTCATAAGTCCGACGCCTCATATTAAGTCCGACCCCTAAGTCCGAACTTAAATTTCGGACTTATGAGGTGTCGGACCTATGAGGCGTCGGATTTATGAGCGGACCGACATACACATTGATTAATACATGTATACCCTTAACACAATGGACCATATGTGACGCGATCAAGCTAAATGAGTCGTTTGTCGACCCTGGTCAAAATTGTATTTTTTTTTGTTTACAGATTTCAAAAGAGCGAATGTCAGCATTACTGCTGTGAAAACCGCATATGCTGATACCATCTTTAGTTCAAAAATTATGGAATTAGGAACACCAAGAGATGTGATGAAGTGATGTGATGAAGTGGCCCTATTTTGGCCTGTATCTCCAAATACAAATTATAGCAATTTAAAAACAAAATCCATTCAGCAAATTATTAAGGGAATAAATTAATGCGTGATTGGTCGGATGTAAACACTAAAAAAAATCCGCTTTGCCATAGCCGAATATTGTCTGGCAGCTAATAATTCTATTTTTTTTTAAAACATAATTCCATAACCCAACTAAAATTAATTTTTTTTTTTCCGTGAAGATTTTGATTATACTTGGAAAATAGCGCGGGATCGGGATCGGGAGCACATGAGGCCTAGCGCCTGTGACCAACATTTTTCCTTGAGGGCGCCCTCGTTACTTGAGATTTACCCATTTACCGGCGTACTCGCCACTGCTCTCCAGCTAGCTAGCTCTAGCTCCTCCAACTTCCAAGTCCAAGCAAGGCTAAATTTTCCAAATAATTGGATTTTATATTTAAAAAGTCATGTCAGGAGCTATTAAAAAGGTATGGTATTGTACAGATCAAATACTAGCCCCATAAATGTGGCAAATTTGCTGGACTACCTCCGTAATTAGGCCACACTTGGGCCATGGAGTTGGAACATGTACAAAAATGTCAACATATTTTACAAATGTTTGTCAAATTTTGATTTTCACATACTGGCTTAGTTTGTAGTTTATTTTTACTTTAGAAGCATACTCACCCTCTTTTATAGGCTAATCAGAAAGTGCTGCATTTTTCAGATGTTTATTTTTCGTGAAATTTCCAGATTCGTTTGTACACGTTTGCATAGCCCGACTGCGTCTGGCCGTACAGTACTATCGCAAGCTCTGTACTACAGAGCTTGCGATAGTACTGTACGGCCAGACGCAGTCGGGCTAACGTTTGCAATTGCATATCAAAATTTCAACATGAAATTGCACGAAAAATAGACATCTGAATCAAAAAGCACAAAAATGCATGGTGGACATTTGGACATGTTTAAGGATTTAAATAGAGGTTTGCAGATGCCAAAATCGAGGGGAATTTTTTTTTTTCTTCAGTATGATAAAGCGAAAAACTTCTAAGAAATTAACCAAATTTGTTGAAGACAATGAAGTCAATTAAATCTCCCCTTTTTTATTGCAGAGTACAGGTCTAGTTGGTCTAGCTGTTGAAGCTAATCCTCATGAGGTAAATCTGATTTATAATAACATCTGTAAATCATGAGAATTTGCTCAAGCCATTTTCCAGAATCATACTGCACTTGAAATAAATCCCAAGACAAATTCTTTGTAAACAACTGCTGCACTCTTCACAATTTTGAAATTTGTGTAGTCGTTGTATAGTAAATATTAATGTGCTTTCAGGCTTTTCAATTGTATGATAAGCCAACTTTCCATCATTAATTCCTGAAATCCTAGTGACAGTATGTTATGCGTGAAGCACTGGTATAGAAGGGGAATTTTGTTCCATATAATGGCTTAATTCATGTACTTTGTTTAGGATTTTTTTTTTGAGTTTGTCAAAAAGTTTAAATATTTGCTTGTTACATTTCACAATGGAACAAATTCATAATAATGATAAATTTGTCTAAATTTCTCAACAGTTTCTTGAATATGTAACTATGCATAAGATTACACAATTAAGATGTACATGTATTTAAATCCAAGCAGATCTGTATTCAAAGTTTTCATTATTCTCACTTCTAGAAACTCAGAATTCTCTACACAAAGATCTTGGGTGTTCTTCAAGTTATACCCAAGGATGCATCCTATAGACAATCTACAGAACAGATTGTGACTGACAAGTTAGACATGGTCAAAGCTGTAAGTATGACTTGTATGGCTAATAGGTCAAAGACAGCCATCTCTGTAGGAGAACTGCAACTGTGTATTTTACGCAATCATGCACGCATTGCTAAGTGTTAAAAATGTTTCAAACACGCATGCTTGTTGCTCAAAATGTGGTCGAAATACAACGCAGCCGATGCGCGTTATGCAAGTTGACGCTCAAAATGCCGATGCACGTGGCTGGTCTGTAGGAAATGACGTTATTTGAGAGAGACCTATTTGTGTCAGGTGGCAATGTACAATTCAGTTTTATGTAAGCTACAGAAAAGTAATATCATTTTAGTGTGCAGAGTCTGATACAATGTATGTCCTCACTCGCATTCTTTAAGCCCTGCACCACATGACGATGGGAAAGGTGGCGAAGTGCCTGCCTTGTGAAACCGTCCTAGACTAAAGTTAATTTGTTAATCTACGGTTGATTTTGAGTGATTGTAAAAATGAACCGTAAAAATGCAACAATTTTCAAACCCATTTCTGATGGCTAAGACCTCAAAATAACACAAGTATCACATATTCTGAATTCTGCAACAGAAAAAGATGTGAATTTCACTCTTTTTTTCTGTTTCCAGGAGCCAGGCCCAGAAAAGCTAGAGACAAAAATCAATTCTGGTCAAATTGAAGAAGTGATACGTCAGGTGAGACATTTCATTAAATATTTTGTTGAGGGAAAAACTATACAGGCTATCAACTTTTCATTGTGATTGTTTAAGGGTGCTCAGCAAGTAGTGTTATACTCGAGTCCATCACAAGTCCCTGCAAGTCCTCACAAGTCCATCACGAGTTATTCAGTCTCAATTCAAGTCACAAGCTATTCAAATGAACGTGGACGAGGGCATTCCATGGTCAGTGGTCAACCCCTGTTGCTTGTGACTTGACTTGCGATGGACTTAACTACAACACTGTCAGCATTCAGCAAGTAAACCAAACAAATGTTATGCATTAACTAAACTAATCTTAAAGTGTAGTTCATTGGCTTTCCATTGATACCTTATTTGCATCTCTGCTGTCATGGATGACCGAGCAGCATTAATTTCAAAACAAATGCGAAAAAATTAATTTTGTCTTGTGTCCGACTCTCAGTATTTGTATTCAATGCATATCTTGTAACAATCACTTTTCCTTAATGGATCCCAAGGAATTTTATCGAAGTAACATTCACTCTAATAGAAGTAAATTTATTGGCAAAATTAAATCACCAAGTCAGAATACTCAATTAACACAGTGTCTACGTTGATATGTTTGTTTGTAGGCTGAGGCAGAATTGTCTTTGGCACGAAAGATGGTTGAATGGAAACCATGGGAACCATTGACAGATGAAGCGCCATCAGGACAATGGAAGTGGCCATGATTGTAGTCAGCATCCAGACTGTATAAAGAGAATTGAATTTGTAATTGTGCTATTACTTTAAAACTTAGGATCTTTTATTCAATGACCCCTCTGCCTCCAGGATGTTATAACACAACTAATACTCACATGAATGCAACAGATATATTTGCTATTAATAGAAAACGAAAGATTGCTTTGGTTTCACACCTTTTAATGATGCTAGGTTAGTCATGTCAGTTTTCTGAAACACAGTTGACTTGAGTCATAGTTTTCAACAAACATGTAGACATTCATACATGGATATGTACGATGTATACAAGGCTGAGGTATCTATTACAATAACAAAAATAATTTCAAACACCTGCAGTGCAAATAATAATCCTTGTGAAATAATTTATGGTACACAGATAAAAAGCTCATGAAATTACGGAATTCACAAACATTTTGGAGTAAGCAAAACAAAATTGAGCACAAGCCAAATTTTCATGTCAGTTTCTTCAGACTGTTAACACTATTTCCTCAATTCTAAATGCATCTTATATTCTACATTTTTGTGTTATTTCTCTTTCCACAACAATTTATGGTATAGTGTATGCAGTTGAAATGGGAAAACCAGGGTGATGGGAAATGTTTGTAATGATTTTACACAACTTATGTACTAAAAGTTGTTTGTTTTCGCCCTTTTGTCTCTTTTCTTGACTTGATTTCATTTGGACCTTTGAAACTTTGACATCATTTTCTCTGTGATGTGCAGTTAAATTCTATTTTTATTTCTTTTAAAAGATTACTTGCTAGGTCCTAATTCCTAGACATGTATTGTTCTGTCAAATAGTGTCACAATAGCACAAGGATTCATACAAAAGATACAGGAGGAACTAGATGGAGGATTCATTGATGTTGTACATAACAGTTTCATGACGGGTTGGAATTGATGTCTTTTTAAACTATTGTTGTTAGAAATGAACCAAATGCATAGAATTTGGATGTGCCATTTTGAATAATAAATTCAGTGCATAGGAAGAAAATGAACATAGTAATTGCCTGGAATTGCAACTTGTCATCGTCTACGTGGCTTAGTTTCCATACCATCTCATGGCTTCCTTTATTTCTGCCATTTCTGGCCATCGTTTGGGTGGAATGTTTGCAATAAATTTGTTTGAAAATTTTACGTGAATGCAGTAATCGTTCACAAGTTTTCATTTGTTTTAGTCAGACAGTATTCTGCAATATGGCCTATTTATTACATGTATTGCTTTTTACGGAAGACACCTGCTTGATTGCCACTCAAGGTAACAGGCTACCAAGAAAAGTGTGTGTGTGTGTGGGGGGGGGGGGGGGTGAGTGAAGGCGAGCCAAAGGCATGCCTTGCTAGGGGGGTCCAGGGTATACCATGGAGTCATTGCAAAATGGAATAGTTTGATATAAAGACAATAATTTAAGGGGGGGAAGCCCAAACTTAATCAAAGTTAGTTAGAAATTGCTATATTACTGAAAGACAAAATAAAACAGGAAAAGGAAAAATTGAAAGACAAAAAAAAATCTATCCTCCCCGGCGGGGAATCGAACCCCGGTCTCCTGAGTGACAGTCAGAGATACTTACCACTATACTACCGAGGATTGACAATCCTTAGTGGGAAAATATGAAATATATATTATGTAATAGCTTGTCATCTTATTATCGGTTGCATCCTCGAAAATTTGCACCGGAATTACTTCTATATTATATCATTCGATAATACTTCACATCCTTAAACACGTTGAGAGTGTTGAATACACCCCAGACACGTAAACGTGGCTACGTAATTAGCTGGCCAGTTGGTCGTGATAGCGCCCTCTCGCGGCGGTGGGTTATCGCCGCTGCGCTAATCTGCAGCTAGCTAGCTAGCTGCCTATAACTTAACTATGCGCCCCATCATGCATGATACATGCCGCACTGAACTTGACTACAATGCATTGCATTGCCATTGAACAACTGCCGAAGAAACTGTGGAAAGCCTGGGCAGATCGGGCCTCCGGCCCCTAAATATTTTGAACAGTTAAAGAAAAACGTTTTTTTCAACTGTGAAACCAATATCGTCTGCTTTGAAAAGTGCCCCCCCGGCTGTCATGATAACACCTGGCTACCTACTATTTTTACTAGCCTAGCCAATATCACACAATTATTTGCCCCCCCCCCCCTCCCGGCGCTTTCACCCCTCCCAATACATGTCACCAGCAAAATCCTGCATACAGCACTGAGATAAACTCTCAATTAGTACAGGAATGTCCATTTATTTACCCAGATACTTCCATTAATGTATCTCTTGAAAAAAAAAAAACCACTTGGTTTCAGCCTGGAAATATTTGAAGGCAACATAAAGTTACTTTACAAAACATCATTATGGAAGCTAGCTCCCGAATATCAGCTGATAATGATATAAAGCATGTTTACGAAGATTGATAACAACCTCATAAGAGTGCAAGAGTACATGTATACAAATTCCTACTAAAATTCATGCACATGCACCTACTGTTGGTAATCCAGATACCACAAAATGTTAATTCTGAATATACAGCAATGTACGTACATTGTACACCAGGAATACTATTTACATGTGTAATCAATGTGTAATATGCATGCCGAAATTAAGAGTTGTCAAGTATGGCACACAACAGATTTGTAAAAATAAAATTTCCATTTCCAATATGACTCAACAAAAATATAATTATCAATGATCTTAATTGTCAATTGTTTTTAGTATGTTCTGCAACAAAATGTTTACCCAAAGACACGTCCAGAAGCAACATTTTAACTAAATGTCCAGAGATGTATCACATTTACTCGTGTTTATCCTGTACACATTGTACACTCACTGAACATGTACATGTATATTACAAGCTGTGCAAATTGTAGAACAGCACTCCAGAATAATTAAGGCATAAGTAATGAAAAGAAAGGACTTTGAAGTTACATTTTTATTAAATTATTTTGAAAACTCTCGAACTATACATGCTTCAGTACTGTAATTACCTGCAATAAGTTACATGACAATGATGGTATGTATCCCCAACATTATGACATGTATGAAACTGTACTTTGCAAATAAACCAAAATTAAACCCTGGATGTTGAATCTTACACAATGAACTTGTAAAGGATTGTCACAAAGTCGCTGACCATTATCCATCCAATAGACATACAGAATTTACACAAAAAACTGTTTAAGCGGACACAATGAAACATACTCTGAAGTAAAAAACCATACACAGACATGTTTATGTACAGTATATAAACACAGTATATAAGTCATTGTAAGTGGGGCCTATATTACATGCACTTCTTTCTTGTAATGGAAGCAAGAATTGTTCTTCAAAGTAAAGACTGGGCAAGAAATGTCAAAATCTGACATGGCAGGGAAAGTGTTATCTGCCATTTAACAGAGAAAAAAAATAGGAACTTCTGTAACTGAAGGAGGACTTATATCACTGGATAAAGCCCAAATGGCTTCTGGTTGTAGAACAAAATGAGATCAAATAAAACTGCTAACAATCAGTCTATAATCCCAAAGAATCATGTACAATGACAAATACTATGTACACAGTCAATGTAAATGTCATGTTCTTACAACAAGTGTTTGTTAGTTCGATGTCTTTACTCATTATGTCACACATGGTTAATTAAAATGTTTAAATTTATAAGTAATAAGCCAACACTGAGCAGCTAACAAGCCATCGTAAGCTGCCAGGTAAATCATAAACTTACAAAACATTTCTAATTTAAATTCCCACACATTAACCGCAGTTGGTGCACAGAGCGACTGCACAAGAAATGTGGATCTAATCCAAACAATCTGAGCACCAAAGGGTTATATTGAATGCAAAGGATTCCCTGTGTCAACTGGACCAGACATGTCTCATTAGAGTTGTGCCGAACACATCATGATAACATGCAATTGGTACAAGTATGGCAATTTCTATACAATGTATGTACATATTTACAAATGTTCGTAACTGATCAACCATTTAAAGATTACTGCCTTCCTGCAAAAGTTTCTGCACAAAGCTGTATTTTTCAGGATACTGTTGGTTAAGTTGATACATAACTCTCTCTGGTAACTCCCACTGTGTAAGATTACTGACTGAATTCACAAAGAAGACACGCCCACTTTCTGCCTGATCACCAGCTGGTCTATCGATATGCATCATCCAATCTTCTACCAGTATGGACTGTTCCATGTACAAACCACAGGTGCACTTCTTGTACTTCTGATCTGACAACTTGCACAGTTCCATGATCTCATCTATCCGTGATTTCTGGAGATCCTCAGCCCGACAGTAAACGTGGTCATGATAGATGTATATCGGTTCTGTTCCTGGTGTAGGGATGGGAACTGGGGCCCTTGAATCCAGAAATCTGTCTTGATCCCTTGTCGCTGGGGGACTTATAATTCTTGGTGGACGGGGTGGGCGAGACGGTGACTAAATATGGGTGAAAACATTGAGGAAACATTAGCACATATGTAATGAACAACACCATTCCTTGAAATCTAAAGTATTACCTGAACACACAAGCTTTTATTCAAACATCTTTTACATGACATCTGTAAATGTTGCAAGAGCAATGCTAACAGACCAAACATTTCAAGAGGATTCAGGCTAACAAAGCAAGATGTTTTATCCTCTTTGGAAGATTCCTGACTTTCTTTTTTACATACATGTAACTGATCAGTTGCATTGCAGCCGTCTGTGAGCCTGAGGTGCATGCTTTTGTTTGCACAGAGAAGTAGACCTCTTGAATTCATGGTTAATTAATGATCTAAAATAAGAACAATCCTCAAACATGGCTGCCGAATGCACAGAGTCTGTTAACTTGAAGACAATATTGAATTATTAGACATTGCTGTTGTAGATGACTTACTCTTAGTTCCATGGGAGGGCTTCTGGGTGGGCTCCGTGGAGGGCTCCGCTGTGGGCTGCGGGGGGTACTTCTGAAGCGGATTGGATTCACAAGTTTCAGGTCAGCGATGTTTCTGCTTGGGACGTCATTGAAGTGAAAAAACTTGATGAGATCTTCCAGGGAGCCAAAACGGAGTTTATCAGTGACTTCATACACGCCGTTGGGACCCCTGCAGTTGATCTTGAAGTGGTAGATGTGGCGGGGATTATCTCTATTGAAATAAAAAAATAAAACAACGTTCTGAATGACCAGCTACATGTATCATCCATGTGTCTACTGCAGTGAAAATTTTTATATCCTGTTTCCTATGTAAATTCAACTAATAGTTTTCTAATTCCACTTTAAAAAAAGTTCAAAATGTATACATGTACAAAAGTCAATTAAACAACTCATAAAACTTTAGAATTTTCAAAAATACATGTTAGTGTTTGCCTAACAACATCCCATTTTTTTTCTTTTAAAAACTGAAATTACACATACAAAAGAACACATTCTAAAGTTGTAATTGTACTTCACGGCACACCTTTTCACTCAACACCAAACCACACTGATCCAACAACAGCTGTGTAAAGGTCACATTCACTGACTTTAGGGAAAGTCCCTCTGACTTCCCAACTTCCCACACAACAAAGGGCATTGAAATATGGGCAAACAAGTATTCATACAATGTGTGTCAAAATGTCTGTGGATCAAGGCTGCCTTTAATTTCAATTGCTCACCAGGAAATACTTCTGTGAAATCCAACTTTCTCTTTCTGCAACGAACAATTTCCTTATTTGCAGTTTCTTTCGCGTGATATAAGTGTTGTTATTACCAGTACTATTGTTATTATTATTGTATACATGTACATGTACAAATCATTGATGTACATGAATCATGCATGTTGGTGATTTTTAATACTCTTAGTAATACATGTAGTTCTTGGCCTAATAAAGATGGCCTATACTTCTTTGTATTGCAAATTCAGATTACTGTCTTTTTATTTATGACTCAAGACTATAAGCTTTTATAAATAATCATCAGGTTTTTATTGGTGTGCAATCATTTGGTTATTAAAGCTAATTTAGTGCTTGGGATCTCTCTGTTGGAGTTAAATTGGATGAATTGAATGGTTGTATATTTAGGCAATGCAAAGTCAAAGGGCATACAGAAACTAGCCAATGCTTTTTATGTACAGTGCACACATATTGCTCACTTGAACATGTTGAACACTATATGCCCTCCATTAAAGATTTGTTCACTTAACTTACAGTAGTCATTGACAAGTTAAGGTTCAATAGCAATACACATATCTCAATGAAAGTGCCGAGAATCCAAATTCATTAGGGTCCCAACCACCCTCTTCTCTTTTAGTTTTAGGGGAGGGGGACAAATGTCCAACCTTGCCCTTCAACAAACAACTCATAACACATACACGTATATACGATGCAGAATGAATCATGACAAATAGAATGAACCAACTACTAGATACCACCAAAATTATATTACGATGAAAAGTAATCTATTTCCACATTTCAGTAATCTTGAATTTAACTGCAAAATGTTGACTTACACCACAGATATTGTGATAACACCAGGTTCAGTGTTGCTGTCTCGGAGAAGAAAAGACCCTCTAGACTCCATGTGGGGTCTTAAGAGTTCCTCAACCTGCATCAAAAAAAAAAGGAAAAAAAAGAAAAAAAAGAAATAGAATTACTTTTGAGTTCTTGTGCATACACATTAACAAGACTGTATGGAACGACAATGAAAGTACCTCAGTAATTCTTATTCTTGTGAAGGTCATTAAAAATATGCCAATATTTCAGACTGTAGCAATTATTGAGCCAGCCTCACTCATTCAAAATATAAACTATTTGGGCCAAAAAGTGAACAAAAGTGATGCATTTTTAAGAGACCGCATGTCTGAGACTTTAAACTTGGCTGATGATAACATGAAGAACTTTATCTGAGTAAAGTTGGCCATATTCGATTTTCCATGGCTTTTTGTTTTCTGTTGTTTCTCAACTGTGCTCAAGGTCTAAATCTGTGTTAATTAATGCAGCAACTTATTCACCACTAGCAGGTCATTGAACAATTGAGCTAATCATGCAGCAGGTCAAAACATACAATGTTCAAAAGAAAATGGGGAACAAGGAAGTAAAGTATATGTACACAACCATGGGGCCAGAGAATGTGTGTACAATGCAGCAGGAAAAACCAAGGCATAAATAGTATTGTACATTGTATGTTCATGTTTCACTGCCCAGGGAGAAACAGTTAATAATGCTGCTAAGTAAATCCAAACTGCATGAATTTTCAAATTTTCCGCTTAATTTCTTCAAAATCAAGTCTTGTTTTCACCTTAGTCATAGATTACCTCTTGAAAATTAAAGCACAAGACACCGATATTCCATCTTGAAGCCATTTCCCCCCATTCAGACTCAAGTCATCAAGTCACATTTCTTCTGTCCCAAGTCAAATTCAAGTCAAAAGTCAACGTTTTCCAAGTCAAGTCATAGATCTTTTTTCACAAGTTTTTCCACACTATTAAGGGGTACAAAATTGTGACATGGGATTGGGAAATGAAGCAGGATAATATTATCAAGTTGTCCCCTTTCCCTTAACCTTCGCTGTAACATTAAGGACTGTTCTTGACCTGAAGTGAATGACCAACAATTCACACAATTACATGTAATCTCAGTATCTTGGACCAATTTCAAGCTCTGCTTACTGTTAGGTACAAATAGTGATAAATCCCTACTTTACTTGGAGCAGAAAAGTTTGTGCTTACAGCAAGTACATTTCGCTGGTAATAGCGAGGAATTTTGGCTTATGCTCATGCATACCGTACATGTACAACTACATCCCATAACTAAGGATTCTGTGCTTACAGGGTTAGCGCAGAATATTTCTGCTAGCACTGTTAGAATTGTGATTGTCAGTGCGGTATGCTGCGGTTAGCAGACCAATTAAGTTGGGCCCTGTTCATTTACAGAATGCTTCAGAATTATTGGTTGTAAACCTTACCAGTGTATTTTCAATTTTTCCATAGTAGAAGTCAAGGCCCTGGGCATCCACACAATCTCCACCATATGGTCGGAATGAAGTTGCTGGTACTGGAGGCATATTGGATTCTCTCTGATTTGATACGTTCAGTCGCAGATCTGTCGGCCTGGCCATTGTCAAGCGGAGTATTGGTCCATACCTTTATATGCGAGAATGACTTGATCCTGGGTATTCCAATAAGTCTATTTTTAGCACTCCAGTAATGTTTTCCTGGTTGAATACGGTCGACACACTGTGTAAACCGGCACTGTGTTCTGGGATTGTGTGACGATTCACATCCTGAAACTTTCCAATGATTGATAAAACTTGGTACTCCGCCTTAATGACTTCCTACCTCAGGATCTACGTCATGCCTGAAATAATAAGGAATTAAAAACAATGCATTATTAAACGGAATATTGTAATGCAATGAGTTCCAACTAGGCTATTCAAGGACATTTCCTTAAATTGCATCGAGCTGCTAAAAAAACACTTCAAGGAATTGTGGACATGTCATACATTGCAACAAACATGTTATTGTTAACAGGTGAACATGCTGCACAAAGTTTACAGAGGTCACAGATTTGGTTTTTGAAATCCACTAGCAGAATTAGTGGTTTTTGAGATGTGGGGGAGTAGCGCACTGTACTGTGTCAACCGTATTTCAAAAAGGGTTGGGGGAACCATTGGAACGAACATGTATTCGAATGCATAGCTGAGTATGCCTAATGAATACTCATAATAAATTAGCCATGCGTACTTCGCATAATACGAACGCAAACCAGTGTGCGAATGTGATGGTCCGCTCACTGGAGCTTTTGAAAATAGTAAAAAAGTACCATCTTCTGTTCATGCACTGATCCATCAAACAGATCCTACTAAGATTTGACACACAATCACTGTATTGTTGAATGCACGAATGCAGTCAATATTCAGAATCTACATGTACATGTACAAGTTTCTAATTCCATAAATGCTTTCAGAGCTGTACCAGAAATATTTACGGAACCAGAAATATTTAGAATCAAGTTATTTTTTCACCATTCACATCTGAACATCCGTGGAGAAACAATCAACTGGTTGTTCTAGACCCATATCTCAACAACTAAAGAGCCAATTTACAACAAAAAATAATCAGTTCTGGGGGTTTATCATCACACCAAATATCGTTTCAATTTGCGAGGGTCAGAGACAACATCGTGTTGCATTGACACAGAATGACCCATTGGGTTTGTCACTTTGTGCACAGGCATGACAGGCTGACCAGTGATGGCCATGTTGTGCGCTTTCTTGTCATTTACGCAATCATAAGAATGTGCATGTGCATTCTTATGATTGCGCAACTGGATCCTTGTGCAATCTTCGAGAAAAAACATCTTCCAGATTGAGCGCACATTCTTAAGAATGCGCAACAAGAGAAGCGATCTTTTCGATGCCGAGAACCAGCTGCGCTTGGCGAGTCTAGCTGCATCCTCGTTCACTGATTAATTCTTGGGCCGTACTTAAAAAATTATACTGTGGCAATGCAAGGTCACTAAGAAAAAGATATAACGATGTAAAGTAGAGATGAAAGTACTATTATGCGTATTGGGGGGGGGGAATAATAAGAGACATAATAGTTTGGTAAAAAGAATTGTAACGTGTTCCTCATGATCATATGTTCGCTCAGCATGCATGTATGGTGCAGGGACTTGTAACTTGTCTGGAGTAAACGAAGCACTTCCCAAACTACATGTAGTTCCAAGTCCTCCGGAGCTCCGTTATTACAAAACGTCCCATGGGGGGGACAGAAAAAAGCAACAATAACAGCTTTAATTGAATTCAAATTATCGTATTTCAATGGATACAGAACCATAGATCATTTTCTTTTCTCGGATATGATTATTTCCCCATTAACCTCTAATACGTTTAATTTAACATAAACATGATAAAGGCGATCGTGAAGTGTAGGGCCCGGTTCCTAGTACTATTTATATAAGGAAACAAAATCCACTTCAAAATTATTAGACTGACTAGACTAGTTGGCGACATTCTCAATAAACAGGTATGTCATAGATAGATTACAGGGTTTTGATTTTTTGAGGGAAATTTGGGGGTAAAATGACAATGACAGCGCGGCAACAACACGCAACCCAAAAATAAAGATGGCGATCACCGCGGGATGTGCCGTGAGCCACACGGCGCACTGAATCAAGAGGCACAAACCGCGCAGGAAAATCGTGAAACTGTTCAAAATTGCAAAACCGGTGTCATTAAAATTGAGAAAAGTCTGCTTTTACTTGTAAAGGTGATTTTTGAGCAATAAAAAAAGATTTTTTACTCTAATTTGATCAAAACAAAACAGGCATGACGACAGGGGCCCTACACTACACGATCGCCAACATAATTATGCCGTGCAATGTTTGTTAAGAATAAGATTGCGCAAAATTTATAAATTGCGCAAGTAATATTCCCACGCAATCTTAAGAATGAGCGCTCATTCTACAGACTGCGTGCTCATTCTTAAGAATGCGAGCTCGTTTTTAAGAATGCGCGCTCATTCTTAAAGAGAATGTACAACATTTGCTTTTGCTTCAATGGATGTAGCAAATATTGTTAAAATGACTTAAGTTTCACGTTTTGGGTTTGTAGATGCTGGAAAAACCAAGAAAACCATTCATGTTCTTGAAGTCTGGTTCCCTGACCCCACTTAAGATGAAACGGAGCATTTATGGACTTTGGGGAATTGTAACTTTTTTTATGTAAGGTCAGAGAATCAGTCTAGCGCTTGTACCCCTTCACAGGTGTGTAATCAATTGCAAAGAGTTTTTGCAGTTTTTGCACCAAAGAGCTTGCCAGCAGTTCTTGAAAAAACTAAAGCCAGTTTTCTCCAACGCTGGTCGGCTGACGTATCTTCCCTTTATTAAAGATAGCGCAAATTAATGCAAGAATGCGCACAACAGCCGGCAGCCAGATAGGCCTATAACCGCCTACCTACATCAGTACATGAGATTGAGATATGGGATTTATTGGAAATCTTTCCCAAACATGCCAAAGCAAACCATGGAGGAAGGAATTATGCAAAGGTTCACGATAAAAAACAAGACCCGTACCCGTATTCATGGTTACAAATCCAGCGAACGATGGATGCAAAATGAATAATGACGTCTGTTGTTCAAAGTAAACGTCTAGCATCCGTTAAAAGTCTAAAAATATTTGTACTTTTTTGTAGAATATCGGCAAGTTACACACATACGGACGGAAACGACGGCGGACGACCACTTCCTGGTTGCAGTCTACATGGTCTAGTCACGTACTGCCGTACTATACTGCAGTCACGTACGTACTGCCGTACTGCAGTCACGTACTGCCGTAGCGACGACCGCCCTCTGTTGACCCGTAGAAAAAGTAGCACGACCAGTGCTTGTGATCACGACGCGGCCGACGTTTTCGTTTTGAAGATATTTTAAACCAAAGAAATAGTTGAAGAGCAAAACGTCAGAACCTCAACACAGCCTCAAAACTAAACAATGTACATGTACGTGCTCGTTTGAAACGACACTCTGCATTTATGTGGTAAACACAAATGGAAAATGAAAAAAAAAATACAAAAAAACAAAAACATTCAACAGGAGATAGAATTGGAATTTACATTTATTCTGAGAAAATACAGAATTTTGATGATTTCTGCCAATTCAGCAATGGAAATATGTCTGTTTTATGTCATCAATCAGCAAATATTTACCTTGAAACTTGGAAATGGCGAATGAAAAACGTCAGAAAAACACCCCGTAATAAAAAAAGAAAGTGCTGATAATTTTGAACTGGAAGTATTGTTGATGACCTAACATTGAATGCTTTTTCTTTTAGTAGAATAGCTTAATTACTCTCAACGAAGAGGAAAAAACAAATTCTAAATAGGTTGGATATTTTAGTCATCTTCATAAAATAACGTCGCAAAATATTTGCAAATTCAGAACAAAACGATCCGCGGCGAGATCTCTAATTCTGTAAAAATCTGTGAAAGCTCAGAAGATAAAGAGCCATAAAATACCTGCTGTGTTGGACTTGGTTGATTTTAGCAAAGCATACTTTATACTTCATTCATCAAAGTTCATCACGACTCAAAATTGCACCCTACTAACAGTGGAGTAAAACAAATGATGCAAAGGTAAGGAGCCACTTGTGAATTGTATAACCCACAGTCACTGTACTGGCTGAAACTGCCCTGCCTATTACTCCCTGTATGTAGCACTCCCAAGCGCCCAAGCAATACATGGCTAAAATTATTAACATTATTATCTAATACGTGTCAAAAACCATGTCTACTTTTGATCCTAAATAACTCTACTGTTTATCAATGGAATTAAACCAAAATTTCCGATCATGTAAACAAGGCACGACAGCTTTGTGGAAGAGGGTGTGATTTAAATGGCATACAAAAAAATACTCACTTTCAGAATGTCAATGCAGCGTTGGAGACGGTGGACGAAAGACATGCGCTGTGGCCAAAAGCTTCTGAAGGAATGCAGGATCACCCCTGGTGTCATTGCACACCTCGATCACGTGTTGCACCAAATGATCGAGGTGTGCAATGACTTCAGGGGTGATCCTGCATTCCTTCTGAGGCTTTTGGCCACAGCACGTGCCTTCCGCCACCGTCTCCAACGCTGTATCGACATTTTTGTATGTCGTTAAAATATCACCTTCTTGCACAAAGCCGATGAAACTCGCTCCATAAAATTTGTTATGTCTTGTTTACATGATCTGAAATTTTGGTCTAATTCCATCGTACAGAGATGCCACAAGGTTTGCTTGAAAAAAACGGAACTGGGTCTGCTTGAAAAAAACCGGAACGGCTGCTTGAAAAAACCGGACTTTTGTGTGTGTGAAAAAGCCACTCCGTGTCCGACACAAAGTCCCCGCTGTCATCTTTATCTTGTAGCCAAGCCAAGTTCTGTTTATTTTTTAATTTTGCTTCTATGGCCTTGAAAGCTGTCGGTTCGTTCAATCACTTTGACTTTTTCCATCCTAATATTTATTCTGCCTACCCGAATTTCCAACGTAATATTCGACACGAAACATGCATGATTCCACAACACTGCTGTCGGTGTACATGATCCTTGCACTACGCGATGCGCTCAACGAAAACATGGTTGGTACCCGCATTTTTTGTATTCACATATATCACTGCGATCGGAAACCACCGATAGCTGAAATGATAGACTTGATTTCCAGGCTGAATGCTACGTGTGCTTAGCACACAACACGCCCGCACGCGGTGAAGCACGCGCGAGGCGCCGTTGTATACTGCGTGCAATTAAGTACGTTGGCCGTTTGTATCGCATGCAGGCTCGGCAACAACATACACAAAGACTGTTTTTAAGACTACTTCAACGAACAACGTTGTGCCATGCGTGCGCCTAAATGTACTAAATCGAGGTAAAAATCAACGCATTTCCACAGTTTTCTTCTCTTTTTCTGGTTAATTTGACGGCCGGAAAAACCGGAATTTTGTGAGATTTTTTTTAAAAACCGGAATTCCGGTTAAAACCGGAAAAGTGGCATCTCTGATCGTAAATAACAGAGTTATTTAAACGTAGGCTCAAAAGTAGGACATTTTTTTTTTACACTTAGTCCTATGGCCAGCAAACAAAAGTCAACCCCACTCCACCTCCATGCAAAAACATAAATGGCCCTAAATAATGATAGAAACCTTCGTCCAAACAGTCTTAATCCAGAGGGTAAAAAAGTTCCTCATGGGATAGACTCCATGCAGAAAAAGTAGATGGCACTTTTGGACCACATTTGAGAGCTCAGTGGGCAGTGTACACAGCCATAGCACCTTCACGTGAGCGCCAGGCATTGTCGGCAATGCCTTCGAATGTCCCTCCCAGTGGTGTCCCTCAACTTTCCCTTTGTTACCCTTGAGGGGGTACTTGTGCACGGAGTCCATTGTCTACAATCCTTGATATTTACTTCAAATGCTCTGTAATGTTGATAGGTGTTTTTCATTCCTTTTCTTTCCTACTGCTCAGCTGGATGCATCAGATGTAGGGCCTGTCTCTTGGGGGATTTCTCTTGACTTTATTCCTTTTCCGTATCCCCCTGTAAAATAGATACAATCGTATCATCACTTGTTTCTCTTAGAAACAAAAATAACACCTTTAAAACAAAAGTGAAATGCAAGCTATACTTGATCTGATAATTTTGCATTTTAAAGTTATGTAGTCAAGTCCACAAAAAGTCATCACAAGTTAATCACCAGTCCATCACAAGCCCATCACAAGCCAATCATCAGTCCATCACAAGCCAATCACAAGCCAATCACAAGTCCTCCAGTCCCAAGTCAAGTCACAAGCTGTTTAAAAGGACTGTAACAAAAGCTTTTCTTTGGTATTGTTCACCCCTAGCTGGACTTGTGGATTGACTTGTGACCACACTTGTGATAGACTCAAACACTTGACTTGCAGTTAACTCTGCAGTTAACTCTGCCGATTGATGTCTTAAACTAGGCCTCAGATCTTTCCACAATTTAGATAACAACATAATAACATAATTATTATGAATCAAATCTGGGTTTCAGATAACGTGATGCCACTAATCATAACATGATCCCACCAGTTGTGCTGGAATTGTGCATCACTCCTTTATCTTTTATTTCAAAGCAAAATTTAGATTCCCAACACTAAACACGATATTACAATAGTTTTCAATACTTGGTGACAACTTACAATGGATACCATCTATGTTTGGTAGTGTAGAACATCTTTGCCAATTCATGTACATCTGGTCCTCGTTGTTCTTTATTCCAATTCTCATGGTTGAGTTTCATCTTCAGGATTGAATCCACTGATTCCTGAAAAGAAAGTCAATGAAACATTATAACTTTTGCAATTTTTCTCTCTTCTTTAAGAAAAAAAAAACCACTGCAACATTTAACTACCTTTACAGTGCAGAGGAATTAATCTTGAATTTATAAAAATGGAAGTGGACTGTCCAGAAGGTTCATACATTAATTAAATGTTTGGAAAAAAACATTTTTGGGGTTTTTTACCCTTAAAGGTAGCATCTACCATTTGAAATTTGTACATTATGTTCGTGTGAAGCAACAAAAGTGCTCAAAATCTAAAGAAGGGTGCTGACCGACTAACCTGATGAAGTTTCAACTCAGTGAAAGCTGTACATTCTGAGAAAACAATATTCTAGGATCTCGATTTCAAACCAAAAGTTGCTGAGTCATGTTTTGAATTTGGCCTGAATTCAGCGTCCGGACACGTTCTCACTGAGCCGATTGCAGCTTTGCGATGCCGCGCACTGAACTGTCAAATTATAGTGACCACGCGCACGTGTGCATCGTGTCAACGTTTGCGTGTACTTTGCCGAATAAAAAAAAATGAACTACTAACGGCAATTTCCAACGATGCGTCTTTAGACACATCGTTGGAAAGGCCTTCTTTTATTGATTTCTTAAAAATGACAGCTTGCCAGAAAGAATAATTTCAAAGGGAGTTTAGTCCCATTACTATCTTCAAACCAAGCATGCTTTTCAACAATAATAACTTCAGTTACTTTTTGGATAGCTGCAAATGATAGACTGTACCTTTAAATAATAAGTTTGAATTTCAATCTGAAAAGTAAGATGCAGGAAGGGTGCCTTAATTGTTTTGGCACATCGTACTTTATTTCTCCAATTTGCCAATGCAGTATTTTGTTCGAATACACAGTGGAAAGTCTGTATAGACGACCGAGTTGTAAGAGTAGCATTTAAAAAAAAGAGGAACATTGTCAGAAAAAATAAAGAGGAAATATTTTTGCAATTACAGTAGGTGATAATACTGGGTGGTTGATTGATGCACTGGCAAAGGTAAATGCAGCTCAAAGTATAATAATCTGTATATCTTTAATCATAACAACAGTTGTAGTAGTTTACCTACCTCTGGTTTGGAAGGATCTGGTCTTGGAATTGGCTGCAAAACAAAGTTAGATGTAATTAGTTCATTTAAGGCCAAAAAAAAAAGTCTCCGGTTTCTGGTATGCGCGCGCGTCGCCATAGCCATGCGCGTCGCCAAAATGAAAAAGTTTTTTTTTCAATTAAAGATGATGTCACAAAACCGCCAAACTCACTGGTTTGACTAGAATCCTGCTACTGCACAATTTTAACGTGTTTTTAGATGGGGTTATGATCGAGAATAAGCTTTATGTGGCCTCTCTGGACTCCCATATATTTGCACTAAGTTTAGTCGGGCACCATTTGCAGTCATCAGCCGACATTTGAAGCATAAAAGTCAGGTAAAAAAAAAAAAAAAAGCCGCATCGCCGCACCACTTTTTGGACAAGCTCCATACCAGAAACCGGAGACTTATTTTTTTTGGCCTAAAGGCCCATGCAATGTAATTTATTTAATGTAATCCTTGAAACTGCACCTTTGTGTTCCATTTCTTACTTTTAAATTTTTATTTTAAATTTTCATTTTGCCATTTTCAAGGGTAGTTTGGTGCCTTTATGTTTTTATGTCAATGCTAATTTCTATATTCATGAGCAACAGTGTGATGTCATTTCAGGCAGAAACCTCAATGTTACTGCTGTATCAGCACAAAAAGTTACTATGAATTTATATTTTGCTATTGTAATTTTTTTCTTCTTTAATGATTTATTGTTGAGTCATGGCAGTAAGGCAATGAGTAAACGTTTCTCACAAATGTTTTCAATGAGCAGATTTTTGGGTTCACAATGACATCACAGCAACAGTACCCTCAGTTGTTAGGAAAAGCATGGATTTAAAAGCAAAAATGTTTATAGAAGTCCACTATTGAATACAATTAACCAAAAAAGGGATACCAAATAGTTTTCATACATTTTAGAGTAGAAAGTTGCACAAAATGTGTTCCTTACAAAATTCATTTAATGGATACTTTAAGCATTCTGTGCTCCTCGTCTTTTGCCTATTTTACTATATGTACCAGTACTATCATCTAAAGGCAAGGCACAAGTAGCTAATCTGAAGGAAAGTTATATTATGAAAGGTTACACACCTAAATACTTAAAACCCTTCAGAACAAATTCAAGAAATTGAAAAAAACATATGCCATAAATATGATAAATGTTTGAAATCTGCAGATAAATTTACCTTTGTGTTTTCATATGGGAATGGCTCTGAGGGATGATAACACACTATTGTATTACCATCAGCCGTTTCAACCATTGCATGACTCCTGAAATATGAGAATATTCATTTTCTTCAGTAAGACATCTAATCAGAAACAAGAGGATTTAATAATAATAATAATAATAATAATAAAAGAACATTTGTAAAGCGCCGGTATCCGCCAAAAATAGGCGCTCATGGCGCTCGAGGAGAAAGTCAAGTTAAGATTGTGTGTTGTGAGAGTAAGCTTGTTTGTACAGGTGAGATTTTATGTTTGTCTTAAATGTTGTGATGGATGGAGATGATTTGATAGCCAGAGGGAGTTGGTTCCACACTCGGGTTGACGCTGCCGCAAAGGATCTGTCACCCCACAGAGTGGAGGTCCTGGGCTCGTGAAGCATCATGAGCTCACTGGAGCGGAGTCCGGTGCGTGCTGTTGAGTACGGGTGGATGAGGTCGATGAGATACTCCGGCGCATTGCTGTGGAGGATTTTGAACACGAATAGGCCAAGTTTGTATTTAATTCTGTATGATACTGGAAGCCAGTGGAGATCTGCTAGTACAGGAGTGATGTGAGAATGTTTACTAGTGAGAGAGATTAGTCTGGCACTGATGTTTTGTAGTCGCTGCAAACGGTTTAGTTGATTTAGGTTAATGCCATACAATAGTGAATTGCCCATGTCAATTTTGGATGTGATGAAAGCGTGAACAAGTATTTCAGTTGTGTGTTTGTCAAGATATTTTCGTATGTGTCCGATGTTACGGATCGACATGCAGACTGATCTAGAGATTGATGTAAGGTGAGGATTTGAAGACTATGTGGACAGTTGCCCCCTCAAATATTATTGAACATAATGCCGACTTCCCTGACACTCATTCAAAGACACCACAAGTTTGAATATATTGAGATACAAATTAATTGTGTTTGATCAGTCACAGGCAGTCAAAACATTAGATCCTCTTCCCTGCCATGCCTTTTACACAGGCTAGTCACCAACAGTCAGATCATATTTCAATAGGCACTGTGACAGTCAAATTCCATCAACAGACATTCAGACAAAAGCAAGTAGTCACAGCCAGGTTATCAATCACCTACAGTCAAAGCATGGCTATATCAGGTTTCATAACAATCACAGCCAGTCAATCCTGCTTTATGAAGGCAGGGAGCACTCAACTGTGAAAAACAGTCACCTGATTATTTTGACTGCTGGGCTGGCCTTGATGAAATTGCCAGCCAGAGAGGGAGGGTTTTAATCTTCTAGATATCAACTGATGGATGTAAGGGGTGTGGCTCTCCCACTTGGGCCCTCCAAAAATGGCACAAAGCACCATCTGCTCTTCATGCACAGAATCCATTACTATAGCTCATATGTTTCCATAGCTTTACGAAAGAAACATAAAAGACACAAACTTAAGTTGATCTTACCCATCATTTTCTATTGTTCTGGAATTGGAAAACTCTCTGCAAATTGAGCATCCTGAAATAAAATAAAAACAAAAGATATTTGGTTACATCATGGAGCTATAAAAAGGATGCATCATTGAGCAAGAATCTGTTTGATATTGTTATGTTTCTCTTCTTCATAGTCAATTATGTGCAATACTTTGTTCAGATAACTTTACAGAATTCCTCACTAGTTGTAAGAATAATATGTAGAATTAAAAATGCAATACATCTTTTGCAATGTCTTTAGGCAGGCTATAAGTACACTGCTTTGAGAAATTTAAAACAGCGCCAAATTTTGAAACTTTAGTATTAACATTTCACTTTTTTGAAACTTCTGCTCATGATTTCCCAATTGTAATCATACAATGTATGTGCTCAAAAAGGAAGGCTAAAATTGGATGAGAAAAAGAAAACAAATATTAATGCACCCATTAACATGATTACTTAGTTGTTGACAGTCCAATAAACAGGTAGGCCTATGTCCTAGACAGAGGGCAAGGTGTAGATTTTTTGAGGGAAATTTGGGGGTAAAATGACGATGACAGTGCGGCGACAACACGCGACCCGAAAATAAAGATGGCGATCACCGCGCAATGTACCGTGAGCACGCACGGTGCACTGCATCGCAATGTACTAGATTAGTACTAAATAGTAGGTACAAACCGCGCAGGAAAATCGTGATTTCTACCCCAAGATTAGAATCTGTTCAAAATCATTGAAAATTGCAAAATGGGCAACATGATGGGTGTCATTAGAATTGAGAAAAGTCTGCTTGTGATTGTAAAGGTGATTTATGAGCAATGTTGTGCCCATTCTTTAAAATCACGCATTCTCGAGAATGGGCATGCACATTCTTGAGAATGTGCAACTGGATCCTAGCTCAATCTTGGCAAAAAATAACTCTTCCAGATTGAGCGCACATTCTTGAGAATGCGCGACAAGATAACGGTCTTGTCGATGCCGAGCACCGGCTGCGCTTGGCAAGTCTAGCTGCATCCTCGTTCACTGATTCTCAATAATTATACTGTTGCAACGCAAGGCGCTGAAAAGTAGAGTGGATATGATAAGTAAAGGTGTATTGATATGGGGGGGGGGGGGACCGGGAAAATATAAGAGACATAATAATACTAGTGCAAAGAATTCTGATTTTTGGGATAATAAAAGCGGGGGGGGGGGGGGGGGGCGTAAGAATGAAGAATGTGAAGAATGAGAATGAATACTGCAACATTCCATAGTGCTAATGCTATTTCCCATTTAAATTGCCACCAATTTATTGTTCACATCCCACCATAACGTCGCAGAGCTGGATTCTATCTAGTCAAAAGAGCAATTTTGGCAGCTTCTGGACATCGTTTTTTTTCGTGGCACGCATATGATACATGCAGGGACTTGTAACTTGTCTAGCCTAAACAAAGCACTTCCCAGACTAGTTCCCAGTCCTCCGTTATTACAAAACTTCCCATAGTGGGCAGAAAAAAGCAATAATAACAGGTTTAATTTGATTCAAATTATCGTAGTTATACGAGTACAGAAGCATAGCACATTTTCTTTCCTCTTTATATGAATTGTTTCCCTTTTAACCGCTATACAATTCATTTAACATAATTATGTCGTGCAATGTTTGTTAAGATTGGGCAAAATTCATAAATTGTGCACGTGATATTCCCACCCAATCTTAAGAATGAGCGCCCATTCTTAAGAACGCGTGCTCGTTCTTAAGAATGGGCGCTCATTCTTAAGAATGCGCGCCCATTCTCGAGAATGTGCATGCCCATTCTCGAGAATGCGTGATTTTCAAGAATGGGCACAACAGCAATAAAAAACATTTTTGACTCTAATTTGATCAAAACAAAACAGGGGCCCGTCACTACAGAGTACAGTACACGATCGACAATGGCAGTACCATTGATTGACTGCAGCTAGTACAGTGGCTGTGCTACTGTGTCTGTCATCTTAGCCCAGGTTGGACGTCGTCTACGTTGCATTGCGCGTTGGAATGTCGGACACTTCGCCCCATTTCCACGTCGCCCCATGTCACTTCGCCCCTAACCACTTCGCCCCATCCCCACTTCGCCCCATTCCCACATCGCCCCATCCCCACTTCGCCCCATTCCCACTTCGCCCCATCCCCACTTCGCCCCATCCCAAATTCGCCCCATCCCCACTTCGCCCCAGCCGTTACATGTAAAAAAAAAAATCTCATCTATTTTTTTGGCTTAAAAAAACCATTTCAATAGATTCACTAATTGCTAACCAACGGAAAGAATTAGCTCATCACCAAATGAACAATTCATAACCACTAGGCTCTCCCCTATACCGAGAAAAAAGCTTGAAGTAAAAGATCCAACTTTGTTCCCCACCCGGCTATACCAACCCGTCTCCCACTTATCTGAGAACGACAATACCTTTGACATCCTAATTTCACTCTTGGAGGAACCAATCTCATTTAAATGAAGTTGTAAGTGTCACATATCAGACAAATTTTGACGGAACATTTTCCTCAAGGCAGTGAGTTCCTTTTAACTCACTGACCCATACCTATACGGATTCTTTTGAATCCAGCGGCTGATGATTTTATTCACAAGCCAATAGGAGAGGCGTCTCTGAATGGGATAGAGCCATGATCATTTCTCTCATCTGTGTCTCGAGCACCTCATCAGAGAGTTTGTATTTTTCCAGAGTTTCTAGAATTGGGAGCATTTATTATCTGGGGTCTTTGGCAGTTTATTTGGTCTGCACCCCTAGCCTTCACCTTTTTCATACTACATGGGGCGAAGTGGGGATGGGGCGAAGTGGGGATGGGGCGAAGTGGGAATGGGGCGAAGTGGGGATGGGGCGAAGCGGAGATGGGGCGATGTGGGGATGGGGCGAAGTGGGGATGGGGCGAAGTGGTTAGGGGCGAAGTGACATGGGGCGACGTGGAAATGGGGCGAAGCGTCCGACACCCGCGCGTTGTACACAACGGAGGAGTCCACTGGGCTATCTGTCATCTGTGGTTAAATTTAGTGCAAAACGCTCGGCTGTTAGGGCGGCGAATATTAATAACTAAACCTTAGAAGAAGTACAACAGCAATTAAGAGAACACATTTCCTCCATGCCTTACCTAACGGAAATTGACTGATGCGTTTTGCGACGCTCGGGAGTGAAAGGTACGAATGCAAGGGCTGCTGCAGCGAGAGTAGTCGTCTTATGTGCGCTGCCATGTTGAAAACTTGTTCACGTTCGGGATAACCAAACAACAGGCGGCGCTCTTCACAATTAACGGTGTCAAATACAATCTCGTTTACGTAGTGTTGAGCGGTACGCACTGACAAATACATAATACAGGAAAGAAAGTTACAAATAAAGTTAACCCTGGGGACGAGGAGGCGAAAAAGTTTCGAAGTCCGAATTTTCCCATCATGCATTGAGAAATCCCAATTCCTATCGCGATAGGATTTTGGAAGTGGGAATCATTATTCGTTTTCCGTTTTGCTTTCGAAATAGGAAATGGGAATAGTGGGAATCGATATCCGTTTTCCGTTTAACTGTCGGATAGGGAAGTGGGAATCGTTATTCGTTTTCCGTTTAACTGTCGAATAGGGAAATGGGAATCGTTTTTCGTTATTCGTTATCCGTTTTGCTGTCGTGATGGGATTTTGGATTCGAAGTCCGTTATCCTATTTTGCGCGGGAAATTGGAAATAGGTTCGTTATCCGTTTTTCTTTTTGCTTAGGAATTGGGAAATGGTTTCGTTATCCATTTTTCTTTTTGCTTAGGAATTGGGAAATGGTTTTGTTATCCGTTTGTATTTTTTGCTTAGGAATTGGGAAATGGTTTCTGTATGAGAAATGGGTTTGTTATCGGTTTTTTTTTTAGCTTAGCTAGTTAGAAAAAGGTTTTGAGATTGTACCGTTAATTGTGAAGAGCGCCGCCTGTTGTTTGATGATATGATCACCATTAATGTTGTCGGATCGCGGAGTAGCGCAGGCCACTAATGTATAAGTGGCGCACTTTGATTTTTTGCCTGTAGCCCCTAGCTAGAGCAAAAGTTTTAACTGAAATTTCACAGAAAGTGAAATTTCATCAAGTTCTAAACACTCCCGTTCATAAATCGCGAGTTTATTTACCCACTACAAAGTTAGAAGACAAATTCAGTTATTTTGGCGTGATTTTCCGATTTTATTTTCAAGTGCAAAGTGAACCCTTTGAAAATGCCCCGAAAAATAAGGAAATAATTTTCTGACAAACATCTGGCCGGGTATGTAAGTAGAGATAATAATGATTTATCAGAATTTATCAAGTTTACAGAAATTCTTAAATGTTAATTTTGAATTTTCCGAGATTTATATAAGTGCGCCACGTTAGGGAACACGACTGTGTATACCCGAAATGATGAATATACCTTAACCATATATATGTTATAGCGCCCTCTATTGACCATTGTTCTGAGCACACATTCATCAAAGAAATAATGGGAACAACTTGAATTTCGAACAACTTATCGTTTCCATCATCAGATTCAGTTCTGATCATCGCATAACGAGTGAATTGTTCACTTTCTGAAGCGACAAGCTTCAAATTAAATCGTACATAATTAGCCCTGCTCAGTCTGTTTTGTTTTTCGAGCCACATTTAAATTTGATTGATTTGATATGATTTATTCGCAATTTCGATACAGTCTGATCATAAATTAAGATTTAACCAAAAAAGAAAATAATAATACATTTTGTAACTATCTAGATCTGCAAATTAAAAATTAAACATACAGTGGAAAAACAGGGATAAAGCAAAACAGTATTAAAAACTCATTTTCATTGCAGAGATCCTTTAAATTAACTGAGAAAGAGATGTTGGCTACCTTGGATTGGGGCCATCACTTGAAGAGAGGAGGGAATCAAACCAACTAGCATTTTTGTACAATGTCAACATAGTAAACATTCAACCAGATGCGCCGAAAAGTAACAGACAAAGGAGGGGAACACAACTGCCGATTCAATGAAATCACCGCAAGAACCAATGTCTATACATGCAATCGTTCCCACCAAGAACTGTCAGAAAATGGAACAAATTACCCCAAGATGTCATCAATGCCCCAAACCACAATCAATTCAAATCCTTGATTTAGTTGAAGCACCAAGTACCAAGTAAAGATAATTTGTGTATTTGAGTTTTCTTCTTGTTGTAGTACAATTTGTCTTTTTTGAGCTTCCTTACATACTCATTTTGGAAATGTCTGGTATCCGTCTCGCTGCGACGTTATCATGTTAAAAATCAATGCCGTTGTCCAGATTAAATATGGCCGTGCCACGTGCTTTTTATGCGCGTCACACGAGCAGCAGGAATGCGGGATTGTAGCGTAACGTAACACGTGTATTGTGCATAGGCGAACTACAACATCACAACGTGGCTGTTTTGAGTCGAAGTAAGTTCTGTAATATTACTGTAAAGATAGGAATTTTTAGTAGATTCTCACTCCTAAAAGTTTCTAACATTTCCCGAGTATGGATAGATTTCAAATTTGAGACAATTTGAATAATTTAAAAAGAGATTTATGCCTGTTGAAAGTGTTGTCGAACTTAAACCATCTGACCATGGGAGCTATGTATGTCATGTGTTTTATTGTTGATGTACCCTAACGTGGCGCGGCCCCTAACGTGGCGCACTTTGATTTTTCGCCTGTAGCGCCTAGCTACAGCAAAAGTTTTAACTGAAATTTCACAGAAAGTGAAATTTCATCAAGTTCTAAACACTCCCGTTTATAAATCGCGAGTTTATTTACCCGCTACAAAGTTAAAAGAAAAATTTCTTTTGGCGTGATTTTCCGATTTTATTTTCAAGTGCAAAGTGAACCCTTTGAAAATGCCCCGAAAAATAAGAAAATAATTTTCTGACAAACATCTGGCTGGGTATGTAAGTAGAGATAATAATGACTTATCAAAATTTATCAAGTTTACAGAAATTCTTAAATGTTAATTTGGAATTTTCCGAGATTTATTTAAGTGCGCCACGTTAGGGAACACTCCGCCAATTTGTGCCCAATTTCCGGACGCCACCGTTTTTCAATTTCGGCTTAAATTTTATGAAACCGAAATTGTTCACAGAGGTTAAATAGCAAGCATTAATAAGGTAAAAGTACCAGTTTTTCACTGCATGAATTTGAGGTTTGTCAACAAAGAGGTTTGGCAACACTACACGAGGAAAGTTGGGTAAGCTTCGAAGTGCGCCACGTTAGGGTACACCAACAATATACATAGCGCTGTTTAGCCCCACTAGTATTTGGCCGCGGTATGCTGCGCTGAACCTCTGGCCACACACCGTGGTCCCGCGCACTACTGAGGGCGTTTTCATAAAAATTACATGCAGTTTCTTACATATGGTTGTATTCTATGATGTCTCATCTATCACTTCTGGGATGCTTAGGTGTAATGATGTTCAATTGTACGGAGCAACTAGAATGCAGGGCCACGCCGGAGCAAGGGTTTTTTATTTTGCTTGGAGGTGTGGATGGAGGCCGGCGATGTGAGGAATAGGCTACAATATAAGAATATGCAAACCTGCAAAAAGTGCTAAGTACAGCGAATGCACTTGTCTTCTCATCAATGATCAGAATGGGAAGGGAGGGCGCTTGTACGTCGGGGCACGGAGGCGCGGAGCTGCGGAGCTGCGGAGTCGCAGAGACTAGTTGCGGGGCACTGGAGATGCGGAGGCACGGAGTCGCAGAGACGCGCGTTGCCGATAGAGGGCGCAATTTTCGGCGGTATTTTTTACAAAGGAAGGTTAAGGGAGGAGGGCGACAGGGCACTGGAGATGCGGAGTCGCGGAGTCAGGGAGTCGCGGAGTCAGGGAGACGCGGAGTCGGGGAGTCAGGGAGGCGCAGAGTCAGGGAGACGCGGAGTCGCAGAGACGCGCGCCGCCAATAGAGGGCGCAATTCAAGGTTATGTTCATGTGTTTGTTTATGTCCATTGCGCGTGCGCTGATCTTCGGGTGACCTCAGCAGGTCAACTCTACATTTGGCTCGACCATTTGGGATGGAGGGGAGATTGTATGCTTTGCATCGTGAAACAGTACATCATGATGCGCGGGCGGCGTCAGACGGGCCAATCACGAGGCCACGTGATAAATGCTGCGGTTAATTTGGTATCGCACTGATGCTCCGGGCACTCCTCATGTCCAGATCGTAAGTGCGATTCCAAATTATCTGCAGAATTTAACACGTCATGCACATGGCTTCGTGATTGGCCTGTCTGACCACGCCCGCGCAACATGATGTACTGTTTCGCGATGCAAAGCATACAATCCCCCCTCCATCCCAAATGGTCGAGCCGAATGTAGAGTTGACCTGCTGAGGTCACGCGCAGATCAGCGCATGCGCAAGGTACGTAAACACACACATGAACATAACCTTGCATTCGTCAGATCGGAGACGCGAGGCTGGTGAGTAAAAACTCGGATTTTCCACCCAAAAAATTGTCCCATGATCCAAATGTCAATTGCGTGAAAATATTTCAGAGTTATGGATCAACAAGCTCACCTTTTTGGGTGGATTTGTGTTTCAAAAAGTGGAATTTCAGACAAAGGTATTTCGTCTATCAAAGGGCATTTCCAAAAGCCATAGAGTGCTGACCCCCGAATTTGAAGGCTCTCAGAAGGCAGACGGCGGAAGCCTTCTGATTTCAGAAGTATCCAGAAGGCTGCCAAAATTGCTCTTTTGACTAGATACAATCCAGCTCTGCGGCGTAATGGTGGGGTATGAACATAGCAATTTAAGTGGCAAATACATGTAGCATGAAGCAGGGGCCGGGACACGACCGTGATCCGTGTAAAAAAACAAACTTCGCATGTACATCAGGGGATGCACCTACTCCTGTACCGCGCCTTGTCATGAAACAGTCATGTGCATCCCCCGATCTACATGTGGAGTTTGTGTTTTTGGACTCACTGGTGGATTCTGATGGACTCGGGACACCAACATTTTTTGCATGACAAAATTGGTGGACTTCGGCAGATTCCGATAGTTTCTAGTAAAAGTGCTCAAGGGGTCGGGGTTAATGGTGAGGAAGAAGAACATGTACATTTTATCTCAGCCTCTTGAAAAGTAATTGTGTTGATTTGTACTTTTCCACCTGCAGGTTTCCACAAAGCGAGCTGAGGTAGAATCAATTGGGATGGATCGTGGTGCATGTACGTTGAAATAATAACTGTTCATTGTTGAATTCCCTTACCAAGCTATTACTATATAAAATCATGAAATCCTTCTTTGGATTTTAGTGCATCTAACTGAGACTTCCAATGCAGACAAACTGAGATAAAAATCTGCTTAGGTTACTCATAATAGGGCTCGCGCACACGCTTGTTGCAACTGGTGATCACTTTTGATTGCACTGGTCAATTGTGGCCATTTTACCATTATTTGTTTTCTTTTGTTTTGGTGGGTTTTACAATGAAAGCAATCTCTTAAATAAAACCTTTTTAGAACAAGTTTACTAACCCTACTCATAACACATTCAGCAATGTTTTTTTTTTTTATTTCCATTCATATCAAAGATAGATCCATATTTTTTCCTAGCCAAGATATAAGTCTCAGTTCATTTTTAATTGTGTTGGTAAGCACTAACGATATATCTATATATTATTCAATATTATTTTGATATCGATATCGCCAATAGCAACTTTATAATCATTTCGAAATATCAAAATTTTTGATATTGAGAAATCATATTGAAAATTTTAAAAATACATCAGATTATCGTCAAAATAAATCTCCCGTTTGTGCTTATACTTTGTGTATGTTTGCTGTACAATGAAATAAAATTCGTAATAATCTGGGATAAAGAGCATGAGAAATGAACCATCAAGGATAATTGGGGAATCTTGGATTTTTTGGAGCATATATCGGGACTCATAGATTGTCCTACATGTACATAGTGATCTTATCCGAAACTTGTTTTGTGTTTAATTGACAGCACGTGGGAAAAACTGCTACAATTGTGGCAAGCTAGGACATATTTCAAGAGAGTGTCCGACTCCAGGCTCTGGTGGAGGCGGTGGTGACTATGGAGGTATGAGATATGTTGAACAAATTTTATCATGCAGTCATGGCAGTGGGGGAAAATGTGTTAACACAGTCTATCACTGTGTGGTATTCACATGGAAGTGCGTCCATGGCTAACCGGTGGGCACTGGAGAGTTTAATTGACAGCACGTGGGAAAAACTGCTACAAGTGTGGCAAGCCATCGCCGCTGAACATAGAAGATCATGGTAAAACCTGCTGGAGACAACCGACATGACAAGTAACAGCAAAAAGGCATGGTCCTTCATCCGTAAACTCAGCAATGACCCAAAGAAGGCTGAACAACACTACAACATCACACCCAACCAAATCGCATATCAGCTACTACTGAATGGTAAAGCAACCAAGTCCACCAGGAAGTAACCCAAGCTTAAAGTAGATCGCACCAAATACACCAGAAGAAAGGCCTCCCCCAAGGAAGTGTTCTGGCACCAATCCTGTACAATGTCTATACCAAGGACCAGCCAACCGACTTGGTAACTACGCGATTCTTGGCTTCATGAAAAATAGCATATAGCCTCAATCCTGCAAATTCCTCCATTATTTCTTGAATATGGTCCGTGGAGGGGTGACCACTGCCTGAATCCTGCAAAACCCTGTGGCAGTGACTGTCAATATGTTGAGGCTTGGCCAGTGACATCCTAGAGCAGTATGGAGGATTTCAAGCTTAATCCAGGACTATATATAAGCATGGCTGAGCAAAAACAACACAAGGTCTGGCCCAAGACCTTGACAAAGTGCATCCTACGAAATCAGTAACACACTTTTGCCATGTAACCTCAGTCCTCCAAATTCCTCCACTTTGGCAAAGAGGATTATGAAGGATTCAGGGCAGTTAGGGCTAATGCTTGCCTTGTATTTTCTTTGTTGTCACAGGAGACCAGACGTGCTACAAGTGTGGCAAACCCGGCCACATTTCAAGGAATTGCAACAATACAGGCAGTACTTACAGCAACAGCGCCGATAAGGATTGCTACAACTGTGGCGAGGTGGGCCACTTATCCCGAGATTGCCCTAATAAATCCAGTGGAGGTGGTGGCGGTGGTGGTGGTGGTAGTTACAACAAAGACTGCTACACGTGTGGTAGGAAGGGCCACATTTCACGTGACTGCCCTAACGCATCAGGCGGCAACAAGTGCTTCAATTGTGGAATGGCTGGGCATATTCGGGCTGATTGCCAAGAACCATCCAAATCAGGTACAAGTGGATCTATTAGTGCTTTTTTCTCTCTACTTTCCATCTTTTTTTTAATTGTCACAATTTAAGGACCACCGTTTTTCACTTCACTTGATAACGTAATATATAAAAAAAGAAATTCACCATTTGAACACACTGTATGTTTTAACTTTTGTGGGAAAACCCCATAGTGTGTGCACACAAAAGGTTGCAAAACTTTGTTAATCTAGTAATTTCTATAAACTCTTTTGATTTCAAGCTAAATGGCTGAAGTAAAACAGATTTGTCGGGTGGTTGGTACATGAGTGCAAAAGCTTTATGTTCCCATCTTGAATCCAATAGAGTCTGAAGACCGTCTTTCTGATAGATTACCAAAGTGTGACACATAGTCTGGTTTACTTCAGCGAGTGAATCAGCTAGGGCTGTTCCGAATAAACCGAATATTCAAATATTCCATCATCAACCCAATATCTGAATAGCACTTTGCTGGTTCACATATTTGGAAAAAAAGAGGAAAGTATTAGTATGCACGTACACATACGACCGTGGTGTTATTTCAATCGTAAAGTTGCGTCACTTTATTGTCGGATACCACTTTTTTGTCGATGATTACTTTTTTGTCAATGATGATTTATCCTTTTATCAAGTTAAACCCCTTGATAGTTGTTAATACTTAAGCTTGCTGCAAAAACACTCCAGTGGCCCATAATATCGATGCAGCACACAAAGTTTAACTGGCGCACTTTGTGTTCAACTTTTGACTAGCGTGGCATGCTGTTGCAGCTTGCAAATGTAAAACGTGATCAGTGGGTTTCCAATATTTGAATATTCGGTCAAATGCAGTTTCGAATAATCAAAGAATAATGTATTCGGAAATGGCAGCCCTAGAATCAGCACTTGTACAAGAACATTAGAACAATGGCAACCGACATCACATGTGGGCACTCTATGATAATTACACTATTTGCCTTGAAATGTCAAACTCTCTGAAAGGTGGCAATTTGTATATTTCAGCTCAGTTCAGTCAGTAAACAGTTTGCAGCTAAATGAGGCTTATGGGTTTGCATGGTGGACATGATCAATGAATGGGAGGCTTGCAGTAACACCATGTGAATGATATCTCTTTGTGAGTTGTGTGGTTCTCAGAAGAACCAGCTGGTTGAACTCGACGTTTCAAATAGTTTGCTCTGTTCATCATCAGGAGTTTGCAGCTACTGTTTATTTCTCATCATTATAGTTGTATGTAGTCATTTATACAGCTCAAAACATAATTGTAGGAAATGTTAATACCTTTCTGATTGAAACGAACAAAGCAGAAGTTGCAGTGATCTGTCTGAAGTCATCAACAACATACTCGCTAAAGCTTAGTGGTCAGCTGAAGCCCGGTCATCAGTCTCTTCCTCCAGGCTGACCCAACAAACTATTGCATAACTTCTTTTATAATGTGCCACCCTAGGTTACTTGAAATGAATTATAGAGAGCTTTTCAACCACTCTCAGAAACAAGATCCCTGTAAGATCTTTAACTATATGTAAATCCAAGAGAAGAGCATTGATACCATTATGTTTTGTTTGACAGGTGGTGGATCAGGTGTTGTTTGTTACAAATGTGGGAAGGAAGGACACTTTGCTCGTGACTGCTCCTCTGGTGGAAACTCTGATGACAAAGGTGAGATGCCGCAATCATACTTATTGTACATGTTCTAAGCATCTTGCTAAACCCAACGCCCAGCAATTAATCCTAACAAATCTCCTGTCAGATGTGGGGAATCTAAGCAAACCTATGGCTGAAAGGTCTAGGGATTGCATGTTTCTAAAGACAATGTATACAAAAGTGGTGGGGTACAATGAAATACTGGAATGTTTTTGACATTGAGAAGGAAATAGAAAGGAAAGAATTACTGGCAACTGTGTTACAGTAGGTGGCACTGTTCATGAAAGAAGCTTTAAACTTGGGCCAAAAAAATAATAGTTCTGCTTCCGGTTTCACTACCTACCCTATTCTGACAGCCCCTACCCTACTTTTTTATTGGAAAAATGAGGAAAAAAAACAACCAAAACCATCACTTTATACCTTTTACCCTTGACTACACGCAGGTGCCTCCATATGATCATACACAAAAAAATGGCCCCAAAAAATGCCCTACGTACGTACCCTATTTTCGAGTGCCCTGTAATGCCCTTTTTTGGCCTTGCTGTAAACATTTGTATCCATTCAGAGCAGTATCTACCATTAGCAGTTGGACCTGTTTGTTGTTACTGATTTCAATTAATTGTCTTGTTTGTTTTGTGTTTGATCAGAGACGACCTGTTACCGTTGTCACGCTGTTGGTCACATTGCACGCGATTGCCCAGATGATGATAAGAAATGTTACCGGTAAGTATTGGCCTGTCCCCCTGTCTACTCTGTGAATTGAAACATTTGCAGCACATCAAGATTTAAAAGAAATGGAGTCCTTCAGTTTTTAATGACTGGTAATAGAAATTAAAACATCAAGAGCTGCCCTAATTCTTCAACACTACACTTTTGCCTACTGCTACACTTATGGAAGAATCTTGGCAAATATGTCCTAAAAATTCCCCACCATTTCCAGGAAAAGGAATATTCATTTGTTCATGTAGTTATGATGACAATCAGTTTCAGAATATCAGTGCTGGTGGTCAAAGATATGGGGTTGGTAATGACATTGCAAGGGGAATAGCATATATGACCTCAGTGAATATTGTTTAGTTTTAATTTGCCTTTCTTTTTGGAGTTGCTCTTTTAAATGGTGTTCATAAATACCTGAGACAGTTGACCCATTCCTGTTGGTTGGGAGCCTGTCACGTGGGTGGTGTTAAACTGCTGATAAGACACCGCTGTCTTTTACACCTCATCGAGCAATTCCTTGGCCAATATTCAAACGGAATTTATAGTACTACGCGCGCGAGGCACATACCATACATGTACATTTGACCGGAGGGGTTTCTCAAAACCTGAAGTAAAATTGTTGAACAAAACCATTGGAAATCTGTGAATTTGACTTATTTTGACTTTTTGACCGAAATGTGTTTACTAATGGGAATAAAAATATGCTTGGCAGGTATTAAACAAGTACATTGTACAATGTACATTTAAAACCGGCTTTGTGCCTTGTCACGGATAATGACCTTCGCCTATTCTATTATCCGCATCCTGGCTATTCTATTATCCGCATCCAGGCCCGTAGCCAGTTTTCAACATACATGTACTTGTTTAAAACAGCCACAGCCAAGCACAGATTTATTCCCTTATTTATATCTGCACAAAGCCTGCTTCATCCGTGGTCAGTCACAGTGACCATTTTGCACTGGAGCGGGAAACTAAAAATGTATACAAGAACTGGATGAGGAGTTCGACAAATTATAGCCTTTATTTGGCCTGTGTGAAGAGTACCTCAACAATTCAAATTAGGTTTTGCCCTTCACCGACGTATGAACACTGTATACTGAGTGTGTTACCACCCGAGTGAAATCTGAAATTGAGTTTTGTATTTGTGAAATGTTTTTGTCATTTGTTTAATTTTACAGATGTGGGAAAGGAGGTCATTTTGCCCGTGATTGTGATGACGAGTAGGAAAAGCAGCGAGTAGAGCAAGATGCCGACAAAAGTTACCATCTTGAAACCTACATCCCTAAATACAGTGATTATTACCAGCTATGTGCTGTGTAGGGAAATAACAGGTAAATTTAAAGTAAAGTGAAAGTAAACCAAATGCTGCCTTTTGTTGACTGTTTGTTGCGAAGAAATCAACAATTTGCTGAAGACGAAAAGGTTTGTTAATGGTTATTTGATTTTTCCCAACAATGATTGAGTAATTTCCTTACTTTGTATGTGTATTTACATTTCAAAAATGTGAGCTTAGGATCAGTTTGCCAAATTGTGGGGACAAAGTCAAAGTAGTTTTTGGAACAATTAATTTCAAATGAAGTTTCAAAGTTTAATTGATGACAACTAACCTCATGGGTGAATGACAATTTCCCTTTTGTGAGTGTTCCAAATTGTAAAGTGCTAAAATGTGATTAATGTTTATGTCAGTCGTGCAGTCTTGCAAAAAAAAACCCCAAAAATTAAGAAGTCTGGCAAAGATGGATATTTTGGAGAATGACTTAAACAATTTTGTAATTCTCGTAGATATAATTCCATTCTAATTTGTAAGTGTTTTTTCTTTTAACTTCCTTTAGCATAAGCATTCTCAGTAAAACATTTATTTCTTTAATTCACGCTTCAAAAAATTTTCTGTAATACATTGTACATGTCAGGATGTTGAACAATTGCTAGATTTTTCGTTTGCTGTTTGATGTTTAAATGCCGTTCATTCCTAAATGTTCACATTAGTTTTCAAATTTTTGTGATTCACAAGACAAAGTGGTAGTTTTTTCCTTAATTTTTAAAGTGTATTGTGTCTGTTAAAATTGCTGGTAAAAATGCCCTGAAGTAATTTGAAGCCTTATTTTAAGTATACGTACCTTGTTTTATTGGTAATACTGACTGATCTTTTATTGGTAATACTGACTGATTTCACGAAGACAGGAATTTAGAGTGAAGCAAAGAAAATTATTTTCTTGTATGCAAATGGTGACAATCTGAAGTAGATTTTGCTTACATGTATTCCAGGCCATAGTGCAAACATTCAAAATGAAACTGTCAAAATATGAAATATCCTTCTTCGATTGTAAGTAAATGCATGTATTAGGATCAGGCATTCTGTAAAAGAATTGCACCTAGTATGCTGTCATTTTCGAGAAAAGATGAATTTATCATCGTTTTCATCGTGCTTTTTTTATAGAAAACCTGCTTTGCGTCAAGAAAAAGATGAAGCAGTATGACTTACACTGAGCTGAAATTTGGACAGGTTAGATATAATAACCTGCTTCACATTGATTGTATTGTTCCTTGAAAAAAAACACATTTGTCACAAATGGTGTCCATTATCTTTAACAGTATGGACAAACTTTTATAAAATAGTCAATTTCAAGGGAATGTAAACTACAAAAAAAAGGGGGAAAAATCCTGGCCATTCCATTTATGTTTGTAACCAATTGATAGCGATACTTTGTGATTATGTAGTGTGTTTATGTAAAATTGCTTCGTAAGTGCTACATACTAAATATTAAAAATTCCTGTCAATACATTTTGCATTGTACTAGTAATATCGATTTGGGTGTGTGTATATAGTACGGTATGCATCTATTAGTGTTGTAGTCCAGTCCATTACAAGTTCATCACAAGCCTGGTCAAATTCACAAGTCCACTCATAATTCGCTATAACAAAGGAACGCCTTTGTCATGATTCATTTGAATAGTGTGACTTGAGACTTGTGTAATATTGACTTAGTCTTGTTGACTTATGATGGACTTGTCTTCAAGACTAGCATCTTATAAGGTTTGGTTTGGTGAGGAAATTCGTTGTATTTGCTGGAAACAAAATGAGGATTTACAAAGAACTTTTTGTAATGTACGAAATTTAAAGGCAAAACAAGTGTAACTGTTTCTACAATGAAAACAAAGATGAAGGTTGTCTGTTCAGTGCGTGTACAATAAACGGAACTCAAGAGTTGTTGACTGAAGTGTTGTTTTGTGTTAATACTATTAGCTTGTTTTAAAAGGAGTTACTATTCAAAGCCTAACTATAACAATGTTTTGGTTGAGTGCAATCACAAGTTGCTCAGACTCGGTCAAGTTACAAGCTATTCAAATGAATATGGCAAAAGTATTGTTATCTCTTATTTATCCCGTGTTACGTGTGACTGGACGTAAAGGACTTGTGGTTGACTGGACGACAGAAATGGCTGCTGAATTTCTTTAATTTCTCATGATAGTGTTGCCGGCAACATTGTTAATCAGACTGAATTGGTGTGCAGCACACAACAAAATTAGTTATTACTTCTTTTTTATTTGTTGGGGAAATAGGTGGAGACGATTTTGAAATTCCCGCTGAATTGAAGTCACAAGTGGAATATCTTTGGTTCTATTCTTATAAGGCCAAAAAAAATAGTTCTGCTTCCGATTACATGGCATTTGAAAATAGGGTAGGTAGGTGGGGAATTGTTTTTTGTTTTTGCAATTTTTTTGTGTACGATGATATGGCAGCTTCTGCGTGTAGTCAAGGGTAAAGGTAGAAATTGATGGTTTTGGTGTTGTCTTCTCATTTTTTCCAATAAAAAATTAGGGTAGGGGCTGTCAGAATAGGGTAGGTAGGGAAACCGGAAGCAGAAATATTTTTTTTGGGCCTAATTAAGTCAAGATAGATGCCACATGCACACTTCCTGATTAATTATATGTGAAATTTAAAAAGGAGTGCATACATTTTCCAAAAGGAAATGCTCACGAAGGGTAGCAGGGCCAAGCTAGGTGGCTATTGCCAGAATGTGATGTCTTTTTTTAGACAAATACATTATGCATTTATGGCCTGCTTTTGATATCCTGCAGATGACTTACGATGTCATTCATAAGCCACCGTATTCGCACGAAACCGCTCATTTTGCGAGAGTGTCGTGTGCAAAACACGTGCCGAATAAATACATTGATGTGTGTGTACGAGTTTTCGAAACAAGGTAAAGTATGTTTTGCTTGCAAGACGTTTACCGAGTAGTTTAATAATATTACTGAACAATTGTATGAACTGTTTATACTTTATTTATTGCACATGTATGTAAATAATATTGTTAGGTATTAGCGTTCTGGGAAAGCTATTTTTGGAAGCATTTAAGTGGCCACGCGAAGGCGCGTTTTTTCAAGTTTGGGTAAATTTGGCAATGTGCACACTAGTGACACAGTACATGTCGGCACGAACAACACGTACATGACGTAGGCCCTATATATAACCACATACATTGTACATATGTACACAATGTACATGTTTTTGTACATCATGTGTACATGATGATGGCGTGTGCACATGTACATATACAGTCATGACATTGACAGTACAGAAATCAGTGGTGTAGGCTAGCTTGAGCATGTTGAGTAACTCAAGCTAAGGCTAAGCCTAAATAGGAATGGGGTCAAATTTGCACTTGCAGGGACCTCACTTTATCATTATGTTACTTTAGGGCCTAGGCACAATGACTGAGCCTCTGAGTCTGAGGTGGGCATTTTGTGCATGGTCTGATGGTGTGTGTCGCATCGGGTGCTGGGACGGTGACCCATGGAGGAATAAGAACACATGGGTGACCGTAAGGTCAGAGCCAAATTGTGCTAAATGCGCATCAAAAATCTGTCAGATTTATCAAAAATCTGCCAAATTCGCCAGAATTACTCGAAATTCTTGCCAGAAATCTGCCAAAAAAATCCATTTTGTCAAATTTTCTGTCAAACTCGTTTTTTAACAAAAATTCAGTCAAAGTTAGTCGAAAATTGGCTAAAACGGTATAATTTGCCGGTATAACATTTTTTGTTATAATTTAATGTTTGGTTTCTAGCTCATCTCAAAGTTTGCATGTGTGTTGCAAAATGTGATATCCCTAATGCAGTGTACTAGCGGATTTAAACTTAATGTAGGGATTTTTTTGTCCTTGAAATGTGTTCATGTATAGGGATATCACATTTGCAACAGGTATGCCAACTTTGACATGGGCTATAGAAACCAAACAAAAAATAGTATTCACCCATTTTTTTGGATATTTGTAGAAAACATGTTGAGGTATAATTTTCATCAAAGTTCGTCTCAAGGTCGCGTGATCCACAAGGTCAAATTCAAGTTCAAATTAAAGGTCAAAAGGTCATCATACTTCAAATAACTCTGACATGAAAAGTAATGGTAAATTTGGATTCCTTATGATGTTACCTTTCCAAAGCAACTTAGATTAACACATTTGGCCCACAGGTTATGGAGATATCGTCATTTGAAAATTGGTGGCCACGCCCATTTTGACCAAAATTGCCCAACAATGGCTGACGGTAGTGCAAAAACCGTTTGTCCGATGGTGCTAAAACTTTAAATTTCAGCCTTTTCAGCCTAACTTACCCCACGTACTAGTGCTGACTACTAGATATATAGCGAATTTGAAGGGGGTGGGGTTTAACCCATTGTGGGATTTGACACGGATTGACCCATAGATCTTTACGTACGTGCCAGCGATGCACCGTGAATTCGAGTGAAATGGGTGGGTAATTAGTGGCAAAATAAACAAAATCACTGGCCTTAGTCCACCAGTCCAATGGGAATTTCGAACCCTGTTGATTAAACATTTCTTGTTGATGAATCTTATTAACCCTAACCTCACCTAAAGCTACAAATACATGTACATGTATGCTGTACTTCAGCACACAATGTATTAACTATAAGTGGGCACAATACTCATCATAGTATTTTTTAGTATTTAGGTACTGCATACATAATTTTTGTATTACTATGTAGTACAATGTACAGTATGTGGTACTTTACCCCTAAGTAATCTTAAGGAGATTAGGGTTAAAGGTTAAGGATACCATTTACTAACATTCAAAAATGAAATTATCAAAATATCATGAAATATCCCACTTGATTTTAAGGAATAGGATCATGCTGAATATAATAGAAATCATTGTGCCTGGTATGCTCTAATTTTCAAGAAAAAAGGAATGACCATCATTTCCCTGCGATGGTTAGGACCCAACCATCGCGCTTTCAATTGAAACCTTTGCTTTGCATCAAGAATCTGAAGAATGCATTTTCATAGTTTCCATGAAAAATATGACACATGTACCTACTTAGCTGCAATTTCATCAGGTTAAGTTTGTTTTAGTAAACTGCATTGTATGATTTGGTTAAAAAAACTACAATTTTTGCAAATGATGTCTATTATCATTAACTTCCGTTAAAAATGTTTTGTTTTGTTTTCTTAAGTCCAGGCTACTGTGTTGAAGACCAGCTGAACCAAGATGTCCTACAGTCAGCAACGAGACCGAGGAAAGAAGGACTTGAAATGCTACAAATGCGAGAAGATGGGGCACTTTGCTCGTGACTGCCCCCTTAAGGATGACTCCAGTGGTGGTGGTGGTGGAGGAGGCGGTTATAAAAGTGGGAATTACAGAGGTTACAGCAATTCCCGCAGTAGTGAGTATATTCACTTGATGCACGATAAATCTTGGTTGTACACCAGTGTTGTAGTCAAATCCATCATTTGAAGTCCCCACAATTCATCCAGTCCAGAATCAATTCGCACGCTATTTAAATAAATTGTGGCAGAGAATTCTGACCAACTTCAGAAATATCCGATTTTGGTTGACGCGATCATCTGACATGATCATCTGAAAAGAGAAGTGTTCGACGTAAGTCAAATATCAACAGCACTCAATAGCTCTTGAAAAAGACAGTCTTTTTACATGTCAGTTAGGCCAAAAAAAAATAGTTCTACTTCCGATTACTTGGCATTGAAAAGAGGGTAGGTACATGTAGGTAGGGAATTTTTTTGGGAGGGCATTTTTTTTGTGTTGATCATATGTAGGTGTCTGCATGTAGTCAAGGGTAAAAGGTAGTTATTGATGTTTTTTGTCTTTTTTCCTCATTCCCCTCCCCCCCCCCCAAAAAAAATTGGGTAGGGGTTGTCAATTAGGGTAGGTAGGGTAACCGGAAGCAGAACTATTTTTTTCTGTGGCCTTACTATGGACCAATCTAGGCACACTATGAATCACAAAGGCCCCTTTCAATGGTGAAAGTAAAGTTTGCTGATGTTTGAGTTTGTTAGATTTAGTGGAGCAAACATGATGCTATATAAAAAAACAAAATTGGATAATTGGAAACATGGGAATTTCTTGACATTGTTTATACATGTATACGGAATTCTGTAAGGCTTATGGGACCATGTATACAATACCTGAATGAGGTATAACTTGCTTTATGTTTTGATTTGATGAACAGATCGTTGCTTTCGATGCAACCGTGTGGGACATCTTGTAGCCGATTGTACCAGCCCAGCTAGTAAGTATTTAACCCAAACCTTCCCAAATCCTTCAAAATTCTCTTTGCAAAATGGAGGATTTTGCAGGATTGAGGCTGAATGGCAAAAGTTTGTGGCTGATTTCGGAGGATGCACTGTGTCAAGGTCTGAGGCCGGACCTTGTGTTGTTTATTCTCAGCCGTACATAAATTTAGGCCTATGTTATTATCCTGGAGCAGTGCGGAGGACTTCAAGTATAAATTATACTTGATTATAGTTGAAGTCCCCCGCACTGCTCCGGGATGCCACTATGGATGTCTGCCTCAACATATTGACAGTGATTGCCAGAGGATTTTGTAGGATTGAGGCTAAGCACTGTCGATATATCGATATTACTCGATTATTTATTCAATATTATTTTGATATCGATATCGCCGATAGCAATTTTTTAATCGTATTGAAATATTGAAATTTGCGATATTGAGGAATGATATCGAAAAATGTGTCAGATTATTGTCAAAATAAATCTCCCATTTGTGCTTTACTTTGGGTTTAACGTCTGCTGTATAATAAAATAAATTCGGTGGCAATTTTGTGCTTGTGACTCAAATAAAAACATCGCGAAATGCCAAGCGGTGTCGCTTTGTGCTCTGCGTTTACTGGAATGTGTGGTCGCCCCAATGTAAAACCTCAAAAGAAACCGCCCGTCTTGGACAAACTGTCAGTGCTGAGATTTTTTTTTTTTAAATCTAAGTGTCAACTTTATGGTCTTATACTTTTACATGGGATAATCAATATATTGAATATTGGATGTCAGATATATCGTTTATTGAAAATTCTGATATTGACGTTACTTAAGTGGGGCAGTGGTCACCCCTCAGAGGACCAAATTCAAGAAATAACAGATTTTGGAGGATTGAGGCTGTATGCTACTATTACATGGGGGCAGTTAGAGGATTTCGCAGGATTGTGGTTACATCCTAGCAAAAATGCCTATGGAGTTAGGGTTAATGTAAGGTTTTTCACATTGTACATATCCTATAAATCTGTGGCAAGCATCAGAACAAATTCAAGACGGAAGGTAATATACTCGGTGTCGTCAGATAACTTGTGAGAAAAAATTCACAAGTTGCTCAGGTGGGAATTGAACCCTTGACCTCTTGCTTAGTTGCTCAGGTGGGAATTGAACCCTTGACCTCTTGCTTACTAGTGTAGACATTCTTATCCGCTCGGCCACCAAACTTGCTTCAGTGTGAAGCTGACTGGTTCAAATCTAATATAGCAGCAGTACCGTAATCAGTATCTCGTATGGTGGAATTTATGGGTTAGGAGATGAACATTGTAATATTGGCTTGCCTGTCACCGACATCATTTTGTTAATCACTCAATGTTGGTAACCTTTGTTGTCTCTGCAGACAAATGCTACAATTGTGATGAGGAAGGACACAATGCAAGCGACTGTCCTCATCCCCAGAAACGTAAGTAGTTTGGATAAGGCCGAAGATAACTCAGAATGCAGACACACTTTGTGGTCCACGAGAAGATATAAATCATTCTAACCCTCCAGGCATTTTGAGTCTTCCTTAATTCACGGATCCTCTACACAAGGATAAACGATTTCCCCAAATTTCTGGTTAGAGGCGTGATACGGCACTTGCGCGTATGCGAGACTCGGCGCGCGACTGCAGTCTTTCAGTGGTCATATTTCTATCGGGACGCCAGCTGTCGGCGATCATGATGCGCGTGCATTGTTCTACATGTTCTTTGTGTTGTTCTATGCACGGATGCGGCATATCACGCATGTAGACAATCCGTTTTGTACATTTTGTACACAAGCTCAGATGAGTTGTTTATCCTTGTGTAGAGGATCCGTGCTTAATTCAACAAATCCAGAATTGTTTAGTTAACCATAGGTACTGAACATGGACCATTCCTCTTGCAATCCTTTTACTCTAACCGCCCTAGGTGATTTTGGCTAGAAATCCTGCTATACACTTTAACATTCCACACTTGTTAATATTACAAGCCTACTCAGTGTAGCAAGATCCATCAGGTCACAAATCTCAAGGCCAAACTGCCTCAGAGTCTGTGGTTGCCAATTGCAGCAGGATACATCTGTGGCATGTAAATGAAAGTACATGTAGCTCTCATCAGTTTCAGAATTGGCCGTTTATGGCATGCAATGGTATTGATGGCTCAATGCAGCAAGGTCCCACAGACTTCCACACCTGATGCACTATGTTGCGTGCGTCTGGCCGGGGTAGGGTTAACACAGAAGGGATCACTTGGCCCTTGTTTTCATTGATATTTTGAACCTGGTTCTACAATTTTGGATCCATCCAAATACTCTCAAACCTGGTTTAATACATGTACACTAATACTCGTACTTGTGTATATCAGGAATGATCATCCACTTTGCCATTTGTTATTACAGCAAGGACGATTGAGTGCTACGCCTGCCATAAAAAAGGCCACATCTCCCGTGAGTGTCCTGAAAGCAGTCGTGATGATCGCTGCTTCAAATGTCACCAAACTGGCCATCTGAGACGCAACTGCCCGGAGTTGATCGCCGATGGTGAAGATGACCGTGAATGTTACAGTTGTCATCAGAAAGGTCATCTGTCTGGACAGTGTCCCGAAAAGACTTGTCATACGTAAGTCATTTTAGACACATTGGCGGGAGTTTGTTTGGCTGGACCTGAAAGGCCAAGCTATTGTCCTTAAAATGACTGAAACACTGACTAAATGATTGAGTCACTGACTGAATGACTGAGTCACTGACTGAATGACTCCCCCACTAACTGAATGACTGAGTCACTGACTGAATGAGTGAGTCACTGACTTAATGACTGAGTCACTGACTGAATGACTGAGTCACTGACTGAATGACTGAGTCACTGACTGAATGAGTGAGTCACTGACTGAATGACTCCCCCACTAATTGAATGACTGAGTCACTGACTGAATGAGTGAGTCACTGACTTAATGACTGAGTCACTGACTGAATGACTGAGTCACTGACTGCATGACTGAGTCACTGACTGAATGACTGAGTCACTGACTGAATGACTGAGTCACTGACTGAATGACTGAGTCACTGACTGAATGAGTGAGTCACTGACTGAATGACTGAGTCACTGACTGAATGACTGAGTCACTGACTGAATGAGTGAGTCACTGACTGAATGACTCCCCCACTAACTGAATGACTGAGTCACTGACTGAATGAGTGAGTCACTGACTTAATGACTGAGTCACTGACTGAAATGACTGAGTCACTGACTGAATGAGTGAGTCACTGACTGAATGACTGAGTCACTGACTGAATGATTGAGTCACTGACTGAATGATTGAGTCACTGACTGAATGATTGAGTCACTGACTGAATGAGTGAGTCACTGACTGAATGAGTGAGTCACTGACTGAATGACTGAGTCACTGACTGAATGACTGAGTCACTGACTGAATGACTGAGTCACTGACTGAATGAGTGAGTCACTGACTGAATGACTGAGTCACTGACTGAATGAGTGAGTCACTGACTGAATGAGTGAGTCACTGACTGAATGAGTGAGTCACTGACTGAATGAGTGAGTCACTGACTGAATGATTGAGTTACTGAGCATAAGCGATGTCCTCAACTGACACTTTCAGGTCAACTGTTTAGGAGAACTGAACTGTGTGCATGTAGAAGTTGCTATTGTCAGTTCGGTTCCAGCGACACATTTTCATATTGCCATGTATATTAAACTGGTAGTTTACTCTACACTTGTTATTTGCATCAAAGTCTATGCTTTAATATTTATGCATTGTAGCTGTAGTCAGCCTGGACATCTGGCTCGTGATTGTCCCAATGATTCTGGTGAGAAGTCTGGTCGTCGTAGCAACGCTGACAAGACCTGCTACAAGTGTGGCAACACCGGACATATCGCCCGCGATTGCGATGCATCAGAGTGAGACATCAGGCTCTTAACTTCCTGCGCGCCTCACAAGGCATTTTATCCAGTTACAAGTCAGCAGTATGTCTGATGACAACCAGCAGGTATCAGCCAGCAAACTGGTAAGAACTGGCTCCAACTGGTTCCAACTGGTCTGAGGCAGTTCGCCAAGGCTGGGTGTAGTGTGAGTGTGTGTGTGAGTAGGAGGTGCCTGTGTATCTCTCATGAGTTTTTTTCAAGTTAACATCAAAGTAAGTATTTCCAGTAGATTAAGTGTTAATCTGTAAGTAAAAAAAAATAAACATATCTCAACGTAATTCAGAACTGACATCACACAGATCCAATGAATATTCATATTGATTTGATGAGTATGTAGGAGCACAAATGATGCAAAGTGTCAAAACATCAAATAGCAATACTTGCATCCTACCATTAACATCCATTGTAATGTATACAGGAAAACAATGAAAATGAACCAAACTAAAACTCAGTACCAGATGTCGAGAACAGGCACGGTGAGTTGTCGGGGAAAACCTTTCATGGGGAAGATGAAAGGCTGGAGTTTGTCGGGGAGATTTGACCATCTTATGAACATTTCACGGTTTGAAGAACCTGAATAAATGGGGAGAAATTTGAAGAATTCTGAAGAGCCATCATTGAGCTGTTTGTTGGCTGGCGATGGCGGTTTTATGTCTTGAAGTGAAGACATTCAGTTGAAGCGTTAGGGGGATCTGTGGTGGTGGGACGTATTGATGCAGTTTCCATTTATTGATATCATGATCTGTTGTTGATTACTTAGATGCTGCTTTTCGAAGCTTAAGTATGGAGTGTGTAAACATATCTGTTTTGTTTCTTTTAAAGTTAATACGGTTTGAAGTGAAATTAACAAAAGATACACATATTTGAAGTTTGCAGTATCACAGTTCATGGTACATGTTCATGTATTTAGATTTTGTTTAGACCGTCTGGATTATTTTACCCACAACTATTAAACTTACATGTACTCTTCATTTATGCTTTTTATTTACACATGCTAGTAAGTTGACCCATTATTATATCTGTGAGCAGTTTAAGTTAGATTTACATTACAGATGAAGTTGGGACTAAATCAACAATGTTTTCTTCTCATTTGAGTGGTTTACAACAAAGTTATCTCTATTGTCTCTAAGTAGTAATCAAGCATAGACTAAACCAACATATCTTCAGTTTCTTTTTTGGAGATGTAACAGTATGAAATATTTTTAGCATTCATTTACTGGATGTAACTGACGAGTGCAAAGTCAGTTTATGACGTCCAAAGAGAATATAAGATTCATATCACAATGAATAACGTCAAATGTATTTTATTTATACATTATCCAGGAGCTGTTTTATAAAACTTTGATGCAATTTTAGTGCAAAACACCACTTATTGTGATATTGCCTTGGGAAAAATGTAATTATTTTTCTGAAGGACCTCATTTTTCGAAATGTAATCACACGTTTCTTAGGATAAGTTTGTAAAATCCCCGGGACCAGGATTGAGAGGCTCTACATGTACCTGGGTAAAAAATCTGAAATCGACACCGACCCATGAACAACCCAGTGTAACTGTGAAGATTATGGCTTGCTGTTCCATGTTGGATTCATGGTGGACCTATTTCAACACGGATAGGGGAGACTATAGTGTGAAAGGCCTTGAGTGACAAGACTTTTCTGTCCACAAAACTTGTATTATTGTTGACTGCGAAGGTTATCATGTGTCAAAGATCTTTATCTTATCAGAGACCGAACTTTGGTGTTTGGTTTGTCATCTGATGAAACTCTGTCAAGAGAAAAATGTGATTGTTGAAAGCTCTTGTGGCATACATGTAGTTTCTATTAAGTTGTTACTTTGAATGTAGAAAGATCAAGCAAAAAGAGGACCTTAACATGAAATCCTGTGCTTACATTAGTTGCATGTTTAATTGTTAGAATTGTGCTTACAGTGCTGTAGAAATTGTGCACAAACTCAGTAAGCAGTGTATCCATATAGGAGGTATGCATGCACACTTGTAGTCAAAGATTGCTAGCTGACCATTTCAAATCACTTTGCCGTTAGCGCAGATGTGTTGTGTCCATGTAAGCAATCATTCTTCCATTATTGTAAGTAGTGTTATGAAATTGCGCTTGCATCTTACTCAGTGTATAACAATAAGAAGTCCATACAGTCAAGTGTTAACTGTACCTGGAGAATTAAGAAGGAATTATTAAATTGATTTTAGGCTTTGTAAGGTGGAGTACCATATCAGAAAATAGTTTTAACTATACACAATAGTTTTAAGTTAAAATTGGTGGACCTGCAAGTTTTCCTTTTTAGCAAATTCGTTGAAAGTCTTTGAACCTGTACTTTTTGGTTTTTAAGGAGTAAGGTGATTTTAAATCAGGAAGTCGATGAAAACGTTCAAGAAGTGAAAGTATAAATACACTGGGTGCTTCTTTGCTTTTAATTGGATTTTTACGGCAGTTCTTTTTTACATTTTTAAGCCTTCAGTAAAAGAAGTGATAACATTCTGAAATTTTAAAAAGAGCTGAAATTTGGCATTGATAAATCTAGGCATTTTGATTGTTTCATTTTATTGTGCTCAAGAGTATTGCGTAAGCTGTAGATGTTGCAGAGTTCATATGATATAGGTGTGAAAACCATTTGTATGGAAGTGTGCCAAGTATGTTATGATCATTGCAGTTGTCTCATTTTCTTTCGTCCTCTGTTACCATTGTGCTTGATCTTCAAGCCCTTTATTTCTCACAGACTATGATGAATCATGTTTTGACACTCATTTTAGACAACTGTCCTATAGTCTGGCTGAACCAAGTTATTCGTAATTTGATTTACCTTGTAAGTGCTTGAAATGTTCAACGTTTGAAACAGGAGCGACTGCATATTTATCGCAGTCTCTCAGGATGCTTCCAGATGTCACTGCAAAATTTACATGTAAACTTTGCCTGTCTGAAACCAATTTCTATTGGTTTGAACCTGAACATCAGTCTGAATGGAGTGTTAGTCATGCACAATGTACAGAGGAATACATGAGCCTATGGTAAATGTAAGGATCTGTTGATGATGGATGCTGGCATGGCATGATAGATCAAGTTACATCAGTCACAACTGTAGGTTAGATTTATTTCATAACAGTATCCTCTGTTATTTATCGGTTATCACATCAGTAAGTGCTGTATTACAATGTATTGAATAGACAGAATTTTTTACACCCTGCATACTTTACTTATAACCTTGAAATTGTTATAAATTGTGCCATAGTTTCTTTTGAATGCAGTTGTAAATTGTTTTAGGAATGTCTTATGATGGATCATAATGCAACCACATGGTGGTTCTCTTATTTTTGCCGATTTTCAATGAAACAAGTAAATAATAATTCCTTATTTAAGAATTTTACTTATTCTTATAAAGACCCAATTTGATGAATTTATAGTTATTTAAGTTTATTAAATTTTCTTGCTTTTAGTGTTACATCAGTAATATTCCAAACGTCTTTTTTGTTTTAATGTAAGTTGTCTTTATAGTATACCACTTGTATTGGATGGATCAGTAGTGCAGTGTGTGGAAGTAGTTTCGATGTAACCAATGTTATAAAGTCAATCTGCAGAGAAATTTCTAGGTAATTTCAATTTGAGTGTTTTTTTAAGTGGCTGTTTAGGAGTATTAACATCCAAACGACACAAAAAAACTTTATAGACAACGCGATGGTCATGTTTATGCAATGATTGAGCATTTACAGCATTTTATTAACACATTGTATGAGTTACAGTAATTCCCTGTGAAGTTATTTCACACTAGGACGTGTTCATACATGTACGTGACTCTGCTTTGGTCGCGAGGCATTGCATGGTGAGATTATACAGTACAAAGTTTGGTTGAACCTGGACAAGATCAGACTTAATAAAACAAAAAATACTCTCCACAATCTATGCCTGAAACCTTAGCATCAGGGCCTTAGCATCTGCTTTTCAACCAATACAAGAATATTTTTACCCCCCCAAAAAATTGAAATAAATCATCAGTAAATTTCTTACTTTTCCAAAAACAGAAAATCTTTCAAAAATCACTCTGAAATTCCCCAAATCCCTAAAATGGCAAAAAATGGCAAGTTTCTTACTCCGATTTAAATAGTACGTTGTCTTAAAAATGACTTTAGTATTGTGTTTGTTCTTACATTTTTACAATGAGGAAAACATTAAACTTCATGCAGTAATTACTGTGTACAACTTCATTTCAAATTCATTTCATGAATTGTACTTTCAATTAAAATATAAAATGTTACCATTACAAGTTAAGTACTGTCACCAAAGCATAGACTTTTAAACAAGCGATAAATGTTGATAAAAGCAAACAAACATCTAAAGCTTAAATTGTATGATAATTTTTTTATTCCCCTCAAAGAAAAACAAAACTATAAAATAAAACTCTGAGCAAAATGTCCACAATTTATGGAAGACTTGCATCTAAATTATGTAACTTGTCACAGACAGTTATTCAATAATCTTTCAAAGTTAATACAAAGATGCACATGTACTGTCAGTGCTCTGAAGCAAACTAAACATTGCTCTACATAATTTGTAGCGTGTACATTTTATTTTTTAAAACTTTTTTTCTCTTGGGCTTCTGCATCCCTCTAAAAAGAAGGTTTTTTTATTTTTGGTTGCTATTTGCACACAAATTCACCTTGCAAGACTGGTTCCTACCATGCGGGAACTGAATAATTTGACAGTTGGAAAGTTATTCCATTACTAAACAAGGGCTGATTTTGTTTGAAGTCTCATTCAAAAAGTGAATAACGTTTATCCTCTTGAAAATTACTAAACTAGCAATGTCAACAAGTGTACTTTCTGGGTGAATAACTTTGAAAATCTTTTAATGTTTTCAGATTGAGCACACAAGAATTAAACTTAATATCTTTGACCATGGGCTTTATAAAAAAAATCCATTGATAAAACAGAAACTTCAGTCAAAGTCTGCTTCCTACTGAAAGTGTATGTTTTGTTTTAAATAATAGAAGAACTGGCCTATGCTTTGAGACTACGGTCTGAGACAGACAGACAACTTTGACAATAAAGCTTTCAAATTATCGCTTTCAGTATTTTTGCATACTTTTATTATTGCACAGTGGACAAGTGTAGGCAGGCTTGCTTACAAAGGGGTCTACCCGATGTTCCCCGAAATCCTTAGGATCAGGGTTAGGGTTTCGGGGAACATCGGTATTGGGGACCATAGGTATGAACCCCCTTACAAATAAAGGCTTCCAAATCATTCTTTTTATATCTTCCCATGTTTTGATACACGTTTCCCTTCTCTTTCTGAAAATTCCACAAACTATTTGCCTTGTTTTGTCAGTGGTGTTATTGCAAAGCCAGTGCATTGGACACTCGGCAAAGCTCTGAAGTATATTGGGCTGCACTTTTTGATGAGTCATTGGTGAAGGAAGCCTGCTGCATTGTGGGATTCCTGCTGCATTGTGGGTACCCATCATGCTTTGGGCATCAGATGGAAGGGTGCAAATAGCGAACGCCAAATCCGTACAATTCCACTCCATAGTACTGCAGCATAGGATGTACTGGATGGGGATGCTAGGAAAAAGGAAATATGAAAACAAAAGCTATGAATTTTTTAAACCCTAACCTTCCAAACTCCATCAACACTAACCTAGGTTAGACTGACACTAACCTAGGTAAGACTGACACTAACCTAGGTTAGACTGACACTTACCTAGGTTTGTTCTGATAGCAATAAGATAGATGAAGAATCCCAGGCAGGCGATGTCCCTGATGTAGCCAAATCCAGTGACTGGTACAAGTCTAGTAATCAACTGGCCGATTCGTTGAATGATGCGCATTAGGGTCGAAGCTGAATAGTCTATCAGGGTGAGAAAAACAATAAATGTTTACATCATTTTTACAAAATATTCTTAAAGAGTTTTTAGACAAACTGTACCATACCAGTGCTTCATAAATACTTCTCCATAAATAATAATAATAATAAGTTCTTATATTAGCGCTATTTCATATAGATCGCAGCGCGCTGTGACAAGCATCAACTAGCATCAACTCTCATCAGATTTCCAGAGAAGGATGATACTGCAAAGCTGAAAATAAGCGTTTTTTTTAGTGTTATATGCAGATAACAAAGGAGAAATATTTCCTTAACAGTTTAAAAAAATTCCAGAGAGAGTGCTATATTTATCAGTCTCACCAGGATCCTGCAGGATTTTCATTTAGTGTTAGGCAATATTTAAAATGGCAACTTAAGACAAAGTTATGGGTAGGGGACCCTCCCCCTACCCCCAGCAAGGGGTGGGGGAATTTTGTAAATCCATACAAACCATACAGTGTTTGGGCTTTTTTGGGTGTTACGGAGAGTAACAGTTGAACAGCACTAACCATTCACTGAAACCTGATCTTTTTCTGAAATCTTCCTTATCTGCAAATCCTCCTCAACTTTCTCCAAGTATTTCAAGAAACTCATCTTCTTCTCTGGGCTCAATCCAGAATTGAGTTCAACCAGCGCCTTGGCTTGGTCTAGTTTAGTTTGTGGCAGTAGAATCTGGGTGATGAGTAGTTCCATGATGATGGAGTACTGTGGATGTGTTTGGTTGGCTGTGTCAGACAGCCAGTCCACTGCGAGGTTTTCTGCTGTGGTGAAGTCCTGAACTTTGGCATGTAGAAGAATGCTACATCACAAAAAAATGCATGAATTAAATGAAACGCAAATCACACAATAATAAAGAAAAGTTGTAATTTTCTTAATATCAGGAAAATGCCCCAAATATGAAAAAGTAATGTCAGTCTGCATGTAATTAATTGATAAGATGAGACTTTCATGTGCTACGGCTAAGCAAAAAGTTATTTATTAACCACAATAAGAGTTATGTTTCTTAATATTCAAAACTTCAGTTTCTTACCATAACTTAACGATAGTCAGTGGATATCTTGTCCATGATTCGTAATATTGTTTCAGGAATTGATGAACACATTCCCATTGGTCGGTTTCAGCGTAGGCTTGAATGGCCAAAATGCAGACCGACTCATTAAACTTCCTGTGCAAACAAAGAATAATAATTCAACACATATTGAATTCATAGCCAAAAATAATAATACAATAATAATTAACGACCTGTAAAATTAGCTTGGGAAACCCTGGCTCAATCAGATGCTCATTGGAAATTCAAAATTTTACTTTTATTAGACTAAATGTTGAATTTCCAATGCATTTGAGCTGGGATGAAATTTGCCAAGTTAGTTGAAATTTGTTGTCAAATTATGAAGAAGATAATTTTTATACTATATTAACAAAATAATTCAAATCTTGTACTTAAAAAAATTAACGAAAATCACAAAACAATAAAAATACACAAGTAGAAAAATCCTTTAATATATCATTATTTATATTAATGACAATATTTATGACAAACTGAAATTTATACAGCTCACACTTTTTGACATACATGTGTTGTAAACTTAAAATGCTTTTGTAAACTTGAAATAAATGTCGTTGAAATAACAACCTTCTCCAGATAATTTCTGCAGCTTCCCCACTTTCGTCCTCTTTAGAGTCCTTTTCACCATCGAGTAAACCTCCAGTTGCTCCTTGATAGTTCTGCGGGAAGACAATCTCCATTGCGCTTTGTCCATTTGAGGATCCAAAATTACACATGCTAAGAACATCCTCAAACTTTCTAAAGATCATCAAATCATAAGCAACCTCCAAAAATCTTCTGCCATCGATACGCCGGCCTGGTAAACTAAAGCTGGTTGTTGCCATTGTGTCTAGTTCATACTTTTGGTCAAGGAATCTGGTTAAAATGAACTAAAGTTGTAAAGCCGATGAAATTTTGTACATCTGTTTATGAGGAATAAGATTGTTGTGTTCGCAGCTGTACGTCGGCGCGCGGCACTGATAGAGGGCGTTGTTGCAGTTAAAAAGTCCTCCAAGATTTGTTCGGATCGTTTTACATATGAGGGACAGGGCAAGGCCAGTATTGAAGCATTTAAATAAAATTAATAATGTTGACTCAAATCAAGTTAACCTGTAGAGGGCGCATTGTGCTATTATTGGTCTCTTCCATATCCTGTGCATGTGGGAAGCGCTATCGAATCTGGGCAGTGGGGTTGGTTCATGGATAGTTGGTCCACTGCACATAGAGCCAGCACTGTCGCCAGTTCCGGGGGGGGGGGGTAACAGAAGAAGGGCACTCTTTACAAAATTTGGGGGGGGGGGGCTGGTAAAAAAGGAGGCATTTGAATGGAAAAGGGCAGTCTAATTTACACAACATAGGTCCCTTCCCCCTCCCCTGGCTACGCAAATTGTGTCCACACCCCCTCCCCCTCCCCGTCCCCCACCGATTGAAGCTCATGCCGAAGGCGTCGGTGCCCGCCCGCCCTGCTATAGACATTTTCCTGTACATGTAATCTACAGTTTACAGCAAAAGTCTCTTCTTACGGAAGCGTATTTAGGACATGACGAAAAAAAAAATTCCGGACCGCTATTTCGCCCGGGCGGATGACTAATTTGCCCGGGCAGATTACTAATTCGCCCGGGCGGATTACTAATTCGCCCGGGCGGATGACTATTTCGCCCGGGCGGATTACTGTCAAAATTGTGAAACACGTTAGTAAACGTTCTAATTCAATCCACCATGGATAGCAGGACTTGCGAAGTAATCTGCCCGGGCGAAATAGTAATCTGCCCGGGCGAATTAGTAATCCGCCCGGGCGAAATAGTATTCTGCCCGGGCGAACTAGTAATCCGCCCGGGCGAAATAGTAATCCGCCCAGGCGAAATATTAATCTGCCCGGGCGAATTAGTAATCCGCCCGGGCGAATAAGTCATCCGCCCGGGCGAATTAGTCATCCGCCCGGGCGAAATAGTGGTCTGGAAATGTTTTTTAGGTCATGTCCTAAATACGCTTCCGTAGTTTTGAAGTTCTTTCCACGGATCACAAATTTAAGGGGAGTCAAACTACAAATCACATAGGGGTGTGTGTGAATGGTTTTCGTTTTGCTGAAAGAACGCGCGAATTAATAATCCGTAATAACGAATTAATAATCCGTAATAACGAAATAAATAATCCAAAATAACGGATTAATAATCCGTAATAACGAATTAAATAATCCGTAATAACTATTTAAATATTCTGTAATAACGAATTAATAATCCGTAATAACGAATTAATAATCCGAAATAACGAATTAATAATCCGAAATAACGAATTAATAATCCGAAATAACGAATTAATAATCCGTAATAACGAATTTATAATCCGTAATAACGAATTAAATAATCCGTAATAACGAATTAAATAATCCGTAATAACATATACTTGCAGTGGCGCTAATGGGCTTTCGTATTGTCAAGCCTCGCCTGTTCAACTTCACTTCTCCTGTTCAACTTCGGCCTTTTTAATGATTTTCGTCATCTTGCCCACCTCTCACATACCCTTATTTTACGTTGAAGAGGGTTACTTCGAATCAATTATATACGCACGATCGCGAGTAAGTTTTTCTCGCCATTGTCTAACTAGACCACAGGCGCATAAAGCCCATCCATCGAAATATTACTTTTGAGGGCTTAAAAGTAAAATTGTGCAAGTCAAAATACAACATGTAATTGTTTCAAGGGCAGTTGTTGAAGGAACAGGTTCAAACTCCCGCTTATAGGGGTTGAAAAAGTGCTTGAAGGATGATGCCCATCACTTGCCCGGGCCAAACGGGGCCAATGCCCCCTACTATAGCTGGATTTATTTAATTTATCCAAAACGACCCCCCCCCCCTCCCCGGGGAAGTGGTGTAACACATCATTTTCTGAAAACCTCGTTAATTAAAAATCTCATTTTTTTGGTTTTCCTGCCCTGCACTGAAATCTTCAATAATTTTGTTTGCTCATAACAAGCGTTACGTATCAATGGTCCAATAATAGTCGGATTTCAATACTTCAACACTCGTCTACTCAAAAAGTATCCGAATAGATCATGGGCTTGTCGTTTGATCGCCAACCAGCGATACACGACATACAGTTCACGCTGCGCTTTTGGATTGCAAAGCAGAAGTAGGCGTTAAAAAAATAAGTAATAATGGCAGACACCGACACGATTTCTGACGCCGAAAAGGTAGGCAAATTCGACTTGTATGCTTTGTAAAGAGTCACCGAACAACAGAGAAGCATTACACTCTTTGTGCTTTTATTTATACTAATATCCGAGGTCTGTGTTGAGAAAACTGACTGACCCAAATTACTTCCTGCTTTTTGTCAGCCATGACAGTTCCATTCATTACCATACTAATTCCGCCCAGTTTCCGGACAGCTTCCGGACAGCTTCCATTCTCAAGGGCAATATTATCATAGTCCTTGAACATTTTATGGAAAGAATGTAGTATCCAGTCGCCGCTTCTTTGGTTGTGTACAAAGCCTATGGAAAGTTGCATGCATTTTTAAAGTATTTTCTAACAAAATTGGAAATGTTTTTCAGTCCCACGGGCCATATTCATCTTTTCCAAATTTTTGTGATGACTGACCTTCATTGAGATAGGCCTAATATTATATTGAAAAAAGTTGCATCAGGATGCAACATTCTTTTCCATTTTATACTGTGATATTTAAGAAGTTTGATGAAAACATACAGGCCTTTGCTAGTTAGCCCGGTGATCGTGTAGTGAAGTGCTCCTGTTTTGTTTCGATCAAATTAGAATCAGGATTTTTTTTAATTTCTAAAAAGTGACATTGTCAACCTAAAGCAAGCAGACTTCTCTCAATTTAATGACACCATATTGGTCATTTTTGAACAGTTTCGTGGGGTAGAAATTACGTTTTTTCCTTAGTGGTTTACGGGCCGGTTGGTGCTGTGCAGCACGACCTCTTGTGTGCGCTCTTCACCCGCTTTTTGAATGACAGGCAACAGCCGCGGTGCACTTTTTCAAAACCGTCGGAATTCGTCGCCGAACTACTATGATTTTTTGATAACTAGACCTCTGAAGGTACGGAATTCAACGCTCTTTTGCTATTTAGCAGTCATACTAAAGCTGGGGTGATTTTCAAGTGACAAAATAATTTCGATCTTAAATTGATTTTCGGCTCCCCTAGCAACAGGACTATCCATGCACAGACCATATGAACAAAGTGTGACTGTAAATACGGAGGTAGTCCAGTATTTCAGTCACATTTATGGGACTATAGTATTGCCTGTCATTCAGTATTGGTCAAAAGTGCGCCCGCACACATGCACTTTTGACCAATGCTGAATGACAGGCAACAGCCGTTCCGATGCACTTTGAAAGGATGAGAAGTTTAATATAAATGGTTTATTTAGAAAAGGCAGATGACAATAAAGATGAAATTTCTGATTTATTGCAGGTACGCATAGCATCGTCCTTCATTCGACATATTCCACCAGGAGAATTCAATGAAGTCTTTAACTGTAAGTTTGTGTCTCAATGTCAAATTTACGCTCAAACACATGTATTTACGATCTGTATTTAAAGATGCATTCTCCTGACACCACATGTGTGTATATATAATATACTTTTTTTGATGGTAAGTCATTAAGGATTTAAATTATGCCAATTTTTGAAAACCTTTAAAGGAATCCTGAATTAGAAAAAAAGACCTACATGAACGTTCATGTGATCTTCCTTGGAGTTAAACATTCATAGCACAAACATTTTTAAACCCATTTAATTTACAAAACCTCAGAAGCACTGGAATACTTGATCACATGTGAGGTACATGTACCGTAGTTAACGGTGTACTTTTTCAATGTCTGCCCTCTAAATATGACGTCAGTCGTTGTTGATTTATCATGTCAATAAAGCTGATCTGCAGACATAATGGGCGGGAGTCAGCCTTTGTGAAATGGCTAAATGTTTGAACCTTTAAATGGTTCTTAAAATATTTACAAAATTAAATGCAAAGTCACATCGTTATACATACATGTACATGTAACTCATGCAAGCATGTTAAAGTGAAGGTCTGCATGTACATGAAGTCAGGAAAAGCCTTTGAAATTTTGATACATAAATTAATAGTAAGGTTGAACACTTCTTTTTTAAAAGGAAATTTGCAACAATGCTTACTGTATGACCTATGTTATGTGCATACTTACGGTATTCACCCTGTTTATTCTGCAGCTGTGCGAGCCTTGGTCAGAGATGATACATTGTTAAAGGAGAAAGTTGTTGAGTAAGTTGTCATTTCATAAATAGTCTGTCAGGGATTGAAATTATTGTATAAGATCTGAGAAGAGGCTGTTTGAACTTTGGCCTGTTGTATTCAAGAAGAAGTTAATCCATTTCAGTGTGGTAGTGGAGTCCATCCCAAGTCCCTGCAAGTCCATCACAAGTCCCTCAGTCTCAAGTCAGGTCACTAGCGTTTCAAATAAACTGTTACAAACGCAGTCCTTTGTAATTGTTCATCCCGTTTCTTGTGACTGGACTTATGAAAAGATTCGTGATGGACTGGACTACAACACAGTTTCTGGTCAAAACTTTCATTCCTCTACAAAGTTTTGATAACTTAGATATCTTCCATTGTAATCAAATAATGGTCATCAGAAGTATCAGTCCAGTTTGTGTGAAGCATTATTTTATAAAAGTTTTCAGTAATAAGTCACATGATGGCCAATAGATGATTTTTTCTACTTTCTGCCAAATGTTAGTATTTAATTGTATTGATTGTTGATGTTCAAATTTCTATTCAAATGTCTTTTTCCCTTGGATACAGTGCTATTGCTCAGTACAATAATGAGCAGCTTACCCCATGCAAAGTTGAGAATGAAACGGTAAGGATTAATAGGCTTAAATCAAAACATGTTTAAGAATTACTCTTAGATCAACAAGGAAGTAGAATTAAGAATAGTATTAATGATGAATTGTGAAAGTTTAGCAATCAAATAATAAAGAGGCCAGTATTGAATGCCAGTTTATTTGTTTAACCCGATCCGCCAGCCTATTTATTGTCTGCTGACCGACTGAGTTGCTCCCCGAGTCACTGACTGAGTCACTGAGTACAAATATTGTCTTAAACTGAGCCTGATCTTGTTTTTTCATGTTTGTGATTACAATTTTTGTGTTGAGTACTTTGGTCATTTTGTCATACATTCGCGTGCTGGTGATAACATGTTACCTACCTGTACATGTAATTAGGTTGCAAACATATTGCTATGGTTTTCCTTGAAAATTGTATACCGAGGCTTCGCTTTGCCTGCTTTGTTGGGAAGGTGGCAGACAGAAAAGGGATGATTAGCCATCCCACCAGCCCCTCCCACCAGCCCCTCCCACTAGCCCCTCCCACTAGCCCCTCCCACCAGCCCCTCCCACCAGCCCCTCCCACTAGCCCCTCCCACCAGCCCCTCCCACTAGCCCCTCCCACTAGCCCCTCCCACCAGTCCCCTCCCACCAGCCCATCCCACCAGCCCCTCCCACTAGCCCCTCCCACTAGCCCCTCCCACCAGCCCCTCCCACCAGCCCCTCCCACTAGCCCCTCCCACTAGCCCCTCCAACCAGTCCCCTCCCACCAGCCCATCCCACCAGCCCCTCCCACTAGCCCCTCCCACTAGCCCCTCCCACTAGCCCCTCCCACCAGCCCCTCCCACTAGCCCCTCCCACTAGCCCCTCCAACCAGTCCCCTCCCACCAGCCCATCCCACCAGCCCCTCCCACTAGCCCCTCCCACTAGCCCCTCCCACTAGCCCCTCCCACTAGCCCCTCCCACTAGCCCCTCCCACTAGCCCCTCCAACCAGTCCCCTCCCACCAGCCCATCCCACCAGCCCCTCCCACTTGATTGCCCTTGACATTTCTTGGAGTCTAATTGGATTTTCCATTGCAGGTTCTCATCACTGAATTTGGCAATCTTGGAGGAAGTCGATATCTTGCACCCAACCAAAAGAAGTCTTTCAAATACGACCATTTGAAGAAGGAGTCTTCAGACACTGATAGCCATGCTGTAGATGAGACCTCAGAGCCATGGCGAGTGGCTATGGATAAGGCTTTGGCTGGCCATGTCAAGGAACACTTCCCAAATGGATTCTATACGGTAAGCTGTACAATAGACCCTTTGCATTTGACAATACAACTGAGGGCAGATCTTTGTTCCCCTATGATATCCATGAGTTAGACAGTTGCTACTTTCATCGTCACTGAATTTAACTAATAAAACCTGCCATCAGTGAGAGCATACCATGCAAGGAGTCTGTACAGGGAAGGGTTTATGGTTGGCCATCGGAATTCTTGATTGGCTCGTAAGTTGGCTGGCTGGTAGGTTGATTGATTTGACATGGTAATTACAGGTGGACTCGATTTCAATTTGGCTGCAGTTGAAGTTAATGAAAAAAACAGAATAACACCAGTGACACAACTATTGACTATTCTCGATTTTGGCTATGGGCTCCTTGCGAACAAGAGGGCGTTATTTCACCACTTTTTAGAGCACAATGAACTGGACACACCGCATATGCGTACTGATTCACACGTATATAGTTTAAAGTACGCACGACGTATTTTATTTGTGTGAGGGTCGTGCATTACAGGGCGGAATTAGTCTTTTTTCCTTTCCCCTGCATGCTGACTGTTGTATTGTCTCTTATTTTATCAGATCTATGGAAGAAGTAGCGGTGATTCAATCACGCTGATTGTATGCATTGAAGATCACAAATTCAGCCCACATAACTTCTGGTACGTATTATTCTTGACTTTATACTTCCCACTCAATATTTTTTCTATGCATTTAATATTTTAACTTTTTGGTTTCAGTTTATAGTTTCAAAATGTTTGTCATTCATTATATCAGAGTGTCTTGAACTTTGCATCCAAGTTTTCAAGAGTTTCAACTTGAAATTATTATGGTATCCATTCATAATGTTAATGTTTACAAAAATGTAATTTAAGGTTTAATGAGCAAAATTTGTTACAATTTTCTGAAGCTCTATGAACTCAATGGGTAGGTAAAGCTTCAGTAACAACATTTAGTGACAACAAACTATAACTTTTCTTCCGTATTTAATTCAATTTTTCAATAGTTATTCATCACTTACTCATGTGTTTACATACTGTGAATGGTAGCTTATGCTGAAAACCATTTTTCTCATCAGGAATGGACGTTGGCGGTCACAGTTTTCAACGACTTTCTCCGGTCCTGGCAGTAAGAGTGAAATCCGAGGGATAATGAAGACTCAAGTCCATTACTATGAAGATGGCAACGTGCAACTGGTCAGCCACAAGGAAGTCAGGGAACAAATATCAATAGGGGTCAGTTGCTGCCTCCATTGCTTTAATGTTTTTAAAAATTGAAGGCAGTGAAATACTTTAAAGCCTACAATTTTTCCCTTTTTGTTTGACTACACCATTTTATGCTGCAGACCGAAACCAATTTTGAGAGATATGTGTCTTTCATGGAATAATATTCCATTTGACAGGGATGTACAAGAACATGATTGTGGGTATGAATCTACCTTTTAAAATAAACTTTTGGGCAATTCTGTGAATTAGGACGTACATGTCAGACACTTTAATGAGCTGCTGTTGGAAAAGTGAATGTGATACATCACTAATAATGTGACATCTAATGAGTAGAAAACAATTACAGACCAAACTAAGGTACCACCACTTTAACGACCTTGTACATGTCATGTGGTCGGACGTACATCAAATTTCATGGAACTACTTTAATTCCAAGGAATTATTCTCTAAAAGAGTATAAATGTGAAAATAACACTACTCCAATAAATGTTTTCAATACGATCCAAAAAAGTTGCAGTCACGGCAGTCCAAAACACCCGTCTTGCCTACCGCCGTGTTGTAGTGGAAGTGAAGTCCGTCACAGATCATCACAAGTCCATCACAGATCATCACAAGTCCATCACAGATCATCACAAGTCCATCACAAGTCCTCAAATCTCAAGCCATGTCATTGCTCACCCATTGTTACCTGTGACTGGACTTGTGGTTTAATTGCGATCGTGCTTGTCATCGTACATATGAGCGGACATGTGGTCGGACTAGGGATGCACTCGTGACGGACATTACTACAACACCAATACATTTGTGCAGACATTAGTGATTGATGCTAGGATATTAATTGTGCTTTTTCTTAACCTTTAACCTTTGACCCAAGGATGAGGCAGCCACAGCCAAAGCCATCTTGAATGTGATAGAGAAGTCAGAGAATGACTACCAGTCCTCCATGGTGGAAGACTACGGGGTGATGTCTGAGACTACCTTCAAGGCCTTACGACGTCAGCTTCCTGTAACTCGCTCTAAGATTGATTGGAATAAGATAAGTGATTATAAACTGGGTCAGGAGTTGAAGGGGGCTGAGGCAGACTAGAAGAAGCTCCCTGCACCCTTTCGCATTTCTAAGACAATGCCATTTAATATAAGAAAAAAGATTACTGTTGAGTTTTGGTCACCGCTGGGCTTATGTATATGAGTGGTGAGTCATACATATATATATAGGCACTAAATATTTGAATTGTTTTTGGCTATAAATGTGAACTCCAAACCAGATATCTATTCACTTCTTTGGAAGTTGTAGGCAAAAGCCCTGGCACTTCTAGATACCTTTGTAAAATGTTGGAAACTTGTCAGGTTTAGTTTTCCCAGTTATTGATGAAATTCCTGGAATTCGTCATGAATATCAGCAGATATTTCTCAATATTCTCAGCATGCCAATTTAATCTCATGTATAAGAACTGCATTATCCGTATAGGTTGGCTCATCTGTAGATTTGGTTATTCCCAGTCATAAAACAATTTATCTGTCATTTCTTTGGCCTTATGTTTCTGTAAAGCTTTACAAATTCATGACTTTGAGTAAAAAATATTATCTGATAGGAAATCTTTTTTTTACAAAAGCTTTTTGTAATGTGAAAAGAGTAATTAACTTAAGTAAGGTTGGTGTCACGAAGATCCAGTCTCGCCTGTAATTGAGAGAAAAATGAAAGTCTGAAATGGAACTGGGACCAGATTTCATCTAGAAAGCATTGGATGTACTTGTAAAGTGTGGATGAAACAAAAGTGAATATGTTTGTGTTCCGTTGTGCAAAGTTCTCTACAAAACAACAAAACAGAGTGACTAAACTTGGTTTATAAAGATCATTTCAAATTTAATATCTTTTCGTTGTCCGCGACATGACTTCAAACAGCCAGATGATACCAAATACCCATGTACCTTCAAACTGATATTGGCTTATTTATGTTACCCAGTAATTACAGATTATTAGCGATGACTTGCAAGGATGAGGAAGATTTTATGTAAACCAGTTTATAACGAAAATGAATGAGATGTAATTCTTTTAATACTGAATTACCTGTGTGATATTATTTTCATTACGATAAATCTTGTTAAAAGTTTACAACTTTTATGCTGTGTAGTTATTGATTTTGCAGATATTGTAGTTATCAAGCAAGCTTTTATTTGCAGATTCCTCCTCAATTTTTGTATTTTATTTTTGGGTTTTTTTTGGGGCCAAAAAGGTCAGGCTGCTGTCACATCTTTCAATTAACCCTGACGATCCTACATCTGCTAAAACTCAATATGTGGTTTGACAGTATTTTTTATGGATGCAAGATCGCACAGCCCAATCACAGTTACAGGCCAATCACGGTTTGCATGCTTTCTAATATTCCAAGATGTCCCAAGAACAATCAAGTTCTAATGGTTTACTCTACAGTTTGGACTTGGAAGATTAAGGAAACTTAGACACAAATCTTATCATCATGCCTTTAGAGGATATTTATCAAGTAACTTTTATATGATAGGTTTCTAAAAATGTAAAATTCATGTAACTGTGTTATCGGGGAACTCTTGTATCTTTAGTTTCCGGAGCATTAAAATTCTCTTTCAAATGTTAATATTTATCAGGAACCAACACAATTATTCATTTGGAAAGTGCAGGATTTTTCGTCAAAATGATCATTAGTTTAATTTCTGGAGCAACAAACAGATACAGATTTGCAACAAATCCTGCATTACTTTGAAATTGGTTCTGTATTTGCAAGATTGGTGAAATCAGAATTGAAAAAGTGTAAAGAATAATTTAAGACCTTATAAGGTCTTAGTATACAACAGAAACCTGGTTCATGTATTGGTAATAGTCTCCCTGAACCTGACGGTGTAGAAGTGATTAAAACTTCAATTAATGTAGCGCTTGAATCAACACAAAGGGAACTTGAATTAGTTAATTTCAGATCTACCGGTGATCATTATGGATAACAAATTAGTTGTAGATCTTATTAGCACCTTATCTTACTCTAATATATTCAGCAAAATCTTTATAATTTTTTTGATACCTGTTAATCAGCAGTTTTATTTCATTTAAATAAATGTAATTAATGATACACTAAAGAAGGGGTTCGTAAAAAATGGGAATAATTTCGAACATAACACTGTAACCAGACCAGATACAGTTAATTAAAAATGTATCAGTGACGCTATCTGTACCTGAAAAAGGCAATACCACATGATTTTAAAAATACCAAGTTTTAAGGCAGAATCTTATTTAAAATAGACCATTCAAATTAGAAGAAAGTATAATGGAAATTATCATTTCATCATAGTAACTCACAAAACATGTACTGCTTGTATTTTTTATGTACACTGCGTTATTTGCAAGACAAAAAAACCCACTGAAACTTCCAAGGGATTAATTTAGAGATACAACAAGCATATGAAACTGCTGAAGGCGGACAAGTTTATTATATGTAAACAGGTATTTTGTAATTATTGCTGAGCATGTTGTAAGCACTATTTTACGGTTAGAACAGCTGCAGCTGTTCTCCAGAAAACTTGGCCATGTGAATAAACACTTCCTCCTGGTGATGTGTCCTATAAATATTGATTTTTGTCATTGCACAGTACCATGTACATTGTACCATTTTTCATTTGCAATCCTTTTAACTTTTGAAGATCTTTCAATCATTTTGAGACCAAATTGGAAGCAATGTTTGTTTGGCTAATGGGTTACCTAATGTCAAAGTGAAGAAGGTTAATTGCCTTCGTTAATACTGTTGATCTGATCAGATAAATAGTGTGTAGTTATTTACTAAGAGGGAAATTGAGGGATCAGCATTTGCAAGGTGATATTGGGGTACTCAGTTGCTTGGTAACTGAACTATGCTATTTTTGGTAATTTTAAACAAAAACTGCATGCCTAAATACAATCTTGGTAAAGGATTGTATGTTTGTGTCAGTTATTTTGTTTCGAGGGTACATCACCTCAGCATATTCCAGATGTCTGTTAGCTGTCATTCAACTGTGAGCAGTCATATCATAGCTGGAAAATGTGAAAGCAATTCCTTAATTTTTTAACATACAAATGAATGTCTTTATTCATCCAAAATTGCTGGTTATAAGTAATTTTGAAGTTGTAATAACTGTTTTTGTAGCTTTGTTGCAGGCATCATTAAAGATAATCACACAACTATAACCACTGAAGACTGTCTCCTTCAGTAATTCTGACGTCACTTGACTTTGAGGGTCTCTTGATTTCGATCTTTGAAGGCAAAATTCGCTATTCAGCTTTGTATGTTTTGGGGCACTGTGTAAATTTTTTTTGAAAATGCTTTGATTTTTTCTTAAGATTAAAAAAATAAAAAAATTTTTGGCAGACTTCGCACAAGTGACTAAAAAAAGGGAGGGATCAAATTGTGTAACGTGAAAGGCCATTTCTTAAGTGTCCCGAAATCTGAAATCTGCCCCTAAATCTGTTATGTTGCTGGATAGTCATTCATGGTAATTTCGTTTGCCCTAGAACTTAGAAACTGTAAACTTGATTCCCAAAGACCCCGCCCCTTTTACGGACGGCAACGTGTACTAACAGTGCGCCCTCTATTGTTGAGATTTAACTTAATACACGACACCCCGGAACCCCCGGAACGTAACTTGATGGTCTGTTTTTGACAGTTGATCTCAAAAGTACTTATCCTATTCACATAACGTCACAAAAGTTCGACACATGGCCTTTCAGTGTTTCATATGGTAAATATAGTTGTACCAATATTTCCGTTGTTTTATCTTTGTTATTAGCGTTGTTTAGGTTTAAAACGTGTGTAGTTTTGTGTGTCCAGATTCCGGACGTAATTAATGCATCATAAAAAAACGAAGTGGCTATCGTTACGGCAGCCGTTGTTTAGCGCCCTCTACGATACTTTTTTGATACGCACGCAGGTATATAATTATTTGTTTCCCCACGTTTCAGCGAGCAGTGCGACAGCTCAGTCGATAGAGGGTAGGATTTTGCACAGCGAGGTTGCGGGTTCGTATCTCAGTTTTGCACTCGAATTTTTTTCCTTTTCTAACCTGAGCCTAGGCTTTGGAGGATTTTTTTCAAAAGGGAAATAAAGTCCGAATTTCATAACGTTTAAATTCACTTTTTTCCTTCTAATTTTATATTTTCTTCTCATGTTTTTATAAAAGTTGCAGTCTACCGTAACGATAGAAAATGGGAAATGCGTTACGGCTGCCGTAACAATATAGCCACTGCGCAAAAAAGGGGAAGCAAAAAAAGTATTACAAATTACAATAAGCAACATAGGCCTAGGCCTACCCTTTGACTGAGACTTAAATTTGAAGAAAACATCTGGTAGGCCTAGTGGTAACCTAGTCCCATAAAAAAAATCTCCCTTTGTTCAGTGAAAAGAACACAATTTCGCATAGGCCCCCTACAGAGTTTTAAAAACTGATGGGAGTGATTTTGTGAGACAGCAGTGAAGAAGATGTGCTGTGGCTACAGGTGCTAACAAGGTCAAATTCAATGGGATAATGATATATTTTATATTTTTCCTTTGATTATTTGCAGAGTTTCAGTTTTTTTTAGATACACCCATGCTGTGTTCCTGCCACAATGATTCTACCGGTTAACTCTCATCAGCTCCATTCATGATGCCAACACAAAGCCGCGACACAGAACAAACCATGATGACGTGCAGTGCCTTATTCACCATCTTAATTCTCCTCTTCAACATCTCTGTCTTCCTTTTATCCAACGGCAAACAGTTTAATTGGTTTGCACCACGCTCAGGGCAATATGATAAACGTTTTGGTGTGTTCACGGAGGCTGAACGACAACAAAGATTGGAAGACGTCAGGAGAATGTTTTATTACGGTTATGATAACTACATGAACCATGCATTTCCATTGGACGAATTGGATCCCATACACTGCAGAGGTAGGGGACCAGACTACAATAATCCGTGAGTATGGTAGCAATGGATACCAGACCAGTAACGTACATTGTAATTACATTACTTCTTTGACTATGGACTACTAGTTACTGGCCTTTATAGAAATATTGTGAGTGATACTCATTTTATTAAAATATCTAAAGAGAAAAAGATCTAATATTCAAATAGTCAAATAAGTATGTGGGTTGCAAAAAATGAATACATGTAGTTTCATTGCAGTACCTGCTGCTTTATCATTTGAGCCAGCCAGCCAACCCTGGCAAGCTCAGTGGTCGAGTGGTAAGACGTCTGCTCTAGAAAGCAAGAGGTCATGGGTGCGAGTCCCACCCGAGTGATTTTTCTCACAATCACTGGGGTGAAAACTGAGTATACAGTGTTTATAAAAATAAATAATAATAAAACCATTCTTATTTAGGGTATTTCACCCTGAGGTCCCTATAGGATTAAAATTGCATCGGTGAAGGGGAAAACCCAATTTTGAATGAAATTCTTCATGTTTTGTATTTTGTTCAATATCACTACGTCCCCTTTATATCAGTCACTATTGAGAAAGCCAATTGGTTTCAGTTCAACTAAAACAAAACATCTTAAAATTTTCAGAACTCCTCAACATGATTTATGGAACTGTTGCGATCATTTGAGTCTAAACGTTTTATAGTTCAATCAGATATGACATCTTTTTGTCTTTTTTTGGTCATTTCTAGCTCAAACTTAAACATTAATGATGTTCTTGGAGGATACTCACTGACGTTGATCGACGTTTTAGACACACTTGCAGTAAGTACATTCAAGAATGTCTTTTGAATTCAGATATACTGTGAGGCCCCATGCCAAAACCAGGCTGTTCCCAAGTTGGAAAATTGTATTCAACTGATGCAAGTGTGTATGAAAAGCTCCCCCCTCTATCTTTCTTTATAATAATTTCTTTATCAAACTAATTACGAAACTTCAGACTAAAAAAGTGTAGAATAAAAACTTGATTTTTGTAAGCTGGCAACTTTGTGAGTCCTAAGAAAGAGGTGGTTCTGTGGTTGATGTTTACACCTCTGGTTCTTCCCAGCACAAAATTTCAATTATAAATCTAAGATTGTATTTATAAACAAAAAAATGTGCAGAAGATATTTTGGGCTTTACTTTTAAACATTGCAAACAGTATGCCACTGATGTCAAAAAGTTTTATCAGAGCAAAAATATGAGTAACTTTTATCACCCCGTGATTAGCTTGAGTACCAAAAGTTACTTGAGGGCAGTATCAATCTGGGTATATGTAAGAGTTTAACTTTGGTTTGTATTTGAGGGGAACATGTACTGCCTCAGCATGTCTAAGTAGCAAATAAGTGTTTGTTTTTGATTGCAAAATGTGCACTAATCAGTTTTATTAGGCTTGTTTCTGATGCTAAGTATCATTTGATTGGTGTTTAATTTAACAGATAATCGGTAACAGCAGTGAGTTCAAGCGAGCTGTTAGTCTAGTCATAGATAATGTGACTTTCAACCAGAATAGCACAGTGCAAGTATTTGAGTCTACAATAAGGTGAGACATACATGTATGATCTGCAAACTTTATAGCTATGATGAACATAATGGGGTCCACAAACGATTGTTCCGCTAAAAACATCGCTATGGTGGTTGTTTGTCAGAGCACTTTGCTCTGCATTACTGTACATGAAATGTTGGAGCCAAAGAGATCGTTTGTTATAACCAGGTCATTGTTATAGTGATGTTCATTTAAACATCATCTGGTGCTTGAAATCTGTGCTATAGAATTCTGTACTACATAAACTATACAAAATCTGTTTGGTTTGGCTGTCATATGGTATCTGAGAGAAATATTACCATAGTTAACAGAACAATGAAACGTTTATCCAGATTTGAAATAAAACGTACATAAACCCAATCTTCCTAGGCAGTTTGCCCGTTTGCTAGGAACCTTCCTTAATCGTCCAAAATCTTCCTCTTAGAGGAAAACCCAAAGGTACATTCATGTACTTGACTGTCAAGGAGCATCAAGTCAGAAATGTACACATTTGCTTGTCTTGTACCTCCTCAATCCTACCAAATCTTCAAAAAGCTCCTGGTGAATTTGTGAGAGATCTTGGAAAGTTGAAGGTAGAAAATGTTATTGTGAATAATAGTGATAATTTCCAACCAACTTACGTTTCTCCTAGTAACCCCCAAGCTGACGTCATACCTGATTTCTATTGTTTCTTCAGAGTCATGGGAGGATTACTATCTGCCCATCTATTAATCACTGATCCATACCAACCCTACGGTGATCTCTACCCTGAGGATTACGATGGTCAATTGCTTGATTTAGCTCATGATTTGGCTGTCAGGCTACTACCAGCCTTTGAGAATACATCCACATCCATTCCACATCCAAGGGTAGGTAGCAGAAGATCAGTTACAGAAGCACACATTGAAAGACCCCTCTCAAAATTGCAACTGTACACAATGTGTCCTAACCTCCAATCTTTGACAGTATGAACTTTGGAGATTTTTGTAATTTTTGTTTTTGTTTTTTTGTTTTTGTTTATAGTTCACAGCACTGCAGGACTCCAGAGGTTAAAATGTCACCTCTGATTTTGTGGATTCTACTGGTACTGTTAAGCAATCAGTAGATGCAATGGTTTAGGACAGACTTCTGAATTCTATCAATAATTGGCTTACGGATCCTTGGTTCTTGAGTTTGGTGTCTCAGGTTCCTCTAATCCAAGTTTGGTCTTTTACATCCTCAGGTTAATCCATGTGATGGAGTTCCTGTTGAAGGCATCCAGGAAGCATGTACTGCAGGAGCAGGAGCCTTGGTTCTTGAGTTTGGTGTCTCAGGTCCTCTAATCCAAGTTTGATCCTTTCATCCTCAGGTTAATCTATGTGATGGAGTTCCTGATGATGGCATCCAGGAAGCATGTACTGCAGGAGCAGGATCCTTGGTTCTTGAGTTTGGTGTCTCAGGTTCCTCTAATCCAAGTTTGGTCTTTTACATCCTCAGGTTAATCCATGTGATGGAGTTCCTGTTGAAGGCATCCAGGAAGCATGTACTGCAGGAGCAGGAGCCTTGGTTCTTGAGTTTGGTGTCTCAGGTCCTCTAATCCAAGTTTGATCCTTTCATCCTCAGGTTAATCTATGTGATGGAGTTCCTGATGATGGCATCCAGGAAGCATGTACTGCAGGAGCAGGATCCTTGGTTCTTGAGTTTGGTGTCTCAGGTTTTCTAATCCAAGTTTGATCCTTGTCATCCTCAGGTTAATCTATGTGATGGAGTTCCTGATGATGGCATCCAGGAAGCATGTACTGCAGGAGCAGGATCCTTGGTTCTTGAGTTTGGTGTCTCAGGTTCTCTAATCCAAGTTTGATCCTTGTCATCCTCAGGTTAATCTATGTGATGGAGTTCCTGATGATGGCATCCAGGAAGCATGTACTGCAGGAGCAGGATCCTTGGTTCTTGAGTTTGGTGTCTCAGGTTCTCTAATCCAAGTTTGATCCTTTTCATCCTCGGGTTAATCTATGTGATGGAGTTCCTGATGATGGCATCCAGGAAGCATGTACTGCAGGAGCAGGATCCTTGGTTCTTGAGTTTGGTGTCTCAGGTTCCTCTAATCCAAGTTTGATCCTTTTCATCCTCAGGTTAATCTATGTGATGGAGTTCCTGATGATGGCATCCAGGAAGCATGTACTGCAGGAGCAGGATCCTTGGTTCTTGAGTTTGGTCTCCTGGGTCAGCTAGTGGATGATCCAATGTTTGAGCGAGTTGCTAGAAGAGCCATGGATTCGCTGTTTATCAGACGATCAAACACAACAGGATTGCTTGGTAAGTCATGGATGAGAATAAGCCCATCAAAATAAATCAACAAATAAAATGGATAATGAAAATTGTTGGTTCTGACTACATATTTCACACCTTTTAATGTATACATTTTTTGAACATGACTATCAAATTGTAGGAGCTGCTGTCTGAACATTAAAACAGGCTGCTGTTAAAAAGTAAATAAAAGCTACGATTGTGTTAAAGATTTAAGGATATAACTCCACGTTCTGAAATGTATGTACTTTTTGTTTGTACAGGAAATGTGATCAACATTGAGACGGGGGAATGGGTGGGAATTCAGAGTGGCCTAGGAGCAGGAGCTGACTCCTATTATGAATACTTACTGAAGGTAAGCAATCTACAATCAGGCCTGTCAGTGAATTGAGACGGGTGAATGGGTTGGAATTCAGAGTGGCCTAGGAGCAGGAGCTGACTCCTATTATGAATACTTACTGAAGGTAAGCAATCTACAATCAGGCCTGTCAGTGAATTGAGACTGGTGAATGGGTGGGAATTCAGAGTGGCCTAGGAGCAGGAGCTGACTCCTATTATGAATACTTACTGAAGGTAAGTAATCTACAATCAGGCCTGTCAGTGAATTGAGACGGGTGAATGGATTGGAATTCAGAGTGGCCTAGGAGCAGGAGCTGACTCCTATTATGAGTACTTACTGAAGGTATTATGCTCAGGCTTGTCAATTTTTCAGCATGGAATAGTATGACATCTGGGGCCTGTAAAGTTCATTTGTGTCTTCATTTCAGGATTGTCATTTATTATTTTCTTTGTATTTTTAGTCTTTCATAATGTTTGGTGAAGAACAAGATTTACAGACGTTCAATGAGATTTACAGCAGTGTCAAAAAACACATGAGGAAAGGGTGAGTAATCCAGGACATTATTGTTCTTTTCTAAAGTTTTGGCAGGAACTTTCTAAAGCTGCTCTCCATGTGGATGTCCTGTTAAGCAACATGGTGCAAGATTCTCTTGTCTATGGACTACAGTAGATCAATTCACTCACTTGACACGATAATTCTTGGGATATGTTGGAAGATTGTTTGGTTGCCTTTGGTGATTCATTGAAACAAGTTAAGCCCATGCATGACTTGTGACAGTGTTCTCACTGAAGTAGACTGTGATAAAGGCATTGCCTCATTATTGTTCATCCCATACTTTTCAGCTAGACTTGTTAGTGAACTTTTAATGTACTTGTGACTGGATGGGACAACAGCTTTGACTTTGTAATCGTTGTCATTTTCTTGTCATTTTCTTGTCTCGGTTTATTCAGGAGAGAATTCTGTACCAGTGGTGAAGGTCCTGTGCCCATCTACGTCAACGTTAACATGAAGGACGGACGCACAATCAACTCCTGGATGGATGCATTGCAAGCAGCCTTTGCTGGAGTTCAGGTTATGGTCCTAGTAGGATATACTCCAACAATGATTGACATGAATGATTGTGCCTAGTCTGTTGGGTCTTCAAAACACTAGCTTTGTCTATAAATGGCGTTTTCATTATACCTCTACATTGGAATCATTTTAAAGTAAACCTGTAATGTCCAAACCGAATATTTGAAGAAGAAAAAACATGGACTGATAATAAGCGCGAGTCTCCAAAGTCATGGGCCTGAGAAATCTCCTAAAACCGCAGGTGGAGATGTAGCCGCAGTTTGGAAGAATCCTTTGTTAAACCAGGGACATTCTAACGCATTGCTGATGGCGCATGTCGCTCACATGAAGACGCTATGGGTTTCTGCACAGTCAGAATAAAATAAGTTGTGTGTAGTTTGTACCATGTACCTGTGTGAACCAGTATGCGCAGGCAGTGTGCCCCTCCCACTGGGGCCTTCCGAAGGGGTCAAAAAGTGCCATCTAGTGTTTGTGCAAGGAGTTGATAACGCTAGGACATTTTATCTTGGAGCTTCCCGAACCCTTTGAACCTAGCCCTCATATCAATGTATCATTGTCATTTCATGCAAACACCTGATAAGATACACCAGGTGATTTAGATGAAGTCATATGCTCCCATGCTTTATATGATGACAGCCAGCAGTATTATGACAAGATATTGCCTGTATTTTGATTCTGTCTTGTTTCAGGTCTTAGCTGGTGATTTAGATGAAGCCATTTGCTCTCATGCTTTATGCTATGACAGCCAGAAGTATGGGACAATTGAAACCCCATAGATCTGGCCCCCACCATTTCCCTGATACCCCCCCCCCCTTGTTTTATGATAAGATATTGCCTGTATTTTGATTCTGTCTACTTTCAGGTCTTAGCAGGTGATTTAGATGAAGCCATATGCTCCCATGCCATATATTACGCCATCTGGAGGAAGTATGGAGCAATTCCTGAGAGATTTAACTGGCACACCAAGCAACCAGACGTCTTATTCTATCCACTACGACCTGAACTTGTAGAATCTACCTACCTACTATATCAGGTCAGCTGCTGTCATTTCTGCCTTCCAACAAAATGTACCCCACTTTTTTAATTGAGCAATTATTCTTTTCCATCCAGTAATCGTTCCTTTTAATAGGTTTTCATTTAATATGAGCAACTGATTGTTTTTATTGTTTTTGTTTACTTTAAAACAAAAATTGTGTCAACAACAGAAGTTTCAAAACCAGTAATTAAATCACCTTTTCAGAAATTTGCCTCGAAATTATTTTTACCATCCACTTTTTTTTTCCCGTCCCACATTTAAAAGGGTATAATGAGTGGAATTATGATTTTTAGCATTGCAATGTTTGTGCGCATGCCCCATTGCCTTCATTTTCATAAGTGAGTTTTGATAGTTGAACTGGGATATGCAACCAAATAACCAACAGTTTGATCATCAAATCAATCCTGTACTGGTGTCAGCATTGAGTTGGAACTTCCCAGGTTTGTCTCTTTCCTCCCTTCAAAAGTTTTTCAATGTGTATCTTATTTTGAGTTAATTGAGAAATTCTGGGTTTTATCTTTTAGGCTACACGGAATCCGTTTTATCTTCACGTTGGAAGCGACATTCTGGAAAGCTTGGAAATGTACACAAAAGCGAGGTAAGTCTGTCAGCGTGTTCTTCAAGGCCCGATACTATGAATGTAGGTTCCCATCCTTACTTACTGTTGTTGAAACGCTTCATTTGACCATATTGCGTAGTAGTTAGCTTAAAGCTTTGACTGTAATAACAGCTAAGAAGTGGTGACAACATTAAATGTAAGACCCAGAGAAGCATCAATGTGTGCTTCTGTAAACATTCTCTCTTTATACTGTTTCCCAAATTCTAATAATCAAGTTGGATTGATGTTCTTTCTTTCTTTCTATTAGCTGTGGCTATGCAACCCTTCATAACGTCATCACAAAAACCAAGGAAGATCGGATGGAGAGTTTCTTCCTCAGTGAAACCTGCAAATATTTGTTTCTGGTAAGACAATCTAACAAACTATTCTAGTGTCACAAGCCAGATTGCTGACAAGAGGAGAAGAGAGAGAGAAGTTGAGAAATGTCGTCAGAGCTTACATTTCAGTGAGGTGTTTGTGTCTCCTCTAGCTTTCCCCGTGTTTAGGGGTTTATGATCAGACACCTCGGGTAGTCGGTTAAACTTGGTATATTTGATGACACTATTGTTGGCTTTCATGAATAAACATTGCATTCATTGCCAGCAATTGCAATACTCAAGTACTTTATCAAACTGGCCAGCCGTCACAGGAAACTGTGATAATGAAGTGGTTCTGACACCTGCTCTAGTAAACAGCAGGTCATGGGTTCCAATCCAGCCTGTGCAAGCTTCCAGTGTTCCCCCAATCCATCCATTTCTGAAAATGACAGTAAAGGCAAATGTTGAATATTACAAGTAAAGTTTTTTGTTCGTTTTGTTTTTGTTTTTGTTTATCTTCAGTTGTTCGACAGTGACAATCACGTGAATCGAGCAGCTTCCAAGTACATCTTTACTACAGAAGGTCATCTGTTTCCAATCTCAGGGAAGTATCGTACTAAGCCCTGGTGGGTGATGGATGACGACAAACCATTAGCAGACATCAGAGTGCATGGTGATTGCTGCAATCAACTGCCTTATAATCAGACTCTAACTGAGGTGAGCAAACAGTCTATAAAATGCAGAATGTAAACTGACCAAAAAATACCTGCCAAAAATATACCAGAAATAACATCAGTTTTTAAATCATATTTAATGGCAAAATTCTAAACATTACAGCATGAAAACATTTTCAGTAGTCTGTTTGTACAGTGTCAGTAGTGAACTGTTAAGATTGACATGAATTTTGGTTTTTGAGAAACACTGGAATAACATTTCTGAGAAAAAAACATGTTTAATTTGTTTAAGACAGATATGCGCAGATTCAAGTAAAAAAGGTTTCAGCTCAATAGATTATCATCTTTCAGAAATGTTTGACACTGTAATTTAATGCTTCATGTGCATTGTATATCTGTCATCTTTCACAGTGTGCCTATGTTTCTAGTGAGAGTAAACTCAAGTTACCACTAGAAGCCGTCTACTTAGAACAGATAGATCAACTGGTTGGATTATGATGAAACGCCCTATGCCAATGGTTCCTCCTAATAGCCGTCTTCCTGTGTGATGTATCTCCAAGGCCGTGTCTGAATTGATTGGCTATGACTAACAACAACACATGGGTCTATGAAAGAGGCTGTAGCCGCTTCTCATAAACATTTGTATTACTTACAGTCATAGCCACGTAGTTTGGACATAGCCATGACACAAATATCCTGAGATGGACAATGGGGCTCACTGCCTTTAATGAGCAGGTTTGAGGACAGTTAGTCGACTAGTGGTTGGTTCGTCATGTAATTTATGCCTGTCCACTAATGTGTGAGCGTTGTTTTTAGTCAGACGCTGGTCCAACATCATCACAGGACTATTTGGATCTGGCTCGCATGGCTATTGATAATTGAACTCAACAAACTGACGAATGGCTTATTTCAGGTTATGGTCTTATAAAATCATGAGTTAATTCTGTCATTTGAAAATTGATGTTATCCAGAGTGTATAATGTCGATTTATGATTCATGTATGAAACATATCTGCTGTTTTACTGCTTCTAAAGAGGTTTGATTATTACTGTATATTTTGGTCGAGTACAAATATATTTTTGTGGTGCTATTTATCATCATGATCATAAGAATAATTCCATATGCATACACATGTATTTACAAATGTTTAATTTGGTAAACTGGTCACTGCTTGTATTTCGTTGATTTACATTTAGTATTAAAGTTGCAATGAAACTGTCATGTACTTATTGTATACCTGAGTTGTCAATTTCTGGAGATTCCTGAAATCACTTTTAATGAAAATAAGTGCAGTTTTTGCCAGAATTGCTGTCCATTTTGTAAAATTCTTAACAGTATTTAACAAATTTATGTTTTATAAAAACTGAAGAATCTTCTGATATATTAATAACTCTGCCTATCTATGCCTCATATGTTATGACATATTTTCATGACACATTGTTTCTAAAGTTACAGTTCTGTATTTACTTTCTGAATGCCACTGTGAAACAGTCATTAACTTGACATTTCTGTTTTAATCTTGTATTTCCATATTTTTGTTACATATCGGCATGTTGATGATTTAATATTTTAAGGTAAAATATGACAAAAGACGAGCAAAGAAAGTTGTTTTTGAATTTATCATTTTAATGCAAAAGACATATATACATGTACATGTTTATGAGAAACAAAATGACTTGAAATGGAGGTGCATCTTGCATACAATAAGCAGCATGTTTTAGTTATAATCCAGCTCGCTATGATTATCAGGTGAATCCATTTTATATTTTATTTGTTTCAGTTACTGTGTAATTAACCTAATCAATGTTTACTTTTTGGGTTGAGAGTAAAGTAAGGCGGGCTGGTAATCCACCAATCAGTTGTTCCCCTGATGTCCTGCATTTGATGTCAGATGTGGGACATGTGCCATGACCCCAGGGTGGGGATTCTGGTTTCCTGTTGGTTGCACATGCAATGGTTTCTTGGGGATCCGCTCATAAGTCCGACGCCTCATAGGTCTGACACCTCATAAGTCCGAAATGTCGGACTTATGAGGCGTCAGACTTATTAGGCATCGGACTTACGAGGCAAAACTCTACCTCATAGGTTCGACGCGGCATAAGTCCGACGCCTCATAGCTCCGACACCTTATAAGTCTGAAACAGCGTTTGTCCATTGTTGGACCTATGAGGTGTCAGACTTGTGCGGCGTCGGACCTATGAGGCGGAATTCATTCCTCATAAGTCCAACATTTGGGACTTACGAGGCGTCGGACCTATGAGGCATCGGACTTATGATACGGCCCCGTTTCTTACACTAGTTACAATGTATGCACAGATAGTGGAGCCCTAGGGGTGGGGATTTGATCAGTCTGAAAGTGACAAGCCAATCGTATGGCTAGCTTTGGAGGAGGGGGGGGGGCCTGACAATTGATTGTTGCATAATGAAGGTATACATTCATGTAGGGATTCTATTGGTGCTTTCACTAATTAATTTCAGACAATAACTTTGAACAGAAGCAATGTCACAAACTATCCCAAAATATTACATTTTGAAAACGACTTTCAATATGTATAGCGTCTTCCCAACACCAAGAATATGAAATGAAAGGCACAAGAGGCAATTAGTTTAATTCTACAGGTATGTTCAGCAATATGGTAGCTATGTACAGGTTAAATTTCTTTATCCATTGGTGAACACATCTTCCATTTTATGAGAGTTTTAATAACACTATTTATGATTTCATACATGTGCTTCCTTACTTGTTATTACAACCATCCATGACATTTGTTTTGAATTCCTTCAACTACAGTAAAGACGCAAATGAAATTTTAATGCTAACAAGGTAATCTCTACATGCAGTGGTAAGTACAAAAATCATTATTAACTTTCCATTTCACGTTTTTACAGATACATGACAGATGTTGCCTGTAAGTGCGACTTCAACTTTGCCCATAGTTCAGACATTTTTCAGACATGCATGTTTCTGTCATTTTTCAAGATCAGAAGAGAATTCATGTTCCAAAATTCTGAAACGACTGTATTAAGACTTAAGACTTAAAAACAATCAGAATCAGCATATGTACATGTTCAACCGTCTGTAACAATCCTTCAAACGAAATACTTGTACACAATACTAACGTGACTATTTGATAGAAAACAAATGTCCTGTTTACTTTTTATTACACTTTACAGATGTGGCAAAAGCATTCGCTTCTGAATTTATTTTAACATTGTTTTGTTTTGCTGGACGTGGATGCAATAAAACAGTTCCAATCTATTTAAATTTACATCCTACAGATACTAAGTTAGTATCTTCTCCAAGATTTTATTGATTCATTTTTTGCCAGACATGGATGTGAATGATCACCTATCAGTTGACATGATCAGCGATCCATCCGACCGACCGCCCATCCCATCGTCCGTTCCATATCCAGGTAATGTCATATCCACCGGTAGTTGCTGTGATGCTGTCGAGTCTGGAGACACATTACCAGACATTCCTCGTGCCTCGGATAAACCTGAGAGTTCTGATCCGCTGCGTGACGCAGCGCTAGAGTCGGGACTGGGAGCTTCGTAGTAACCAGCAGGGACAGTCTTGGGGCGAGTAGTGCTACCATCTAGACCTTTACCTTGTAGAGTCTCAGGAGCAGTGCCTGGTGGTCTGGGGATACACAAAGGTAATAAACATTTGAATCACAATCTGGGCTCAAACTCATAGCTCTGCTAACCACAGAATTCTGCACTTACAATTACCATTCTGCGCTAAACCTGTAAGCACAGAATCCTTACTTACTGGATGTACGCATGCGCAGAAGCCAAAATTCCCTGCTAACACGTGAAATACGCATACCGTAAGCACAGAACTTTCTGCTATAGTAAGCAGGGATTTTTCGCTAACTGTAAGCAGAACCAAGAAATTGGGCCCTGATGGATGCATTTTATTTTCCAAATGCTTGAAGACTAACAGACCCAATGCATTCAGCAGTCATCTTTGTGGTACGTGTACTTGTATGTTTATTGTAATTCAGTAACAATGCATGCACAAGAGATCTACTCATGTCCATTCCCTTGGAACAAAAGGAAGAACCTCAAACATGACTGCTATGCAAAGGATCTATAGTTTGTGATGGATTTGTGCATTTTGTTTTTAATACAAGTTTTTTTGCCCTTCACAATAATTTGAAAAGAACTGAGTAATCTGTGCTGTCCGACAGACCATGAGAAAAAAAAAAGAGTCCTTAGATGATAAAAAAATTTCCTAAAAATCTTAATCTTTTCTTCACACAAAAAAGGAATATTGTCCCAAAATATCAAGACGTGGTTGAAGACTGTAAACACAGGGCTGGGTAGTTCTGATTAGAGCTCCTGAGTGGTGTTCTGGTGGTCACAGGTTCAAACCCCACTCCAGTCAATTTCATTGGTCCACCTAACATTGATACAAAGGTTGTCTGGCAAGTTCTTGCTGTGGTTTATTTCATGATCCCTACATGTACCTTGCAATTAACTGGTCCAACGGTTTAGGCTCAATCCCTGCTGCTGCTGCTCTTGCTGCACTCTTGCGACGCTCGTATGACGCTTGCTCCTGAAAAGTCCAAAATACCCAAAATTCATTGATTAAAGAATTCCCTCACGGATGCGAAAGAGGTGAAATGTAGGTCCGGGGGTCAAATTGATGACAGTAGATGTACATACCACACTAGATCTCTTAGGCTGCAGCATGGCCTTCATCCCAGGACTCATCAATTTCCGAGATATCTGTGATCCGGTGTCTGCACTCTTAACTCGATCAGACCACGTCTTCATTCCTGATGTAGATCTCAATGGCGTCACTGATCGATCTCCCATGGGAGTCTGGGAATCAGACCTTGCCTGCGTAGGGCTTGGTGAATCACTGGATGGAACCCAGTTAGAAATAGTCAGGTGCTGTGGCTCGGTCTCTCCTAAGCCTAAGTAGCCTGACACTAACTCTCGACATCGATCAAATGCCGCAGTCAAATCACCTGGTTCAACGACATAAAAAAACTTTGTTACCAATTTTGTAAGAAAAGACTTTAGAAGTCATTGCAATATCAAAAATGGAATTCTTTTTCCGTTTGCTTGTCTCCTACTTTAAATTTACAGCCAACATCGTTTCTCAACAAACTAGTAAAAGACATCGATTCATTTCCATGTGTCTTACTTACTGAAGTTTTGGTTTTCTTAAAACTTTGTCAACAGTGGACTAGTGTGAACAACAGCCATGGTTTCATTTGACAACTTATACTTAGTTCACTTCCAAGTTTGATTATAATTTCAAAATTTCATCTGTTCCAAATTTATATCTTGTGTTGGTAGATAATTACACCACTGAAACACAAGTAAATCTTAAAAAAATTATTTCCGGTAACTGATGCACAAAGAAGTGTTCTTAAAATAAATCAAAGTTGGGGAACCATTTTTTGGGGGGTTATTTCTTACTTGAATCCACAGTCATATCAAAGAATCCTGGCTTATCCTGATGGATACCACGGTAGCGCCCCATCTCCCTTACTGCTTGTTCAATGTTTTCTTGGCTAAGGTTCCCGACTGCTCTAAGCCGTGTCTCATGAGCGGCTTGGTCTAGCGGAAGCAGTAGAATGTATCGTGGTTCATAGTAGGACAACTTGAGAGAAAGGACGCCCTGTAATAGTAAGAAAACAAAAAATAAATGTTAGATTAAGGATGAACTTGCAATTATGATCTGAATCAACCCGATCCCATTGTTACAGAAACTAAATATAATTGTCACTTTCTGATAAACTTTTCAAAACCCCAACGGTGCCATAGGCTTACCACAAGTGTGTCCCAAATTGAAATTACTTTTGTTTAAGTTTAGAATAAATTTTCAAAACCTGGATGCAATTCCTTCTTTATTAATCTAACTTTGTTCTACACTGTTAGAGACTTCATTATCAGTACCTCTACTTCCATAGTCAGTATACAGGCTAACCCTTCCTTTGCTACATCTTCAATAGCTTCTTGACTGACTCCATATTGATGTCCCTCCGACTGGTACGTCAACAAGAAAACACCCTGAATATCCAACAAAACAAAGGATTGTTACCAAAGAAAACAATTTGTAATAGTCTAAAAATATAATTACACATGCTATGCAAACATTCTGAAACATAACATTGTACAAACGACCATTCGTGGGAAACAATAAAGCCATATTGTCTCAAGTGAGCAATAACAATGGGCTCCATGCGCGAACAAAAGAGGGCGCCCTTTTACCTAGCAACGACATCCCATGGTTGGGACACATACATTTCGCTGGTTGACGCGTGCCCACCTTTCCATGTGTGTGACGCACGTACACCAGGGGATTTGTACCATGCACACGCAGTGGCCGCGCTTCGCGGCAAAATATTGCAGTCAGGCAAGATGGCGTCGTTCGGTCACCCTCAACTGTGTTTTCTTTGCTTGTGAGGGGGTACTTGTGAACAATGGTTATTGTAACCATTTCATTTTCCTTCATTTCTTTACCTGTTTGATTTTGGAATCAAACGAGCCGGCAGACACAAAATGGAAGTCTTTCTTGTCCATTTCTCCTGTGTATGGAGCTCTGGTTGTGTGTGAAATCCTAAAATGAAACACAATCAAAACCCTATAAGTTTAACAACAAATTAAACTAATCAATAATTTTTAAATTCACCAATTTAACAGGTGTAAGACGGCCAAAGTCTGAGAGAACTGCGCCAAAGCATAAAATAACCTTAATACTTGAATGTGACATGAAGGTCCATTTGAGTTCACCATTATTGCCAAGTTATAACTCTCAGCTCTAGTTCCTGATGTGAGCATATTTTTTTCAGGTCTTGCATCTTCACCTTCTGCAGACATTCAGATCATCAGATACAGTCATCTTGCATCATGACCTGGCATGTCTGGCTTTTCAAGTTTCAAGACAATTCCATTGACAACTTTGAAAACTTCATCTCTTTTTTGTGTGGTCACAACAGCTCTCAAGTTCTGGTAATCTCAGAGATTTAACAATTGTGGAAGTCTCAAACTTTATCAACACATCTTTTGTTTTCGGCAAACAGTAGTTACTCATAGTGATGAAATAAACCCAGCAAAGTCATGCTTACCCATAGCCAAAATATGTAGGGAACTCAGCCACCAGTTTGTGAGCTAGTTCATGTTTGCCTGAACCCGGTGGGCCAACCAGGACAAGCATGGGGTAAGGTGTCTCCATACTGGGCAGGGTACTACAGAGACAAAACATCAAATAAAGACATCAATTATGATGAAGTTTATAATTATAGGATCTACAACACATTATGTTTGATCAAGTGTGCACAACAACTTATAACTGAAAACAATGTTCATATTGCCAAACAGCCTCTAGATGCACTTGATGTTTAGTTGATGTTACACTTGGTCAACTGCCTGATTGTTGTACTGCAGCATCTCTTGAGGATGGGCCGTATTCAGCTTGACTTTCCTTGAGGAACACTATGCTTTATATTACTTCTCATATACACACTGTTTGAGACTTGCATTCTAGTCTGATGTCAGACACAATTATCGCCAAGATTTGATAACGTAGACAGTTCAACTCAGTTACGAGCAGCTCCACATGCAAGTTATCAAAGATGGATCATTGCGGTCATTGAGAATGACTCCAGAGCTTAGTCAGTAAAACCTATTAAAAGTTGACCTCTCTAAAACGAAATTGTGAGACTAGGCTTTTGGGCTGGATGCAACTCTGCAACACCATTCTATAACAGCTGATATCTACTTGAATCGTTCATAAAATCAAGGAACGTTGGTGAATCGTTGATTGACGGTACCTGTCATAGATTCTAGCTGATCTCAAGCTAGCATACACCATACATCGTCTATGGTCCTCAGCTGCCTCTACATCCATCGGAGCATTGAACAGATTACTGGCTGATACCTACAAACAAATATCAAACACAAAACAAATACTGTTAGATTGAGTTGGTTCAGCATTACTGTGTATTTAGGTCGATATATTTAACATTATGGGCTCTGTACATGAACAGTGGCATGATACGTTCAGGAGCCTACCTTACACTGTCTTTGTCATCACTGAGGGGTGTACTTGTGCACTAAGTCAGTAACATTTTATCCACAGATTCCATCTTCATTTTGTCTCTTAAATTTTTTTTATGAATGAATTACTAAAGTTACATATGTTGGTAAATCCATCGGTAAATTGTGCAGTTTTAACTAATAAAATATCACTTTTTTCAAATGAATTGAATGTATTAGCCGAGAAACAGGTTAACCAGACATTTTGTACAAATTTTACCTTTTCTTCAGCCTCCACCTTGTGTCGATCCAACTCGGTCAGTTGTGGAAGGCAATACAACAATGACAGACGATAGTCGGCAACACCTTGGATGGGATTACGAAGGAGATTCAGGTTACGGAGTAACGAGATCTCCTGAACATGCTTGACATCATCAATGCTCTCAACCTGAGCAAAAATCACAGAAGTTACAATTCAATCATTGATCAATGCCCTGTAGAAGACACAAATACCAAATGATTTGGAGTGTAGAACAATTGAGGAATGAAACGAGAGTGAAACGTATATTCACATAGCACTTCAGAAATTAATTTACAAGTAAACTTGTAAAAATGGATTCATTGAGCCCAAACCATAACCTCTATAATTACTGAATAGTACTGAATTCAAGGTAAGCAGCTAACCTCCTTCCAAATTCTTATATTTTGTTTTCAAACAAGTCATGATTCAAAAGCACAATCTAAAAATGGATGGCAGCCCTAAGCATAAACTAGAACATTAAGGTGTTCTCAACATAAAAACTTCCAAATTTCAAGTTTTAGGATTTCAACTGCACCACAAATAGCTCAAATTTAAGACACTGACAGGGAAAGAAATGAAACTATTTACATGATTATTTTCCAGGTCGATTGTTTCCAGTAGTCTGTTGGTTTCCAGTCCTTTAAGGCTACCAATGAAGTTCCCTGATACATCCAACTGCTGTAGCTGACCAAGCGATTCAATATTCTCAATTTCCTTCAAACGATTTCCTCTCTGAAACCAATAAAAAATCACATATTACGTGTAAACTCACTTCTTTGTTACAAGTACATTCTATGAGTATGAATAGATTTAAACCATTGCAAAAAGGCACAGTTTTGGCTGTTGGGAAGTATTCATTTACATCATGTACATGTTGTCTTTGTATTCGAGTCCATCACAGGTCCCTGCAAGTCCATCACAAGTCATCCATTCTCAATTCAACTCACAAGCTATTCAAATGAGCTTTGACAAAGGCATTCCTTTTTTTACTGTTCATCCCCTGTTACTTGTGACTGGACTTGTGAAAGGACTTGTGATTTACTTGTGATGACTTGACTACAACAAGCAGATTACACCACAAATCCTTGGCACAGATTACATGGACTAATATCAACATCCATTGCTTCATTTTGATATGAACAGAGAAAAGAGGAATAAACAGTCAGCACATAACCTCTTTAATTGTGTTTTTGTCAATTTTGTCAACATTTTTATTTTTCCAACTATTTTGTTATCTGTTGCTTTTCTCAGCACTTTTAAGGTCAGTGGCATTTTTTATTGCATTCTGCATTTTGTTTGTTGAAGTCAAATTATTAATAAACAAGAGTAAACAAAGTAGAATAAACAACATACTACAGCATGCACTTACCAGGTTCAGATATTTGAGTGGAAGTGCTTGCAGGTTTTCAATCTTCTCGATACGATTGTGTGCAACACTGAGGTAGGATAGAGACTTACATGCTTGAAGTCCATCCAGACTGCTTATCTTATTGTCTGAGAAATGAACTCATTAAGGCATATAATCAAGAAACAAAAATGTATTAATTTTGTATGAACTGATTTTTAATGACACATATTACAGGACTTAGTTTTTAAAATCATGGAAATATTTGTTGAAATCTCTCTTTCTTTCGTTGTAGTTGTCACAACAGCATTTTGGGCCATTGGTGTTAAAATCAGATTTGATTATGAAGTTGAACACAGAAATCAGGTGATTGGGAGTCAGGTTGGTGTAGTGGTACTTTCCTGGCCTTCCACCGCTGTGATCCGGGTTCAAATCCTGCCTGTGCCAATATGTGGATTGGGTTTTCAGTCCCTGCCTGATTCCGTGGGTTTTCCTCAGAATATTCTTCTGGGGTTTTCCTCCCACCTCTAAAACTGTAATTTCTTCTCATTGTCTCCTCTCTACAGGTTTCTTCAGGCTTGCGAGCTTACAGTGCCTAGGGCGCTCTTGAGGATTCCTTGGTTTTATTACAAGAAATAAAATAATAATAATAATAATAAAATTAACTGGAGCAGAATTTGAACCTGTGACCTACCAAACACTGTACACCTACCAACTGAGCTTTCCAGCCTTTCCCTTTTCCCTATCCAGTCTTTCCCAATTTGTCAAAGTTTTTATTCGGAAACCATATACCCATTATGCCATGTAGCTGTACGTGGCATAACTGGTGTTCGGGTGTTCTGGAGGTAAATCCTACTCCAGTGAATTTCTTTGTTCAACTTTTTGCACCTAGTCAGTTCCCCTTTGTGGTTTATACGCAGATCAAATTTTAATACAATAACAAAAGGATACTGTCGATGACCAGCTTAGTGATTGTGCGGTGCTCAGTGAAGTCATTCAAATCCTCAATGTTATTGAACGACAAATCCACTTCCTGGAAAACAAAATATAATAACACCAAACACATTTACATGAATGTTTCCTTTCACCAAAAATTCAGAAACAAACTGCTAGTACAACTGAAAATTAAATGCATTACATGTAAAGTGCACTCACATATGAAAAACCAATATTAATTTTGCTAAAAGCTGTGTTGACCTAAGAAACTAAACTGAAGAGCAAATATTGTTGCCAAAGATACCTTTAAGACCTCAAGGGACGGTGAACAATGACAATTTTTTTATGTTAACACAATTATCACTTTAAGAGTCACACAATTTCCAACGGCATAAAATGAACCCATAACATTGATTTGGGTTCAGGCTGACTACAGAACGACCTAACTTACCTTGAGATTAAGAGGCGACTTGAATGAGTTGAGATTACAGATCTCATTATTTGAGGCATCCAACTCCACCAAATATGGCATGAAACTCAAAACACTCAAATCTGAAGAAAAAAAACAATAAAGGAAAATATGTAAATCTGGAAATCAATTGTGGAAAATGTACATACGTATTAAACTTTTAATTTTAAATTTGAAGACGTTTGTTAAGTTCTACAAAATGTATGTGGAAATTCCCTTGTAATTTCAAATGGTACAATACACTCCATCTGAATGTCAACGGAAAATACTCAGCAACTTTATTCCCCTGTATTTACAACAAGTAGGATGTGGGAAAAACAATACTATGCATTGAGAGAAAAGTTAGTAAAATGTTTATAATAAATAAATAAATTTGAAAGCTTACCTGAAATCTTATTGTATGGGATCTCCAGTTTCTGGAGATGGGTGTAGTCTTTGAGTGTTGTAATATCCTGCAAGTTGTATCCCTAAAAGAATCAACAAAATTGTTAAAACAAATAATGAAAACTGACTCGATTGTGAGCAAAAAGACCAACCGTACTAAACATTGAGTTACCAGTAAGGTAAGAAGTAGGCAGACCAACGGTACTAAGCATTGAGTTACTCAGGTAAGGTAAGGTAAAAATTCGAGACCAACCATACTTAACATTGAGTTACCGGTAAGGTAAGGTGTAAGAAGACCAACCATACTAAACATCGAGTTACTGGTAAGGTAAGGTGTAAGCAGACCAACGGTACTAAGCTTTGAGTTACTCAGGTAAGGTAAGGCTAAACATTGAGTTACCGGTAAGGTAAGGTGTAAGAAGACCAACCATACTAAACATTGAGTTACCAGTAAGGTAAGGTGTAAGAAGACCAACCGTATTAAACATTGAGTTACCGGTAAGGTGAGACCAACCGTACTACACATTGAGTTACTCAGGTAAGGTAAGGCTAAACATTGAGTTACCGGTAAGGTAAGGTGTAAGAAGACCAGATCATTGCCTCCAGCAGTCCTCCCAAGATTAGACAATCCTTTGGCAACTGTTCTCTCGTCCAGGACACCGTCCGGTGAAAGCTGGGATGACAAGGAGAACATTGAAACTGAATTTAAAATTTTAATCTCTTTCTTTGGTACAACATGTTAAACCTTGGTTTTTGAAATTGCATATTTTTTATTTATTAACATTATTTCAATTCTAATTTCATTAGGCCCTAACATTTATTTCCATGAAAAGCAAAGTAAAACATAATGACGACAAAAAGTAGAAGATGGAGGCATGGCTTTAAAAGCCGATGCTTACAGGGCCATGCATATAATTATAGGCCTATTTTAAATGCAAAATTGTAAAAAAGGATTTCCAAGAAATTAAAGAAAAACAGACAAAGCACTAGACAGGTACAAATGAAACACAAACATTACTTTAAAATGTTAATAGAAATTGTTCACTTTGCCATGTCCGTATACTCAGCAGAATTAAACTTAAAGCCATTTAATATGCTGAATAGGACTAAAAAAACCAAAAAGTGAAAGATTAAAAAAAAAACCTAAAAATTGTTTCAAAAATTCATTCGCAAAAAGAATGAACAAAAACACTAGAAAAAATGTGTCAACTGTCGTCATAAACAAATTTTGCGGCCTACCTCCTCATCTTCAGAAGCTCCTGATTCGTCTCCGTGATCATGGATTTCAAATCGATTGTCACCATTTGGAAGATTACCATTTGGAGACACTGTTGATTCAATAAAATAAGGGGAGGCTCTTTCTAATTCGTCATTTACAGGGCCCGAATCTGGGCGAAAACAATCAACATGAGAGTCCTCCATGTTTACGTTTCCAAGGAATCAGTGTGAAGAGCGCCCTCATGCGGCTCATTCGTTCGTAAGTCGTATTCCCAGACGTCAATATTTATGATAACATTAGATAACACATTTAATCTTCTACAATGAAAAGGAAGCCTGACTGCTCCATTGAACGTACGCTTTGCGACACCCGCTTTGCATATAACAGTAAAGAAATGCAGTTTTAAGGAATATTAAAGGCTTTGCATGTTTTTGAAAAATGGGGGGAAGTTCAAGCACTCGTAATATTACTGTGGAGCAAGATGCTGAAACCGGTGTTGTTAAGGTAGGCCTACGTAAAAGAATTAAAAGATATTTTATATTTACAATGAAATTCACTCACGGAAAGGGGGGGGGGGGGGGGGCATGGGGTTACCCGGGCATGCATGCGGGGGGGGGGGGGGGGGGGAAGGAATTGGGGGGGGGTGGTTGAGAGGGGAGATATTGAAGAGAAAGGTTGGACTAGTACTAGTCATGCTAATTTGTAGCAGCTAATGGCTTTATATATCAATCTTGAAAAAGACTAAGTTACTTTATAGGCAGTGGATATTTTGCCGGAGACGGCAAACCTTTAGTAAACGTTAGTTTGCCGGATATGCACTGAACATGCGCAATTACTGTTTTTTTGTACTTCAAACATTTTCCGGTGACAAATTTTAGTCTGGCTCCATGCCAATATTATCGTTGTAACCTCGTATTCATAAGATGGGATTCAGACCATTTTATAATTTCGGACTTTATTTCCCTTTTGAAAAAAATCCTCCAGAGCCACAAATCTGAAAAAGAAAATGTAATACTCTGCCAAAATTTTTTTGAGACATGTTAAATAATAAAAGAAGAATATTCTTATTTATTTGGGGATGAGAAAAAAAAACTTAAAAATGTGCTGCGGTCGGAATCGAACCCGAGTCATCCCGCTTACTAGAGCCTTTGCTTAACCACTACACCAAACGTGCTACACAACTTTTGGTGGGAATTTAATACATCTTATAATTCAGCCCTATCTTAAAGAGTACAGCGCCCTCTGTTGATATGGATTGCCGCCGGCAAACCTTTAGTAAACGTTAGTTTGCCGTCATTACCTCCGGCAAAATATCCACTATCTACTTTATACTTGTCGAAGTGATTTGAATTTTGATGAAGTTTTAGGAGGAGAAAATACTTGGTCAATTTTTACTGGGATAAATTTGTTTGCTAAAGTAAATAGTGAGTAAGTTGGCCTGAGTTTGTTTTACACTCAAGATCACAGCCTGTTTCTATACCAAATGTCCCAACCATTTATATATCGTCAGACCCCCTAAAGCTACAGGGTCCTATTTCTATGCACTCACCTTGTTTAATTTGTATGGGACAACGCACACGTTCCAAGCATTACCTAGGCAGATGAGGGTCGATGATACATGTAATTGAGATGTAAGAAATATAGCATAGGCCCTATTTAGTTTTACGGTTTCTGTTGTGACTCTCTAATTATACAATTTAAAGCAAACATTTCTTTGACATTTCTGTTCATTTTGTTTGTGGTTGTATGTAGGTTTCAGAGGCTCTACTGCATCGTATGCTGGGTGACGAGAGCACAGAGCAACCAACGCATGAACATCCACAAGGTATACATGAGGAGTTGGGCCAAAACAAACATTAGTTCAGCTTCCTGTTACCCTACCTTGACAGCCCCTACCCTATTTATTTTGGGAAAAATGAGGATTAAATCCCAAAAATCATCAATTACTACTTTTTACCCTTGACTACACGCAGAAACCTCTATATGATCGTACACAAACAAAACTGCCCCCAAAAGATTCCCCACCTACCGACCTACCCTATTTTCAAATGCCATGTAATCGGAAGCAGAAGTAATTTTGTTGGCCTTTTTTTTGGAGCAGCAGCTGTGTAACTGAAATCACAAATTGATACCCTGTGCTAAAATGGAGATTCATCTTAATGCAGAGAGTTTCAGGTCAACGTGTTAGTGATGGAATATCAGTTTTGGTTTTATGATTTGATGCAGAGTGTTTTGTGTCATGTTTTTCAGCCCTAATTTATGCGATTGCCTTTAAATTTCTCAACAGAGACTAATCACAGACGTTATCCAGCAACGGATGAAACAAAGTACAATGTAAGTCATTCACAAGACACAGCTTGCAATAAAGACCAATCCTGGCACGCCATTCCTTCTATCACAAAGGCCCCCTACAATGGCGAAAGCATTGTGCTAGCTACTGTTCAGATAATCCATCACTACGGTGGCAGATGCTTTGTACCATAGTCTTCACAAATGTTTCTCCATTGAAGGGGCCTGGCGAGTGAATATTGATCACATGCCTGGAATATGTGTTTGCTGGTCCATTTTGTAAAGTGCATCTTCTTTGTCCTTTTTTCTTTGTGTTTCTATTTGTCATCTCACCTGCCTACTTTTGTCGTGTTTTTTCTGATATAGTTGAAACTCTTGAATGAAGAATGGAGGGAGCGACTATACCAGACAGAAGAGCGATGGCAAGACAGACTGAATGAAGCTGAGAGAAAAGTGAGTAGAGAGTGACTACAGAATCACTCACGAAACAAAAAAAAAAAAATAAGTAGCAGAAGCTGAACAAATTGAATGAAGCTGAAAGAAAGGTGAGCGCAGAATGGAAGTCACAATGCTGGACAAAATTATTTCTTGTATTAGTGGATTTTGCACTTGCAAAGATGGATTTGCTGTAACTGTTTATATAACATGCCTTTTTCCTGATCTGACCACAGAATGCAGCTCTGTTGCAGCTTTCGAGTGAAAAATTCCAACAAGCTGCTGAAGAAGTGGAAGCTAAATTCATGTAAGTGTCCAGTGATTTCTATAAATTAATGGGTGTGTCCCTCCCCTTGGTACTTTTGAAAGTAGTAAAATCATGGAGTCCATAGTAATTAAAAATTATAATTAATTTTGTTAAAATATTCATTGTAGAAGATAAAGACCTGGCCTTTACAGATTTTTGGATGTGAACTTTTACAGGAAGCATCAGTGTGTGCCTATATGCCAACAGTTGCAGGAGGAGGTTATGAAATGTTATGCAGCCAATCCGGGCAAAGCCTTAAACTGCTCACAAGAAGTCAACGCATTCAACCAATGTGTGGATAACAGTAGAACTGTAAGTATACAATCAACAATGATTCAATGTATTCAACGAATGTGTGGATAACAGTAGAACTGTAAGTATACAATCAACAAGAAATCTATGTATTCAACCAATGTGTAGATAATAGCAGAACTGTACATGTACACAAGAAATCAATGCATTCAACCAATGTGTGGATAATAGTAGAACTGTAAGTACACAATCAACAAGAAATCAACACATTCAACCAATGTGTGGATAATAGCAGAACTGTACATGTACACAAGAAATAAATGCATTCAACCAATGTGTGGATAATAGGTAGGACTGTAAGAACACAATCAACAAAAAGTCAATTAAGTCAAGAAACGTGCTGTTCATCTGAGCTACCAACTTTTTTAGCAGATTTTGTAACATATCTTGCATGGAGAAAGAGTAGAATTCCCTGAATACATTTCCATGTCCCAGAATTTTTTAGTCCAATTAAAAATAATTTGTTTCTTTTTTCCCCCCTTTGTTTCAGAGTATTCTAACAAAGAAAAGTCTTGAAACAGTTTCATAACTGGCTGTCCAGGAAGGTCAGGTCATGTCAAAGGTTAGACTTATGAATATTCATGGTTGAATGCCGTAAAATAGGTCCCATAGAAGAGTTTAATTAAAACTCCAATTTTTTCCTGAAAAATGGCTTGTATTCTTTCAAGTGAAGGAATTGATGTTTGCATTTCCCAAGCATGCTCTCCATTCACATTTTAAAAACCCCAAGTACATAAACATCCAAGATGATAGTTTGTGGAGATCATGCCACAAAGAGGAACTGCTATTAAACTAACAGAAACACCCAGGGAAGTGTTTTAAGTTATAACAGATTAATAACAAAGTTGTAAATAAAAAGGGAAATATTCCTCAACTTATTCAACTTGTTTCATACTAGCCCTGGAGGCTGAATGTATTGCCAGATGACACATTATGACATCACATAGTGATGTATTCCCCTCTTCTTCAAGGGAATCAGTGGCTGGTTGATAAACATTTTTAGAATAGAATACATTGTTCTTTTTTGTGTCTTACTTGATGATTGAAGAAACTGTTTGATTTTACACCATAAGAGGGCGCTGTTGTTTACAACCTTCCCTATCATCTGCATTTGTGGGAAGTGGATTTTGCTGCTTCCCATAGGCATATGTAGTAATTGTGATTCAGAGCAGCCATAGCTTTTGATTTTGTTTTCAATTCTTTGTTATTTTCAAAGGTAACACAAAACCTTATGTACTGGATTTTTGCTTTTACCCGGCATTGCAATGACTTTTACACACCCTAGCCTAGAGTTTATTGCCCTATGGTCAGGCAATTTAGGTCACCCAAAATGATTATGCTACTTGCTAGTATAACATTGGTCAAGCATTACAATGAACCAATTAATGATGTGGTGAAGTGTATAACGTGAAACTGTTTTACTGTAACAACTTTTTTGATCACATTAAAATTAAATCTTACATCTACTGAATACCAAGTGAATGCATAAAATGTTAAGTAAGTAACATTAGTGCAGAAATGTTTTAATTTGTCTTAACAGTTTTTTGTGGGAAGGACTAATCTACAGAATAGGAATGACAGGATAGGAAGTCCACTGATGTTTGTGTTATCCACCAGACTCCGTAAGACTGCATGAATTGGAATGGATTGAAGATATTTTGGTTTCGCTGTGTCCTTTTGAGGAGAAGTTATAAAGTACCCTTATTTCTGCTTTGTACCACATTTGAGGGTTTTAAATCTTTATTAAAGGAGTACATGTATAAGTTTTTTTTATTCACTGTTTTAAAGATATGTAGAAGATTCTACCTATAGGCATATGGTGTTGTCACAGTTAAACACACCCCATGTTTTTGGATTGTTTTAAAATATGGAAAATAAATGCCATCTGTATTTGACATTATTTAAATATTTACCGTGGGACCCAGGGACAGAAACGAAATAATGTATTCCTTTTCATTTTGCAGACATGTGGATAACTCCTTTGAAAACTGAATGGAATCTTTTAATATACAATACACTAATACCCGCGGTTGTGATCAATAGCAAACCTCCTCTCCCTATTGATGTTACCCCCACCGCAATGATTCAGCTTCCTTCGTCAATAATCACAGTAATGAATGTTGCTCATACATTATGAGCTCCGTACACATTACAGCTTTGTTGTGCTCATACGGTTTTGTTGGACAAATTCCTGTACGGGCTCCGTGTCTATAATTTTGCATATTACAGGATAATTTGCATACTGTGAATTTCAGAAAAAGGCCATACATGTATTTTGAGCGAATTATGGTGCAGTAGGCCTAATGATGCCGCTTTCTGGCTACAAACGCTTAGAAATATCCCATCCATCGAAGTAGTTTTGTATAAACTTAACATGAATTGAAAATTAAAACATTCTCAAAAATGTACTTTTTGAATTGCATCAACATTCAAACTTATTACGTCAATAACCTTGCAAACACGTGTGTTTGTACCCTGCACGGCATCATAAGGTCCATTGAAGTACGACAGTCAAATACCAAAAGGAGGAAAAATCACTAAACAAACCACGAGACCACTTCACGATTCACACGATTGCCAGTACTATAAACTCTACCCCCCTACAAATGACGTTAAGCATCATTAATCTCTGACAAGATGAATTTCAAAGCCCTGGAATATGTTTTAATTTCACCCAGAAATCTTGAACCTTCGTCTTTTTTTCAGGTCAGGCCAAATGCGAGGGTAATTATTTCTGTTCATTGTAAAATGCATGCTCTACATTTGAAGCTGGCACTGTTTCTATGTATTGTTGGAAATGCCACTGATATCGAGGTTAATTGAAAACAAATTGTACATCCATCTTTATTGCTCTTTGAAATGAAAAAAAGCGAGGCACAGTCTGCTTTACGAAGGGTAGTTATTGAGGTGAACAAAATGAAGAGTTAAACTATATTCCATTGGCACGTTGCATTTTAGTCATTCATTTCAGATGCTCCGTTTTTGCCGCACTATATACCTCCATATTCAGGTCAAGTCAACACAGCCATTCACAGAACCGTTCTATCATTTTGATGACGACCAAATATCCCACTATTTAGAGCATAAATAATAAGGTCCATCTTGGACTGTATACCGTCATTGATTACTGCTCTGTCCCAGACTTTCCGGTCGCTAAGAAACAATCAGCTAATGAATGTACGATGGGGCCATGCACAATGCTTATATCATACACATAACAGACTAATGCATGGCTTGTCAATGTGTTGTTTTCCCACGGCTGATTTATGCGTCACGAAACAGCCATGGAAACACTTATTATTTCCCCATAAAAGAACCCGACGCAAAAAAAATGAGTAGACTCCCGTGGGACAATTTATGGAAAATGTGACTGATTAAATTGAGAGGTATAGGCCTGCTGTTGGAGGGATGCAGTTAAGGCCGTTTTTGTAGAATGTATACTTTAATAAGATAAATGTACTAAATAATGAGAAAACCATTTTGAAGCCGTAATCTGATTCAAAATTTTCCTCCTTTTTCATTTTTTTTTAGCATTGTCCTTTTTTGTTTTACATTACGACCATTTCGTCATTGCTATTTGTGTTTGTTTTACCATTTGCCCATCATTTGATTCTTAAATGAGACTTAGGTTTGCATGATGGACATGCACGGTGAATGGGAAGTAACAGCATGTGAATGATATCTCTTTGTGAGTTGTGTGGTTCTGAGATGAACCAGTTGGTTGAACTCGACGTTTCGCACAGTATCCTTTGTTCGGCAGGAGACAGTTGATTTTATTGAAAATCTGACATTCGCTGTAAACACAAAAGGTCTTTTTCTATGGGTGAAAATGATACAAAGTGATTTTACAAATTTGCAATCTGCTCTCACTTTTCCGGTCAAATTTAATTTCGGCATTCACTTTTTGAATAATTATCTTCATTATTTGCTTAGTTATATTTATGATTCGCCGACGTCACAAAAGAGGGCTTACCCCAGAAATGATTGTTTGACATGTTTTACACATGATTTTATGAAGAAAACTCTTTAAAAAATTTGAACGTTGAATTTAAATAGTTCGTTTTTTCCCCTACAGTTATCCGATAAAAAAGCGCCTATAGGCCACGTAAATGAAGAAGCAATAAGATCTCTCATTTTCAAAAAGCATTTGTCAAGTTTCAGTCTTAGTTCCGAGCAAGTACTCTGAACATGTCTGTTTTTATCGCCCGAGACTTGAAATCTGCATAACAGGACTGAATTATTGTGTCGACGGTCCGAGAGCGGCCGGCCGCGTATCGCTGCGTCGACGCTCACAAACAAGAAGGAAGTATTCATGAATAAATAAATCCGCCGTCTGTTTAGTTCTGGACCATCAGGCATATCGTCATGACAACCAGTCTAGCAACAGCTTTCGACGCCCTATACTTTATAAGTGATCCATTTGGCAATCTGTCAAGGTGAGACTACTTCAGAGTGTGCGCGGATACCTCAAACAATGAATTCATATTCTCCAAATAGGCGGTGTCATTACCTGGGCAACTAGTAAACGAACCATCGGAAAACACTCTTCATTTGGCGAGTAGATGAAGACCGGCCCGCTGAGAGTAATTCGAGTTGATTAATATAGCGGAGTATCGCTCCAGTTGCGGCGCTTAATGTAAATGATTACTACAGGAAATTAAGCGGACACGCTTTGCACTGTGTGTCTGCTGCTTGGTGTGTGTTTCATCAGAAGATAGCAGGCAGTACCAATGCGAAGGACTTGTACCAGTAGTTGCGTGGCGGATTATCATTGATATCGGACATATTGTACATTCATCAGTGAATTGGATGAGACGAACAGTCTTTTCAACCCTACCATGTGATTTTCAAACCTGTGTGGTTTTCCTGATGTGATTACATTGACCTTTCACTAAGGTAAGCCAGTCATGTTATGAACATTTATATCATAACCTACACCGCAGCAAAGTGACGACGACACAAAATAACGGTTCTAACCTTTATTTGCTATAATGTCTTTGTCAGATTCAATTTTAAATTCAGTTGTGCATGCCACATGCTAAAGTATTTCTTTTACAAATCGTGTTTTAAAACCAGTTTTATAAAGAGACTCAAAATAGGGCCTGTTTGCGAGTTTTTACTACGACTTGCAGAGTATATATAATCTATTTTGACCGATCGATAATTGGGATGTTTTCGTTGGCTCTAATTTCAATTACACTTCATCTGTAATCGTGCTGTAGTGCGCAGTAAAACAGTGTTTTAAATCATATGTCTTAAGATTAAACAGAATCAAAGTAGGCCCTGTATTTTTTTCATTACGAGCCACAAAATGGGAGCGGTGTTCTAACTGCAATATGGGCCATGTTAACCAAAAACTATTACTTGAAACTCAAAATGTAATTTTCAGATTATAAAAAAACATCCAAACAAGTTTGTCTACTTCTGTCAATGTAAATTCTGTTAGTTTTTATTTTTAACCTTATTATTTTAATTGAAAAGCTGTCAATGTGAAAAAAGTACGTTAGGTTAAAAAAAGAGAGGAAAATTTAACAGCTCCGTCGGCAGTAGAAAAAGGAAAAATGAGCCAGCTTGCCCATGTACATGTTGATTTTGTCAGTGGTGAACTTTGCAATAAATCCCTTGGCTTTGTAAATCTCCATCAAATCCCTGTATGTTAATGTAATTTCCCAATCACCCGAGCCACGATATTACATTACGTGCGACACCTGTCACATTCGAAAATGCATCAACTTCGCAATTGTCAAGAATCCTTATAAAGAGAGGAATTACTAAGGCTACGCCTCGTCTGTATTTATTTTTCTTGTTCGCCAGTATGATAAAACCCTTTTTAAAAACTTGTTAAAAGATAAAAATACGGTCGACGTGATTACGATGCATTAAAAACACCAAATGTGCTTCTAACTTCAAACTTTTTAATTAAAACATCATGTGAATAGAATTGTGTCAAATGTGGACTCAAAGATTTTCTCTACGTTTTTATCACTCGATCATCTACAGAAAACAAAATTACCGTTCAGGTTTTGGACAGGATTCGACTGTAAATGAAATTCATTGACAAGTGTCACATACTATTGTCGTCCCTTCAGCTCAGTTCTTAAAGGGTTGACGCATTTTCCCATATCAATCGCAATCCATGTGAAAACACTGTGAACATAACACATGAATTTTGGTGCATTCTGGTGCAAAACAGTTGCTATTATACGCTCCATAAACCAACCGTATGAAATGGCCTCGTCAAATAGAATTCACTAATTAAAATGTACACTCTACCGCTAATTAAAACAAACACTGCTTTTGTATACATAAATAATATTTATTTCCTTAGCCTGTTATAATGCAGTTGTTAATGACTAATTCTAATGGGTTGCGATTTGAAGGAAACAAATAATACTTCGTAAACGAAACACAAAATTGGTTTGTACAGCCGGAAATATTAACATTTACAGTTTTTAGCTATCGTTATTTGTTTCTGTGCAATTCTTTTTCGTCGATTAATCATACCATTTTGCTAACAAAAACCGGTTCCCATTAAACTGTATATTGGTATCGCCGAAAACTTACTCGCGGCACCGCCAAAAGAAAAACCCACCCGAAACCTTCGACATCAACCATTATGCAAATCGGCGTTCATCTACATGTATTATATTTATAGATGTCAACGAATTCATTAGTTTAAACCCGCTTTTAGTCTGGAGGCTATTTTCAATTTTAATTTCACGATGACCATAGCTGTATCAAGTTCAAATATTACAGCCGACATATTCACGTCACTTCAAAATTATCTGTCATTCGAACTATTGAAAAATTCATCTCAAGCGCGCACAAGTGCAAGTCGTATTGCCTGTTTAATGTTTACATCAAGTGTTTAGATTAATTTGAAGCAGTTCTGTCAAACATTCGCAGGGATTTTTCATCATTTTCAATCTAGAAATTAGAAAGATCCGAGCTTCATCAGATTAGGATGCTACGGTAAACATTGGTTTTATGTCGGTTGCCATGGCCGCAGCAAAAACACCTGCCTATGTCCATATTATTGATCTGTGGTTAATAATACACACACTGACCCAGTGATGGGGCGTATAAGACAGATAATAGGCAACAACAGTGCAATACATATCACTCTGAATAAATAATTATTCCGTTGATAATAAATATTCCTGTAGGAATATTGATAGGAATATTTAACATAATACTATAATGTTTACTAGAAGTCCATTCTTTATCGACACTGCACACGTATGGGAGATGAGGTCGAATGACCTCATCACTGGGTCAATTATAGGAATAATAACTATTCCTATAGGAATATTGTTTATTATAGGCCAGTCAAATATTTGTTATTATAGTCAAATGTTTCAAATAGAGTATTCCTTACAATGCTTTCGGGACCTTTAACCTATACTTTTTAAGGAAAACTATCAATCGTTGCTTTTCTAGTTTTAGTAATACGAACAAATTCAAATCGTGCACTGAAAATGAAAGGCATTGAGATTCTAAATCTATATTTGCAATTAAAGGAGATAAGGGATCACCCTTTGTGCATCCTGTTGAAAACAAAGTCGACATATGTACTTTATGTGTAAGATTTACACCACCAAAAGGGTGCACTGTTAGCATAGTTTTACCTCTATGATTGTTTTGATTATAAAGCAGCACTCTCAAATAGAAATGTGTATATAAACCGATATTTGAAAAATTACATTTATAGTTACATATTCCCCATTATATAATCGGTTATGCAGTATGTAAAAATCGACATTACGTTTAATTCTTTCGCCAGAAACTAAGCAATTGTTTTGGAAATTTTAGATAAAAAAACAACCTAAATTAAAAAAACCAATATTATTTCTAATTTATTTTGCATGAGTCAGAGCAAGGCAGTCGTTTCATATAACGAGAATTTTCCTTGAATTGAAATCAATGCTCATGCATGGTGTGTTTTCAATTGACCTCACCTCCCATACGCACATGGAAATTGTCGATAAAACAAATTGACTTTTACATGTACAGTAAACATCCATTTTCTGTTATGAAAACAATCTGTTCCCCCCTTTATTGTGGTAAAATTTTAATAAGCCTTTTTAGGTGCATTCAAAGATTGTTTTGTTGTGTCAAAGTCACCTTTTAATTAATACAAACATTCCGTATACATACAATCGGCGCTCATATTTAGAAAGTATGACGTCATGTATTGTCCCAGCTGTCCTGCGTTTTTTATAGAAAAGAAAACAAGTGAATGATTCAGCTAGCGAAATGCACACAATCTCACAACTGCTATTAACAAATATTAAAGATATCTTGATTTCAACCACTGTCATTTCAAATAAATTTAACATTTTATGAACGCATGCATTTGAATGTACATTGTACTCCTGGAGCATAAAATTAAAATACAAAAGTATATTGCTTATGCTACTTCTCTTTTTTGATAGAAATAGTTGATTTTGTTGAGTTCAAATTTTGTTGAGTTGACAGTTTTTTCGGCTATATAGCATCTCTTGTGAGAGAATTTACAGGGTTTTTTAACACGAGAAGCATTAGTCTACGCAGACTTAAATTTAGTGAGGACTCAAGGCTGACTATTCAAGAAGACTGTTCCACTTTGTTACTGTCCTATGTATGAAAGAAAGTAAATCACATTTTTACAAATAAAAGTATAGAAAATTCTGAGTGGACTTTGGCATCTTTGTGATTCTCGCGTCACTAAGATACTATAACAGATTCACGTGCGGATGTACAATTACCTTTATGCATGTACGTGACAAGCTTCAACACGAACTCCATAAAGAGCACTTAAGAGATTCCAAATGAACTAAGTTAATTTTCAGTAAAATATTAAGTGATGCTTTAAGCTGGGATATAAGACCTGCTGGGAGACAGTTTGAATAGGACGACAGCTTATGACTAATACGCGCTGATACCTAAAACTTGGTAGTGATCATTTGCCGTACGGAATATTCATGTTCTAAAAAAACAAAATTAACTTTTCAATATTCATAAGCGTATAGGCCTATACGTAAAAGTTTTTGAAAACGAAGTCACTTCTTTTATTTATGTATACATTCGAAGGATAAATTTCACATAAAATAAAGTCTTAAACCAAAAAGAAATTCGTAGATATAACATCAAAAATTAAGTTATCTATAAAACACGTTTACTTTTTTTTGGGGGGGGGGAGATGATGGTTTGAAATTTTCATTTTAGGGGGAGAGTTGATGGTTTGAAATTTTCATTTTGAATACAAAGTTGCCACATCTTCCACAAACATGAGGTCCTTTATGTCTTTTGGCTATTACGTCTTCTTATATTTATTTCTCATTATTCTAAACCAAACTCAATAATATATTTTTCCTTCAGTTTGACAACCAATACCGATCATCATGTGTCAAGAATTCCCTGGTTCCCCGCCAGCTATCATCAACAAAGACGCAGACAGCACTGGTGACCTGCAGTCTTTATCTCCCGAGACAAGTTTAGCATACCGGCGTAGAGTGCTTCTACTAGGCGGGTCAGGGAGCGGTAAGACTAGCCTAGCTAAGTCGCTAGTCAGTGGGAGCTCACAAACCTCTGATGGGACTACGGAATCTTTGGATGTCCATGTATGGTGCCCATTTAATGGTACCACATACGGTTAGTTTACTATGGAAAGGACCAAAAGTAAATATCTGTTTTTCTGCTTTCACTGAGACAAGCATGAAGCGGACCGAACGTTGTTTTTGCCAACCGGCGAATTCTAAGGGGGCACATTTTTACCCTTTTGTAAATTTTCGAAATATTCTTATTTACAAACGGGCAAATAGCATGTACTTTCTTGACGTAGATCTAATACTGGTGTGCTCATTCAAATACGTGAGATGAGCTTGCTAGATGATGAAAACCTCTGACATTTTGCCTCTCTACTTTTCAAAGTAAGTCTGTCTATCACCTATAGGTTAGTTAATGTACAGACGAGGTTTCTGGCGTCAAGGCGACAGGTGTTTCATCAATTAGAGACTCATTTATTCAAGACAGTAAGGACACTGTGATGGTACATCATAGCATCTCAGAATGGGACACTGAAATTAACATTAAAACTTGCGCAGTGCCGTCACTCAGTCCAGTTTGAGCGTCGCATTTTTTGTTGGGGTCCTTATTTTCTTGAGCACCGACTCAAGGGTTTCATTAAATACAAAGCTATTTTTCTTCTTGTTTATAATTTAATTGGAGTCCTGCCGTTAAGGTGCAGATTCATCCGTATTTCGCCAAAGTTTAATTATTTAGCTTGTTTACCTATCTAAATTTGAAAAGTTCCTTATCGCAGGAAATCCACCCAATTTCTCGTATTTACGGAGAACATCTTATTTTTGCATCTGACACAGATTTTGGTTTAGTTTAGCACGAGGGCGCATTTCCCGGCAATGTTCATTTAAAACAAAATCTGCTAGGCTGTAGCCGTGGTCCGCCCATCTTAGACACACTTTTTATTCTCGTTGAAATATTTTTTTTATAAAAAATTGTCTATACGATCATGGTCAGTTTTGCGGAAAATGTGTGTTTTTTGTGATATTGGTGGATGAATTTTCTTTGGCTGTTTATGGTGTTTTTGTTGGTCAAAGCAAGAGTAAAGAATATCAGCGAAAAAAATTGTCATCTACAAATCTCTTCATTTGTTTTTTTATTATTTAAATGAGACACTGCAAAAATAAATCAGAATTTAAAAAAAAAAATGACATTTCGTCGACGGAACTCGCAGTGTTACTTGTCTCTGATTTGACAGAGAAGCTCGAGTTTCAGGTTTAATCGGAAATGATTGAAACATCACTTCCATCTAAACAGGTTTTTTCCTTCAGCTCAAGAAATACGATCCATGAGGCTAAAATGGTGGAATTAAACGTCACTATCACGCGATCATATCGACTCTACACATTATAATAAAACTGCAAAATAACCTGTGTTATTCTTCCCCAGAGAATCTACTGGAAAAGGAACTGACTGGGTATGAACGATCATTGGTGCTGGATGTATGGGACTTGGCTGGTCGAAAGGTGAGGGCGCACTTTAAATTACCCAAATATTGGACTGAGCAATTACCCCAAAATTATCCTTTAATAACATGCATGTCACATTGATTAATTGTATGGCCACTAAGCCATAAGGTTAAGTTTTAACAAAAACAACACTCTTTCTCTAATTGTCAAAAGTAATGTTAGAAAATTACACTTCAAATTAACCTGTTATGTACACTTATTGTCACACAGTGTACAAGTTGTAACAATTGCCTCTCTGATTTAAAATTTCATGCGGAGTACCCCAGGGCTCTCTGCTGGGCCCTTTGGTCTTTTTAATCTATATAAATGATACTTCAAAGACATCTAAATTACTATCCTTTATATTATATGCTGATGACACTAGTTTATTCTATGCAACAAAGACCTTATTTCCCTCTATAATAGTGTCAACAATGAAATGATCAGTATCTGTGATTGGTTAAAAGCTAACCGTTTGTTTCTTAACTTGTCTAAATGTAATTATATGATTTTCAGTAACAGGAAAAAGCGGAATAATTCATCAAACTTAAATATTTTATTGAAAGCATAACTGAAAAGAAAGTAAAAAAGTTTAGATTTTTAGGTGTTATCATTGATGAAAAATTGACTTGGAAATATCACATCGATGAGATTGTAAGTAAAGTTTCTAAGAGTATTGAAGTTATCAACAGATTAAAACATGTTGTTCCCTTTGAGGTATTAAATACTCTATATACTTCATTAATACTTCCTTATTTTTCTTACTGTAACACTGTTTGGGGAATATATTCCGCACAAATTTAGATGAACTAACAGAGTTGCAGAAAATATTGTTCGAATCATTACCAATTCACCATTATTATTATTTTTCATAACTTTGTTTTCTGCTTAGAAGCATAATTGTTTTTCTGTAATAATTCGTCTGTTTTGTGTAATGGCACGCCTGATATACAAGCTCTGCTTTCAAGGTTTTGCCTCCTCTACTGGCCTTTGTATCTTAACTAATACTGGTATTATTCATCATTCCTGCCATTAGGAGGAAATAAATGTGTTTGTGATTTGATTGAGATTAGGAAAATATTACATCTCTTAATATATCAGTAAACTCGAATTCCTCATTTCCATCAATACATTGGAAGACGTTTACGGTTTCAAGCAACCAAAAAAACCCCTCAAAATAGGTTTCCCTCCTTTTTAATCTTTTTCAAATCGCTTTCAATTTTTTTAAGTTAAAGGATCATCAATTAATCTTGATCCTACATTAGGTTTGGCAAAAGTTCCATCACTTATTCCTGACACCAGCTACACTTCCGGTTGTGGTCTTCAATTTAGCCGACCAAGATAGCTGTGACGAAGTGTCTAAGATAGTTGAGCTTATATGGGCAAAGGTAAGAATAACCATAGAGGATAGTTTCACCTTGATGATATCATATTTATCATGCATGCAAAGGAAATACACGAAATCGGGAATATCCGAAATATCCCGGGGAAAAAACCCGAAAATCCGAAACAATTACACTTTCCATCTTTTTTCGGCATCCTTCGTCTAGTGTTCTATAAGTTCTACCTCGTGAGGTCTAAAACATCATAATCGCAGTAATCCATGTAAGCCTATTACTGTCTTGATGTAAATGTCATTTTTGTTCTTTTTTTTTGGTCGTAGGTTCCTGGGAGCAAATTGATCATCGTTGGGACGCACGTCGACCAACTCGGCCAAGAAGAAAGAAATGCGGATAAGTGCCAAGATATTCTTGGTGTCATGAGGAACAGACATGCGCACTGCATACAGAAAATCCAACAAGAAATTCACAATCTAAGGCACGTGTACTGTGTTTTATTACATAAGGCCATAATAAAATAATCTCCACGAGATAATAGTTTTCCGTATTGTGGTATAACTTGATATTTATGCTAAATTCAAGTTGGTTAATTAATTTTCCAAATCACAATTATGTAGTAATATAGTAACTGATAAACGGCCTTTACGTTTATTAAGACCCCAAAACTTAGGGAGTGCAGGCAAACGAATTACAATGTAGGCCTAAGCCTACTCGCAATGGAATAATTTCAATTTATGCACACAATTATTGATATAAATGCTCTCCCATCGTTTTGCAGGAATCTTTCCGAGTCAGCCAGAACGCCGAAATGCAACCAAAAGATAAAACACCTGCAGGAAATACTAGAGAGATTTCCCAGTCCTCCAACGTCTATAATCAGATCCAGCAGTAAAACCGCTAAGGTATGGAACACAAAGGCCGAGACACCAAACATATAAGAGCTACGGCTAAGTCTATCGTACCGTAGACATGAGATTTGGACGCTTTATCGTTCAACTGTCCCAAGCGCACATTGAAGCGTTCATTTTAATTAAGAAAAAGGTAAACATACAAAATGTCAAAGCTATACTGTCCAAACAATCCCGTGGATTCCAGCCAAAATGTCGCTGAGTGTATGGCGTGTGTACATTGTAATTTAGTTTGTAAAGGGTAAAACAAAAATAAGGGGATTCTTTAACGAAATTCTCTGTTTTTGTCGCGAAGGGTCTTGATGACGTGAGACGAGATATTCTGCAAAGTATCTTAGATTCCAATCGACAGTCTTCAGTTGAACACAGTATGCCCATACGACCAGCTACTGCAGATGTTTATGATGACATCGTTACTATGAGGAAGGACGCGCATGTTGTTGTCTCTGCTCATGAGATGCATGAACTATTCACCAAACATGAAGTTGGACTGAGCAGTGAAGTGGAGGCAAACGAGGTAGCATTTTTGGAAACTTCGGTAAGCTACAAAAATGCTCGATCTTTTACACACTGTATTTTTTTGTTTTTAGTTTCATATTGTCATAAATCTACATGACAGTTTTTGTTCGACTTTGGCATTGCGCATTGGTGGATCAGGGTGGGGGTGGGGGATGGGGGTTGCAACACGCCCCCCCCCCCGTTCTGAGCCGCTGATTAATGTAGTGAAATGGGGTTAACTATAATAAGTGGAATGCTACAGTTCCTAAATCATTCTCTAAATGGCCTTACAATGCAGGATAAAGCATCGTAGATTTTAATTTTTTCCGGGGAGGGGGCGTGCCCTGGACCCCTCTGGCAGGGCGTTCCTTCGGCACGCCCTCCCTCAACCCCCTCCTTCATCCTTTCCTGCAATCTATAGATCCGCCCCTGTTGCGTTATATTGTTATAGGCACTGTATGTCAATGCTTTTAATAAGTTTTTAGAGAAACGTTAGAGTGTTACGATTGAAGTCCAACCTTGGGACAGACATTTTCACTACTTTACCAAAAGTGGTAGGTCTATATGATTGTAAGGTTAATATCTGGGTGTCGTACAATACATCAGTATCTTTAGGGTTTTTTTTTAGGCAAGGTGAAAATATCCTTATTACTTATTCTAATTCCAGGGCGTTATTCAATGTATCATTGACTTCAGCGACAGTGATGATAACCTCATATGCATCAACCCTCCAGTCTTAGCCAAAGCCTTATGTCAAGTCCATATGAGTGATACCAAGAAAGCCTTTCGATTTGAAGCCAAACGATTCTGGCCCAAGTCAGACAGTGGGCACAGTAAGAAACCTAACCCAGCAGTACTCGTCCAAGCCCTAGAGGAAGTGGCTACTGAAGGACTGGTGAGGGAGTCTATGTTCCCCTTGCTTTGGCAGGTAAAACGTCTTTAAATATGAATACGTAAATATTTTTTTCTCATCCCGATCGGTATAATTTTTTTGGGTTCTTAATCAGCCTATGAATTCATGAATTGTGTTACTTGTGATCTTCGTCGACGCTTACACAATTCATATATGTATTCCAATGATCAACGAAGTTACATACGAAGTGCACTGTACATATCTTGTATTTAATACAGAAGAGACATTTGAAAAAAAAAAAAGATGACATATTTTTTACAACAAAATGTTACCCATTAGAATGACGTCGCTCTATATACTGTTGGGGCAGGCTTTTATAAACCGAGCACATGTCTTTGTTGACAGGATCTTAACATGAATGAGAAGCAGACCAGGCTAATCATAGACCTATTGGCTAGACTAGGTCTGCTGAATCGAGCGGCTGATGCTCATGGTGATGCAGAGAAGAGGTCCTTGGAGTTACCCAACTATCCAGGTCTACAAGCTAGAGTACAACACCGGTTACCGCTGCTGGGTCTGACACCAGACATGGGACCAGTAAGTCATCAAAAATATCAGACAGATGTCACCGAACGGAATGAGTCAAATGACATCCAGAGTGGTATTAAGCTCACAAGCAATTTCCTCGATCGATAATTGATACACGGATTTGTAAAAAAGCAATATATAAAAATTCATGTATTGGATATAAGCGACTTGCCCGATTATAAAGTAAAAATTATTGATATAAATTGTTGTTATGAAATATTAAATGTAAACTATTCACTTAATATATTATAGGCTTATTTAATGTTATCGTATCTATGTCATTTGAACATGATTCAAAATGGCTTGTCAATAGAAAATGATGTGAACAATATAAGCACTTCAGCTGTTAATATGACGTCATCGTAAACACTGCGCTCATACCTAGCAGGTCGTAAGTTCACATCCAACCGAAGCCTGTAGTGATCTCTGCACAGTGATTGACAGACACTTGATACATAAAGGATAGACGATATGATTTTATAGAAATGTCATTGACATTTTAGGTAATGTTTAATAAATCATATTACTTGTATTTATCTCGGCTACGTTAATTTCTGTTTATTTGTCATCCCTCTACAGACCTTAAACTGGACGCCCAAACCCTTCAAAGGTGATGCACAGATTGGTTGGAGGTATACATTCCCCCTCGGTACGCCCCCTGGACTAGTACCTAGACTTTTCGTCATGTGTCGTACTAATACCCCAGGCGCAATGTACAGACATCACTGGAAGAACGGGTTGCTGCTTAAAATGGGCCAGGTAGGCTAATACCGTGTCCGGACCAAGCTTTTTGGCTATGGCCATCGCTATGGCTATGGCTATGTGTCAATGGCAAAAATCAAAGCCACAGCTGCAAAGCGCTCTATTTGGACGCGACCTATACATCTTTCTTATTGGTTGAAAACATCATAAGTAAAAATATGCGGTTAAATCTAGACACTGACTGGATTTGGCGGGGTTCGAACCTGCATGTGATTTCCAACACTTTTGTACCACCATTTAGTAACGATTTTGAGTGAAGAGAAAGAATCTGAATCACAAAACCAGATTTAACTCTAAATCGTTAACTCAATCTTTTTGTGCAGTATAGCTGCAGTTTCGGTCAATGTGTCAAACCGGGAGCAACATCATTAGAACGCTCTCAAAACTCCCGGGTCATGTGAACTGGGACTTTTATGAATGAAGGTATAGGACTGTACCATTACATAATCGCATCTCTCTTATATTGTGTCGGTTCTAGGTATCAGTGAATATCAAACAGCCTGAGGCAAGTCAAGTAGAGAAGGTAGATCTGTATGTCCGTGTCACTGTCGATGAGGAGGGAGACAAGAAAGCTACCGAGGTCTTATGGGTAGTCCTGGCCAGGTTCCTGGTGGTAGCTCAGAGATTCTTAGCATCTTGGCCTGGTGTTTACTATCAGGTGGGTTGAAAGTCACGGTCACACAATAATATGGTCCGATTGTAACTGTTGCATTGTCGTTTTTACTAACAAGTGCAAATGTGAACAAATGATACTCTGTGATTAATGTTTCAACATTAATTGTGCATTATCAACACAAGACTGCGAACTGGTTATGTCTTTGAATTCGGTTGCTTCACTTTTTATCTGATGTTCATACGACTTAGCATGTAAGTGATGCATGAAGACTAGGGAAGTTGAACATAATTCTAAAAACATTATTTGACGATTTAGTGATAAAATCTTCGGCTTTAATTTTGTTGTACCTATGTCTCCTTTAGGTTTCAATCCTTCCAAGCTCCATGTACTACACGAGTGAGTCAACTGTAGATGAACTGGAAATCAATCTTTTAGATATCATGAGAGAGGCTTCTCTGGAAAAGAAAACAATGAAAGTCGATGTCAAAAGCCAAAACTGCGAAGTGAACGTGGATTGTCTGATGCCATTACCTGGTACGTTATTGGAGTTTCTGAGCTCAGTACGTCTTCACATAAATCAAAGTTAGGTTATTTAACGTTGATAAATATAGGAGACTTGTATTGCAGGAGACTTGTAATGCGCCATGTCTGTCACATCGTGACACTCCTGGCGCAGAAAAAATATTGCACCCATGATTCTAAGCCATAGTTTAGAAAATTATTACCACCCTTGATTTTGTGTTTTATATAGATAACATTTCGGATTATTTATAGCCTTACTTAAGTTGGGGGATTTGGCACAAGGTTTTTGGAAACTGAAAATGAAAATAGGTCAACAGTGTCAACTTAAGTGTCAACAGTCAGAAACCATTAAACAGTTTAATCCTACGTGTACAACCCAAAGGAAAACTGACTTGGGCAACTACAAACATAGGGCTGGATAGTTCAGTTGGTAGAGCACCGGAACGGCAATCTGGAGGTCGCAGGTTCAAACCCCACTCCAGTCAATGTTCTTTTCTTCAAATGTAAAAAAAAAATACGTATGAGATTGTCAAAAATAGCTGTTTATTCCTACTGTCCGATACTGGTTTTATTATTTTTGCTGACTCTAAAAAAAAAGACTCTCATAAACCCAAATGAACACGAGTCCAAAGTAAGCGAGTTCACAATTTCCTAGCAAGAAAATAAATGAAAGTACTAATTTTAATCTGATTTAATCCTTTAATCCCAGGTGATTCAGATCTGTCCATATCGCATTGGCTTCAATGGCTTGCTAATCTTGACATCCAGCTCAGTGAATCTACACCCAGCATCAATGAACCAGATGATCAGATATCAGATAATGATTCACAGAGCAGTCTCCGACCCTCCCCCTCCCCACCCAGGGGAAACAGCCCAAGGGTTCTGACATCCCCACCAGTCAAGACCAACAAGAAGGCAGAGATTAAATGGAAGTTGGATAATGGATGGAGGAGGGTGTCAGTGGAAGATGAACTCAAAGAGATCAAGAAGGTAAATAATCCGGATCATCGGCACTGATTAAAATGTCCAAGTCTTCCAACAATGACTAAAGTTCATCCGGCTGGAACGTTCTGACTCTATGTAAAAACTGCTGAAAAGAAGATCGCTGTTGCTATTTGTTCAAAAACTAAGTACAGTACCAATCATCATACTGAGATGTAACACTTGAAACGGACATTATTTTGCTTACTTAAGAAATAATTATTGTTTAGAAGGTCTATAAAATGATTGTGCCCTGGTTACTAAGATCCTCTTGCTTCATATCAGTTGTTACCTGTGATTTATGTTGCAGGTTGCAGCATCTTTCGTAGCCGCAGTCCTAGCCGGTGCCGTAGCTCAACTCATCACAGAGCAATCCAGAGCTGACGACCATGGCCACACATTGATGGAGAGAGAAGCTAAACATGCAGCAGCATTAGCATCAGCACGGGCAGCACAAGCCGCACAGAGTGGCAACGCAGAGGCTGCGGCTATGGCTGTCGTGGCAGCAGCACAGGCTATGGACAATGCCATGCTAGTCAGAAAGAAAGGAAACAAAGGAACGGCTATGATCAAAAGTAGAATGTGCACCATCATGTAATAAAGTCATCGCTTGAAATGACCACAGCAAACATTGTCAGAGATCTGGAGATCACGATCGAATTGTAATGATTATATTTACCGACTTCGTAATTTAGCCTACGTTCTTGCACATCACAGTTGATAATCCGAATTACATGGCTATATGAATACCATTCACACAGCTCAGAAGAATGCAACTTTCTTATAGATCATTTGCACAGCTTTCGTTTGTGGATGGGTGTGTGGCAGGAAGGCGTGGTGTAGCTTCGCCTGTAGGTAAAGCTACATCAAATTTAGCACAATGACAACTTTAACGTATTGCATCCACAGTGCAAATTTATTGCTTAAATCAAAATGTAGTTCATGATACTCCATCAAAAACCTGATAACGTTTTAAAGAAAAGTTGTAATTGTGAGTGCCACCGTTGTTTATAAGGGAAGATCACTACAGCTATCATGAAACATATACTTTCATTTCTGTATATAAGTGTACACAAATATTTATTCCTTTACCAGTTTATTTATTTAATTTATTTGTACTAACTTTACATTAAACATATATTCAGAAGGTCATAAAATATTAATTATAAAACGGTTCGGAGACAGCAAAATGAGAGATCGGATGAGCGTGCTTTGAACCCGCTTATTAAGTTAATATTGATTTTTTTGGTATGAGGGAACAAATTAAGCAACTTGATCAAAATCTACCGCAAGCCAAACACTGACCACTTTATTCCCAAACAGTCTCAACAGACCGTCATTTCTTAAGCGTCTAGCCCGTCAAATGTTATCGATTACATAAGTTGTCCATGGTGATACCATATAACGATAATTATCAAACGCGCCATCATTACAGTCGGCCGTAGCCAGTCTGCTCCAATTGACTCTTTTTTGTTACTACCCAGTGGATACAATGCCGCAACTGATATCTAAAAGGTGCGTATTATATGGTTGTTAACATTGGTCAGTTTAAACATTCGTCTAGACATTTACCAATATTAAAATTGTTTTTTTTCCCCTCATAATCACTCTGGACAACACTGAGTATACAGTGTTTAAAAATACGTCGGTGAAGTAAAAAAAATAATATATATATTGAAGATTGAAATGTGTGGGGAACTGAAGGGCGTACCCAAGATGGCCCATGCATCTCGGAGTGGGTCTTTTCACGTCTTTCCGTTCACGATCTCCCTTGTTACGAGCCTGGTAATTACAGTTACACTTAAAATGAACGGACGATGTCATTTTAAGTATAAACTCCCGAGATCATTAACAGATTATCCTGGAGCTGGCATGGTTGGTTCAAGTGCTTCCTAATATTGCAAATTAAGGGTGGTAAATGACAAAACTGCACATCGCATTGATCCCTTAAGTTCAATTTGTTTTAAAATCAAACTAAATTTATTACTATGTTTGTTAATGCAAATGTTCTATGAAGCAGGTTGGTCGTTATTAATTTGTAAAGATTTTGTTTCGGTTGTCTTGATTTTAATCATATTTAAGGAAGTTGCAAGTTCTAAGAATAAATTAAATCTTCAAATTGAATTGAACAAAAACTCCCACACTTTATTTTATTACAATCCTTTCTTAAAACCACACGAAGAGGACTTTTCCCTGACCTTCCCCGTCATCGATGCCTAACTTTTTTGTTAATAAGAACGTACTAATATTATTTTGAGATGTTGCACAAGAGAATGGATGCTATGCTGCCAAACCAAAAAAAACACCCACTGTTCGTTATCCAAAAAGAGACGCCAGTATAATATATATGAAATAGTGACGGAGATTGAGGATCTGCATCTTTCTAAATTAAAAGGACAAGTTTTTCCCGGGCCGCCCATGCGATTCCTTTACCAAAGTACATTGTTGTAGTATTCATTGGCGGGGTAAAAATATACACGTTGTTCACCGGACGGCAAACAAGAGACTGTGGCATACAATTCACAGACATAAATCAAACACCATGTTCATTCTTCTGCAATCGCAATCTTCAATATTTTGTCCATAAACCAGGGCAGATGGGCCAAACAATGCTCCACTTGTCTCGCTCATATAAACTCATTTAGTTTACGGTGAACCACAAAATAGGCGAACGGATAATAAGCTCGTTGTCCAGGGATCCCGAGGGCCTTGGTTCGAATCTCCGGGTTCTCAACGCACGCGTTCAGCCACAGAGATATTCAGTTGAAGAGTTTCAAGTATTTGAAAATGCGCCAAAGACTGAATGTATATTTTTGCGTACGGTTCTCAATCGCGTGTGTACTCGGACCCAACACGCTGGTAGTCGATAAGAATGAGAAGTGTTGTGATGTGACGGGGTGCAAGGTTTATCGGTCGGTGTGCGCGCTGCAGACGAAAGTTTCAAACACATTTAAGTTCTCTGTTTAAAAATTACTGGAGTTCTCTTAAAATGACTGTACATGTATTTCTAAAAACTAAAGTAATACGTTATCAGAAAATCTGCTTTCTTTGGGGTGATTCTGGCTCGCGTAGGCCTAGCTGCTTTTTTATGCGCGAAGCAGTTTTTGACCGGACGCGCGATCTGGAACGGGTTAAACTACCCCGGAACTAGGAAAAGTGGCATCAGCACTTTTGACGTCGCATATTCCAAATTAAAATAGCTCGAATTAGGAAAGTAATTTATCACTCAAGATAACTAATCAATCCATTATCACTTGAATTCGTGGATTAGTTTAGCCGAAAGAAGACTGAATAATGTTTGCGATCCAGATCTACGAGTGTACGGCGCTCGTCTGGCTGATCTCGGCAGCCAAGACTTAGGGAACTGCCTCGTTTCCTCCCTTTTAAGGTGCTTGGGCCGGGTAATATGAATGGGACAGAGGAGGTGTGGTGCTTAGTACCCCCTATATGGGACTAATATATTATTATAAAAATATGTAATTTGTAAAAGTTGTTTCATGTTTTTATTTTTTTAATGATTGGTAAGCGCCTTGAACGTCATTTTGAAGGATTTAGCGCTATAAGATTGTTATTATAATTATTATTAATATTTGGACACATGGTAGTTAAGGTACAACAGTTGAAGTTCTTCCGAAGACTTCCAAAGAAAAAGAGATGCTTGGATTTTTCTTTTCTTTTCGCTCCAACTGACCACCATATCTAATGGTTATTGATGAGACGCGAAAAAAAAGAGAAAAAATTAATATCAAGCTTGGAGTCCGCTAAAGGGCGCCCTCTGTCGTGCAGCTGCAGCCGTGGCTATCGGACGCACAAGCTCCACCCCTTCATAAAACTTGAGAGCTCGATGTTTCAAGGTTTTTCCCTCAGACAAATTGCATCTTGAACTGTGAGCCTAGTGCCCATTTAGCAGCAGCTGCAAGGAGTCACAATGGAAGCCTTGAAAAGGTTCAAGAAAAGGACGAAAGATGCAGTTGAGGTTAGTCATTAGTAGAATAGAGATGAGTTACGTTAGTTGGAATAGTGTCAGTCGTATATTTCCGACACTTGAAGTCACTGCCTGCCTTACATTTTTTTGTAACCAGTATTAAACGTTAGTACTAGTACGTTAGTAGGCCTAACTGTTTTGCATGGAATTGCCCTACCGTTAAATACATTTCTATTATTTTTTTGCAATGCGGTAAACTATCATGAGACATGACTATAGCTGATGAAGATAATGAAGATGGCACTATGCCATGGCTGCTGTATAGCCACTAGTAACAAATATGTCCTCCTAGGCCTAGGCCTACTTGCCAATTTAACGGCAATTGTGTAGTAACGGACCCCTCTTTCATTTTGATCCTAAGAATGTTTTTATCATTCCAAAATGATTTCTTTTACCTAAATTAAGCAATTTTCTTTTAAGCCTGATTCTTTTTTTAATGATCCTATCTTTTTGTAATTTTGAACAGTATCTTTTGGTAGAAATACAATTTTTTTACACATTTTTTATTTGATACCATGATAATCGAGAGGTTTTGTGCACTCATGGTGTGTTGCGTTTTGGGCACAATTACATTGGCCTTGATCACTTTTGTGATTGCTAGTCGTCATGCATTCATTCCCTTATGTTCGCACAACTTATGCGTGTTCTTGTAGAAGAACTTTGCTCTGTTAACAAATGGTGCATATTGCAGTGAAAGTGTTTAACATTAATTATTAATTGTTAAAATATCTTTGTTTGTGTTACGTTTTCTTAACAGGGCAACAAAGGACAACCGCAAAAGGACTCTCAAGCTGCAGGAGAACAAGAGGTATAAGCAGTCCATCACAAGTCCATCACAAGTCCATCACAAGTCCATCACAAGACCTCACAAGTCCATCACAAGTCCATCACAAGTCCATCTCAAGTCCATCACAAGTCCATCACAAGTCCATCACAAGACCTCACAAGTCCATCACAAGTCCATCACAAGTCCATCACAAGTCCATCTCAAGTCCATCACAAGTCCATCACAAGACCTCACAAGTCCATCACAAGTCCATCACAAGTCCATCACAAGACCTCACAAGTCCATCACAAGTCCATCACAAGACCATCACAAGACCTCACAAGTCCATCACAAGTCCATCACAAGTCCATCACAAGACCTCACAAGTCCATCACGTCTCCATCGCAAGTCTATGACAAGTCCATGACAAGTCAATCACAAGTCAATCACAAGTCCATCACAAGTCCACCACAAGTCCATCACAAGTCCATCACGTCTCCATGACAAGTCCATGACAAGTCCATGACAAGTCCGTCACAAGTCTATCACATTTCATCACAAGTTTATCACAAGTCCTCACAAGTCCTCACAAGTCCATCACAAGCACAATATCAACCATTGTGTCTAGACTACCTTTAAGTATTCTGTTATGATAATGAAATGGAAAACTGATTATGACATTTGTCTTTTGCATTGATTGTAGGGTTTCATATGCCCGGTATGTATGGTGACCCTGGCTTCACCGGAGCAGCTCCAAGTGCACTGGGAGACAGTTCACAATGCACCAGCTACTGAGCCAACTCCTGCCCCTCCTAGCCAATCCCCTAAAGCCACCCCTGCTCCTATAATGGAACCATCCATACAGCACTCATCAGTGGTTAGTCATGTTGTGTCTGAATGACTTGGCTGTGGCTTACAAAACTATACGTGGTTCTATGGAGGTGGCTAAATCCATTCCCACAGACACGTGTGGCTAGCTGTGAGCTGTGGCTAGGTAGTTCAGACGTGGCCATTTCAGGTTGTCTTTAGATCATATTCATTTTGTCTTTAGATTATATTCATTAGGCAATTTTTCTAGTTTGTGTTGTTTAACTTCTTTGTTTAAAAAAAAAATTATCAGCAGTCAGTAGTCTAACCATGCTTCAAACAAGAATTTTCCATTTCATAACAACTTTTATTTCTTTCCTTACTTTTTTGCATGATAAACCTGATGATCAACCTCCCACATTTCCATTGTAGAACAGGTAAGCATAACTTCTGCTACAGTTTCATTGAGTCACAAAACCATGTATGTTCATTTACATTACTGTGTGTGAGATAGATGAATTAGTTGGTTAAACTAGACAGCTTTTATAAACAGAGAGACATTTTTTTTTATACAGTATTTGGAGAAGATGAAGGTTTTGTGTTTGTACAAGTCAGAAATATTATGTCAGTCCCATATTTCAAGGGCACTTCTTTCTAATTGTGTCTACTATGTCACCAGGGATGGAGATGTGCTGGCACTCAGACAAGAACTGGAAGATTTACGTGTTTCATTGAAGGTAGACGGATGGTTGAATTAATGTTCATGTTACTTTAAATAAATCTGATCAGGTATGAACAGTTTGGGTTACAGACTCACTGCTCTGAAATACAAACATATGGCTATAAGTAGTGATGACTTTACTTACACTGAGGTAAGAGCAGACAACTTACGGGAGGGGGGGGGGGAGGCTGCAACATTGTTGAGTCTGATTAAGTACTTTCACTCTTACCCTCAAAGGTATTTTGCCTGAAACCCTGTTAAATACAATATTCAACACTTAGATATCGTCAGATATTCCGAAGGCCGAAGTTCCTTCTAAAGACACTCTGCTTGCAAACTGCAGCAGGATACAGCTGTGTCATTGTTGAATTAGACTAGCTCTCACTAGATCAGAATTGGCTGTTGATGTACTGGTGTTGATGGCTCAACGCAGCAAGGTCCCACAGACTTCCACACCTGATGCACTGTGTTGTGTCTGGCAGATTAGGGTTACGAACATGTGGAAATGAGTACTTGCATGTTCATGTATTACACATTTTTTTTGGCATATGTGTATCATATGAATGAGGTGTGATTTCTATAAAAGTTACGAAATGGATTGGCAGTTTGAAATGAAGGAATTCAACAATGTTCCTTTGTTAAAATGTTGTCATCATCTAAAAATTGAATTTGATTCTCTATTTTAGGAGGAAAAGTGGTATTCTGAGGAACTGAAAAAAGAAGTGGACAAACTACAGCCAGGCCAAGTAAGGGAGTTGTCAAAAAAGCAACAACTGAAGTCAGTTATTATTTTCTTGTTACAGATATTGAATTGATCAGTATGTGTTGATGATGGTAGTCACAAACATGTGAGTTGCAACTCTGATGAAATATTAGTCATTGCAAAATGTGAATAATTTGTTTCTCATTGAGAAAAGAGCCCGCACTTTTTGAAAAATATTGGAAATAATCAGAACAATTTACAATTTCAGAACGTCATTATGTGTAATGTTGCTAGTTTCCTGGTCTCTGTCTTGGCACACCTCTAAGTGTTCGAAACAATGATCGTAGGAAATGTCCCCTTATATAGCCAAGATGGCCTAGCTGTGCTAGGAAAGAAATAATGAAAGGCCACGAATGAATTACTCGACAACAGCTTGCTATCGCACTTGCACTAACGGCAAAGTGACTAGAGCCACTGTGTCATCCCATACTGACAGCCATGCGGATGATGCCATAGTTTGGATAAATACTGGGTGTGCATTCAATATGAACATATATATTGTTTGTAAATTGGAATGATGTTCCGTTTGTTTTGAATAGTCGGCAGCTGGTGGAGGAGATGTGAACATGAAACGAGCAGAGGAAGACAGAACAATGTGTAAGTATTATGAAATTAAAGAAAGACAAGAAGGTTAAAAGTATAACAAAACTTTTTCTTTGCCAAGAAAGTAAAAAAACTGACCGGTAATTAAATCAGCATGTCTTGGAGAGCCATGGACAGTGGGTAGACACTTTGTATTCTTATTTTTTGAACGGTTACTTTTATTTGAATTTTATGTCCCTGACAAAATGCTGAGTGAGAACACTTTTACCCCTAACAATAGCAAATGAATAGTGTTAACAATGAATCAAGGATATTTGACTTCTTTGATTATTGTTGGTGTTCTGTATCATTTTTTGCATTTTTCTTCTTAGTGTCGTCTGAGGTGGTTTTACTTCGTCAGCAGTTAGCGGAATCCATGGAGAATGCTAAAGCTTACAAGACTGTCAAAGATGCCATGGAGCAGAAAGCAGCCTCATTGGTATGAAAACAATGGATCCTACTTCATGGGAAGTGTTAAATGTTGAGAGTAATAATGTTGCAAATTAATATTTTCTGCGGTGGCACCAGGCTTGCACCAGTTGTACTCAGGTAATACGCACGTGCTCTCGGCTCCTTCCACCAATACGGCTGCCAAAATGCACACATGCCTCGTCTTTAAGATCGCATGCGGCATTTGCGTGGGTGTGGCACGACCCCAAAAATAGCTTCTGATTTTGTTTGGCAAATTACACCATACAGTTTTTATGACAAGCAGAGGACATCAACTTGGAATGATTAGTGCTGGAGAGGGAAAAAGTGAATCTAGAAGTTAACCCTTAACTGGTTGAGTTGACTTGTGTTTACCAGTAAGCCTGATATATGCTTGTATCCACTATGTGGAATACATAGGGGGATGCAAACCCCAATCAGTAAAGACTCCAATGCAGGTATTTAGAGGGTACACACATGCTTATCAGAGGATTGGAATGTGGCTGCTCAACCCTGTAATTGAATACTAAAGATGTACTTAAAGCTGGAATAAGACCAGGGATATAGCACTCCAGATATAGCATTGAGATGTTTAAACTTAAGTGAGCGTCACTCATCACTATCAGGCTGGCATTTATCTCTGTTTTCCGTAGCATGAAATGACTGAGAATATTTATAATCTCCCTATACTAGATAGTCCATCACAGGTTAGTCCCCAGCTAATGTTGGGTACTTTTGGGTGGAGAGAGGCAAGTGGGGATGAAGTGGCTTGCCCAAGGACACAACATATGACCAGCAGCTGGACTCGAACCTCTGATCATGAGTCATGGAACCTAACCACCAGCCCACACTCCCATTTTTAGATGTTTAAACCTATTGCTTTTTTGTGTGCTTACTTGTTAATTGCAGGCAACTGAGATGGTGACTTTGAAGTCTAGTCTGGATGAGGAGAAGACGTTGCATAACAGCTTGAAGGAAGCCATGAAGCAAACACAGGTGAGAATGAGTGTATCTAGCTCAGAAATCCACTTCAGAGGATTCAGGAGAAATTATCCTGAATCCTGTAATATGACTGAAAACAAATCACCTTTTGTGGAGTTTGGCAACCACAGGTTGAATTCATCCCTGCACTTTGATCCTGGGTTTGTGCCACTGTGATGAACCACCCAGGTTTTGCCATGATGCCGAGCCACTTAATAGTGGACAACAACATGTGTAGTCTCATTTCCTCACTGTCATTAATATTTACCACAGGTTCTCCTTATATAACAATAATAGAACTTAGAAAAATGATGGTTGAAATTGTCCAGTGCCAGGGAGAAAGGTTAACAGACAAACTCCACGTGAATCTCTTTGAAGGAAACAGGTTGGTTCTTGAAAGATCCAGAAGTGAGAAATGTGTAGCCCTTTTACAGGTTTTAGGTCCGTTTCTCTTCAGAGTTTAGAAAACTAAGATTAATTTCAGTATGTTTGCTAAATAGAAATGAACTCTTTTCAGTTTACTATATTTCCATCCTCACTCTGTAGGTAGCCACAGAAGTAAGTAGTTATTTCAAATCAACAAAGCTGAGTAGTTGTTTGTCGTGTTTTTTTATGCTGTTGCATGCCGGTTGGACGCAGTGGATATTTTGAGTGTTTAAACATAATTATTTGTTTTTGATTTTGATAAAATATGTTTCACGTGGTGGCACAGTGAAATTAATTGAAATTAATCTTTTGAAAGTTGTGTGTTTGTATGATAACAGCACATGATGAGTAATCTGATGTTTTGAGTTCATTTTCTGTTCTGTTTGCATAGCTTAGAGTTTTAAAAGTAAGATTTTCAAATGAGTTGATAATATTTCTTAGAATCTATGGTCTGGTTTCATACTGATTTCCAAATGATACTTATACCAACGACTGCCAAATAAAACAGTGCTTCCAAAATTGAAAAGGTGACCATAAAAAGGCTTTTTTACTTAACGTGGCTAAGTCGTTGTCTTTTTGTGTGTGTAAATGTGATGTACTTGTAAACCTTTTTTTTGGTTATGTAAATGTATACATTTTGTTCTGTTTAACCCTAACAGAACTCAACCTATCAAACCCTAACGGCAGGTTTTGTTAAAATAACATTGAAGAACAATTTTATCATGGACTGTGTATTAAATACAGTGCCAAATTTCTTTGTTTCATAGTAATGTGCGGCTAATTGCATGTGAGTGGTGATAAATACATGTAGGTAATTATCAGTAATTAATGTAAATTTGTTTATTTATGCACATTTTACCTCTTAATTTTCCTCAAATAGTAGGTCACATCGTACTATCCTGAAAGGATTCTGAAATTGTTGTTTACACTAAAAAAGAAAACAATTAACATCAATTCCTGTTGATTGTTGTTTGACAGATTGAGCTTCAAGACAGAGATTCCAGAATGAAGGCAGTCCAGTCTCAACTACTTCAAAGGTGCTTAAATCAGTCCTTCAATGAATGGTTTTCCTTTATAGCATTTGACAATTCAGCTTTAGAGAAAAGAGTTGAGATAGAGGGATATTATATTGAACGTTGTTTTTTTGTGCACAGAAATGTTTCAATAAAATGTTGGGTTTTGTTTGAGATTTTTGTCGTTATTCACTTCACACATCAACACATTGTTCATGGTATTCAATATACTTAATTGCAGGCCTGGTGCTGATGATGTCATGGTGCTCAAGAAGGAACTAGTCTCCGTACAAACCTTAATGGATGAGTTGTCACTAGCCAATGAAGCAGAGATGAATGAACTGAAACAGAAACATGAAGAACTCAAGGCTGACTATGACAAGTAAGTGACAAGAGAAACATGAAGAACCCAAGGCTGACTATGACAAGTAAGTGACAAGAGAAGCATGAAGAACCCAAGGCTGACTATGACAAGTAAGTGACAAGAGAAACATGAAGAACTCAAGGCTGACTATGACAAGTAAGTGACAAGAGAAACATGAAGAACTCAAGGCTGACTATGACAAGTAAGTGACAAGACGTCAAATGTTGGCTTTCACACATACCTGCTGGAGGTAATCTCTGATATAATAATATATTAATTTGTATTTATAAAGCACATGTATGCATCGTTGTTGGTGCTCAAGGTACTACATCATTATTACCCTGCTCATTGGGCCAATGAAACATTCCAAAGACAGCTCCCTGGGGAGTATAAAGCTCAAATCTGCTATTTCGGTGCAAAGCAGCTAAAATCAATCACAATAACCATCTCTGCCCTGACAGGTACCCATGTACTCCTGGGTAGAGAGAAGCAATGAATGACAACTTTCCATGCTCCAGACCACGGGGCTACGCACTCCACATTTATTTTATGTATGAAAAACCTGCATTAAGTCCTTGAAATTTCTTTAGTGTGCACTTGTGTGGGTTTTCTGAGTACTTACAAGAATCATTATCATAACAAAAAGTTGATCGTAATTACCATTCAGAATCCAAAACTAGCTTTCTTAACTATTATCATTTTGCAAAATTTGTTTATTTAGGCTGTTTACTCATTATCTCTATGAAGATGTTCACAGAACTGCAAAGATTCTGATTGGGGATGAGGGCTTCCATACATGCAGTTTTGCAAGACAATTAATGAATTTGCTATTCACTTGTTCCTCTTTTCACCCATCGTTTTCCTTTCTCCTGCAGATTACAAGCATCTGTTGCTGACAGCAGTAGTGGCAATGAAGCAGTCAAACAAGAACTAGAAGCCAAGATGGCAGAAAACGTCGCCATGTCCCAACAACTCAATGAAGTAAGTTGGGAGACCAGATGGATAATTCGTTTTAGGCAAATTTTCCAAACTTGCTAAATTTTCCCAAATTTCCTAATTTCATTAAGTACGTTTCCTAATAACTTGACCACTGTCGTCCTGTACTATAACCCTTCATGACCTAACCGCCTAGACCATTTTGGCTAGGATTCATCCTCAGTCCTTTAAAATCCTCCAATTTGAAAAATCCCCAATGTAAAAAATGGATACAGCCTCAATCCTCCAAAATCATCTGTTACAACGAGCAGTTCGGTGGAGGGGTGACCACTGCCTCAATCCTTCAAAATCCTCCACCAATCACTGTAATACAATGAGGAATAGCCAATGATGTCAAGAAGCAGTGCGGATGATATCTCCTATAAGCTCAGCATAATTTATGCATGGTGGAGTATAAGCAACACAGCGCGCAGCTTAAGACCTTGACACAATGCATCCTCCAAAATCAACTGGCTTAACAATGGAATACAGCCTCAATCCTCCAAATTCACCTGGTTGATTTTGGAGTATTGAGGAAGGTCAGGGTTAATAATGATTGAGTTCTCAGACTGTGACTTGAACCAACTGATTCTTGCTTACCATAGGAATTGGCTGAGCAATACATTCCACTAAGCGGTTGTATGAAGTTGTGTTATGGTGTGGGATAATGCTGATGATAGGAGTCAGGGTCGAGATCTTCTAAGTCTGTGAATGAAATGTTTACATTTTGTTTCAGGTACGCAGTCATTTGCAAGATCAAGAGTCAGCATGTAGCAAACTGCAGCAGGAATTGGAGTTTACTAAGCAGCAGCAACTGCAGCAGGTGACAAGTAAAGACAGTCAGCATGCTGAGCTGCTGCAGCAACTTCAACAGGTAACAGTGACATCGTCTTTGTCCTGCCATCTCCAGACTAGGCTAACATCATGACGAAAACTGTTTAAAAATAATCTTTTACTGGTGAAATTATAGCACATTTGAAGTACACAAATTGACAAATATTGTTTCTTTACTGAAATAAAGTTCTGAATTCTATTTGACAACTGTTTCTTGAATTTCAATGATGTTGTCATAATGTTGACAGGTTTGGAATGATGTCTTAGTGCTGTTTCTGACTGAATCCTGATATTTATAACATTATGTTACCAGCTAAATTACCTCATTACCAAGACTAAGTTTTAAAATGTTATGACCACACTTCCTTATTGTTCAGTAAATTCATGGGGTTGATTCATGCAGCTGCCAAGTAGAAATCTGTGCTAAGCACAGGGCAAAATTACTTACCAAAAACAGGCTATCCGATGAAATGTCATGCAATGTATATACTGCTTGGGCCTGGCTAAGCTGAGTTAGAGCATTTGTTAAGCAACATTTTGTACCTAATGAAACTGCCCTGATCATACAATTGCAGTTGATTTTCTGTTGGATTATTTAGTCCAAAGCTTCTCAAGCAGAGATGGAGACTGAGATATCCCAGATACAGAAGCAGTTAGCAGACAGTAGACAGATGTCAGAGGAGCAGCATCGACAGCTAGAGCAGCAACTCGCTACAGCTCAGCTACAGATTGCCAAGGTATCTACAGTGCTGTAGTCCAGTCTGTCAAATGTTCTCAGATGTCCCAGCACAAGTCAGCCAGTCACATGTCAAGTCAGGTGCTATTCAAATGACATGTGACAAAGGCATTCCATTGATATTGTTCATCTCTGTGACTTGGCATGTGATTTACCTGTGACAGGTATTGTGATTGTTTCTAAATGTTTCACAGGAATTATTTGCATTTACAACCCTTGGAAATTGATAATCCTTAAGTTTTAATTATAATAACCATTCCACATGCGCAATTGTAATGACTACATGCATTATGTTTGCCTATATTACGCTCCGTCCCTGTAAAAATCCCCCCTCAAAAAAAACCAACCACCACCTTGCCTGCTATTCCACATACTGTTCCAAACCCAAGAGAATAATATCAAATGTAACAGGTCATTCTTAACTAATAGTAATTGTTTATTTCTTCATTGTTTATTTTCAAATGCTCCCCTCTCCCCAGACTGAGGGAACAGTGAATGAGAAAGATTCCCAAGTGACGGATCTCCAGCTACAACTGGACATGTTACAGCAGCAATATGAGCAAGAGAGTATGAGTAACGACGAGTTGAGATCTCAGCTACGAGAACGTCAGTCACAGATAGAAGACCAACAACGCTCACTCACAGACAAGTAAGATCTTCACTCTAGCTGCAGTTTGTGTCTGTTTGTTTTTAACCTTTCCTCAACAGAGGACTTGGAACATAAGATTACCTGAGATAACAACTCTGAGGACCTGAGGTGAAGTCCTCAGTAGGTTCTTTGAACAAATGTCATGGGACATGCCAAGAAAAATGTTTAAATCCAAAATATGGGTACCGAAGAAAAGTTGAGTTTCCTCATTTTAAAGGCATATAAAGATCATTTGCTGTTCATGTATTTTGCTCATTTTTAATAATAACACCACTCACAATTCTAAGAAAATGTCACAATCCTAACCTGTTGAAGTTTCAGCTCAGTGGATATTACAGTTTTTGAAAAGGAACTGCATAAATGACAGCACAATGTTAAGCCACCTCAAGAAAATGATGGAAATTCCTCTTGTCTCGAAAATGACAGCGTACCAGGCACACTGACATCATGATCTTATTATTTACTTCCAATCCAGTAGGATATTTCATAATATTTTAGCAGTTTCATTTTTGATTTTTTTGCAAATGATGTGCCTTTAAGTCATTTCATTGTTGTCCTCGGTCCTAACATTTAGCTGTCCGGAATGTTTTTTCCACTTCAAATCTTTGAGAAGTTTACTTGTTTGTTTGCTACGACAGACAGGAGAAACTTGCTGAGTTGGAGACGTCGTTGCAGAAGCAGAAAGATGCAGCAGAGAGATTGGAAGGAGAGAGAGCAGACTTAATGGCCAAGGTACAGACAAGGCCAACAGATTGTCAGATAAAGGAATTAATCCTTCTTGAGATATTGGGGCTACAATAGGCGGGCACCATTTGGTTTGTGTCAAATCTTTTGTATTCAACGTTTGACAATTTTGTATTTACCCAGGCCACTTTCCAACTGACTATCAGGTCTAATTTTGTACTTAACGTGTTACTCATTATTACTACTATGATAAAAACGTTGGTTTCATTTTGGAGACAGGAATTTCTTTCACGACATTGTCCTCGGGTAATAACACTGACCATCCACGTACTGTGCACCAAATTTACAATAGTTCAATGTTTTTGTGTGGAGAATTTGATTTAATGGTCATTTGTAAAATTCGCACTTTGAAAAGGTTTGATTGATGTTTTTTTAGATTGAAGCTGGAGAAGGCATATCCACAGCAATACAGCAACTCAGGCAGGAAAATGTAAGTGCCATCTGCTTCTTGTACAAAGTTATAATGAACATTGTTCAAATTTTAAGGAAGATTTGTCAATTATTATTCCTTGGTTGGGATGACCTGCTTTTTTGAAAAATATTGAATATTTGTAATTTCAATTCAAGTGAACTTTTTTTTTTTATCAAAACGAAACATTTTGGACTTGACTGGATTGTACACTTTCTATTGTTTTCTTTAATTGTGCTTTGATTTTCAATATTTGGAGTTTGTTCTCTGTTGTAGGAAAGCTTACAAGATCAGCTATCTGAGCTGCAGTTGAACAAAGAGAAATTGACAGAGGAACATCGAGCAGCAACTCAAGATCTTCATAAACAATTACAACAGGTAAGGCATCATGAGTACACTGTGCAATGACTTGGAGCTGATTTACAAAAAACATATATTTGCATTTTTTTTTTAGCTAAGTACAAATCTGTGGGGGACCGTTAAACCAAATGTGCAAGGTGATATCTTTTTTGCTATTAACCCATTGTTGCTGTGGATTTTCCTGGACTACAAGAAGCCCTTTGTTATAGTAGCAGAAAGAAATAAGATAAGAATCTTACAGAACTTCCTTTGTTATTGTTCATCTACTGTTCCTTGTGAATCGATGTGTGGTTTACTTATATGATAAGTACATTGACGCATAAAAACATTGGAATAATATCAATGAAGGATGTAAAACAATGTTTTTTGTTTAATCAATTTTGCAGAGTAAAGCGCAAATTGAGGGTGTGACAACACAGCATGAGAGGGCAGAGGCAAACTTGAAGGAGACAAGAACTAAACTGACTACAACTCAAGAAAAACTGGCAAATGCCGAGTCTGATCTCAAAATTAAGGTACGGTTCAATTGTGATATTATTTGAGTTAATTAAGACTCTTACTGACAATTAGAATTCATACTAAGATTTCAAATTTCAAACTTTCAAACCCTGTTCGTCAATCATTTTTCAAGACTTACAGTTGATTTTCTAGCACATACTTTATTTTGCCAAAATTGGAATAAAAATGACTTCAAAATTGCATAATTGGAAACAGTCTTCAAACACATGCAAACTGGTATTACTTTTGCTCAAAGCATGGCAGTTTTACATTTTTGTGGATGCATGGGTTTTGAGTTTTTGAATTGTTTTAGTCGGTAAAGATGAGTTTGTATATTAGGCTTATGAATGCATATGTATAACACTTGATACATTGTATATCACACTTAAATAATGATGGTGGATGATAAACTGCAGGTTACTACAGTAAACTCCTGTTAACTCATATTTGCATAACTCAAAATCTGTTTATCCCGAAGAGAAAGCAGGAAAGTGAGCCAAATAACATGTCCATTTCGTGGCCAGGCATAGTGAGCTATGGTGGCAGCCATTTATGTACATTTGTACGTGTAGATGCCATGACTAGAAAAATCGGAAACCTTGCTTAACTCCAACTCCGTATACCTTAAATTTGTCTTTTTATCCATTCCCTTGAGATTTGACCTAGCTAGATTTTACTGTGTAGGAATTATGTGGACTGTAGATTTGAAATCTTATTGTGGTGCACTGTACTGTGAATGACTCAATCATATTCCTCCGTGTATCAGGGAGAATTACTTCTTGCTATGGAATCCTCCATGGCAACTCAACGAGCAGATCTTGAGAGTCATCTTAGAACATCTCGGACAGGATTGGAAGATAAACAACAGGAAGTCAACAGGCTACAGGAACAACTGGAGAAGGTTAGAGTAATAGACCAACAAAACCAAGATGTAGAAGAATAATGCACAAACTGCCAAAGAAAAAAAGAAAAAAGTTCAGAAGATTCTTGTAGGCTGGTTCCCTATCAATAGTTGAGACGAAACCGAGCGGTTTACATGTATAGATGTCAGGGAATTGTCAGGTCAGGAACCAGACTTGCTGGCTTGCACTCATTTACGGATGTGTAACCGATTGCAAAACAAATGTGGACTAAACTACTGAGGGCAGTATTTGAAAAAAGTTATTTTTTTCCCAATGATGGTGGGCGACCATCTTTGGAAAAAACTGTCTTTCCTCAAATACCAACTGACCATTGTTGGAAATTGATACAAAAACTTAACTTTTCTTGAAAATTACAGCAGACTGGGCGTCATGATTTTCACATGATGGTTACGATAATTATTCACTTACATGTATAGTCAAGTAAAGTATTTCATAATAATTTGATATTTTTTTGATGTTTACAAATGTTGTATATTACTATTAAGAGGGAGATGTGAGCTTTCATTCAAGCGATGTTTTTGAATTCTAGATGCCCTCAATACACTAGAATTGACTGCTATATCTTGATATTTTTTCTCAGACTCGATCTGAATTATCAAGCACCAAGGACCAGCTAGCTGACCTTGATGTCAAACAAACATCAATTCAAGAACAATTGACGTCATCAACTCATCAATATTCATTGCTACAAAATGATCTACAGGCTAAGGTAATGGCAATATTCCAAGTAGTAGTAACATACATTGTATGAACAAATTTCAGGCACGTTTGGGTTGGACCTATGGTTTGAGCCAGAAAGCTGGCTTTGTGTGATTCACATTTTGTTAAAAATATATTAAAGCAAAATAATTTGCATGTCTCATTTTCCAATTCAAGTAAAATTGTTACACTCAATGTTCAAATGCTGACCTGATCAATGGTTGAACTTTTCAGCATTTGTTTGGTTTTGAGAGTTTTGTCTGTGATGTTTGACTTTAGTTTACTCAAACTGAAAAATTCTTCATGGTTTTTTAATCTTGGAGATTAGAAGCTTCTCTGTTAATTTTTTTTTTTAGGAATCCTTGGTTTCATCATTACGTATTCATAACTCAGCTGTTTCATCTGTTTTTTTGAGGGGGATTTCAACTTGCATTTTTCCCCAACAGGTTAGTCAGTTAGCACTTGTTGAAGAGAACAAGAGGGAGTTAGAAGCACAGCTGAATGGTCAGGTGCAGTCATTACAGGCAAAGCTAACGGACAAAGAAGATGCATACAGTAAGATGGCTGGAGAATATCAACAGGTGAGTTTGATGTGGTGAGTTATAGGGGTGACAGTGGTGAGTTTGAAATGGTGAGTGGGATATGAGTTAGATGCACAGCTGAACGGTCAGGTGCAGTCATTACAGGCAAAGCTAACGGACAAAGAAGATGCATACAGTAAGATGGCTGGAGAATATCAACAGGTGAGTTTGATGTGGTGAGTTATAGGGGTGACAGTGGTGAGTTTGATATGGTGAGTGGGATATGAGTTAGATGCACAGCTGAATGGTCAGGTGCAGTCATTACAGGCAAAGGTAACGGACAAAGAAAATGCTGTTACAAAAAGCAATAACTGTTATGATATTGAAAATAAAACTAAAGTTGCGGGGGTTTAATGTTTTTTTTCTGACAAAATATATTGGCTCCAAATGATGCCTGCTGAAGACATTATGCCAATGTATCAGCTGAAAAATCATAACGATTTTGTTTAAATCATACTCAAAAGAGTTTCCATGCATAATGTTCATTATAATATGGATATGCAAAATGTCAGTTTGTGTTATTTTTTTATTTTAGACAAAAGAGCAAAATGCTGCAATAATCTCTGGACTACAAGGAGAGTTGGACTCAACCAAGACGACACTGGCACAGACACAAACACAGCTACAACAACAGGTACAGGACAAAATGGGGATAATATACAACATTTGTCAATAACAAGGAACAAAACACAGTTTTACAATTCTTTTTTAAATTAAAACTTTGTAGACTTCTTAGTACACATCAATTTTCATTTTATTTTATTCAGCGATGAGATACAAAAGAACACATGAATTTGCAGCACGGTGTCGGTATTGATGATTTGTATAAGGTTTTGTTGAAAACAAAGCCACAAACTACTTGGTGGGACTCGAACCCACGACCTCCTGCTTTACAGGTGCGGACATGTCACCACTAATAAGAATAGAAAAATATAAAAAATATGTCAGTCAAGGGTAAAAACTCAATATTGAATTTACATCACACCAACACAAATTTCCTCTTACGACCGATTTGAATTACCATTTTACTCTAAGGTGGCCAAGCTTGAAGAGGAGAAGAAATCTGTTGAGGAATCACTGTCAGCAACACAGCAGAATCTACTGCAGAAAGAGCAAGAATCTACACAACTACAACAACAAAAGGTATCTAGTTGTACATTATTCCCTTATATGGGCTCCTACTACAACAACAAAAGGTATCTAGTTGTACATTATACCCCTATATGGGCTCCTACTACAACAACAAAAGGTATCTAGTTGTACATTATACCCCTATGGGCTCCTACTACAACAACAAAAGGTATCTAGTTGTACATTATTTCCTTATGGGCTCCTACTACAACAACAAAAGGTATCAGTAGAGATCAGTAGCGCACACATTGTGACCTCACAGGGACCTCTCATGGATGCTCACATGGCCCCATCTATTGTTCATGCACTGAGTCTAATACAAGTCAGTAAAATCTTGAAAACAGTACCAGCATTAGAGATTGTTTTGTCCTTTGAACATTTCTTGATAAAGAAAACAAAGTTATCGATGCTGGACTGACAACTCTAAATCTAGATATTATACCAGTGTTTTTTCATGCACCATTTGTGTATCAACAGGCTGCAGTTTTGGTACAAGCTGCGGAAAAAGTAGAGAAATTGACCGCTGATCTGCAGACCACACAGACTGAACTCAGCCAAACTAAGGTAGGAATGAGGTTGTAAATACTCATAGAAATTAAAACTGAATATTTGCTCCATGCTATGAGTAAGAGATTTCAAGTTTGATGTTATGATTGAAAAATGCCTTTTTTTCCAATTACCTTGAAAAATAGTCTTTTCTTGATGTTTGCCATGTTTAAAATTGAATCCGCACGAATGTGAACCAAACTTTCTGGTTATGAAGACTAGATATGAGATGTTTCAGACTTTAAGGAGAAATCAGACTTTTGGAATCTGAGAGCATGACATTATCTGTATAGAAAGGAATGCATCGTTCAGTGAATACCGTTCAGTGAATACACCTTTGTTGAAGAAGACTTTAATGAAGTCAGGAATATGTCGGATGAATTTTCTTTTCTAGACTAATCTAGCTGCCAAGGAGCAATCTGTTCTTGAACTGACTGAACGCCTTGAACGTCTACAGACCGAGAAATCTGAGTTGCAGGATCAATTTAATGTGGAGCAAGATGTGGTGGTTTCTCTCAAGAAACTCAATACTGATCAAGAAGCAACTATTGCTCAAAAGGTATGAAAAGAGTTTGCATCTGAAATAATTGTAAAGTTTCTAAAAATTTATCCAAACTTTTTGTGTCATAGATGCAAATTTAAATAAAAACCTACCAGCCACAATCCTCTGAAATACATGTAAGTTTGTAAGTGTGGTTTGATGAATTTGTTTGTACAGAAATGTGAGAAAATCGTACATTGCCATCATTTTATCTCTCCTTGGGGAAACCTATATATAAAGGTGTATATTTACACTTACTGTATTTTGCCCGTTTGTCAGATATTACATCGCTTCAACAGTCCGTCATTTAAAGATGTTTAGTTATATTTTTGTTTTTGATATTTTTTTTTTACTCCTGAAGTGTCTTCTTCAAATGATCAGTTGTGTTGTAAGAACACAGCTTTATAACGCTACAATACAATGTCATCAGTTATTGCACTCTGAGTGAGGCATTAAAGTATAAACAATGTGGGAAGATTGATTTCATGCAGTAATTTTCACTTCTTTGTTGAAAGGTTGAGCTGTGTGGCAAGTTGGAGAAGCAGTTGGAGAGTAAAGAGAATCAACAGAAGGATTTACAGCAGAAGATTGAGGTGAGATAAGCAGTCATTTATGGTTCTAGAAGATTGTCAAAGTTGTTGTGTGTAATGGAAACTTTCCAGAAAAATCTGTATGAACTTTCCTGAATTTTCAAAAGTATACTGTACTTTGCATGAATTAATGGCTCATCTTTGCATGTGGTAAGCATATTTTTTTAATTATCTTTAAAGGGAATATACAACATTTTTCAAACATAAAAAGAAACTACCAAACTATTACGAAGTACCTTACTAGACTGTGAATGACAGTCCAAAGAATCCTGTGAAATTGTTGCACTTGGTGTGCTGTCATTTTCAAAGTGGTATTTTTTGCATCAACTTCCAATGCTGGTCGACTGACCATCATTGGGAAAAACTGGCTTTTTTTTCAAATACTGGCCCCAATTTACTATCTTTAGTTAGTCTATATTTTGTTTGCAATAGATTAAACACCTATGAACTGGTACAAGCCAGCTAGACTGGTTCCCTGACTTTATAATTCCCTGACGTCTATAAATTACTCCATTTCATCTTAAGTGGGGACCAGACTACAGGAACATTTTTCCAGCATCTACGAACACAAAACTTCAAACAAGTCAGTATGACAATTGCCCATAAAAAACTAACCCCCAAATCCATCCATCTCTGAATTACAGCGAAAGCAAATGTTGTATATTCCCTTTAAGAAGCACTGTTCTGTTGTTGGATAAATAAAGTGCTATATTGGACAATTTTAGGGTTAATGAAGGTGACCTGTGTCTGATGGAGTAAGTTTGACCTTTGCTGACCTTCACTGTATTTTACAAGCCGTGTATACTCACTGCAGTCTGCAAGCTTGGGGTTAAACCTCCCCAGCTTGCTTGGATGGGACTCGAACCCGGGACTTACCTTACCAGGGCTGATGTTATTTTATCTCTCTGATAGGTTCTGGAGCAAGAGATTGCCAAGTCATGTGACCAGTGTCGCAACTATGAATCACAAGTGGTCAAACTTCAGTCACAAGTCAGGGTAAGAAAGGATCCTCTTGGTGGGGTGCATTATTCCACCCCTAATCACTTTAAGTACTCATGAACAGGAAAGTTTAAAGACACTTTAGCGTCATAAGTTATACCTTTGGGAGACACGTCGAACGAGGGAGACATTTCATTCCATATCCCCTACTGAGAGGCAACATTTTATCATCGCAAATAGGCTAGATTGATTGCTGGTCGTCCAGTTAGTAAACCTACAGAAATTTGTGGGGGTAGGATAAGGTAAAATGGGGGTTAAGGGTCATTAAAGTTGGAAAAAAATGTGTGTACAAGTCTATGGGAAAGTCTCCCTAATACCCAATTATTGGTCATTATTATTATTATTATTATTATTTTAACTTGTTTTTCAATTCAATGCCTTGCTATCTGTGTACTTTCTAAAAGTGCATATGTTGTCATTTTTTTTATCTGAGTTTTGGTGAAAGTGCGTGTTTGTGTTTTTAATAGTGACCGTAAATTAATTTTTATTTGATTTATTTTAACTCAAGTTGTTGCTTAACTGTTTTTTTTTTGAGAGGGCTCACTTTTTGTGACCTGTCTTTCTGATTTCTTTTTAATAACTGTATAAAAGCAATTGAATCCACTGGTGGCTATACTGTGCATTTATTTTATATTTCTGAAATGTTGCAGAGAATTCCTCATTTAGGGCATTCTTTGAAAATGCAGCATTGAACATGGGGGGAAAAGCAGTCACTGCATGGTCAACCGTTTTATGAAATGAAATGATTGAATTGGATTACATGTCTCTGTCTGCATTGTTTAGGATGGACAGGAGAAGTGTACAGCTCTTCAGATGGAGCTTGAGAACCTCCACGACACTTTGACAAAGACTGAAGACTCCTTGGAGAAAGTCCGAGGGAGTGAGGCATCTCTCATGAGCAGCGTGGAAGGATTACAGGAGGTAAAAACCATTGATCTAACCCCAGTACACCTGTCCAAAAAACACCTGCTATGTACTGCTGAGTAAACTACAATGACCTGAAGAAGTGTAGATATTATGAGGATCTGACATTACCTATCAGCATCTTAAATTTTGAAGGGAAAGGTTAATAAGCCCTTGGTGTGCCTACACAGCAGCAGTAGTCGGCATTGCAAGAATGTCACTTTCTGATGTTGTAAAATGTAGACCATTGTTAATTAAATATTTTATTTTTGATTTTGCAGGTCAAAATGGTGCTGGATGCCAGAGTGGCTGAACTAGATGAAGAGTTGAAGGTTGAGCTTGGAAGATTCCGGTCTTTGAAGCAGGAAGATGTAAGTATGATGTGTGTCGGATGCCGTCTCCAAACCAAACTGGCATCAAGGGTTACGGCTGTCTATTGTCATCATGCTCCCATGTAGTTGTTAGTGTCAAAGACCTAGACAATAACTCTAAACAAGAAATTGTCCTTCGTGTCCTGCACAGACTTTTACAATTTCTTCACACAGTGCCAGTTACGTTTTTTTCTCTGAATATATAACCAATTCTAGCCAATCTTACAAAGTTACTCAGTGCAAATACCATTGCTCCCACAGTGCTCCCGACCCATAATGGTGAGGCGTTCTGGCAAAATGACACAGAACTGGGCAGAGGTTGAAATGAGGGTTTGCAGATATTAGGAAAGATGATAAAATTCTCCTTACAACACTGTTTGTTGCACTTCAATCAGACAGTCTGATGACAAGTGTGGCTGTGACAAGTGTGCACTCATCATTAAAGTTTCAAATTTTGTGTGTATACGTGAAAATGAAAGATGCTAATTGCTTTCCTTAAAAACACTTTTATTCTACATTTTTATACTAGATATTTGACATGTGTGTAGTAAACACATCAAAGATTACAAATATGAATAAACTGAAAATTATGAAAAGAAATCAAATCCAATTAGTTTTTTCATTTTTCTCCACTACGGCATGTGCCCAGTTCCGTCTCATATTTCCAGAACGTCTCACGATTCTCAGTGGCTGTGGACTATATGTCTCCACGGAGGACATTCAATGAGGTCACACTATGAGTAACAGTCGGCCCATTTCTAAGCACTGAATGTTTTTGCTGCTACTCAATTTGACAACAAATATTAAATGCAATATTTATGACATCATTAGAATTTCATCTATAAATCATAATATGTTTCATCAACAGACTGCCAAGCAAGCCGAAATCGGGAAGTTGAACGGAAAGATTGGAGAGTTAGAAGAATCTAAATCCTCACTGAATGCTCAGCTGTCTGAGTTGCATACAGCAATCCAACATGAAAAGGAAGACAGAGCGAAGGTAGGGAATCATCGCAAACATCTCAACAAAGAATACATGAATTGAAATCGTACCAGTTCTTTTTGAATGGGATGCAGGCCTCAAACATTTAATAGATTGACATTTTGTAATGTATCTTTAAGAGCTAATATCATTTTGCCTGATATTTCAGAATTGTGCTTATTGGGTTCCCGCAGCCTGGGAAAAAACTGGACAAGTCATGGCATTTTATTTTCAATTTCCAGGCCTCGACATATCTTGGAAATTTGTAAAAATGACAAAAGTCAAGGAATTAGTGAGGAGTAATTTGTTTAAAATGTTAACCTTTGTATATTCATTGTAAAACATCGGAAAACTGAGTTTTATACTCGACAAAAGCCGACAAATATCCCTGATACAAGCATTTCATTTCGAAAGATGTTATTGCCTTGTTTTGTTTTTCTGTTTCTGTACAGCAGTTCTGATCTGCATTTTGATGAACTAGGTCATGGATTTTTGTAATTTGGTCAAGGAAAAGTCATGGAATTATATTGTCCAAAAGATGCAGCAACCATGTGCTTAGCCTTAATGAGTTTCCAACAAGAGTTTTTCTTGCAAAAATGTTGAAGCCAGCAAGTCACAATTTGATTTGAGTGAGGAAAATTAGTTATTCACGGACAGAAGTGTGAACTATTGATGATAAAAGTCGCATGCATATTGTAAAATGACTGCACAGCAATCTAACCCCCCTCCCATCAGCTGTGAGAAGGTGGACAAATAATTACTTTTTGAGGGGTATTACTCTTGATGTATTGAAGAAAAACTTCCGAAACCCCCCTAGCACTCTTTAGTTTTATTGATTTTTCAGAGAATAAACACAATATAATATGATGTAGTACAGTTGCTAGTGGGTTGATGTACACTTTTGCCAGTGTGATAAGCTTTTTTTTGGGGGGGGGGCAAACTTCTATAAATTGGTTTATGGACTGCAATGGTAGTTTTGGAGTCTTGGCACTAGTGGAGTCCTCACTTATACCAATCTGCATCAAATACCTGCAACGTTATTACAAAATGGCTTTTCCGCAACTTCGAGAGAATTTTTTTGGGATGATTGCTTTCCTAAATGGGCTTGTCTTGTTTGATTGTAGGAAGTATCAGCCATGCAGGAAGCTAAACAACTCCTGATCAAACAGAAGCTGGACCTACAATCCCAGTTGATGGATAGGGAGACACAGTTAGCTAAAGCCGAGGTGGAATTCAATGAGAGTAAAGAAGTAGCACACAAAGTACAGACAATGTTGAGAGATGAGTCGGCTGCATTGCAGAATAAATTGGTAAGTGAGAAACACAGGAGCACAAAAGCCAGGGGTGAGAACTTATCGTGGAATTAAATATCCTCCGTGTCTTCACTGTTGAGACATTGTGCACACTGAGGTAAACAAATTTTGTAAAGTGTGCATACCAATGCAGATATATAAATAGCCATACAAAAGCTGTAAAAATTTAGAGTTTGTGCACAAACAAGGATGTGCCCAGCAGGCATCACTTTGGACATCGATTCAGTGCTCTAGTCATTTCATATAGCTCTATGGTCCAAACACTCATATTTCTAGTCCTTCAAAGTACTCTGCACAGTCTTCGTGTCTGCTATATTTCAGAATATGTTGCAACTCCCAACACGACTTAACAGCAGCACTAATGTCAGGGTATTTGTCTAACCATGAAAGGTTGACTACGCTCCTTCAAATTTGGAACAGTTTTTGACACTTCCACTCTCGAGTTTAATAAAATGGTTGTAATGCAAAGATCTCTGACATGTACATAGTGCTACCGCAAACTTACTAATATTGCTTCTTCCACCATTCAGATATTCGAATCTCATCACATTTCAGTAGATGTAATTGTTTGATGTTGTAGGCAACTGAGGAAAAAGCTAAGGCAGATTTACAGCGACAAACAGAAGAGTTAGAGCAACGGTCCAGCATGCAACTCAGTGCACTGAATGAAAACCTGGCTACTCTCAGAAGCGATCTGTCACAAGCTGATACCAGGAAACAAGAACTAGAGAAAGTAGTGGATGAACTGAGAGGAGAAGTAGCTGGTGAGTAGACACGGTGATAAGATGGTGGACAGACATGGACAAACAAGGACTGATATTAGGAAGCAAGAACCAGAGAAAGTAGTGGATGAACTGAGAGGAGAAGTAGCAGGTGAGTAGACACGGTGATAAAACGGTGGACAGACATGGACAAACAAGGACTGATACTAGGAAACAAGAACTAGAGAAAGTAGTGGATGAACTGAGAGGAGAAGTAGCTGGTGGGTAGACACGTTGATAAAAGGGTGGACAGACATGGACAAACATTAGCAGGGATAAATAATAATGGGATTTATACAAGGATTGGCAAACGTGGAAATACACTGATTAAAAAGTGAGAAATAGGAAAACATGTTAACGACTCAGCTATTATTATTTCTTGTTTCCAGTTCTTGAAGCAACCATTCAGAATAATCAGGATGAACGAAGAACTCTTCTGGAAAGGTAAGGGAATGAGCAGATTATTTTAACAAACTGTAATCTTTTGTAATAACAAATACTGAGCACTTTTTACACACTCTCTATAAATACTAGCAGCAAATATTTTTTCAGTATAATGTTGAGTCGAGAAATTGACTTGAATGGGATATGAACGTGTGACCTTTGTAACAAGTTACTGCCCACCAAAAATCAAACACTTTTGATCTTAGGCTGTGCTCCCTGGTCATAGATGGGTCGATGACGGCAGCTACAACGTGGTGGACGCGGCTCGACCACGTTGTAGCCGCGTCCTTCGCAATTCAGCATCCCAGCTGCCAGTAAGGATGATTAGCCTCCCAAATTATTTTATTATTATTATTACAAGGACAAGTTACTAGAACGATTTCAAATTGTTGTCTGTAGATGCCTTGCTAGTGAAGGTGACGTGGAGAAGCTACAGAGCAAAGTGGTCGAGCTTCGTCGGAAATTGGAGGATGCTCAGGCCGCAATGCATGAACTAGGACGAGAGAACCAGAACCTACAGATTGTCCAATCCAAGCAGATGGCTCGCAAATGGGCCGATGATACAGAGGTCAAGACCTGTATGTCCTGTGAAAAGGCCTTCTCTGTCACTGTCAGAAGGGTAGGCAGTACCATCTCATTTCCTACATTTTCTCTGTCAGTTACTTAATGTCTGTGGAACTATGCAAGAAAATTGCATGATGTGATGTGACTGGTGAACTGCTTCCTGTGCAAATTTCTTTGCAGGGAAGCTCAATTGCATTGGCCCCAACCTTTATTTCGAAAAAAAAGATGGCCTTCAGGACTGCAAAAAAGGTCCATGTGAGGCCCCCCCCCCAAAAAAAATTATGGGAGCCCAGAGAGGCCACTTACAGCTTATACTCGATCGTAATCCCTTCTAAAAGCGCGTTAAAATTGTGCAGCACCAGGATTCCAGTAAAACCAGTGAGTTAGGCACTTTTGAGACATCATCTTCCATTGACAAAAAACTTTTTTCATTTTGCAGACGTGCATGGCTACGGCGATGCGCGCGCTGACCAGAAATTGGAGACTTGTTTTTGCTGGCCTAATGCTTTTTAATTTTTTTTCCTCTTCTTCCACAGCATCACTGCCGTCAATGTGGTAACATCTTTTGTAATGAGTGCTCTGCCAAATCTGCCACAATCGCATCTTCAAAGAAGCCAGTCCGAGTCTGTGATGGCTGTTACTCAGAACTGATATCATAATTTCCTTCAAGAAACCAGTCAGTGTCTTTGACAGCCGTTACTCACAGCTAATATCCTAGCTTCCTACAAGAAACCAGTCGGTGTCTGTGACGGCCGTTACTCAGAGCTAAGATCCTAGCTTCCTACAAGAAACCAGCCAGGTCTGAGACAGCTGTTACAGCTAAGATCCTAGTTTCCTACAAGAAACCAGCTAGTGTCTTTGACAACCGTTACTCACAGCTAATATCCTAGCTTCCTACAAGAAACCAGTCGGTGTCTGTGACGGCCGTTACTCAGAGTTAAGATCCTAGCTTCCTACAAGAAACCAGTCGGTGTTTGTGATGGCCGTTACTCACAGCTAAGATCCTAGCTTCCTACAAGAAACCAGTCGGTGTCTGAGACAGCCGTTACTCAGAGCTAATATCCTAGCTTCCTACAAGAAACCAGTCAGTGTCTGTGACGGCCGTTACTCAGAGCTAAGATCCTAGCTTCTGGCAAGAAACCAGACAGTGTCTTTGACAGCCGTTTCTCGGAGCTAATATCCTAGCTTCCTACAAGAAACCAGTTAGAGTCTGTGACAGCCGTTACTCAGAGCTAAGATTCTAGCTTCTTACAAGAAACAGTGTCACTGTGACATCTGTTTCTCGGATCGTGCCAACTTCTTTTGCTTTGATCAAAATTTGATATGAGTATTCACTGTGTTTCTGCATTTTTAGGTTCTTTTTTTGTCGAATAGACTAAAAGCAATCAAACTGTCTCATTACCAATCAATAAAAAGCAGTTCTCATTTGTTACATGCACAGTAAAGGTGTTGCCTTTTGAAAGATTTCGTAGACAATTCAGAGCATGAAGCATTTTTTGTAAAGATTTTTATACGAGTAAAGCTTCTACATGTATTGGATTAAACTACATTTAGGCAAGGCTTCTGTAGGTTGTGGCTGCTCTTGGACTGAAGCTGAGCATATTGTACTTTAATCTTTGATAAATGAGGACTTGTTGAAATAATTATATAGACCTACATTTTTGTTTATTTTATTTGGAATGGCTGTCTCGGTATTAATTCTGTAAAATCATACATGCCTTTATCACATGTATTATTGTACAGTAATTGATTATGAAGTTTCGACATTTCGAACAGTTGTGCTTTGTTCGTTATCAGGAGACAACACTTTTTAGATTATTTCCCCTCTATTTTGTAGCTGGACACAATGAAGCTTGTTTTTAGTTATAAATGCATGAATATTGAGATTGTTTTATATTTCTACCCAAGAGAAATTCGTAGTTTTAATCAAGACACTTTGTCCTTTGAGGTGGTCAGGAAATTCAGGTATTACGAAGCTAAATACTGTATCATTTCATTATGATGTCACTTCTTTTTATACTCAAGGTTTTAAGTTTTTAAGATAACCATTGTTACATTTGGTTATTGTATCTAAGTTTGTGATGACATTTATAATTCTATTGACGATGGAAGGCACCTAGGCTGGGCATGGGTAATAATCCCTCCATGTACTCGCTCTCGGCACGCTCCCCAATGAGCATGCAGAGCCTCGATCTGGCAACTTACACAATAAATAAAGTCGGTTCAGTGATTCCCGTGTATACACGGGAATCACTGAACCCCGACACGGGAATCACTGAACCGGCTATTTTTATTGTGTAAAGTTGCCAAATCGAGGCTCTGCATGCTTATGGCGGGAGCGTGCAAAGAGCGAATTGGGTGAGACACTGCAATGCGTAGTCACTGTACACTGATGGCACCAATGCGCGCACGCACCGTGCCCCACACATTATGGTACATGTATAAGCTTTCACCAGTGAGTCATGACATGCCACCGACGTTCATGAACGGAGTCAAACTTGAACAAAAGTGATTTTAACGCTGATGGCGTAATTTTGCTCCGAGTCCATTAATGGGGAGCCAGTGCACAGTGATGTTCAAATATAGGTGTATGTTCAAGTAACTGTTCTATTTCCACGGCAATAACTGTCTCGCCTGAAGTGGGTATAACTTTTACGCAGGTTTTTTTTTTCAACACAGTCTCATATTTAAAGTTACTAAATCGCAAGTAGAATGACAAAAATTTGAGTGCATTACCTTCGATATTTCAATACAAAAATTAAGCAACCTGTGTACATTTTCATAATACATGTATTATTTTTATAAAGACAGTTAAAACATGTTTGTTTTGATTTATTGCTAGCCAAAAGGAAGGATCAAGTAAATAATGCCAGTTACATTTTCGAAATTTTCTACCACCTTAATTAAATTTCTTGCCACATATCTTTGTGATAATAATATCTGTTTGTTTTATGTAATAAACCTTGCATCCTTAATATACGATTGACTGAAAACGTAATTAATAAGTAATTTCTATATATTTGAATTATTTTGTCTATTCTAAAAGATGGGTTTTGGTTTGTTTATACAGTATAATGCCCTTATCAGATAACCTTTTTAATTACGATATTGGTTGATTCTTTTAATTGTATATTTTAAAATTGAAAATGTTGAATCTCACTGTCTTTCCTTATTGGACAAGGATATTATTATTTAGTCGGTTTGATTAAAATAATGTTAAGCACACAGTCTGCGTGAAGTCACTATTTTGTGTTCAGTGTCATGATTTCAGGAGGTTGATTGTGTCATTTTATATATTTCGTAGGTCGTCTTTTTTTTGCATTGAATTTGTGTACGTACCTGTCTGGTAAATAAGTATGTTTATTAGGAAAAACAAGAGTGTCTAGCCCAATCGGCGTTGCTTACTTTAAACACTATTTCAAAAAAAAAAAACCCCAGCTAGCACTCTTATTTTCCCAGCCAATTTAGTTGATAAATTATTTTAGTAATTTGCTGTAACAACCTAATGCGCAGTTTGCAGCCTTCATAACAAATGATATCAAATTAGCGCTTGCTTCTATTCTTCACTTGTCAAGCACTTATGAGCTTCACAATTGAAGGGTGATTGATGGAACCACCATTATTGTTTTCTGTTCTCATTGAAAAGCCATTTAACCTTTAAAGTAGACAAAGCAGGCGCTTTAATGGTTGGATTTCTTTTGTGTGTTTCCCAAAAATCTATAGGTTAAATGATAGTAGCTTACTTCAAAGGTGTCGTTGAAAAACGACTCATATAATACTCTTCAAAAACGGTAAGTTTTTTTTTCCTCCGGTGGAGTGTTTTGGAGATGCTGTGAATGCCAAATATCCTTGCTCTCATAATTTTTTTGGGTTTCTTTTTGCTTAAAATTTGTGAGAATCCAATGTTGATGTTTGTCTTTAATTGTTTAATCCGTTAAGTTTGTCAGACCCGAGGTTGGGTCTTCTCAGGACCGGGCGGGGGGGGGGGGGGGGGGGTGGAGAGGGGCACATTGCGACGGCCAAAATATTCGTAAAATTCAGAAGGGAACGTTTGCCAGATATGAAGATGTCATTCGGTTGCGTTGCCCTTATTACCGCAAGAAGGCACTTCACTGTATCGGTGCCTCATTTTTGGTAAAAACTATCTTTTTTTTAAGCATAAATTTAACATTTTTTATTTAAGAAACAACTTTTGACATCTTCACCACCCTTAGGGCGCTAAATAACATCTTTTTGTGATTGTGACCAAACAGTTGAAGCTGTTTTTAACGAAAATACACACTTAAGAAGGAGTTAAGGAAGTATAATAAATGGTTTGATTATTTTCATGCAAGATTTGCCCAACAGTACCCCAAAACAGAAAGTGTATATTGAGTCACCAGACTAGTTTAAAAGTTGTTTTTTTAACGAGAATACGCACTTAAGAAGGAGTTAAGGTATTGAAAATGCTTTTGATTTTTTCATGCAAGAATTGCCAAAAGGTACCCCGGAACATAAGACGATTCATTGTGCAGAAACGTTGAAAATCAATCGTGAAATTGGTAGCCATATTGGATTCCCATCATGCATTGCAGTTGGTCACGTGACGACGAATTTGAGTATTAATCAAGTAAAACCTTTCAGCCATTTAATGCCATTCATTCGTGTTTATCGTCGTTCTATACAAACAAAACTAGGCAAGCCAATAGTAAAGCTGGTCCCAGTCCAATGTTGTCTCAGGAGTCTACATTGGCATCGCAGGAGTCAAAAAAAAAAAGCTTTGGTTTCGGGTATGCGTGCGTCGCCGTTGCCATGCGCGCCAGCAAAATTAAAAAGCTTTTTTTTTCAGTGTAAGATGATGTCTCACAACCGCCAAACTCACTGATTTCACTGGAATCCTGCTGCTGCACAAATTTAACGTGGTTTTAGATGTTATATTTTGCACTAAATTTAGTCGGGCACATTTTGCAGTCATCTGCATTGAACATCAGTCGACATTTGAAAAAAAAGTAATAAATAATGAAGCCGCGTCGCCGCACCACTTTTGGGGCAAGCTCCATACCAGAAACCGAAGGAAAAACAAGAGTGTCTCTCCCAATCAGCGTTGCCTACTGTAAACGCTAATTTTAAAAACAGCTAGCACGCTTGTTTTTCCCCTACCACGTCACTTTCAGTTGATAAATTATTTTAGTAATTTGCTGTAACAACCTAATGCGCAGTTTGCAGTCTTCATAACAAATGATATCAAATTAGCGCTTGCTACTATTCTTCACTTGTCAAGCACTTATGAGCTTCGCAATTGATGGGTGCATAATGGAACAATTTCATTATTGGTTTCTTTTCATTTGAAAGCCGTGTGACCTGTAAAGAAGACAAAGCAGCGCTTTAATGGTTGGATTTCTTTGTGTGCATTCCAGAATCTACGGGTTAAATGATAGTTGCGCGCTTCATATGTGTCATTGATAAACGACTATACCAGCTCCAACGACAGTATTGTTGGGTTCCTTTGTGCTTAACATTTGTGAGAATCCAATGTTGATGTTTGTCTACTATTGTTTAATCCGTTAAGTCTATCAGGAGCGAGGTACTTGGGGTTTTCTCATGACCGGGCAGCGAATCTCTTTTTACCCCGAACGACATCCAGATGTGGTGTTGTACGCTATGTCGTTTTGGACTTCTCTTAAAAACATGAGAAAACATATACAATTAGAAGGGAAAAAATGAATTCGAAGGTAATTAAATTCGGACATTATTTCTTTTTACAAAAAAAATCCTCAAAAGCCTCATACAGATTAGAAACAAAAATTTGGGTAAAAGTGGTGTTTCCGACCCACATCGTCGGCGTGGATCCCGCGCGATACAAAATCACGACCCTACCAGCTGGGCTATCGAACTGCTCGGGAAACCTGGAAATTCATGGTAATAAATATATACCTGCATACGTATCATCGTAAAGCATCGTACAGGGCGCTCAACAACCATGTAATGCGGATGTTGTTTGGGAAAAAATAATTCGCGACCGGGCCGGGGGGGGGGGGGCATTACTTGCGACGGCGAACATTTTTCGTAAAATTCGGCAGGAAGGTTTGCCGGCCAGTAGCCTACATTTCACTCATTTACGTTGCACTAATTACTGCAAGAGCGCACTTCACTGTATCGGTGCCTCATTTTTGGTAAAACAATTTTTAACATAAATTCTACATTTTTCATTACAGAAGCAACTTCGACATCTTCATCACCCCGAGGGCGCTATGTACCATATTTTTTGTGATTTTGACCCAACAGTCGAATTTGTTTTTGACGAATTACGCACTTAAGAGCACTGAACTCATGCTCTGGTGTTTCAGAGGCAACAGTGGCGTGGGTTCGAGCCCGCCGGGTGTGCCCTTAAGGAAGGTACTTTACCATTATTGCTTCGTCCTTCGGATGGGACGTAAAGCCGTAGGTCCCGTGTGTTAAATGCAATGCACGAAAAGAACCCAGTCCTTAGGAGAAAAACCAACCAAGAACCAAGAACTTAAGAAGAACTTAAGGCAGTATCATAAATAGATTTGATTTTTGCCATGCAAGAATTGCCAAAAAGTACCCGATAACAAAGACGATTGTGCAGAAACGTTGAAAATTATTCGTGGATTGGCAGCCATATTTGAATCACATCATGCATTGCAGTTGGTTACGTGACCATGAATTTTAGTCTTAATCAATCGTCGTTCTATACAAACAAAACTAGGCCAGCCTATAGGAAAGCTGGTCCCAGTAGAACGAGCGACCGGTAAATGCATGATGTATGTGCACTATTAGAATTGAAGTATATAATTTGCACAAAGAAATGAAACCATTTTAAGCCTGTTTCATCCTCTTTGCAAAATGAACCGCTTACAGAATGAACAGAAATTGTGTTACATCTATCATTATTGTGTTGTTTATTAGTGTGAGGAAAGCGTACAAGGCTGATTAAAAAAAAAATATTCGCTTGCGCAAATTGGATGTTATTTTTTGAAGCCCGGGAAGGGAGAGGGTGGATTTTTTTTTTGGAATTTCCTAATTCGTTCGCACGAATTACTAATTCGTGGGAACGAATTAGTAATTCGTGCGAACGAATTACTGGAGTTATTCGTGCGAACGAATTACTGGAGTTATTCGTGCGAACGAATTGGTAATTCGTGCGAACGAATTACTGGAGTTTGCTAATTCGTTCCCACGAATTAGTAATTCGTGGGAACGAATTAGTAATTCGTTCGCACGAATTAGTAATTCGTGCGAACGAATTAGTAATTCGTGCGAACGAATTAGTAATTCGTGCGAACGAATTAGTAATTCTTGCGAACGAATTAGTAATTCTTGCGAACGAATTAGTAATTCGTGCGAACGAATTAGCAAACTCCAAAAAAAAATTCCACCCTGTCCCTTCCCGGGCTTCATATTATTTGTTATTCTTGAAAATGCACATGACGTAGTAAATGCAAAACACGTAATTTATTCAGTAGGATGATTAAGCTGTGCATTGATAGTACTGACGCGCCATAAAGTGTATAATATTGAGTCACGGGAAAGATCTGGGACTTTACAGTTTTAAATTTATCTTATATTTTTAACGTTGATAATTATGAGAAACTTAAAACGTGTTTTCTTAATGCGTTCACTATATTTATGCGATGTTTGTGAACAGTGTATATTTAATGTTTATCAGTTTATCAATTAACACGCTGCCACTCTTCCCCCCTTTTTGGGGTTGCCCCCCCCTTTTTTTGGTTGCCCCACCCCTTTTTGGTTTTAAGACAGATTTTCACATTTTGGTCAGAACATTCTAAAGAATTTGACGAGTGGCTCACAATGGAACCATTGTTGTTTAATACAAAATTGTCATTTTCTTTATATCATAGTTGATAGTCGGTATAAGGACTTTGTTTTCGAGCAATGAAAACAATTCAGTATGAGCAGTCAATGCTCTCGCTGGAGTAACTAAGGCGTAATATTGAACAAAAGTATACACATCACTAGCCTACAGGTGCCACCCCTCCCCTTTGAATAATGTATGCACCCCGAGTGCTCCCTCAGAATTGTAACCCTATTGACACCAATGAGTACTCTGCACAATTGCAACCGTGCTTGGCAAGAGCCTTTTCTAAAAAAAAAAAGTTCACATTTACAATCGAAGTATTTGAAAAAAAGAAACTTCATTTAATAGAGTTTGGAGGCGTCTTTTGATTGTTCGGTTCTTTGAAAGCCGGACAATTTTTTATCCTTTGTGTTTTTTTCTGAGAAGTGCTAAACACTGGTTGGGAAAAACGAAAAAATGTATCAAATGACATAAGGAAACACATTTGGCATAACAAATAAATAAATAAAATTGGAAAACTAAATTGAACACGCTGATATGATATCATAACTCTCCGCCATATATTATTTGCTATATTTGTGATGTTTCCCCACCAATAATAAAGCAGCACGTTCCGGCTTGGTATCAACCAATCCAGTGCGAGCTGTTCATTAGTATTCATTTCACTGACCAATCAGTGTCTCTCATCTCCGTGGAATGCTAACCTTGCTGGAAAGCAGGAGCGCTACGTCGCCAGTTTCATTCCAGACGCTGCGCTGTGGTAACGCGTTGATCTCTGCAGTGTTAGCGATGGTCTGATCGACGTTAGCGGACCTAAGCTGATTGTACGGGACAAGTTTGATTGCGTGTTCTGACGTGAAACCTATCATCGAACTCATAAGATTAGCAGATTAAGACAATGCAGTCATTTCGAGGATTCGTTTTTATGTTGAACGTTAATGCGATTCGTAATTCATAGCCGGCTGTATATTTATCCAATCAGAACGTGACTCTCTTGTTCGAGGCTCGACTTAATATCATTGTAGTGAACATTTCAAAAATAACACGCTTGATCAGATTCTTTTACAATGGCAAAACTGTACGCCAGTTTCAAAGTTGTGAATCTGATGGTATTTTTGGAAGTGGTGATTTTTGTCAATGGGCATGAATTTCATACACGACAACAACTCATGTACGCTGCAGAAAATTGCGCACTACAAGGATCAGCATATGCAACCAAAACTGTTCGATCTCGTGCCATTTGCGGAGTGAAATGCGGCATGGATGAACGTTGCAAGTCGTTTAACTTTAACGACTGCAATAAAACGTGCGAGTTGAACCTTGCCACCAGACGAGAGCATCCCGAAGACTTCAATGCAACTCAAGGGAGTGTGTACTTTGATGCAGATGAGGACACACCTCTCTCCTCATTGACTGATAGCTCCTTGAATCTCTACAGAAGTTGCAAGATGCTCTTAGATGCCGGTTATCATTCAAGTGGTATCTACACAATCTACCCAGAGCGATTTGATGGTTGCAGTCTTCGTGTCTACTGTGACATGGAAACTGACGGCGGGGGATGGATCGTGTTTCAGAGGCGACAAGATGGCAGTGTGGACTTCTACCGTAACTGGGCCGAGTACCAGGCTGGCTTTGGCGATCGGTCCGGTGAGTTCTGGTTGGGCAATGACAACTTGGTGACTCTGACGTCTGATGACTCACGTGGAACATGGGAGCTACGCGTTGATTTAGAGGACTGGGAGGGCAACACAGCATGGGCAAAGTACTCAGATTTCAAAATATCCCCGGGTGAGTACAATCTGAATATTGGCCAGTACGATGCCAGCAGCAGTGCCGGTGACTCTCTTGCGTATCACAGAGGACGTCCCTTCACAACAAACGACCATGACAATGATGCATCTGGATCATATCATTGTGCACAATCCCTCCACGGGGCCTGGTGGTTTGGTTGGTGTTCGCACTCCGACTTGAATGGTGAATATTACCCAGATGAGCATGCAGCCGCTCATGAAAAAGGCGTGTATTGGCACTACTGGAAAGGCCATTCCTATTCTCTGAAAACCAGCCAGATGAAACTCCGTGCGATGCGGCAATGAATACTTTTTGCGAACGTGACATTAGGTTGGTTATTGTTAACTCAATTTTTTTTTTACCAAGGCTGATGCGCTCGCCGGCATGTCAATTTTCCAAAGTGACCGAGCCTACCGGACTGTGGATGTTCAATCCCTGCACGGCCATGATAAGTAATAGATGAAAACAAAAATGGAAAAAAAAGACTATGGGGAAACTGTGCATTGCTAGAAAAATGAATAATAGATGTTAGGCAGGTTTACCTGAAATGCGGCTACGAGGCTTAATTTAACACATACATGATGCATATACATCTTCCTATTTTGGGCACTATCAGACAATGGGTGGGGCTGTTCATTGTTGCACAATATTGACGACGGGAGTTACAAAAAAAAAACACTCGTGAAAAACGGCACTCGTGAAAAAAATATTGGAGAAGGGGATTAATGAATATCCCCTTCCCTGGGATGCTACGTCACTGATATAAGTTTGTTAATAACAGAGCCCCAAAACGTCATTTGATGTCAAACCGTCCCCATCCATACCCCTGTTTGAAATTATTGTAAGTAATTGAAGAAATCGAATGAAAGCACCGACATCGAATGAAACAACGGGCTAACGTTTAATCTGGAAATACTTTCTTGTCAAGTTCAGAATTATTTGTGTCCTGAGAACGATAATTCATTTATCACATGGTAGACTGGTTCCCACATCTATCAGAATCAGTGTACTTGCAGAGCAGAGCTGCTCTTGCAAAAATAGTTTTTTCCCGGGTTTTTTTTGGACGCCCAGTCGCCCACAATTGCGAAAAAAGTAAGTGAATTAAAATTTTCGGCGCATTATTATATTCAACTTACGTTTGGTTGAATTTAAAGTTATTTTTAATCTCATTTTATTCTTTATGATTTATCCATCAATGCAGCCAAAAACAACAAATTACTTAAACCTGTCTCATGTTTACAAAAAGACAAATGCCAAAATTCCAATTCTGTTATGTCCTGATAGAAACACAAATACTGTACAAATAAAACATAGAATTGATAAAATAGAGTTTAACTAAAAATATCAATTAAAAACTTTGGTCCCGGATTTTGTTGTTGTTGTACAAAGTGGTTTTGTTGTTGCGCTTAAAACTTATGTAAATATAAAAGAGAGAAACAATTGTCAAAAAAATAATAATCAATAAACAAGTTCATATCTCATTTTTGTCATTATCTGTAACAGAACAGGCCAAATAATGTAGGCCTTACGTATGCACTTTTTTTCAACTTTTGGATACAAATTTGGAGAAAATGAAATATTTTAAATTCAATTTGGAGTATAAAGCTACAGGGAGCAGAAAACTAGATTAATTTGGTTGGATTTAAACGTATATATATATATATATATATATATATATATATATATATATATATATATATATATATATATATATATATATATATATATATATATATATATATATATATATATATATATATATATATATCTATATATATATATCTCTCTCTCTCTCTCTCTCTCTATATATATATATATCTATATATATATCTATATATATATCTATATATATATATATATATATATATATATATATATATATATATATATATATATATATGCTATTTTGCCTGTACATTGCACAATATAAATAATGACACGAGGATAAATAACCTGAGTGATAAGAACCGAACCATTATTGATTCTAATCACTAAGTTTGTTGTTTGCTATCTCGCTTGTATATTGCAGCACAAAAACAAAAAGGTTCCAATGACCTATGACGTTGAATAAACCGAGTGACAAGAACCTATCCATGATTCAGTTTCCCCGATTTATTCCAAGTTTTCTGTTTACAAGAATGTGATTCTATTTTTAGCAGCTGTAGGGATACTGAGGTTTTGCTGAAGCCCACCGCCATTATAAATGATGTTGCCCAGGCTCTAAAATTGTTCTATTTTGCAACAAAATAGAGAAATTTTAGAGCCTATTTCATCCGCATTTTTCAGAAATACGAGCTCGCAGTCCTCTTCAAGGCTTCTAACCTTCTTTTTTTTTTTTTACAAACCCTCAAGTTCATTGCCTACGTACAAAATACTCTAATAGCAAAGAAATTGAGGGCATATGTAAATCGTGATTTGAAGGCGTAGGCAACTTCGGGCCTATTTACTAACCTGTAATCTTTAGCTCAGCTCTTTATATCTCACCTATAGAGGGCGGCATAGCCTACGGTTAATTTGGTCAGAGCCGTATATAGAGGGAGTTGCGACATAAGGGTGCACACGGGTAAATATGCCCAAATCCATCCGCCAAGCTCATGAATAAAAGTTATATCCTCAAAATATTCAATATTAGAGAGTTCTGCGAGCCATAACATTGGGTAATTGAAAAGATATGGAAATGAACCTCTGGCCCGGACTTGGAGCTTCCAATTCTGAGCATTTTGGATGCAATTGGGCCCGAAAGCGGCGCTCCTTTGTCATGTTGTGGAGGGATCGTTTTTCAAGATGGCTACTTTTCAGCTTTAGGAAAAATGGCGGTCGTCTTCTTTGGGTGAACATTTCTCGACAATGCAATGGTCAACCCACCAAAAATGAAAGGAGAATGAGAGATGACATGTCGATCATCATTTCTCTGTGCAGCTTAAATACCTGTGAGAGTTCTGAGTATTTTAAAAAGAATTTTGAAGTATGGGCACTTAGCACTGATATATGGGAAATTCATTGCAGGGGTGCATCCATAAGGGTCGCACTGTTTGGAACCAAAATGGCGGATTATGCATCAGTGCACATAATTCGTACACAATAGTCGCACGCTGCACTGTACACATAATGAACGGCCATTATGGTTCAACAGTCCGAAGTTGTCGCAACTCTCTCTATATACGGCGCTGAACCTGACACTGTCGACTATACGCAGTCATGTGGTTGCGAAGGCCTTAGCGTCGCTGTTGTTAGACAAAGTGAATCCGATTACGTACTTGGACGCTACAGACAGAGCAGTGAAATTCATGCACCCCAAAAAACCATGGCCTTTTGAGAGTTGTGTTCTTTGAAAATATGCTGAGCATGATTGAAGGGCAGAAGCTAAAAAAATTGGATTATTCTGGATTCACCGAGTACTTACGAAAATCCCCTTCAGAAATGCCTTCATGAAATTGCATCCAGGCCTATATAACAAATCGACTTTTATGTAGTGACGTATCCATGTCTTGTGTCTTGGGACGTAAGGAGAGGAAACAAACGAACACAATCTGAAGAAACAGAACGGTGGTGCATTCATATATTCATGTTAAAAAAAGGCCAAGTGTGTTTGCTAACATTACACCAAACTGCTCAAAATGGTCATTCACACTAAACCTTTGTAAAAAAATCCCATTGTCTATTGATTTATGTACATTCCTATATTAATTTGACTGGAACATTTGTATCTATCTGCATACGTACACCCCCACAATAGGAATCGAATTCTTTTTTCATTCATCCGGTCCACCCCCTCTGTTAAACATGTAAGTCATAAGCTCAATTACAAAACATTTACAAAACACAATTCTTCCAACAGAATAATCGGTATTTAGTATATTGGATTTTTTTGTGAACACAAAATCCTAATATTTTGTGATGTCGTTTAAATTTCTCAATTTCATGCAATCAATGAAGGTTTGATAATTATTCTGAATGTAAAGTAATTAGCTTGTGGCCTTCACTTTATGGAGTAGGCATACAAACCAGAGAAACAACAATATGCCTACCCCTATGTCTTTTGAATCGCTGGAACTAAATCAATATCGCCAGGGTATTTCTTGTTATCGTGTGGAGGAGTGCATTGTTAAGACTGCTGCTAAAATTGAAGACGTATTTATTAGCGAAAGGTAGCTCCAATTGCCTTTTCATTAAATTGTTAGAGTAGAAATCAGTGACCGTGAAATCGTTCGCAATAGTTGAAAGCGATAGTCGGTGCTTTTATTATTACATTGGAAATGATAACAAGCAACTGAACCAAATAAGACGTCAACGTCTCGCTTTCTCCATATACAGAGTGATAATAGCACGCCTTCATTATACAATTCAGCCAATCAAATGCTACGGTTTGTCATTCGTGGGAAAACTGACCAATCATTACGAACCCCTGGAGCAGAATGACGTATTAACCCCGATGACCAATCAGTGAGTTACACACCATCTACCTATACACATTCCTTTCCAGGCAGTACCGAATGCCATCAACGCCGATCCCGTATATCATACAGCGTTATTTAAATCACGGTGTCCAGAAGTTTCATTCGAGACTCTGCGCTGTGGTAACGCGTTAATGTCTGCAGTGTTAGCGATGGTCTGATGCATCGAAGTTAGCAGATCTAACCTGATTGTAGGGGACAAGTTGGACTGCGAGTTCTGGCATAAATTGTACCATCTAACTCGTCATAAAATAAACAGACTAAGACAATGCAACATTTTCAAGGATTCATTCTTATGTTGAATGCGATTCATAATTCATAGCCGTTTGTATCTTTATCGACTCAGAACGTGACGCTCTTGTTCGAGGCTCGACTTAAAATCATTGTAGTGAACATTTCAATAACAACACACTTTTGATCAGATTCTTTGACAATGGCAAAACTGAACGCCAGTTTCAAAGTTATGAATCTGATGGTATTTTTGGAAGTGGTCATTTTTGTCGATGGACATCAATTTCATACAAGACAACAACTCATGTACGCTGCAGAAAATCGCGCACTACAAGGGTTTGCATATGCAACCAAAACTGTGCGATCTCGTGTCATCTGTGGACGGGAATGTAGCATGGACAAACGTTGCATGTCGTTTAACTTTAACGACTGCAGTAAAATATGCGAGTTGAACCTCGCCACAAGACGAGATCATCCCGAAGACTTCAATGCAACTCAAGGGAGTGTGTACTTTGATGCAGATGAGGACACACCTCTCTACTCACTGACTGATAGCTCCTTGAATCTCTACAGAAGTTGCAAGATGCTCTTAGATGCCGGTTATCATTCAAGCGGTATCTACACAATCTACCCAGAGCGATTTGATGGTTGCAGTCTTCGTGTCTACTGTGACATGAAAACTGACGGCGGAGGATGGATCGTGTTTCAGAGGCGACAAGATGGCAGTGTGGACTTCTACCTTAACTGGGCCGAGTACCAGTCTGGCTTTGGTGATCTGTCCGGTGAGTTCTGGTTGGGCAATGACAACTTGGTGACTCTGACGTCTGATGATTCACGTGGAACATGGGAGCTACGAGTTGATTTAGAAGACTGGGAGAACAACACGGCATGGGCAAAGTACTCAGATTTCCAAATATCCCCGGGTGAGTACAATCTGAATATTGGCCAATACGATGCCAGCAGCACTGCCGGTGACTCTCTTGCGTATCACAGAGGACGTCCCTTCTCAACAAACGATCGTGACAATGATGTATGGGGATCAAATTGTGCACAATCCCGCCGCGGAGCCTGGTGGTTTCGTGGTTGTTCGCACTCCGGCTTGAATGGTCAATATTACCCAGATGAGCATGCAGCCGCTTATGAAAAGGGCGTGTATTGGCACCACTGGAAAGGCTATTCCTATTCTCTGAAAACCTGCCAGATGAAACTCCGTGCTATGCGGCAATGAATATGTTTTTTGCGAACGTGTCATTAAGTTGGTTATTGTCAATTCAAAATTGAATATTTTTACCCATGTATGATACGCCTGCCGGAGAGGGGTGTGACTTTTTCCAACATGACGGAACCGACCGGAGTGTGGATGTTAAATCTCTGCCCGGCCTTAAACAGTAGGATGAAAACGAATGTGGAAAAGACGATTAATGTGAAACTGTGCATTGTAAGAAAAGTGATTATAGATGTTTGGCAGGTATACCTGAAATGCAGCCACGCGAGGCTTTACATAACACATATATGATGCATATACAACATCTTCCTCTTGGGCAAAGGCTGTTTCCCGCCCCTAAATATATGGGGACCGGTAGCTAGCTCCCTGCGCGCGCGCTCTTTGATTGCTTATTTTCAAATCGCTGTATAGCTCTGGTGCATGGACGGTGATTCAACGCATGATTAAAAAAAACCCTCATGTTTGTCTTACCACAAAAAGTAGGCAAATCCATGAATCTGTAACTTTTCTTTACAAAAAGTAAGCACTCGTGAAAAAAACGGCACTAGTGAGAAATATTAAGGAGGGGGATAAATACCCCTTACCCCTCGCGGATGCTACGTCACTGATACACATTTGTAAATAACAGCGCCCCAAAACGTCATTTGATGTCAAACCGTCCCCATCCAGTCCATACCCCTGTTTGAAAGTAATTGAAGAAATTGAATGAAAGCACCAACACCGAATGAAACGACGAGCTGACGTTTAATCTGGAAAAAAATTCTTGTCAAATTAAGAATTATTTGCGTCCTGACAAAAATTCATGTATCACATGGTAGACTGGGTTCCACCTCTATCAGAACAAGTTAACCTGCAGAGCAGATCTGACTGTGCGAAAACAAGTATTTTTATAAAAATTTTGGACGCCCTCAATAACCAAAATAGTAAGTGAATTGAATTTGTCCAGCGTATTATCATATTCAATACCTTTGGTTAAATGTGAAATTTTCTTTAATCTCAAGCTATATGATATAACGATAAATGACAGCCAAAACAACGCATTATTTAAAACTGCCTCGTGCTTACAAAAGGGTAAAGGCCAAAATTCAAAATGTTTTAAGTCTTGATGGAGAAACAAATATTGTACAAATATAACATTGCATCAATGAAATATAGTTCAACAAGTAATATCAATTCAAAACTTTGGTGGCAGGTATTTTCTTTCTCTCAAAATAATACAATTGAAAATTTTCCCATTAATCCGCAAAGTCATCGTTGTTAATACGGAGATTTGCGATTTCAGCTTTTGTACATTGTGGTTTTGTCGTTGCGCTTAAATTATGTAAATATGAATGAAATAAGAAACGATTGTAAAACAATAATAATCAGTAAACAAGTTGATATCCCATTTTTGTTATGACTGAACATATCACATAATCTTACGTGTGCCCCGTCTACCTTTGGATACCTATGTTCCGAAAATGAAATAAGTCAAATTCAATTAACCCTGAATGATAACTGCTTATATGGAATATAAAGCTACAGGGAGCAGAAAACTAGATTAATGTGGTTGTATATCTAAACGTCTTTAATTGCCATTTTGCCTGTACATTGCATAATGTAAATAGTAACATAATAATGATGAACAAATTGAGTGACAAGAACCAAACCATTATTGATTCTTATCACTCAGTTTGCTGTTTGCTATTTCGCTTGTATATTGCGGCACAAAAAAACAAAAAGGTTCCAATGACCTATGACGTTGAATAAACCGAGTGACAAGAACCAATCAATGACTGAGCTTTTCTTGATTTATTCAAAGTCTCCTACATGTATTTGCAAGAATATGATTTTAGTACTGTATTTAGCTGCTGTAGGGCGACTGGAACTATGCTTCAAAACAAGAAAATGTATATGTCTACCCTTCCATCTGTAACCTCGTCTACAGGCCCAGTGGCGAATCGAGAGGGGGGGGGGGGGCTTTCATCCGCTGATTATAATGTTATGAAACTAGTAACATCAGGCCAACAATGATAATTGGAACGCTAAAGCTCCTATTTTATTCTAAAATTTCCTTGGAATGCAAGGGAAAGCTCCGTAGACTTCAGTTTTTTTTCTTTGGGGGGGGGGTGTACCTCCTGCCCCACCCATCATGGCATGACGTTTGGCACGCTTTCGCTCAGCCCCCTTGATATAACCCCCTCCCCCTCCGTTTCCGGGAAGTTAGATCCGCCTCTGCGGCCATCACTGGAACCTTGACTTTAACCCTAAGATCATATCCAATCACCATTGATCATTCCGAAATACTAAGAATCGTTCAAGAATGTTTGAAACATCATACCTTTTACCAAAAAGCAAACCTTTAAGCGCCGAGGAAAACCAAAACTGGATTGGGAGCCTTAAGAAGTAATGTAGATATGTTTAGATCTGGAGTTATAGTTCAAAATCCTTGAAATGAGTTTTGGCCCGTCCCTGCATTTTTATTATTTCGAAAACGGGACCAATAACCCCCTGTACTAATAACGTCACGCAATGTTTACCGCAGTGCATTGTGGGATTGAGTAGGGGTCGCCGCACCGCGATTGCTATAGAGAACATGTAGTATTTGTCGTAATTCGCACAGTGGGATATTGTCATGATTGTGTGTCGAGGCGAACAGCGGACATCCAGTCTATAGAGGGCAGCACCCAATGTTTACAGCGGTTTCAAAGGACCTCCCATCAATTCAGCCGTGCACATGCCATCACAGTCAACGCTCGCGTCCAGCCAACAGAGGGCAGCACAGGCATGGATAATGCCCTTCTCCAAGAAGACAAATAATAATAACGTCCCTTATCAACCACTACTCGACTAATCGTCCTCGCTCGAACTTTATGTCTAGAGCTGATGCTTCCCATCAAACTGCAGTGTTCAGGGGTGTTTTTATGCGTGATGAGACAAAAGCCGATCGGAAAATAGCAAGTGAATGATTCATCTTGGTAATTGTATTTTTAATGTGACATTATATGCGTTTTACCGTTCATTGCGAATCATTACGTCAAATCATCCTAAAAACCTTCCTTTTTCCATTTATGTAATCAAAATTATTCTGCGTAAAAGTTGGATTGGTTGCATGAAAACATTATCACTTTGAAAATTTGTGTTTTCCATTTCGACGTTGCGGCAACAACAAAAACACTCCATGAACAATTGGACGCCGTATACAAACTAAAAAAACTATTCAGCCCTTCATGCATTGTCGGTAAAACGAAGAAACAAATGAGGCCTTACTTTATTGAATGACGGCGTATATCTAACACATTAAGATGTTTAATCTTTTTTTCAAATTGACACATATTTCAGAAATAAGTATTGAGGTCGGATTTGTTTTGCGTCTTTTAAGCGTAATACTTTTGAATTGAATTTGTTTGGTAATACTCTACTGATCCGACTTCCATCGTCGGCCTTGGCACTCGTATTATGCGTCGGTTTGAGCGTGTTGGTAATTTATTCATGGTACTCCGTTAAATACACGGTGTCAGTAAGTAGGCCAAGCTGTGTACCATGACAACGAAGGAATGGTTGCCTTCTGTAAAAGAGTGTAGTCATGGTAACCATCCAAGTAACAACAAGCCTCAGCCTCCCTATATTCATAAAGATCGCTGGAACAAAATTTATATCGTAGGAGGAAAATTGTATCATCCGTTCGTCTTTTTAATTAAGAGTGCTGCTTAAATTGAATACCGCACGTCTTCGTTAATTGACAGCTCGTGAAATCCAAAAGAGCCCTCTTATTAAATTTTAATCATGGAATCAAAGAGCGTGAAATTGATATCAAAGGCTGTAGCTTTATTATTACACCACTTGCCTTGATATGGTGATTGATAACGTCTTGAGTGCTTTTTAACGTTTCTCTTTATCTTGCATGTGATAAGATGACACGCCTACAAAGGTTAGCCAATCAAAAGCTACGTATGTATCAGGCAGTAGCATTGACCAATCACGAGCCGCTGACGTGGCATGAGGTCCAATTCTACCATCCCTGTCGGGCCTGATATCGGGGTATTTCATTTTATCCTCAGCTCTGGAGCAAGTCATACAAACGTTTCTCGTCGAATTACAGGGCAGTGATTTCACGATTTATGCAGTTTTATAATCGCCATCGACATTTATTTAATCAGACCTGACATATCGCTAGATTTATTTCAAGAACAAACTGATTGCTACGTTCCATCTTTCGTTTCAAGAGGAGAAGATGGCGATAAGGATCTTGGTTTTGAATTTAATTTGCATTACATCCCTTGTTTTTCAGGGAGCTATTCTGTCTGTCTCTGGAGTTGAAACTTTATCTTATACAAGCGAACATACATTTTATGCTGCTGAAAATCGCGCATTAAGAGAATTTACATATGCTATTAAAACTGTGCGATCTCGTGTCATCTGCGGACGTGAATGCAGCATGGATGAACATTGCAAGTCGTTTAACTTCAACGAATGCAGTAAAATGTGTGAGTTGAACCTTCTTACAAGACGAGAGCATCCCAAAGACTTCATTGCAACTCAAGGGAGTGTGTATTTTGATGCAGATGAGGACACACCTCTCTACTCACTGGCTGATAGCTTCTTGATTCGCTACCGAAGTTGCAAGATGCTCTTAGATGCCGGTTATCATTCAAGTGGTATCTACACAATCTACCCAGAGGGATTCGGTAAACACAGTCTTCGTGTCTACTGTGACATGGAAACTGACGGTGGAGGATGGATCGTGTTTCAGAGGCGACAAGATGGCAGCGTGGACTTCTACCGTAACTGGGCCGAGTACCAGTCTGGCTTTGGCGATCTGTCCGGTGAGTTCTGGTTGGGCAATGACAACTTGGTGACTCTGACGTCTAATGATTCACAAGGAACATGGGAGCTACGCGTTGATTTAGAGGACTGGGAGGGCAAAACATCATGGGCGAAGTACCCAGACTTCCAAATATCTCCGGGTAACTACAATCTGAATATCGGTCGACACGATGCCAGCAACACTGCCGGTGACTCTCTCAGGCGTCACAGAGGGCATCCCTTCTCAACAAAGGATCGTGACAATGATGTATCGGAGCGAAATTGTGCACAATCCTACCACGGCGCCTGGTGGTTTAGGAGTTGTTTGCTCTCCAACTTGAATGGTCGATATTATCCAGATGAGCACGCAGCTGGTGATCGTTTGGGCGTCTGTTGGCAATCCTGGAAAGGCGATTTCTATTCTCTGAAAGCCTGTCAGATGAAAATTCGTGCGATGGGACCATAAATACTTTTTTTTTCATTAAAGGCCACAGCACACGAGAGCTACGTGCGGAGCAAAAAAAGGCATTGGTTGCCGTTTGCTCAGTACGTAGCTTAGAAAATATCACGGTTTGCGGCAAATTTTTGATACAGCTTCTGCTCTGCGAGGCCGTTAGCAAAATATCTATCCTGTTTCATTTAATTCGCCTTGCGTGGAGAAAACAAATCACAGTGTGCGGGCAACCTGTCGAGTGCTCACAAAAGGACACACGACAAACAAGTATGCCCACTCTTCAACCTCCATCCTCGTCTCCTGACCGTCACTTCACACTTGATGTTCACCCTGGAATCAGACCTAATTTTCCACCTGTGGTTTATTACCCATATTTTTTTTTAAACTTACAAATTGGTTTAAAAAGTTGAATTAAAAAAAAAATTGCCCACAATTTTTTGACACCAGAAAAAAATTGGTGTTTTTTTTTGAGGGACGGCCTATTTTGACGTGCTGGCGCCACTTACACCCCTATTAAACTACTCGCACACAAACCACATTCATATCACCAAGGCCAAATCGTGGGACTGAAAAAAAAAATCAGCCTGCGGGGGGGGGGGGGGGGGTTCAAGCCCCCCGAGGGCAACCCCCCCCCCCCCACCCCCGGGTGCGCCACTGCATGTGAGAGTTCTGAGTTTTTTTTAAAAAGAATTTAGAAGTATGGGCATTTAGCACTTGTGTCTATGGGAATTTTAATACACTGTAAGGACACTCCGTATTTTCTCGTCATGGAACATTTTTTTTCTTCAAAAAGCGGGCGCGCTAGACAAACAATGCTCACCACGCTCCGACGTCTGGCCGTTTAAGATGCAAACACAGTTGTTTTGACAATTGGAACTCAAGATAAACACATTGTATTGCAATGAAATTTCCTTTAATGGTTTGCCATGGTGTTTGATACGAAACTCTAGAAAATTGACAGGAACCGCCGAAGAATCAATGTACTTTAATTTAAAGAAATTGCAGTATGAAGGACACTCCGTATCTTATCCTCATGCAGCAATTTCTTACAAAAGAGGGCGCGCTACACAAACACTGCTCACCGCGCTACGACGTCTGGCCATTCGAGATGTAAACACAGTTATTAAAAATTGACAGGAACCGCCAAAGAATGAATGTAATATTTTGAAGGAAATTGACGTGTAAGGGTGCACACCTGTGAATAGGCCTAAACCCATCCGCCGAGCTCATGAATAAAACTTATACCCTCAAAATATTCTATATTACTAGTATTAGAGAGTTCTGAGGGCCATAAAATTGGGGAATTGAAAAAAATGTGGCAGTGAACCTCTAGCCCAGACTTGGGACTTCAAATTCTGAGTATTTTGGATGCAATTGAGCTCTAAAGTGGCGCTATTTTTTTTAATGTTGTGGAGGGATCGTTTTTCAAGATGGCTACATTTCCGCTTTTGGAAAAATAGGGGTCGTCTTCTTTCGGTGAGAATTTCTCGAAAAGTCAATGGTCCACCCACCAAAAATTAAAAATAAAATAAAAGATGACATATTGATCGCCATTTGTCTGTGCAGCTTAAGTACATGTGAGCAGTGGCGCACCAAGGATTTCGTTTGGGGAGGGGGGCTCAAATTTTGTTTGCTTACACATTTGAAAAAAAATCGGTGTTCTTGTTTGAGGGGCTGCCTATTTTGACGTTGGTGGCGCCACTTACACCTCTATTAAGCTACTCGAAAACAGGCCACATCCATATCACCAAGGTCAAATTGTAGGACATAAAAAAACTTGACAACCTGTTGGGGGGGGGGGAGGGGGGGGGGGGGGGCTGAAGCCCCCCAAGCCACCCCCGGGTGCGCCACTGGGGAGGGTGGTGGTGGTGGGGATGGGTGAGTATAGGAGGCGGGGGGGGGGGATTGTTAACAAATTCCTTTTTTCTGAATTAGCGCACTTTAAAAAAAACCGTGCTTTTTTGTGTCATATGGTGCCTTTTTTTAAGTACGTGCATGTATCGCCCTGAAAGGCACCATACATTATCGCTGTTAGTGTGCATAATTGTCGGTTTTGAACAGTGCCCCCATCGACAGATGAGCTTATATAATCATGCTCTACGTCAAGTTGATTCGGCTGATACGGTTTTGTATTAACTCACATTTAGTCATTGCATATATGAGATCAGAAGAGGCGAAATCCAGGATGCCAGATGGCAAAAGCGATCAGACTTGTTCATTTCTTCCAACTTAACCTATTTCTGTGATGTCACACTAATTGTTCAAAGTGTAGATTATTTTCACGAATCTACACTTTACTGTAGAATATTTTAAGAATCTACACCTAACTGTAGAATATTTTAAGAATCCACAGTTTTTGTTGTGAACAATTCCATGTATATTCCGGCACTGTATAATTCCATGTATAATTCCAGCACTAAAGATTTCCTTTTTTCCTTTTTTTTCCTTTAAAGTTTCAGTCCATTATAATGAAAAAAAAAGAAATGTTAATAGTACTAAAAAATGTACGAATTTTTTTTCCGAAAGAATTTGACGTGTACTTGATTTTAATAAATACCTTACTACTTTAGTTTTTTCAATTTTTACACAAACTGTTCGCGTTTTATATTTAATTTATCGTGCTGATATTTTGAATATAATATATGGTGGCTATTATAGTTTTTAACCTAAAGGGCAGTGTAAAATATTCCTCTTTATGTTATTTGCAGTTCCCTTTAATTTTTTTTGAGTGTTTTTTTTTTATATTACTATCTATACGTAAATGCTGAAAGTTTTTTAATGCTAAAAATTTAATTTTTATTTTTTGTTTTTAAATTTGTATTATAAAAAAAATCAGTGGATACCCCTCGGTTAAAGAATATGTACTTTCATTATCAAAATGACAATCATAAATAAAATGGACGAATAACTAACGAAATCAAATGAAACTTACCCAATCATATACGTCTCAGAATATATTCCAATGTAGGCCTGATGTGTTTTCCAAGCAAAATTATTTCCTGTGGTGAGTGAGATGGGCATATTCCGATGTGTAGCCTACTCATCAAGGTAAAGAAATGTGGTTCTCGATTGAATGGCCAATGACATGTGGTTCCACAAATCAAAAAGCTCTATGCACAAATGAGTTGCTTGCCAACTTTTCCTTGTGGTTGGTGTTTAAACTCCTCAGATCAATCCCGTAAAAAACAGCATCAAAGTATTTTCCGGTATAATCCCCTAGCTGTAGCATACAAGCTCCATTCGGCGTTGGGAGTAAGGAAAGACAGTGTATTCGCACTAAACACTTCTGATCGTGAATGTGTTTGTGTGACTTACCATGAGGACAAATGTACTGTGCAATTGATGAATGGAACAAAAGATGTGCACCCATCCGAAGGGTTAACAATAGAATCTTGTTACGATGCAAGCACAGGGCCAGGCAAAGTTGACTAGATTGTATGAATCTACACTTATTCACAAATGTGGTAAACCAGGGATCTTATTTGCATAAACTATTGTTGTTTTAAGAAATAGTTACGGAACTGTAGATTCGTGCATGAATGGACTCGGTCTTAGCACGAATCTACAGTTCCTCGTCCATTCTCTATAACATAATCAACATTATGTCAGAATTTATGTCATTGAAATCGCAGGAACTAAATCAATATCGCCAGAATATTTCTTGTTATCGTGTGGAGGGGTTCGTATTTTTAAGACTGCTGCAAAAACATTGAAGATGAAGACGCAATTATTACTCAATGGAAGCTTCAATTTCCTTTCCGTTTTACATGTAGAGATAATCAAAGACCGTGAAATCGTTCGCAGTGGTCGAACAAAACAGTTGCTAGTTTTACTATTAAATTTGATATGACAACATGCAACTCAACCCAATTCGACGTCACGTCGATGCTTTGCTTTCCCCAACATGTTATACAGCGATAAGATTACACGCCTTCATCATAAAAGTCAACCAATCAAACGCTGCGGTTTATTATTGGCGGGAAAAACTGACCAATTCCAAGCCACTGGTTTGGGATGACGCATTAACGTGGATGACCAATCATCGACTTACACACCGTCTGGCTCTACGAATTCCTTCCAAGCACTATATACCTAACGCCGTCAACGCCAAATTTGCTTGGAAACACGGCCGATCATCTACATCATTTTACAGTTATCGAAATTGCGGTGTACAGAAGTGTGTATATTTTTGTCAGCGTTTGTGCAATATCACTGTTTATACCATAGTTTATCAGGAAAGACATATCGCTTTACTGTCTATTTCTCCCATTGTGAGACCAAACTGGGATCGATTGAATTTGCAGGACTTTAGCATAATGATGACAATGGCGAAACAGATCTCTGCGTTGGCAAACAAAAGCAAAATTTGAAATGACTGATTTAATCATGAAGCTCAAATTTGAGTTCCATTTCTGCTCAAACACTTCAACATATCTTTCTCCTCCGGTGTAACACATAATCCACTGCAACTGTGCGCACCTTTGTGGAAAGCTCAATTCACCACTGAATCAGGCAAACTTAGAAAAAGTCGGAGTTTTGCTTTGTGATGATAAACACAATTTAAGATAGAGCCACTTTCACAATGCTTTCAATTCATCAATTTGCATAGTAACCCATTTATGTAAGATGACCTCCTTTGATACACCATGTATGAAAGATGTTTAAATACTGACATGATACGACACCAGGTGGGAGAGCATACAACTCGTGGGAACAAACTGCTCGACGCCAGGGTTGGAAGGAAATACAAGTTGAGAGTATTTCCTGGGCTTATTGCGACGCTGGGTGGCGTTCTGCCATGCAGCGGCAGCAAATTGTTTTGATAGGGAAATATTGATGATAATTGATAGAAGACTTGCCGATTATGTCATCACCTACTAACACATGCCAGACACAATGCTTCTTCAGCAAAACAAAGATATAAATGAGGCCATAATGATTTGAAATGACGGTGATTATTTAAAAATTGCTATTGATTTTCACTTGGTATCAAAAACCAATTTTTTTTTAAAGAAAATTAGTATATGCTAAACAGAGCTCAGGTCTTGATGCGTCTTAGAAACGATATTGTAAATTTGGTTAAAATTCACCAATCCGACTTTCCTCTTCGGCTATTGCATCCATCATGCCACGGTACTGTGCTGCTAATTTAATATTACAGGACCGCATTATAATATATTTATTATATACCGTATTATTATACTGTGCCAGTCAGCAGGCTAGCTGTATACCTTGGCATTGAAGAAATAATTTCTTATTGCCTACAGCCAAGATGTAGTCATAGTAACCACTGCAAACTACCCAGCCTGACTTATTTTCATTAAAATCGCCGGACCAAAATATCTATTGTAGGAATTCAACTGGTTATCGTCGGTACTACTTCGTAATTAAGAATGCTGCCTTCATTCAATGTGTCTTCATTATTAAGTGACGGTGAATGGAATCCTTAAAGAGGTTGTGGAATGCTCGAAGACATTTCCGTAATTTTGCGGGTAAATGTAGCCGCCTAAGGTGTGATGAAATAAAAACGAATAATTGTGTCTGTCATGAAATGAGTACAAAAGGTACTTTTGAGAGCTGTTTTTCAGGTCCTGTTTCGACCCGAACGTGCAATTTGTGTAAAAGTCGTCGCTGGGGGCAGCAAACAAAACATACTAAATCGTGACGTAATAAACAGGACTCGTTTATACTACGCTGCATAGGGAGTCCTGTTTATTACGTCACGATTTACTATGTTTTGTTTGCTGCCCCCGACGACGACTTTTACACAAAGTGCACGTTCGGGTCGAAACAGGACCTGAAAAACAGCTCTCAAAAGTACCTTTTGTACTCATTTCATGACAGACACAATAGTCGTTTTTATTTCATCACACCTTAGGCGGCTACATTTACCCGAAAAATGACGGAAATGTCTTCGAGCATTCCACAACCTCTTTAAGGGCTCTTTATTAAATTTTGCGAGCAGAATCAAAGAGCGTGAAATTGACGAGCAACTAAACCAAATAAGAATTCAATGCTACATAACGTGTTACCTTATCTTACAAAGCAAGAAGACTACTCTTATCACTCCTGCAACACAACAGTTAACAAATCAAATGCTACGGTTTGTTACTGGCGGGAAAACTGACCAATAACAGGGAATGACGTATTACCCTCGTAGACCAATCAGTGACTTACACATCGTCTGCCTCTACCCATGTCTTTCTATGCAATACCAAATTCCATCACAAACGATCAACGATACCATTCACGTTAACTACGTGGTGGTGTTCAGAAGTCTCAGGTGCAAAATGGCGAAACACAACTTTGTTTTCGAGTTATTTTTCATAGTGTCCTTGGTATTCCAAGGTACTATCTTGATTGTCTCTGGATTGGAAATTTCATCTTACACACGGGAACATACATTTTATGCAGCTGACAATCTTAAACTACAAGGGTTTACATATGCAACCAAAACTGTGCGCTCTCGTGTCATCTGCGGACGGGAATGCAGCATGGATGAACGTTGCAAGTCGTTGAATTTTAACGAATGCAATCAAATGTGCGAGTTAAACCTTGCCACAAGACGAGAGCATCCTGAAGACTTCAATGCAACTCAAGGGAGTGTGTACTTTGATGCAGATGAGAACACACCTCTCTACTCTCTGACTGATGGCTCCTTGAATCGTCACAGAAGTTGCAAGATGCTCTTAGATGCCGGTCATCGTTCAAGCGGTATCTACACAATCTACCCAGAGGGACTCGGTGATGGCAGTCTTCGTGTCTACTGTGACATGGGAACTGACGGCGGAGGATGGATCGTGTTTCAGAGGCGACAAGATGGCAGCGTGGACTTCTACCGTAACTGGACCGAGTACCAGTCTGGCTTTGGCGATCTGCCCGGTGAGTTCTGGTTGGGCAATGACAACTTGGTGACTCTGACGTCGGATGATTCACGTAGAACATGGGAGCTACGAGTTGATTTAGAAGATTGGGAGGGCAACACGGCATGGGCAAAATACTCAGATTTCCAAATATCCCAGGGTGAGTACAATCTGAATTTCGGTCAATACGATGGAAGTAGCACTGTCGGTAACTCTCTCTGGAGACACAGAGGAAGTCCCTTCTCAACCAAGGATCGTGACAATGATGAAGGGGAGAGACATTGTGCACAATTCTTCCACGGAGCCTGGTGGTTTAAGAACTGTTTGCGCTCCAACTTGAATGGTCGATATTACCCAGATAAGCAGGCAGCTCTCGATAAGGGCTTGTATTGGCGCTCGTGGAAAGGCGATTTCTATTCTCTGAAAGCCTGTCAAATGAAAATGCGTGCGATGGAACCATGAATATTTTGTGTGTGAATATGTCATTAAGTTGCTGACTGTAAACCTTAACATTAAATGTTTATGCGAACACTGAAAGCTCACCTGGAAGGGTCATGGACAAGTAAAGAAATCGTGGAGCCGATCGGAGTGAGAATGTGAAATCCCTGCCCGGCCTTCCTCAATAATAGATAAAATCCAAAATACAAAAAACAACAACAAATATATATATATATATATATATATATATATATATATATTTTAAGTTAAACCTGAAATGTGTATACGACACTTTGCGTAATACATAAATCAGGCATACACATATACATAATTCAGGCATACACATCTTGAACACTAACAGCCAATAGGTGGCGCTCTTCATGATGGCACAATGTTGCCGACGGGTGTTAAAAAGCACCCCTAAAAACACACGGCCCTAAATTACTGGGGGTGTGGTACACCCCCTACCACCCGGGTGCTACGCCACTTGTGTTTAGCAGCGCCCCCAACACATCATTTGTTGTCAAACAGTCCCCATCCTTCGCCTGTCTTTAATTCCGGAAACCCCACCACTATTTATCACTTCGCTATACTGCTGTGCAGTTTTTGCTTGGTATTACTTTAAAAAAAATCATCATAAACACTCCCTTAACACCCTGCTACATTTCCATAAATCGAATGGAAAAGAGGAGAACGGATAAAGCAATTCTTTAATATAATCTAAAATAGAAAATAATTAAAGGAACCACTCTGTTAGAAACAGATGTTGCTGATGTTATGTGTGCAGATGGCGCACTGTCTGCTTTTTGATATCAAATTTGACAAGAGAAACATTACTCAAATTTGATTTAGGCCTTCTTTGAATGACAACTGCTTATCAAGAATATAAAGATACAAGAAGTAGAAATCTATATCCGTTTGGATGGATGTTAACCTGTTTGCTTTGTTCTTTTGCCTGTGCATTGCATAATATTTATATTCCTAATTACCTATGTCATTGAATAAATTGAGTGATAAGAACAAAACCGTTATTGATTCTTATCACTCAGTTTGTTGTTTACTATTTTGCTTGTATATTGCGGCACAAAACACAAAGGTTCCAATGACCTATGACGTTGAATAAACCGAGTGACAAGAACCAATACATGATTGGGTTTTTCCGATTTATTCAAAGCTGAGTTTTCTGTTTGCAAGAATTGGATTCTGACTAGAAGTACTATGTTTAAGCAGCTGCATAGATTATGGGATATGCTTCGTGATTATATCTGCCGAAAACCTACAACTTTGTCAACATGAAGTGGCATTGAACAAATTGAAAAGCTTTCAAAATTTAAAAAGCGGCCACTTGCCACCCCCTCCCCCCATCCTGGTTGTGTCTGTAATCTGGGGGGTTATGACGCTCCATTGAAAAACAAACGCCTTTGGAAAAAGTTCTCCACCAATGTCTACAAGTCGTCACTACAAGCTCAAATAGTTTACCACTTTACTCCTGGAATCGGAGATACAGGAACTTTCAAAAGAAAAAAAATAAGCTCCAAGAAAAGCGAAGTAGTTATGCAGAGTTATACTAAACCCCCAAAAATATAATATTAGCTCCTCCTCCCATTTGAACCACCTTTGTCCATCTTAATAATATACGAATACCGAAATAGCACTAAAACCAAGGCTCTCAGCCCTAAGCAATAATTGGATGAATTGAGGACCTTATGTTTAATCCTCTCAACGAAAGACAGAGCGCCACCAAGAGTTTGCTGTGGAAAGTGATTTTTTTAAAGTTTACAGCCGACAAAACACGGCCCATTTGAACGAGTGTCAGTAGGCAACTTGAGCTAATTGGTTTTAAATTTGGGCAAAGCGTTCTGCCGCCTTACAAAAATCACCATATTGATAAAAAGAAAAGAAAAGGGCAAACAGATTCTCGTATCATACGCTTACGAAAGACCGGGAAAAAAAACTATAATGTCCCACGGTGCGAATTTGTCGACCGTTTCCCACAATGCACTAGGAAAAATGAACTCTCCGTGGCAAACTCTTGATGGCGCACTGCATTGTGAAACGCACGAATTGCATGGCGAGGGTTTAATTATATGTCTATGGGCGAGGGTAGGGTGGAAATACAATCCAAAGAGGACAGCAAACACTGTGCACAGCTTACTAAGAACTATTCAGTGAAGGCGAGGCTTATGCGAGTCAGTCAGTGAGTTTGTCAATGGTGTAATTCTGAAAAACAAAATATCTTTAGTTTTACGTGACTTTATTTTCATAAGATAACATAATATTACTGTATATATTCGGCTTACTCATTTAAAGGTGACGGTTACTCAGTTACCCTCACTTTCGGTTGTTGTTTTTCTATCCACATGCATTTTTGTTTTTACAATGTAAGTAATAATGTTATGCTACGCCACGACAAATATATTCCTTGTGCGCCTTGGCCACCCTTATTAAAAAAACCAAACACTGATTTTAAGCAAACTATTCCGTACCTAATTGTGATGTGCAATATCTTTCAATATTAATATGGTGAAGTACCGCGGTGAATGAGCATACAACTAGTGGAAACGAACTGGTCAACGCCAGGCGACGAGGTTAGATAGAAATACAAGTCGGGAGCGACTGGGCTTATCGTGACTCTTGGTTGCGCTCTAATATGGCGCGCCGTATAGAGAATTACTGCAAATATTAGGCTGCCTCCGAAACAACTGTCTAGAGATAGGCCTAGGTCCTCGCCCATTGGAAATACGCGGGGACGCACAGACAATAGACGTAGCTGTAGCTGTGGAAGCCCGTTTCGGACACAGCCTGAGAGTGAAATATTTATAGCAGTTGAAAGAAGACTTGTTGACAATATGGCATCACTTGCTAAAATATGTTGGCCTCAATATGTTGTCTGCAAAAGAAAGGTATAACATGCATATGCCTTTTTTGAAAATACATTGATCGTTCGAAAAAAACATGTTTATCACTTCGTTTCAACTAACAATTATTACAGAAATTAGCACATGTTTATCAGAGAGGGGATCTGGATGCATCTTAATTTAAATTTGTTTGGTAATAATTAGCGATCGGACTTCCACTGTCCAATTTAGCATTCGTTATTATACAGCGGTTAAAGCGTGTTGGCAACAAGTGTATACAGTGTCAGTCAGCATGTCAAGCCGTATACCATTTCATTTAGGGGATAATTCTGGTTGACTTCGTTACCATCCAAAAACCAAAATGCCTGAGCCCGACCTATTTTCATCAAAATCGCCGGAACAAAATATATTTTGTAGGGAGCCAATTTGTTGTCATCGATCCGTCTTTTTGATGAAGAGTGTCGCTTAAATGGAATACAGCACTTCTTCGTTAACTGACAGGTCGTTGAAACCCACAGTGGTTACTTTATTAAATTTTGAGAATAGAATCAAAGAGCGTGAAATTGATATCGAAGGCTATATCTTTATTATTACAGAACTGACCTCAATATGGTGACCAGCACGTAAAACCTATGGAGACTCAAGTACCTCATAACGTTTCATGCAATCATACAGAGCGATCAGAATACACACCTATAATATATTCACTGAAGTGGAGCGCCATTTAGAGGCTTACGCCAAATACAGTGAAATGTTGAAAATATGTAGTTCATAGAAGACTTGCTGACATGGCAGCACTGACTGAAGCATGCTAGCCTCTATGCATTTTCTGCACAACAAAGAAATAAATGAGGCCTGACTTATTTGAAATGACGGTAATCTTTGTAAAATATTGATTTTTCACTTTGTTTCAACAAAACAAATATCCAAAACATCAACAAGCCACAGCCTGGCATATCTTTGTTAAAATAACCAGAACAAAATATCGTTTGCAAAAGGTCAACTTTTATCATCGGTTCGTCTTTTTAATTAAGAGTGCTGCTTAAATTGAACGCTACAAGTCTTCGTTAACTGACAGGTCGTTGAAATCCAAAAGCTCTCTTTTTACGTTTTGAGAATGGAATCAAAGAGCGTGAAATTGATATTAAAGGCTGAAGCTATATTATCACAGGACCGACATCGATATGGTGACCAGTATTTAGTGCAAACGCTTTCTGATTCCTTATAGAGCTATCAGAATACACACTATTTAGCCAATCAAAATCACTATCAAGAAAATTGACCAATCACGAGCCACAGACGTGGCATGAGGGCGTAGATGGCTCTGAATGATATAGAGATCCCTGCCGGGCCTCTATATAATTCAGAGCCATCTACATGTAGGGGTGTTTCATTTCATTGTCAGCTCTGGTGCAAGACAAACACACGTTTTTCAAGGCTTTGTCCATCTATGGTGTGAAATGACTTGATTTTCTAAATCCGACCCGACAAATCGCAGGTTTTTATTTCTTCTTGATCTAAATTATATATTTCTAGAACAAACTAATTTCGACGTTACATTCTTCGTTTCAAGAGGAGAGGATGGCGATACAGATCTTTGTTTTGGATTTATTTTACATTACATCCCTAATATTTCAGGGAGCTATTTTGTCTGTCTCTGGAGTTGAAACTTCATCTTATACGAAGGAACGTACGTTTCATGCAGCTGAAAATCAAGCGCTAAGAAAGGTTGCATTTGCAACCAAAACTGTGCGATCTCGTGTCATCTGCGGACGGGAATGCAGCATGGATGAACGTTGCAAGTCGTTTAACTTTAACGACTGCAGTAAAATGTGCGAGTTGAACCTTGCCACAAGACGAGAGCATCCTGAAGACTTCAATGCAACTCAAGGGAGTGTGTACTTTGATGCAGATGAGGACACACCTCTCTACTCACTGACTGATAGCTCCTTCAATCGCTACAGAAGTTGCAAGATGCTCTTAGATGCCGGTTATTGGTCAAGCGGTATCTACACAATCTACCCAGAGGGATTCGGTAATGACAGTCTTCGTATCTACTGTGACATGGAAACCGACGGTGGAGGATGGGTCGTGTTTCAGAGGCGGCAAGATGGCAGTGTGGACTTCTATCGTAACTGGACCGAGTACCAGTCTGGCTTTGGCGATCTGTCCGGTGAGTTCTGGTTGGGCAATGACAACTTGGTGACTCTGACGTCTAATGATTCACAAGGAACATGGGAGCTACGAGTTGATTTAGAGGACTGGGAGAACAACACGGCATGGGCAAAATACTCAGATTTCCAAATATCCCCCGGTGAGTACATTTTGAGTTATGATCGGTATACCAACGGCACTGCAGGTGACGCTCTTTCGTATCAAAGAAGGAATCTTTTCTCAACCAAGGATCGTGACAATGATGCATGGGAGTCAAGCTGTGCAGAATACGTCCAGGGAGGTGGCTGGTGGTATAATGCTTGTTTATATTCTAATTTAAATGGTCGATATTCTCTGCCAGACGAGCCTGCAGTAAGACTAACAGGCATAATTTGGGATGATTTCAGGGGACTATATTATTCTCTGAAAGCGTCCAGCATGAAAATGCGTGAAATAGCCCTATGAATATCTGAGTCTTAAACATCACAGACAAAGTGAAACGGAGGTTTGTACATAATTACGGACATTGATCCCGCTAGTTTTTCATTGATGTCAGTTTAAAATGGTTAAACTTTAATTGTATTATATCCTGTAGAGTAGACGGTCAAAAATTGCGAAGCAAATTATGAAAAAAAATATTTTAAAAATGTAATATGAAGCTAAGCGTAATGTGAACATCGTTGATGAAAAACCAAATAGAATATGTAGCGTGCATGCAGTGAGACACCTTTGTTGAAAATTTGAAAAATCTTTTTAGCATTCGTCAGTCGGTAGCATCATTACCAGACTTCAATCTATTTGCCTTTTTCTATAGGTTAATGGAAGCCAATAACAAATTTATGTAATATATAAATGGCGATTATCCACTTATTGGGCCTTTACTGAAAACTGCCATGAGTACTATGATCTTTGAACATGGTTTCTCAAAATGTGTCAACATACGTTACAACCTTACATTACGTTCACTTTTCATTTTTTACAAAATTCGTGATCTTATTTCTATTGTCACAAACATGAGTAATCCAAACCTCTCAGGTTTTTTGTTTTGTTTTAAGTTTATTTGCATAATCATGTTCTTTACTAATTCCGCTGCCTTCTAATGTGACAATAAGAAAGCAAGTGTCAAACTCTTACGGTGGATAGTTCAACAACACCGGGGCGTAGGAAAGACAAAGTTGCAAGATGCTCTTAGATGCCGGTTATCGTTCAAGCGGTATCTACACAATCTACCCAGGTGGAGTCTGTGCTGGTAGGCTCAGTGTCTACTGTGACATGGAAACTGACGGCGGAGGATGGATCGTGTTTCAAAGGCGACAAGATGGCAGCGTAGACTTCTACTGTAACTGGACCGAATACCAGTCTGGCTTTGGTGAACTGTCCGGTGAGTTCTGGTTGGGCAATGACAACTTGGTGACTTTGACGTCTGATGATTCACGTGGAACATGGGAGCTACGAGTTGATTTAGAGGACTGGGAGAACAACACGGCATGGGCAAAGTACTCAGATTTCCAAATATCCCCTGATGAGTACAATCTGAATATTGGCCAATACGATGCCAGCAGCACTGCCGGTGACTCTTTTGAATATCATAGAGGAAGTCTTTTCTTAACAAACGATCGTGACAATGATGCATCGGTGTCAAATTGTGCACAATCCTCGCCAGGAGCCTGGTGGTTTTATAAGTGTTGGTTCTCTCATTTGAACGGTCGGTATCACCCGAATGAGAATGCAGGTAGTCAAAAGGGCGTGGAATGGTCGTCATGGAAATCATATTCTCTTAAAGCACGTGGCATGAAAATGCGTACAGCGGGACCGTAAAAATGACTTACACAAGATCTTAGTTTGATGTTCCAACCTAATCTGGATATTTTTATTCTTCGCTGTGTTGGGAAGAAGGAGGCAATGATTTCCCAACTGGCGTACATAGCGACTAGTTAGGATCCCGGTGTTTGAAGCCGCTTCATTTACCATTTAACCTTTCTAGGGGGATCTCAAATGTGGCTAGAGGCTGTATGTTTTATATATAGTCAACGTTGCCTATAAAGCAAACCACGTACAACCGTCTCCATCCTCAGTTGTTGAATTTACCCCCATTTGCTAAGGGAGACTTCGTTTGTGTATGAAACTCTAAAAAATTTTTTTAATAATGTTACAATTTGACGTGTTAGTATAACACTTTCTTTGCAAACAAACTCGATCCACGCTAAGTTATTAGTCTTCTCAATTTCGTTGTTTGAATTAGTAGCGGGACGATAATCTTAGACTAGACTCAAGTCAGTTTTTATTTGCTATTTTGCTTGTATATTGCGCACAAAACAGGTTCCAATGACCTATGACGTTGAATAAACCGAGTGATTAGAACCAATCTAGGATTCAGTTTTCCCGATTTATTCAAAGTTTCCTTTTTGCGAGAATGTGATTCTAGTACTGTGTTTAGCAGCAAAGGGCTTCGTACACAAGTATTTCTTAAACGGCCAGAAAGGAGAGGTGGGGAGCCATAGACTGGTGCTGGGGCCATCCATTCACTCACTCAACCGCATAGACAGCATAGGTCCGTCGCGCCGATCTCCTGTGTCCACGTCCTACAGCCTCATTCCACATGCAGTCAATCTGGCTAGGCTGTCCGAATTGTTCCAACCAAAATGATATTGGATGGCGAGGGGGTCTCTTACAGCCAGGGGCGTTAGTCCGGGGGGGGGGGGGGGGGGATGTGATGAGAAAAAAAACATGCGGATTTTGAGGTATTTCAGAACGTCTCAACAACTTTCAATAGCACTGGAAAGTGGAGAAACAAAGTACCAAAGCTTTAAAGATGTAAGCGCGAGTAAACATGTTGATATACATCTTTATCCTGAAGAGCGTAAAATTGTAAAATGTGGTGTCCAGCCCCTCCCCCGCCCGCTTTTTTTCCGAATTTCCACGGGCGGGCAATTTTAGGATTTTGGTCATCCCTCATCCCCCACTCGCCGGCACAGTACGCCACTACTTACAGCCTTTGCGGACTTTGAATGTATCCACAGTTATGGGGTTTGGGACTAGTCTAGGGGAGACAATCGAAAGAGAAGGGCATGCCACCGTAATCAAAATTGTCCCCCCCCCCCAAAAAAAAAAATCCATCAAGATGATGCATGCAGTACACGTAGTAGTACATTTTTGATCCTCAAATCCAGCAAAAATGATGACACTTTTCGCCAGTTGCAGAAAACAGAAAGTATACTTTCATCATTCATGAAAATTGTGAAGGTCCACAGTGTCCTGTAGACGTCACAAATGCATAAAAATCACAGACGCGTGTTAAAGCGGGTAAAATTCATACCAAAATTCAATACACAAAGGTTTTTATTTAATGAAATATTAAATAAATAATAGTTTGTAAAGACTGGTGACCTAATAAACTAAACAATGCTTTCATTTTGTTCAGTCTCTAGGGTGCCGTCGGATACAATTTCTCCTTAATCATTCTGTGCCGCACTGAATTTTACGCTGACACTTCGCATATTGTGAACAAAATGCAAAATTATCGTTTTTTCTAGTAATGGAATTAACAATAAAACAAATATTTAAATGTCGTATAAATCTTATTCAAAATAAAGTGTATATTATAATATGTAGTTTATTAACTTTTTTTGTTCATGTTGGTGAGATAAATATAAATAATCGTAGCAATTTTTGCGCAGAGGTATTTGCTTTGTTTTCTCAGGGTAGCTCCAACCCAGCCTTGAAAATTGACAAGTAAATATGTGAAATCTGAAGCATTTACTCCAGTTTATTCATAGAAAATGAAGTAATAGTCTAGCAAAAGGTACAAAAGTGAAAAGAAAATATTTTTAGCTTTTTGCAAATACTTTAAAAAGAATTTTCTTAAGTTTTATTCATACAAATACAGGTATGTAAATGCTTAAAAATAGGTAGTAAAAGCAAATGCTAGTTATCGGACGGTCCAATCGTGATAAACTCCAAATTAATTTAGAAACGCAGCTCAGCAAAGGTGACTGCAACTCAGTTACCCTCACTTTTCCCTTTTTTGGTTTTGTTTTTCTCGTGCACTTTCTTTACAGTGTAGGTACGAAGAGGACTGTAAGTTTAGGTTTCCCTCTGGGACCAGCAGAGATAATGATCTGCAATATTTGAACTGACGTAGAATTTACACACAGGAATAGAACGATTAATTAAACTGTTTCACTCTCTTGGCTCTTGCAAAATAAGCAGCAGTGAAAAGACTATGTTGAAGACTTATGAGTCTATTTCCGTGATACAGTTCTCAATGCCGCTGAGGCTGCTGTACGGCCAAATTAGCGATATACAAGACCTTGTTGCTTGGTACGACTCTATTGTCTCTTGATGCCGAAGCTAGCTTGAGAAATGGTGGATGAAACACTGTGCCGCTGGAAAGACCACTTCAACGACTCTCTGAACTTTCCACCAGCAACGCCCAGACCACACGTAGTCCCACCTCCTGAATCTGTGGTCTCTGATCTCGACTGTGATCCCCATCTCTGGGTGAAGTGTTATCTGCTATTCGCAAGTTCAAGTCAGGTCGTTCTACAGGAGAGGATAGCATCTTCAGTATTGCAAATATGCCAAGCCCAAGTAGGGCTCTTCATCAGATTTTTTGTAACATCTGATCCTCAGGTTTGGTTCCAGCAGACTTGAAAGATGGTATAATTCTTCCTCTCTATAAAGGGAAGGGTCAAATATTGATTGAGTCCGAGTTCGAGTACAATACCAAAAAAATAAGTTAAAAAAATAAATAAAATGATTAAATACAATAAAACACAACACAACATGCATTCCACTCTTCTTTACCAACTGGTTTACACTAAACAATTTTTATTAGTGTAAAAAATGTAAAAATTAAAAAATAAATCAAAATTCATCAAGTCGGTGAATGCACTGGCAGTTTTCACCATTTCGTAAAACAAAAAAGAAGAGAAATCATGCATAGCTGGGTAGACACCTGAAGGATTGGCTATTTTGGACACCCTTTCCAGACAACAAACTCGATTAAGTACACAAGAAAATTGTGTGCCAGGTTGAGCAACGGAATCGATTAAAAAGACATGTACTCGATGTGTGCTCCCGAGTACTGGGGTCGAGTACCGAGTACCAAACCGTCGAGTCCGTGCGAAATTCGAGTCCGAAAAATCGAGTACGGGCCAAGTCCAATTTTTTTTCGAGTACTGATAGTCGAGTACGGGCCGAGTACTTGTGTGTACTCGAGTTGTACTCGAGTATCAGCACGAGTATGAGTACTCCAGCACTGCACGCTGCTTTCAATTCCTGGCAAGGTGTGAATTCAACCCCTGTTTATTTCCCTTCAGAGACCACAACAGTCAGGTTTTACTCCAGTCGTTTTACTTCAGATGCAATTCTTGCATGCCTTGCGTGTACTTGCTGAACTTACAATCACCCCCTTTCAGTCGCTTACGTGGACATCAAGGTAGCCTTCGACTCTGTAAACCGGTACCAGTTTTGGGATATCCTCTCCTCAAAGGGAATCCCGGGCACGATTTCAGATCTTATCAAAGCTCTACACTCAGGGGGGTTTCATTTCTAATGCAATCATCTAGCAGCATAGGGGGCTTGGTAGCATTTTGTCTGAGACGTCAGGGAGGTGACACCCTTTGTGGTCATGTTCAGCGCCTCCAAGCTTCTGCCCCTGCTCGTCTTGCCCTTGATGCTGCCGTCCAGTTCCACCTTGGGCAACGGCCTGCCACCTGGACGAGGCCTCATAGTCGTCCCCCGCTTTATACCTGGCTTAAGCAGGTTTCAGATGCTGTGCAGCTGTCACCAATCGAGTGCTGGTCCCTTGCCCTTGACCGGGGAGGTTAGAGGTCACTACGACCCACTGATGGTCAAGTGCAGCAGTAAGTAAGTATTTTGTGTACGGTCTCAAAACGATTTTGGTCAGCTCTTATTGACAAGCCACTTTAGTATCCTCTAATGACAGTAGTTTTGTCACGTTTGTGATTCAAAGCATCTCCAATACGCTCCATCGATGAAACCTTTCTGTCCATGAAGGCCTTTTAATCGTTATCTTCGATGTTCGATCTAGTTAAGCAATGTAATCTGGTCCAAGTCAATTTCCTTGTTCAAGGGATGGCTTAAGCAAGTCTAATTCACAATTGACTGTCAGTCAGTCGGGGAGTCAGTCGGGGAGTCAGTCAGTCGGTCAGTCAGTCAGACATACCACTGAAAAAAAAATCGTTATTTACATTCATATTTTTTTTGCAATTTATTTTGGTTAAACCTTTTTAAAGGTAAAATAACATGCTATTGCTATGGTATGATCATTGTAAACATGCGGGGAAAAGAACTTCCAAAAATTAATACAGAAAAGGTGAGGGCAACTTAGTTACCCTATTTTTTCCTTTTATTTCCCAAATGCGAATATTATACAGTGTAGGTTGCTCTCTGGGACCAGCAAAGGCCATGATCTGAAATATTTGAACTGATGTCTAATTTACACAAAGGAATAACACAATTAAAAAGCCTGCTTCATCCTGTTGGCTCTCGCAAAACAAGCCACCTTTTGGGATGAAAAGAAGCTGCGTGATGTCAAATTGATAATTGAATTGTAGTTTACGAGCGTCAGGAAAGCGTGGAGGCGAATGAAGAAAGACGATTATTCGCTGGCGCAAATTGGATGTCATTGTTACTAAGACTTGAAAAATGCATATTTGTAATCTGAAACCGCTGAGACTAATACGATGATTAAGCTGTGTGTTCATGTTACTGATGCCGCAGTAAGTTCACAGTGAGTTGTCAAATTGATCTTGGACTGAACGCATTTAATTTCAATTTACAAAGTTTTTTTTTACAAAGAGATGAATAATTTAATATATACCCAAGGGCACTCAAAACGACCTGCTTGCCAAAATCGATGACCGTAATGGTTAAAAATGCATTACACACGCTTCATTAGAATTATCATAATTCTTTCACTTGACAGTACGTTTGGCAGCTTTTGAATTCACACAGATTATAAAGGTGATTGTTCATGCTTGATGTCAACTAATCAAGTGCAAGCTGGTCATTAGTATTCATGTCACTGACCAATCAGTGTCTCTCATCTCCGCGGAATGCTTACCTTGCTGGATGGAAACCAGGAGCGCTACGTCGCACGTTTCATTCCAGACGCCGCGCTGTGGTAACGCGTTGATATCTGCAGTGTTAGCAATGGTGCGATGCAAAGACATTAGTAGAACTAAGCTGATTGTATGCAGGGAAGGTTTCACTGCGTGCTCTTGCATCAATTGTATCGTCGAACTTGTCATAAGTTGAACAGATTAAGGATTCATTTCATGTGATTCATAATTTAGCGGGATATAGGGCCTATAACTTTATCGACTCAGAACTTAATCAGATTCTTCTATAATGGCACAACTGGACGCTGGTTTCAAACTTTTGAATCTGGTGATATTATCGGGAGTGGTCATTGTAATTGGACATCAATGTCATCCACTCCAACAAACTATGTATGCCGCGGAAAATCGCGCATTGCAAGGGTTTGCATATGCAACCAAAACTCTGCGATCTCGTGTTATCTGCGGACGGGAATGCAGCATGGATGAACGTTGCAAGTCGTTCAACTTTAACGACTGCAATGAAATGTGCGAGTTGAACCTTGCCACAAGACGAGAGCATCCCGAAGACTTCAATGCAACTCAAGGGAGTGTGTACTTTGATGCAGATGAGGACACACCTCTCTACTCACTGACTGATAGCTCCTTGAATCGCTTCGCAAGTTGCAAGATGCTCTTAGATGCCGGTTATCGTTTAAGCGGTGTCTACACAATCTACCCAGAGGGAGTCGGGAATGGCGGTCTTCGTATTTACTGTGACATGGAAACTGACGGTGGAGGATGGATCGTGTTTCAGAGGCGACAAGATGGCAGCGTGGACTTCTACCGTAAATGGACCGAGTACCAGTCTGGCTTTGGTGATCTGTCCGGTGAGTTCTGGTTGGGCAACGACAACTTGGTGTCTCTGACGTCTAATGATTCACATGGAACATGGGAGCTACGCGTTGATTTAGAGGACTGGGAGGGCAACACGGCATGGGCAAAGTACTCAGATTTCCAAATATCCCCGGGTGAGTACAATCTGAATATTGGCCAATACGATGCCAGCAGCACTGCCGGTGACTCTCTCGAGTATCACAAGGGAATCGCCTTCTCAACACAGGATCATGGAAATGATGATCTAATAATAACTTGTGCTTTCATCCACCTCGGAGCCTGGTGGTTTAATCACTATAATAATAATATTAATAATTGTGTGCACTCCAATTTAAATGGCCAATATTACCAAGATGAGCATGCAGCTGGTGATAGGGGCGTACATTGGCAATACTGGAAAGGCTCTAACTATTCTATGAAAACCTGCCAGATGAAAATGCGTGCAATGGGGCCATAAATACCTTTTTGCGAACTTTGTATTAAGTTAGTTATTATAAACTTAAAATTGAATGTTTTTGAATGTTTTGCATAAAATTTATCAATATAATTCCTGCCAGAACTTTAAAATTCGACGTCCAAAAAAACGCGACGTCAATTGCACATAATTATGGAACGCCATATATACTTCAGATGTATACTATTGCAATTTTTGATGATTACCACGTGAGTATAACATTGCTGCACATATTGTGCCCCCATTTACAACTTACAGACTTTTCATAATCATCTTTTCGAATTGTGACAAACAATTCTCGTTAAGTATTAAATTGATTTTTTTTTGTATTAAAATGTTGGTAGTTATGTTTTGTGCGAAACTTATGGGGCTTATTTTGGTCAATTTTCGGGGATGGACTTATGCGCATCGATCAAAATCCGTCAGCATGGGTGCATTTTATGACCACGGCATAGCATTTTGGTCTAAAGGTCATTTATTTAAATCTAAATTTAGAATTTAAACTATTTTTCGTGGGAATGGAAGTCAATAACTTTGCTCATTTGTATATATAAAGCATGAATATAACCACGCAGCTACAAAGTGGTAGTGCTTTTGAAAAGTAATCAAAGTGCTATGAGCATGGCCTACTCATTCTGAGAGGAAGGGATGGGGCCAGAACTTGAGCGTGATTCGGCATACTTCCCACAGTTGGGCAATATGCTAGTCGCTAATTTTGACAGAAAAAAAAACACTACAAAATATTGTGCGGCACACAGTCACTCCTGAAAGGTTCCCTCTTTGTACGTGGTAGAATTGGCTGCGTTTAAATAATTATTAGGTACTCTTGGTACAATTTTCGGGTTTTATTTCTAGAAATACAAATATTATCGAATAATCGAATGAAAGCCCAGACATCAAATGAAACGGCGGGATTTCTTTTAATCTAGTAAAAATTTCTTGTCAAGTTTAGTATTATTTGCGTCCTCACAACAAATCCTTTAGCATAGCATAGGGAAGACTGGTGGCTTTTTTTTGGGGGGGGGGGTAGGTTCCCAGTAGCGAAAAACAACAACAGTGTTTTGCGTCACATATATCATTGACTAAACGTGAAATGTGCTTTGTGGCAATATTCATGGAGTATCGATAAATGACAGCCAAAAAAACAACAATTTTTTTCAAACTGTCTAGTGCTCACAAAAGGACAAAGGACATATACATGCATCCATATTTAAGAGAAAACGAATATAGTACAAATATTTCATCAATGAGATGTAGTTTAACAAATAATATCAATATAAAACTGTGGTCGCGGGTTTTTCCTCAGCCGAGAAAGGAAAGAAAACAGACGAATAACTTCAGTCAACGTAGACGCGGAGATTTGCGATTTCAGCTCTTGTACAATGTGGTTTCGTCGTTGTGCTTTAACATGTAAATACATATAAAAGGGAAAAAACACTGTCAGAATGAAAAAAAAATACACAAATTGATACTATTTCTGTCATTAGTTACTCTAAACCTTTACATGTCACATGATGTAACGTATGCACTTTCTTTTTGCCAATTTTTGGGAAAATGACATTACTCAAATGTAATGAGCCTTGATTGACAACTGCTTTTATGGAGTATACAGATACAGGGAGAAGAATACAAGATTAATTTAGTTGGATCTAAACGACTTTCTATTGCCATTTTGCCTGTACATTGCAATTTGGGCCTACTGAGTGAGGAAAATCAGAACATTATTCTAATCGCTCAGTTTGCTGTTCGCTATTTTGCTTGTATATTGCACACACTCAGGTTCCAATGACCTATGACGTTGAATAAACCGAGTGACGAGAACCAATCCATGTTTCAGTTCTCCCGATTTGTTCTAAGTTTTCTGTTTGTTAAAATATGATTCGAGTAGTACCAGATGTTTAGCGGCTGGAAGGATGCTGGAGCATGCTACAAAATATAATAATCTACTCTCCATCTACTACTTCTTCTGCAGAACATGTCTTTGATGCTGTCGTAGAAAATAGTATTCAGTAAATCGGCGGATCAAGAGGGACACACACCAAACATACTTTAGACTGTAATTATCTTATAAACAATATTTTAAAGGCTAATGCCAAGGGAGAAAATGTGAAAAAAGTATAAAAACAAAATCACGACTAAACATCATGTTAATGAGGAAATAACCAACAATCAGAAAAAGTATATTACGGGAAATTCTTAAGAATGGTAAATGAAAGTTGGATGACTGTCTGATTTTGACCTGTTATTGTAAGTCTATGTCCATATGCCTACCAGCTCCCGCTTAGTTTCTTTTGTACGTAGATATCAATGTAACTACACGGTCTGATTCAACAGTGAAAAAAATGTTATTTGCATTTCGGAGTCAGTTGATGGGATGGGATTTGCAGTCTGCGTGTGGCACCGTCGTGCCACCGGCAATCAAGGTATGCGAACGATGGACGGGCGTGCCGTGCATGGCGTGCCGGGCCGGCCGCGCCGCCTGGCGGTGCAGAGTTCACCATGGCAATGCACGCGATACACGTGCATTGCCATCAAGTGCACTCATTTTTGAAGCAAAACTACTGCTGTTGGCAAATTCATTATTTTTCGTTTTAGTATATTATTTGTTTTTCCAAATATTTTCCTTTTTCTTATTGCCATCTCGATGTTCTCTGCCCGATTTAAATAGCCCATTCTATCACTGTCAAACTTTACTTTCGCTGATGTTAACAAGAAACTAATTAAAAAAAACAACACGCACGACGCTCTGCTCACAAACACGACGGACCTCTCCACAAACACGACGGACCTGCTCACAGGCACGACGGTTTTACTCACACGCACGACGCTCTGCTCACAAACACGACGGACCTCTCCACAAACACGACGGACCTGCTCACAGGCACGACGGCTTTACTCACACGCACGACGCTCTGCTCACAAACACGACGGACCTCTCCACAAACACGACGGACCTGCTCACAGGCACGACGATAACAGATAGGTGTCCTTTATAGTACACCATAAATGCTACTACACCAATCGAAGCAGTCAATGTTTGTATATTAAGGCCGATGAAAAAAACAACGGTATCTTGTCAGCACGCGCGTCGATTTTGATCATGCATGTCAATCGTGTTTTTATTGTTGTTTTTTTAAAATATTTTCCGCGGCTTGTTTATTAAACATCACGAGGCAAAGACCAAGTTGCCTTGGATATGGAAAATGTGAAGGACAGCATTTAGGGTACCTAGGCAAACGAGGAGGGAACCTACATGTAGGCAAATGAGGGGCACCAAGCAGATGTGGAGGACACCAAGGCATGGGGAGAGCATCGAGAAAAATGAGGGGCACCAAGGAATGGGGAAGGGCACAAAGGCAAATGATGGAGGGCACATTGAGGCAAATGATGGAGGGCAACAAGGTATATGAGGACACAAAAACTAAATAGTATCCACCTTGTCTGTCACAATCTAAGCTTGTAAAACGCCACAGCTTGTGAAGTATTGTCCAATTACATGATATACAAAATGGCCACGGAACACATAAATAGTATCCACCTTGTCTGTCACAATCTAAGCTTGTAAAACGCCGCAGCTTGTGAAGTATTGTCCAATTACATGATATACAAAATGGCCGCGGAACACATACAATTTGAGATAAAAAAAAATAACGTACACAATTCCCCATAGGGTTATCTATGGGGCGTGGCTAACTCGCAAACGGCGATAGGTCAATTCCGGAACTTTGGTCTTTCGAGAGACCGGCAATGTTTGTCTGTTTGGGTCATTTTCGCTAATCATTGACAGTATACCAATAGTGATCAAGCCTGCGTACGTCATCGTCTTGAAATCGTATGTAATTTAGTGTTGTCCAGTTTACCTATCCCATTTCAAAAATCTGGTTGAAAGGAAAAGGAAACTAGATATCGCACTGTTCACAGTGAACATGTTGTGGCATACGCATACACGTATTTCCAGCCGTAAATACGTCTCATTTTGGGAGAGGAATTTGACGTCCTGTGTGTACAATGTACTACTACTACTTGCACCATACGTACACGAGTTATTTCCCACACTGTTTCCCGCACTTCCAATTCCCCACGCTGTGAGCAATGCACCAGCACCCGTACATGTAGGCCTATGCTTGGCATGCATCAGCCAGCGCGGCCCCGAGTGGGCCGATCATCCTTCTGGTGGTTTACGGCAGTTTGTCTCTTCTCAGTCTTGGGATTGATGGCAAGCATTTACATCACGGAGGATGGCCATGTACTGCTGTATAATCGGCTGAGATTGAAGGTTACTGATAGCCATGTCTATGTAACGTCAGCGAGTAAAACAAAGCCAGTGAAAACGGTAACGACGTCGTTAACGACGTTATTGACGACACCAACAAACAACCAGACAAGTCAGGTGACTTTACATTGCAAGATGGTGTGCAGTCAGTAAGTCCTACCTTCAAAGCCTATTTAAAAATAATTTTTAATTTTACATCACTTAAGATTGAATAAAATCGGTCGGGAGGAGAATTTATATTTTATATTTTTATAAATTCCACTTTTTTTTTCAAATTGAAAGTGACTTGAGAGCCTAGAAGAGGTGACGCCATAGTAGGCCAGCCAAGATTGAAAAGTTCTCTAGAAAAAAAGTCACAGCATTTTTTGGGTAATAGCTGGCATCCATGCTAGATCAATTCTTTGAACCATAACAAACAAGATGTGGGTGGATGCCATAAATTTTGACCATAAATATACCTAATTTGCATAAATCGTTAATACTTGCCGTGTAATATATTTTTCTTCAGATTTGGGTATATTTGTTATTTTTTTCTTCATTTTTTGAAAATTTTATTTTGGTGATTCTACTTACACACCCTAACTTCAATAACACTTTCTAAAGCATATCAGTGACTGAATAATTATGAGGACATAGTAACGATCCAAAATGGCTACTAATATACCCAAAGTTGCGCACATTTAAGTTCTCTCCAGATATCTTCAATTAGTCTTGCCAAGCCTCAGTATTGATGAGCTTCAAATTCACCAAGTTGCCTACTGGCACAGTTACCCAATTAAAACATTATGGAATATCATGTGATCAATGTTAACGTTGTGATATTTAGCCCAGCAAACAAAAACAGGGAAAGAAAACATTTCGACAGTGACATAATTATTCCATTTTTTTTGGGGGGGGGGGGGGGGAATTTCCTTAAACTTATTCAAGTCTCCCACGTTAGACGATCCAACACCTAATTTAAGCCCAGTTTACGGACAGCCAGCTCGTTTTTGCCCGTTTTTGTTTGCTGAGCTAAATATCATTGCTCATATGATTTTCAACAAGGTTTGAAAAGGGTAACTGTGTAAGTAAGCAACTTTGTGAAGTAGAAGCTCATCAATACTGAGGTTTGGCAAGACTACTTGATGATATCTGGAGACAAGGTAAATGCGCGCAATTTTGGGGTATAATAGTAACGATTTGGGATCGTTACTATGTCCTCATAATTATTCAGTCACTTATATGCTGAAGAAAATGTTATATAGGTAAGGATGTGTGAGTAGAAACACCAAAATAAACTTTTTAAGAAATAATAATAAAAAAAAAATATACCCAAGTATGGGAATAAATATATTACACGATTAACAATTTATGCAAATTAGGTATATTTGAGTCAAAATTAAGGGTGGCATCCACCTACATTGTCTTCTCCACCCTTTGACTGATCGATCTGACATGGTTGCCTGCTATTACCACAAAATGCCGTCCGAAGTGGAATATTCCACTTTGACCGGTCCACTACCATGTTAACGGGTCTAATTTTGAAGACAGGCGGTGCTCACTAAAACAAAAGAAAATGTATCCCTTTACATCACTATTTGCGAAGGAGAAATTCAAGGCCAACACAGTCTGTATCGTACGGTAACATTGCGTATAGACGGCCATGTGGACCAGCCCCACGTACCGCCGGCAGTCATGGCACACGCCGACGGGTACGTCCGTGTGACATTGAATCACTACAAACAAAAACATTGAGACCTCGAAAAAATCTTGAAAGCAACACATACCTATGCAAAAAGAGGGACCAAATTTTGTTAATTAAACCTTCACTAAAGATTTCGATAGTTTTGATTATTTCCACTTTCCAACGCTGTTTGCGTAGGAAATATTTTACCTTCGAGTCTTTGAAATCTATTCTTGCATGAATGGGACATGCACCACGCTGGCTCCCGCCCCTTTCATTATCGTTCTTGCTGTTATCTAGTCATGTCTAGCAATGGGAACCAGTGTCCGAAAAATGCATGCATGCCGCATAAATTTACATGCGCCATGCGGAGAAAACCTGAGTTGTCCGAGGATTTATGAAAAATTTCTCTACAAAAAAATCACTAATTGGAGAAAATACACACTTAAAAATAATATAAAATAGAGTAGGTTTGGCTAATTCTTTTTCAGAAAAAAATATTAAATAACCAGGTGTAAACAAATTACAGAAATATCTCGCGAAATTGAGCAAAATATACCATTAATGATCTACATCATTGTTGAACTGTATTTGACAGTTATATTCAAAGTCTTTTACATAACTTAATCTTAAACTAAATTGTATTTAATATTAATGATGATGTTGCCATGATGAAAAGGGAAGTAGAACATAAACCTGGCAACATGTTCATTATAACAATGGAATTATATGAGAACACAGGGTCACGCGCGGCAGCCGTTTAGGAAAATATTGACTGTTCTGGTCTCGACCATGCATCCCCGGACTGCCGTACCGATCGTCCTCCAATACAGTAATCAGGATGTCGGAGGATCAAACGGCAGTCCAATCAATTTGTTTGTTCAACCTTATTTATAAGGTTGAATAAACTATTTGTACAAATAGTCAGTTTGTGGTTTTAAAATTGATTATTTGATTCCGTTATAGGCAGACAGTGGGCAGTAGAGGAAATATTCAATATTTGAGCAAAGGAATGTTGGCGTATATATAAAACGCTTTCAGAATCTATTATCTGCTGTTATTTTGCTATTTTAGATCGGTTGTACTGTGCGTGGCTACACATATTACATCGTGGCTCGAGCACGAAGGCACAGGAGATAAGAAATGCACTAGGTTGTTTTTTTAGATAAAAAGCGTAACATTTTTGGAGATTTTGGACAAACACTAATACATCAAAGCAATCTTGCCATTTTCTTGTGTGCAGAAAGAAATGATCCAGATTTTTACCACAAGTTCTTTTCGAAGGTTATTTTTCCTCAGATCTATAATAATTTAGCACTCTAAGATGGCTTATATTTGGTGACACAGAAAATGGAATGTATCCAACCTTTTACATAATATTTTTTTTTAAGGAAATGATCATTGTATTGTACTTTTTTTTTTTTTTACAGTGGGCTTAAAGTGGTAACGGCTGTTAATATAATATGTTAATATTAACTTGTGGTTTCTGACAGGGACACAAATTGGCTTTTTTTTATTCTCTCATATCAGGAAGTACTGTAAACAATATTCAAGGCATGTTGACGCAGATGAGGCTGTTGAGCGTAATATGCACAGCTTTGAGAGCTTCAAAAGGGTCTCTCTCAGACTGCGTTGTTTTGTATGTAGACAAAATAGGGGGCTTGTTAATTGTTTAATTATGCATATTAATTAGTGTTATTGTTAGGAAGAATTCAAAATATTAGTAAAAGTGATGTGAAGCATAAAATAAGCCATTCAAAACATAACAGAAGTCATGCACTAATCAATTGATGCACGAGAGCACATGTGACAGCTAACGTATAAGTTTGGTACCAAGGGTGCACGTTTACTATTAACATTTCACAATAATGGCAATTATAATGCGCAAAATGCATAACATTATGTTCTAATGCGCATAACAATAGAAATTACATGATGAATGAAACCGTACTATTTTTAGAATCAAAACTACAATACTAGATAATTATAGAGCAAAACCATAGAATCAAACTTTACAGGCTTAACATCTAAATTCAAATGAACAATTAAAAATCCCCGCATCTCATCTAGATGAGATGTCTGATGCAAGAGGTAAAGCAAAATCAACAATGTCTACATTCAAACAAATTACATAATACCGAGTAAGATTCTATTTTTTACCCCCGTGGCACTGCCCACTAATGAAGGTTTGAACAAAATCTATCCTTACAATACTCCCAGGTCGTCTAGTAACGATTTATCGTTGGCAAAACAAATATAGAAATAAAGGAACTGCATTAGAACTTTGCCAGCACAAACACGACGGGGTCCACATAAGCCGTCGTAACAGCCGATTTTCAGTCAGTGGAACCAGAACTCAACTTTTGAATGGTGTGTGTATAGATTACGTGCATGTAATATTGATTCTATTGAACAATGCTATTCAGTTTGCCGACGCGCATGAATACGGCGATGGGTGCGCAGACCAGAAACCGGAGACTTTTTTGTTTTTGCCTCAACCAATAGATGGCATTTTACTGTCTATCAAAACCAGGACCGCGGCAACAGCTACCGGTGTTTTCTTTTTCAACTTTAGGTAGCCAACTCTTATCGCTTATGGTTGTTTGTTTTAATATTGAGATTATAGCAGGTGGCTAGCATTTGAAGGTCGGACTTTGAAACCATGTGCCAATGCAATCTAAATAAGGATCGTAAAGATTCGAAGTGCTGATGAACTTTTGGTATAAATTTTATACATCGGATTTTTTGAAAAGGAATGATTCGTAATTGTTTGAATTACAGAGAAATTTGATGCAAAGTGCATTTGGCATGCGGTATATTGTTATTTAATTCTGGCGATTCACAATGCAGTGCGCCACCACGGAGACTTCATTTTCCTGGTGCATTGTGAAAGATGGTCGACATATTCGTAGCGCGGGACATTAGAAATTGTTAGTATTTTCCTGTGAGTAGTTTCGTGGGCGTATGATTCGAGTATCGATTTGCCCTTTTTTCTTTTGATCAAAACTTTGTTATCAAAATGTTGATATCCAATCACACATGGCAAGGGGCCTCATTTCACGTCAATTAATCGAAGATTTTTCAATGTAAAATTCACGGGAAGAATGAAAAAATAAATCCCCGTCCAAAACCCCTGCAGCATCGGGTTTTTGTTCATGTAGTAAACGAGGTAACGGCTTTGTATGAAAAAACAAGAACAAAAGCACAATTTCCTTTATTAACCCTAAAAGGGCCGGGGGCGGAATCCGCCCCCTCCCCTCGACTTTTTCCGCGATACCAAAAATATAAAAATTTCCCGGCGCTGCGCGCCGTGAAAACTGACTTTGCCCATATACGTCGTGTACACAGAGCAGAACTACCATTCGTACATATGAATAATTAATTAGCCATAATTCCAAAACCCTTTGACCTATAGTCATGAAATTTCCTGGGTATATTATTGATGAGTTGCTCTATGCATGTACCGAGTTTCAAAAAAATTTCTTGAGATCTTGCGGGGGTGGAATCCGCTCCCCCGGCTGAGAGATGGTAAAAATAACCCGGCCCTTTTAAGGTTAAGGAAAATGTAGTGTAAAAACATGTTCTGTCTTTCTTCATTTTTGCAGATCTGCAGGTAACTTCTGCGTTCCTCTAGAATTTGCCATCTTTGTCTACAAGACCGATACACCAACTGACAACATGACCTTTAACTTGCAAAATTATAATCCCGTTGTGCATATTGCAAGAGAAAGCAACACTTCTCACGAATCCTCAGTGCTGGAGGTAGAGCGATGTAACTTGGAGGAACATTTCCCTGGAGTGGAGCTCATCCCACGGCAGCCTAGCTGTGCTGTGATCGGTAACAGCGGTATCTTAAACAACAGCAGTTGCGGGAATTTCATCGACTCACATGACTTCGTTATCCGCGCCAATATGGGGCTGATAAAAGGCTACGAAGTTGACGTCGGCAAAACGTCAAGTTTGAATGCTTTTAATACCCTTCTGTTGTCTTCATACGGCAGTGCCATGGAGAAGACAAAAAGCAAAAGAAAACTGCATATACGGGCTACATTTTTCGACACCATCAAAACTTTGAAAGAGTCGATTTTGTGGTACCCGAAAGAACTGTACATAGGAAATGGTAGCTTTGCATCTGGCAGGAATTATCGGTCTGTAATCGACGCATTACGGAGAAAAGGATTCACTGGTATCCGATTTGCTTACAGCTGGAAACCTGTCCATGTCGAAAAGTGAGTTGTAAACAGATTAGTATATGCAAAGTGCATGTATGCTCTGATCCGTTTTGTTGATTGAGCAATGCAAGAAAAAGGATATTGCTGCGATGTATTTGACTAGGTGTTCCTGAAAATTAAGGTCAAAGGTTGTGTTGGGGCGGGACTTTATAATGTAGACACACCCTGGCATACTGTCGTCTGCTTCACTTGCAAATTTAGTTTTTTCACTGGTACCAGATCAATAGTTGCTGAAATCGGAGTACATGCTCTGAATTATTTAAATGCGTAATCAAACTAAGCAATATTTGTGTCATAAATCTCTCCACTACACTCACTTGGCAATCGTATTCAAGTTTCCGCCATCGTTTATCTTCCTATTAAGGAAACCGTCTGCTTGCGTCACACACACCCGGGCAGCCACCAGAGACCCGCTCGCGAACTGGGGCGGTCTTGGTTGACACCGAGGGCGAGATTTGTTTTTCCCAAACGACGTAAGCAAATGGGGTGTGCTATGAGGTTTTGGACTTTCCTTTAAAACATGACAAAAAAGATATAAACGAAAAAAAGGAAATGAATTCGAACCGAATGAAATTCGGACTTTATTTCCCTTTAAAAAATAATATCCTCCAAAACCGTAAAGTGGAAAAGAAGAAAAAAAGGGAAAATGGGGTTTTGAACTCACACCCTCCGGTCTCAAAACCATGGCATTATCCAGCTGAGCCATCTGAGAGCTCGACAGCAAATTGTCATGGCATTATATACCTGCGTATGTATATTAAAGGTATCGTGGAGGGCGCTCAGCAATCATCCATACGATGTTCTTTGGGAAAAATAATTCGCCACCGGGACAGACACGATCGAATGCGTGCTCACTAATCAAATACTCTCTTGTCAGTTTCACTTACACGTGTAAGCCAATCGGACGCACCCATTGCCAAACAGGCGCATCGAGTGATGATGTACACCGGTCTCATTGGTTTTGACAACCTTATCAAGACGGACCATTTACGTACTATCATCATGATCTGAACATTTAGTTTTTAATAACAGTTTCTTCTTTCCCCTTCAACTCCCATCCTTGCAGGTTATGGGGCTTACCACTAGGAGGCACGCTTGGATTAGACATATACACAGTCGCTCGGACGTTCTGCTCGAACATCACTCTCTTCGGATTCTACCCGTTCCACAAAGATCTGGAGGGTCGAGCAGTCAAGTATCACTATTATGATAAAAGGAAATTAGACTTTGACCGCAGTAAGTGGCACAATTTTTCAATGGAACACACCATACTGAAAGAGCTGGAACGACAAGGGAAACTGACTTTAGTCGTCAGAGATTGCAAGCCAAGAAAGTAGCAAAAATGAACTCTGTGTCTCCTGCAGGGGCGGCGGCACTGGGGGGGGGGGGGGGGGGGGGGAGTGCCCCCCGCGGGGGGGGGGGGCACTTGCCCCTCTCTCTCGCATTAACACGATTGTGCAGGCTTCTCGAGATGGAACACTACCCCTCGAAAGCACAAATACCCCTCTTGCAAGTGTGCCCCTCTCGAGATAGAAAATTGGCCGTCAAAACAATAGTGCTCCTACCGCAAACCGCATCATGCGGTTAAATGACAAGTCAGACAGGTTGGCAGTTGCAAGTGTCGCAGGGATAAGGTTAACTTGTAGATTTCAACGTATTTCGGGGGTGGGGTGGGGTACGAATTGGAGAAGCCTCCTAAGAGTAGACCATGTGCTCTGCCACCCTGTAATACCACAGACCCCTCAGTTAGCAGACCAGTGGCGGAAAAGAGACTACTGTGTGTTTGAGTTCCTCTCTTTCCCCTTGTTGTTCTTGGGCGCGCCCCGTCAAGTGAGTGTGGTTTTGCTGAAGTCATTGATAACTATATGGAATTCTGTTTTGATGGGTTATATTATTTAATTAGTGTATTATAAGTTTTGAGGAGGTTTTTATCTGTTTGTTTACTGATTGTTTAAGGTTTATGGCATGTTTTAGTAAGTTCATGGACAGCATTGTGTGTTTCATCACTTGAGTTTAGGAATTGCTGTGACTTGAAGAATTTTGACTTGTATCTATTTGTGATGGATCATGTTTGTTAGAGTTTACTGATTTTCGAGGAACATTGCGTTGTAACAAGGTTGAATTACCGACGTGTTTTCTTAGTAATGACTTGGTTTTCTTAATTGCCTTATTTTTTCTCTCGAATGGTTAATAAAATCTTTCTGTTGCATTTGTTGTTATTAAATTACATTGAATTCGTTTGGTTATTTTGATATACGTTTCAAAGAGGTGCATGTGTAAGCCAGAAGGACTGGTCTCCCAACAGCTTCTTACCGTTAGTTGCTAGATAATGTTATATTCATTAGCTAGAACTGTCCAAGCTGTTCATTTACTGTAGATTTACCTTTCAATATTGTGTATTGAATCACCTGTTTCAGTTAGTTAACCTAATCTGCTTTGGACCTGTGTACAATTATTGTTCAGGACTGTTGAATTACCCCCTCGGTTATTAGTCCCACCCTGTACTCAAGGGAGTGGCCAGACCTTATCTTGCTTATTAAATATTCACAAGGGATTTTGTTGTTCTTGGCCAGACTGAAGCAGGTCCACATGACATTGTTTATATTACCTAGAACTAGTGTATATGTAGCTTGACTTTGTTTTCATTGTTTACTGGTTCTTATTGTTGTATAAATCCAGTTTTATAGTTGTCTTTGGAAACTCATATTAGCCAATTTCATTATATATTTGTTAGCTTCTTCGACATAAAGTTTTTTTTCCAAATAATGGGGTTGTCTCCCATTTTTTCTTAGATAAAAGTTTTAAGTCTTTGTTATTTGTTCAACTTGAAAACTTTTGAATACTGTTATGTTTTCTATTCCAACTGGATTATTAGTTTTAGTTCACTCGTGGAAGAAGGTTTTGAGACGTTCTTTTCTCTGGAACTATGGGCGTTGTGTAACTTATTTATAAGTTTTGTAATATAAGTTTGTCTATGTTTTAATTGCTTGATTCAGGAACTACCTGGATTTCAGTTTTACATGCTTGTTATCCATGGAGTTATCCTTTTTCTTGCATTCTGGAGGAATTTTTCACATATTTTTCTAGGTTCGTTTACTCGCTCGTTGAACTTTACTAGACAATGTATATTATAGGTATCCATATCCATACATTTTGCATGCCTTAGACCTTTGCTCCTTTTTTTCCCTAGAAGGACTCTGCACTTTGTAGTTTACAATTTGTTAATCCTCCAACAATTAGTTAATCCTCAAAATGATGGACGCTACCTTTAAAACATAACTAAATCGGTACATTTATTGGGAAATAAACATTTATATTGCGCACTCATCTGTCCAATGGAACACCCAAGGCGCACAAATGCAAAGCAAAAACAAAAAACAAAAGGTTGCTTCATGAGAAGGTTTATGAAAAGCTATTGGTGAACAGAAAGGTCTTGAGATCGGACTTGAAGGACTGCAGTGATGGAGATGTTTGGATGTCTCTTGGGAGAGTGTTCCAAACTCGTGGTGCAGCCACGAGTGACCTGTCTCCCCAGACCGTCTCGATCTGGTCTCAGACAGCCTGTGGGTGTTCTAGAGGAAAGATGATAATAAAGGAAAGATGATAACCCATCTTAAGTCATAAGATAATCTCAATCTGACGGTTTCACGTTATGCACTGTCTACTTTTGATACTAATTTGGAGAAAATGAAACAACTCCAAATTAATTTAATTTACCTTGAATGACAACTGTAACAGCGTGCGCAGGTAGCAGAAAAACTACATTATGTTTGGTTGACGTAAACGCGTTTATTTTGGTGATAAGCTTGTATATTTCAGTGCTAACAACGAATTTCAAACCATTATTGATTGTTATTATAACTCAGTGTACTATTTGCTATAATAATTTTGCTTGTATATTGCGGCACAAAAAAAAACAAAGAAGGTTCCAATGACCTATGACGTTGAATAAACCGAGTGACAAGAACCAATCCATGATTGAGTTTTCCCGATTTATTAAAAGTGTTCTGTTCACAAGAATGTGCTTCCAGTACTGCGTTTAGCAGCTGCAGGGCGACTGGGCTGTGCTTCAACCTCGTCTACAGGACGTCACTTCAACCTCGATGTTACGACTTTTCCACTGGATCAAAACTAGCCCTCAAGCCCGATTGGTTGCCACAATATTTCGTAAAATCGTTCATAAAGGACTATGCAATACATTTATGATCTGATACTTTAATGACCAATGCGGTAATACAATTCCTTGACGTTTTTGCGCTGCCGTCAGCGAAACGCTGAGCTGTCCCAAAGAATTCCGTAAAGTGGAGCTGTTCATCACCAGATGTAGGCTTTCTGAATTGCGCAACTGGATCTAAACGTCTTAGTGAAACATCGATTATATCTCAGAGTTGTACAGTGGCTTATCCAGAGGGGGGCAGGGGGCACCTCCCCCCCCCCCGCCACCGGCGGATTTTGTTGAAAAATATTTTTTTCAGTTAGTATTTCCATAAATGGTTAGAGGTTTGACAGCAACCTCCCCCCCAAAAGAAAACACCCCAAAAACCCAGCTCAATAACCGTTACAATGCGCCGTGAAAATCGGCATCTATTTTCAAGTATGCATAATACTGGTCAGTTTTAAAGAGCGCCCCCATTTGGAAGATGGATACGGCTCGTATCAGTAGACTCGAATCGAGTCGAGTCGAGTCGAGTCGAGTCCCAAAACTGTTCAAAAACATTACTTTGTTCTTGACGTTCTTCATCTACTCCCCAATAAGAGGGGAGTGAGAATAAGTTCCCGATCACCCTTCACGTGTTGGTTCCCGTCATTCGAAACCCTGTTCTCGTGTTCATTCAACACAAGAACGGAGCTTCGAATACCCCCTGTCTAGGCTACTGGTACGCGTGTATTTAAATTAGTTTGTAAGATTTGAGGCTTTGCATGGTGGAGATACTAAATAATAGGGAGGTTTCGCAAGCGAACGGATACGCTTACACTTACGTTTAGCTATCCGTATCCATTTTTTACTTACGTGTAGCGAGCGAGATATGCGTGTCGTCTGCACGTAATATGACGTCATACGCCACTCACTATCCGCTAAACGTGCAGACGACACGCATACCTCGCTCGCTACACGTATGTAAAAAACGGATACGGATAGCTAAACGTAAGTGTAAGCGTATCCGTTCGCTTGCGAAACCTCCCTAATGAAAGGTTTGCGGAAACACCATGTGCGAATAATTTCTCAAATAAGAGAATGGTTCTGAAAAGAACCAAAGGTAAAAATAAAGTTTATACCTCTGGCTCTTTTCAGAACCATTCTCTTAGTTGAGAAATTATTCGCACATGGTGTTTCCGCAAACCTTTCATTATTTAAATTAGTTTGACCCCTAAGTAACTCATAGGTCACTGCAACCTCTTCCCGGGGTGTCGAGCAGTACGCGCCCACCACTACCTGCTCTCTCACCCTGGTATTGGATCATTTGCATGTGCAAGATTTTTGAACACGTTTGTAAATGAGGGATAGTCTGGTGACCGAATGTGCGTTACATTGCGTTTGTTTTTGTATGCGGTGTCTGGGGTAAAAACAGAATCAATACGTCATCGCAGCGCGAGAATGGCGTGAGTTACGAAAACACGATTTTATTTTAATTAAACTGTTACGATCTTAAAGAGACGACATGCAGTATCACATTGCATATTAATATTGACAATTGGAAAGAAATGAATATTTTCGAGACAGCGTGGACGAGTGATCGCGAAAAACACGTACTGCACGATGTGAATAACAACACCAAGTACACGATATAAATCCATTTCTGGCCAATTGCGGTATCAAATCAGGATACAGGAAGAACGTTTCCTATCCAGGCCGGGCTTACTATTGGAAACAAGGTTGGAAATAAAGTAAGCACTGGGGACGAGGTTGAGGTCACTGTGACCTGACAATCCACTCACTGGTGTTATCAGACTTTAAATGACCCGCCATTTTGAGTCTGTGTTCCAAAAAGACAATGCGAATGCTCTGAGCCCTGCACTCGTCTGCTGGCAATGCATTTTGCAGTGTATGAATAGCATCATTAAATTTCCACCTTGTAGGAGACTGTAATGTTTTAAAGATAAATGCCTACCATACTTTGTACTTATACTTCTGTAATTTTACACGATAAAACTGAATATAAAAGAAAAGTGACAGAGAGTGTATAACTATGTAACTTATTGAAATACTGGTATCGTCTTCATAAAATCATCGCCAAAAATATAAACATTGCAGCCTGTCATTGCCACTTTAAAGCAGGATTTAACATGTCCTTACAGTTACAGAACAGAGTCCCCTCCGGCGACGATTTTCTACTCTCCCTTATTTCAATAATACGAACCTGTACCCAAGATATGATGATAAATATTACAAAACCTGAGGTTGGTAACACTGATGGCACGTACACCATATTCAAGAGCACCCATGTGTGCATGAAGGCACGAGGTTGACGATATCGATTGCAACGTCGACCATTTCATATTCCTTTATTCTTAAAATTGCCTTGCTCAACAGGTTGACTCATTCGAATAGCCAAGCACTTGCACATTATTAGCATAATCAGATAGTGTGTGATATGGGGGACGATGTGAACATTTCATTGTGAGTCTTGATCACCACAGGTTCAGCCCGAGTGTTTTTCCTGTAATCTGAATACGTCTTCTACATCTCTCACTCGTAAATTGAGTCTGAACATGACTTGGATCAACTAACTGAAATATAAAGATCCAACATGCACATTTTTGACGGGCACTGCACTAGTAATCACAATGGCAGGTCATTCATCCTTCTGGTGGTTTACGGCAGTTTGTCTCTTCTCTGTCTTGGGATTGATGGCAAGCATTTACATCGTGGAGGATGGCGATGTACTGATGTATAATCGGCTGAGATTGAAGGCTACTGATAGCCATGTCTATGTAATGTCAGTGAGTAACACAACGCTTGTAAATTCGGTAACGCGGACCTTATTGACGACACCAATAAACAACCAGACAGGTCAAGTGACTTTACATTGCAAGACGGTGTGCAGTGGGTAAGTTGTACCTTCAAACTTACTTCCAGGAGGTTTGGCAAATTTTTCAGAAATGATAAAATAATCTCGTATTTAAAAACTGAAATAAATACCACGCGAGATTGTAGAACTGCATTTGGTTATTTTTGAAAGGCTTTTGCGTGACTCAATCTCAAACAAACTGTATGTAATATTGATGATGATATTACCATGAGAAAAGGGAAATAAGTGATGATAATGATGGGGAATTTAACATGAAACTGGAAACACTGTTGTTATAACAATGGAATTATATTGAGAACACTACTCACGGTGTCGAGAATGACCCGCGGCAGCCGTTTTGTAAATGTGTAAATTGATTAGGAAACACCCGGACATGCCTCTCTTTATGTGGCTCGTCATACTTTGTCGGTAAATATTGCTAAGTGCGTTATCATACTAAGTCTGCTAAAGCAAGATCATCAGTCAATTTACACTGATAATGATTTTGATACTGATATTTTATACCGTTAGGTCTCCAGAAACAAACAAAAGATGGAGAAATTTGTCTTAGGTACACTGCCAAAGTTCAACAAAACCCAGAAAAATACATTATACAGAATACAGATAAAATTATATAGATAAATAAATACAAGTCAAGTACAACAAAAACAACTAGAACTATGTGGTTGTGAGTGAACAACCACAGAGCTGTTCCCAACATGTCTTTGACTGTCTATTACATGGTAAAAAAATAATTCAATGATTTTTTTTCACAAATCTGTGACTTTTCAAAGCAATCTGTGACTTTTAAAAGCAATTTATAATTCATGTGATAGATATGATAATTAGGGTCTAAATTAACACTTCCAGTAACACCGGAAGTAAAGGTCACATGACCTTGACAAGGTCACACGACCTTGACGTACCAATTATTATTGATAACACTTTCCTGTCTATATACATACCATGTTTGAGACCAATCAGTCAAATGGTTCTTCAGTTATAAAAAGACTGTAAATATGCATCATTAAATATTCATGACGTTGTACCGTGAATATATTGCTAACTAAAAATAATGCAACATATTTATCCTTCTATGGTTGTTTAATGCTAGGTGTCAACCTCATCAAAAATATATTTCATTAGATATACTAATAAGGGTCTAAAATTAACATTTCCGGTAATACCGGAAGTAGGGTTACATGACCTTGACATATCACTTCCCTGTTATTTCTACCTACCAGGTTTTAGATCAATCGGTCAAATAGTTCTATAGTTATAAGGCTGTAAAGATTGCCTCATTAAATATTCATGACGTCATAACATGACAATGATTAAGTGCACAGTGATAATAATGCAATATAATAATTTGTCAGTATAGCTTTGTATTAATGTGAAGTTTTAACCTAATCAGATTAATAATTTAATTAAATATGATATATGGGTCTAATATTACCACTTCTGGTAAAACCGGAAGTGAAGGTCATGTGACCTTGACATATCAATTTGCATCTATAACACTTCCCTGTCTGTAAACCTACCAAATTTGAGATCCATTGGTCAAATAGTTCTATAGTTATAAGGCTGTAAAAATTGAATCTATAAATAGATGTCACGTGACCCCTGATGACGTCACGATGACGAAAAGTGTCGGCATACATCATCAGATGATGGTTAATGACTATGTTGAGTTTAAAGTGGATCGGATTTAAAATAATTCCCAAAGTGGCTTGTAGAATAAAAACGTGTACAAAACCTGTGGGGAAAAGTGGAAAAAGAACTAGAACTGTATGTTTCGTCGATCGTTCCACGATCTGACCTATCTCAGTTTTTGTCAGTTTTTGTCATTTCGAGAAAAACGCGTTTGAAGTTGGGCCTATTTTGCATCCACCCTTTCACCCAGAACACTCACTTTTATTGACTCAGGTTTTTATATATAATAAAGTTGGATAGTTGAATTATGATTTTAAATTGTTTCTAAGGCAAAAACTCATCATTACCAGGTAAAAAATAGGCGCCAAATCCATAAGTCACTTCGTGAATATTTAAATTTCATATTTCATGCGCGCGAATGGCGACCTATCCAGATAGGTCACTTCATGAAACGAACAATTTCATATTCCAAATTCCAAATTGTTCTGTAAAATAGCACTGGTAAAATGGTAAAATAAAGAAAAATATGAGCATAAAAAAGTAATTCAAAAATAAAGTTTCTTATACATATATTTAAAAACCATCAATTATAGAAGATGCATTCTGGACCTTAGCAGATAGAGATGTAATGGAGTAACAAGAATAAAAGCACAATGAGCCTTTTTTTATTAAAACCCTTTTTTTTCTTCTTAATTTGTACAGATCTGCAGGTGGTATCTGCGTCCCTCTGGATTTGGCCATCTTCGTCTACAAGAACGATACACCAACTGACAACATGACCTTCAACTTGCAAAATTATAATCCTGTTGTCCGTGTAGCAAGGACAAGTAACACTTCTCACGAATCCTCAGTGCTTAAGATGGAGCGATGTAACTTGGAGGAACATTTCCCTGGAGTGGAGCTCATCCCACGGCAGACAAGCTGTGCTGTGATCGGTAACAGCGGTATCTTAAACAACAGCAGTTGCGGTGATTTCATCGACTCACATGACTTCGTTATCCGCGCCAATATGGGGCTGATAAAAGGCTACGAAGTTGACGTCGGCAAACAGTCAAGTTTGAATGCTTTTAACAGAGCTCTGATGTTTTCATACGGTAGTGCCATGGGGAGATCAAACAGTTCCAAATTTCTTAAGACACGGGCTAAACTTTTCGACCACATGCAAGCTTTGAAAGAGTCGATTTTGTGGTACCCGAAACAGCTGTACCATCGCAACGGTAGCTTTGTATCTGGCAGGAAGTTTCGGTCTATAATCGACGCAATACGGCATAACGGATTCACGGATATTCGGTTTGCCTTCAGCTGGAAACCCATCAGTGTTGCGAGGTAAGTTATTATAGAGATTAGCATACAGGGTGAGTCATAGTGATCTGGACCCAAGTTCACCATTTTTGTGGCAAATGGTGGGCAAACACTGAGTGTTTCATATGAATGGTTATTACCTTGTCTTCCACAGGATTTTGAATTTTTCAAAATAGTAGCTGTGGTGAGAAGTTATATGCCTTTTTCACTGAAGTGGCTCATTTTCCAGTCTCATTTTCTACTTATTGTCCAAGGTTGGGTGTAGTACACAAAGTGCATGTGTGCTTTGGTCCGTGTCGTTTATGGATAATTGCCATAGTATAGGCACGTCGAGTCAGTAATGCGCAGGCGCATTGGTTTTCTCTTTGATTGGCGGGGAAGAGTGTTGACATGTAGCTTTCATTATGTATGAAAATATGGTTTAATACGCAACTTCTGCTTTTCCTTGAAATTCCCTTCCTTGCAGGGAATGGGGCATACGACGAACAGGCACGCTTGGATTAGACATGTACGCAGTCGCTCGGACGTTCTGCTCCAACATCACTCTCTTCGGATTCTACCCGTTCTACAAAGATCTAGAGGGTCGAGCAGTCAAGTATCATTATTTTGACGATGTGAAATTCAATTTTTCTCGTAATAAGGGGCACGATTTTTCTCTGGAACACACCAAACTGAAAGAACTGGAACGACAAGGGAAACTGACTTTAGTCGTCAGAGATTGCAAGCCAAGAACGTAGCAAAAAAATGAGTTCCATGCGTCAACAAAATATGACGCTGTGTGTCCTACAAACGGTATTAATTCCATAGGAAACACACTACAGTGCTTTGCTATATAGAGCGCGTTGTTCATCCTTTAAATGAACTGCTAACTAAGTTTGGTAGACTTGTTCCGGGACCCTGGAATATTGTTAGATTATTAATAGAGCAGGAACCAATCTAGAAAACGTGGTTGAAAACAAAACGTACGTACATTACAAAACTATCACAATTATGTAGACCTTTGATACGCATCGATCGTACGTCCTCACCGTCGGTTCGCGCCTCGCAGGTGTTGAAGAGGCTGTTCAAGTGGCCCTTCACGCCTCTCTCTTTTTCGCCGTTGAGGGGGTACATTTGCAAGGGGTTCATAGCCTAGTCTGAACACATGGGCGATAGTCGGTAGGTAGGAGTCTGAGACCGGTGCAATTGCCCCCCCCCCCCAGATTTACCCAAGTGCCCCTTTTGCGGCCATCAATGTGCCCCCTCGAACATGACAGTTCGTCCTTGCGATGAAAAGAAAATGGCCCTAAAAGTATCCGAGTATTAATTTTCAGTAACCATTTCCCAAAATGGTATAGATAGTTTTGATATAAACGAGGAATATGAAAACCCAGCCCCATGTTCAGAAAAGAAAATCCTGGCAACTTTTGAACCAAAAAACTATACACCGAATCCTTTCCTTTGGGTGATGTCACATTTGTGTTTTTGGATTTTAAAGTATGATAAATCCATCAAGAAAGCAAACAATACAAATAATTAGACCTGCTGAAAATGGCAAGAAATTGTCGGTGGCAGAGGTTTCCTTTCTTGTTAACCAATCGATGTGGTATGTTTCTTTTCCCGTTAAAAAACCCATGTTCATATTGAGACGGAACAGGAATTAGAATAAAGTCACCAACTGTATGCTTTAAAAAGACCACGTGAGTCACGCACACTCTGCATATTGGGAACCCTTGTATGTGATTGGTCAATTTGGGTTGCACTGTTAATATTTGGCAAAGAGAAGTTGTACTCAGTCTATAGGGCTCACGGTATAAAAGGAGTTGCAGGGTTAGGATAAGCAGCTGATTGCTTGATTATTTAAATAATTAGAATATGCTACTGTACTTGATCATGATGGAATGACATGACAGCTAGATGATGAATGATTAAAGCATGACCACTACTCTTGATTGACTGTTTCCGATCACCGATTATTAGATAATGTTCTAGGGTCGGATCTACTTAGGATAAGTCAAGTCAAGGGCAAAGTCCCAAAATGCCCCCCCCCCCACATTCTGATTCCACCCACATTCCAAATCCACCCACTGTATTCCACCGAGGACATTCCACTGACAGTATGCAACCAAGGACATTCCACCGACGGTATCCCACCGAGGACATTCCACTGACGGTATTCCACCAAGGACATTTCACTGACGGTATTCCACCAAGGACATTCCACCGACGGTATTCCATCGAGGACATTCCACCGACGGTATTCCACCAGGACATTCCACCGACGGTATTCCACCAAGGACATTCCACCGACGGTATTCCACCAAGGACATTCCACCGACGGTATCCCACCGAGGACATTCCACTGACGGTATTCCACCAAGGACATTTCACTGACGGTATTCCACCAAGGACATTCCACCGACGGTATTCCATCGAGGACATTCCACTGACGGTATTCCACCAAGGACATTTCACTGACGGTATTCCACCAAGGACATTCCACCGACGGTATTCCATCGAGGACATTCCACTGACGGTATTCCACCAAGGACATTCCACCGACGGTATTCCACCAAGGACATTCCACCGACGGTATTCCACCAGGACATTCCACCGACGGTATTCCACCAAGGACATTCCACCGACGGTATTCCACCGAGGACATTCCACCGACGGTATTCCACCAGGACATTCCACCGACGGTATTCCACCAAGGACATTCCACCGACGGTATTCCACCAAGGACATTCCACCGACGGTATTCCACCAGGACATTCCACTGACGGTATTCCACCAGGACATTCCACCGACGGTATTCCACCGAGGACATTCCACCGACGGTATTCCACTGAGGACATTCCACCGACGGTATTCCACTGAGGACATTCCACCGACGGTACTCCACCGAGGACATTCCACTTACGGTATTCCACCGAGGACATTCCACTGACGATATTCCACCGAGGACATTCCACTGACGGTATTCCACCGAGGACATTCCACCGACGGTATTCCACCGAGGACATTCCACCGACGGTATTCCACCGAGGACATTCCACCTACAGTATTCCACCGAGGACATTCCACCGACAGTATTCCACAAAGGACATTTCACTGACGTGTTCCACTGCGAATAACTGGTACTGTGGCCCACCACTGCAGGGATAGAACACCATCGGGACGGCACGCTACCAACCAAATCAGCCTGACGCAGGAGAGCTGGCACGACACGGCACAATAACACAATTTTTAATGAAACCACGTTGAGCTTTTTGTTTATCATCCAGTTACAAAACAGCTAATCAAGATGGACGTCAATTTATTTCCGCGAGTGCGGACTGATTGTCAAAAAAACCTCCAAACCCTTCTGTTAGTCGTGATTTCAATCTTACCCGAGATATTCAGTTACTCCACGAGGATCAGCTGGTCACTTCTCGAGAACATTGACAAAATCATTCAGAGCTGAAGTCTATTTACACAGGATGTGTTCGTCCTAACTGGGAAACAAAGTGTACTGGTCAAAATACGCACACAATCGTGGAAAACGGACTTCATGTTCTACCGGTACCAGCTAATCATGGTAATTCATGCGACTGTGATTTGGGTTTTGGCGGATGTCTTGTTATGCGAAGTAGTCTCATTTGATTATTTGGGCAGTGCCCTCGGCTGGATCAGAATGAAATCTGCTGTTTTCGCTTTCCTTCTACTATATTTACCAGGTAAGTAAGCAAAATGATTGATCAAAGCACGAACATTCTCACACGCATGACACAAGTAATTTATGGTTTTAAAAGTACGTGAAAATATTCAAGGAAAACTGTTTACTTGTAGTGCAAATTTTATCTCGCTTTTCTCTCAGCAGTTATGGATTGTTTAACCGCTCATCGTACGTGTTTATGTCGTACTGTTATTTTTTGTTGTCATCTGGGTTTGGCCTTTGACCTTGGAGGAAGCTACACCTTACCCTTTATGTTGCTGGGAGGTCTTCACATATTTGCCATCGCTGCGTTGTTGGTGCTAGTTTTCGTGCAAGGTCGAAAGTGAGACAAATATAAATATCGATCTGGTTGACTCTCGGTTTCTTTGTTTAATCTTAGATATATGTATATCTCTGTTAACATTTGCAGGAGGAAGATGTATACACAATGAAACAAAAGCTAGGTTCCTTGAACATGTAATTGGAATTTCAAGTCCTAAAACCTTGTCAAGAATACCTGTATAATATCATCCAAATCACAACACATGTCCGTTCGTATGGCACCCGTGTCGCATCAAGCACGAAGTATTACGAATCAGAGTATCTGACATAACATTATTTTCAAGGAAGCATGTTAAACGATTTCCAATTTATATATCATTTCGCATTAAGCATTACTTTTTTTTTGGGGGGGGGGGGGGATAAACTCGTCAAAACCAGCGCCGTTGTGCTATAAACGGACAAACATAATGCTGTCTATAACAACTCATGTCAAGTCTACGAAACGCACGAATGTTTATCGAAACAATTATTTTGTCATTGTTCCAACCAGCCAGTATGACGTAGCGGGTAGTTGTCACAAAATCGCCAACAGATACCATGAGCAGTTATTATTATCAAGTTGGAGATTCGAAAAGCGTGGTGGGGCGATGAACTTGTGGGCGCTATTAACACACGGGAGTTGGCACAGTCGGACAGTAGGTGGCGCTGTTCAAGATGTCTGTTTTGTCCAGAGACTAGCGCTCCATAGACCTTGTGCATAGCGGCCATGTTACAGGGCATCTTTTGCTATTTAATCCAGTAACAGTGAATGCACAAAAGGTTCAATCATGCATATCCCAGCGAAACAAAGGCATTACTCTCTAATTAAGATGGCTGCATGTGCCTTCACTATCTCTTTTCTTTGATTTTATCTTGATTATAGTAACTCTTTTTTCGGTTTAGTTTTTGTATCATATTTGTAAAGCACCTTGGAGCATTTTACTTAAATGGATTTGGCGCTCTTTAAATGTATTTCATTGTTATTATTATTATTATTATTATTATTATTATTATCTGCATGTATTATATTCAGTCATTATTCAAATGTATGATATGATTAGTGTTAATTGTTAATTTGAAGTTCTGGATTGTACATGCGTGTATTTCTTTATTTTTTGTTTGTTTTTGTCTGAATAGAAAATACTAAAGGTCAAAGACAATCGTATCGGCGACTGAGTTTCACTTTTTGCTGTGAAACACATCCATTTGTAGGTGAGCAGTGTTTTTAACAAGCGTAAATATTCAGTTCCCTCGTCGAAAAAAACTACAGGAGAAACACAAAAACGCTCCGTTATACATGATTTAGTATGATTACCTTTCCAAACCTAGGATGAGGATATTGAAGTTCCTTTTTTTACAGTTGAGGGGACACTTATGAAAGCTTTCGTGGTTTCCTTCAGTGCACATTCAGAAAACTGAGAAACAGAGCGAGTGTAATACAAACTAATTTGCTTAAATTATATGCAATGATAAATATGCGTTCATGATACATGTATCAATCCACCGCAGCGCCGGTGCACTCAGCATTAATAACAACAAAACGAAATTGTCAAAAAAAGTATTGACTGCGTGCAATCAGTTTGCATACCACTGTGGCCACAATGGGCGTGGAATGATATGCCTGAGCGATTCTATTGTTAAACGAGGTCGAACACCGACTGATGATGTGTCGTGTACATTGCATACTGACTGTGGGAACGTACAAAATGGTAGGCTGTCCTTTTTATTGAGTGTAAAATGTGGACATTATTTTTAGAATCTTGTAAATATCATTTATTTATTGATACATGTTATTTAATCTTTCTTTTGATTTTGTTTCAGTCTTACACAAAAGCCCAGCTAAAAGGTAAGTTTGATTTAATTATACCATTTTATGATACTGGATAGGGCAGTGACTGAATTTTGTTTGTATATAAAACGTATGGAAACTATTTGTTGCATTATGACTACATACAAACGGCTGTCTATGAAATGAGAACCTGTGTGTTGTCTATGGTATTTTATAGGCTGTAATTTTAGGTCTCATTTTACTTAATGTATATCATTTTACTTGCATGCTTTGGTGATAAAAGTGTCATAAAACTTTCACTCAATTCCGGCAGATTATCATTGCACATGAAAATAGGGCACAACTAATCCGTGTTTTAATTTACGGGGCAAATGTTGCTACCTGACGCCACTTCCGCGATTGTGTACAAAGTCTATGGAAAGTCAAGACAATTTTCTGAGCATTTCCTAACAAAATTGGAAATGTTTCTCAGTCCCAGATTCATGTCTTATCATCATTTTTGCCATTTTTTGCAATGAATGACCTTCATTGAGGTGATTATGAATAAAAATTGGCGTCAGGTTGAAACATTTTTTTCCGGCTAAAGAAACTGAGCGAAACGAACTAAAACAGAACGAGCGACTTAATCAGTTTACTGAGCTCTCATCCCAAATCAGGCAACAAGTGCACTCATCCACGCTCTGGTAATGACGAAACTTCTGAGTAAGATAAAACAAACTTACATCATCAAAATATGGAATAGTTCAAAATGCACCTATTGAAAGTGTTCAGTTGATAGTATTCTATTAAAAGTTATATTCATTTCTAAAATGAAGGTTTCGTCTCAGAAGGTTCTCAGTGCTTCATGAACTAGGGAGAAAATCGACTTTATAATTTCAAGGGCCTTCGTTATTTCTGCAGTTGTATTCGTAATAAAAATCCTGATTTTGAAGAAAACGAGCGTCGAAAACAGTCCCTCACACAATATTAAAACATACCAGTTTTTCCCTTTTAAAATCATGGTTTGTTAAATGAGGACATCAACCATCACGCACATTTCCCACTGCGTACATTCATATCTTTACATAATAGTTTTCGTCTCTCGGTGATGTTCGAGTTTCTGGAAAGTGTCTTTCATTTTTTAGATTTCCAGACCAAATTTGCACTCTATGACAAGAGGGGTGATGGGAAAATTGGCAGCGAAGAATTAGGAGATGCCTTGCGAGCTACGGGACTCAACCCTTCAGCGGAGGAAGTGACCAAAATTACTCAAGGATTTATCGGAGGTGACTAGGCTTGAAATGCTTCCTATTTCATTTGAAATACAAGACTTAAGAGTCAAGGTTATTCCAAAGAGTGAAACTACGGACTGGACGATTTAGAGTGAACATCACTCAACTTTAGAATGAAATACTCTTAAAAAAAAAGAAAAAAAAAGCCATCAATTAGGACTGGGTACTAGGAGGGTATACCCCCCCCCCACACACGTAAACAATGGCCATTGTCCAACTTATTCGTACTAATTATGCAGACGACTGTTTCATTTGCGTATATGTAACTAAAGTAGTTTTAAATTTCAGATGGAGCTATATGAGGTGACCTGTACAACTCTGAAAAAGACTGCACGAGTCGGTCGCCGGTGACTCTTTTTTGCGTGTGTGCAATTTCATTGTTCCTCAATGAATGAAGAGCATCATTTCACAAGGGTATTTTTTTTACCAGTCCTGTCTTAGCAAATTATCTTTTATTCGGTTTGTGCCAAATTTCAAGACTTTATGACAAGGGTCTTTCTATCTTATGACAGGCCACCGCATCACATTTGACGAGTTTCTGGCCTTACACGCCTCACTCCGCTCCACCTCTCAAACTAAAGGAACCGTTCAGGAGTTTACTGAAGGATTACAGATGTTAGACAGAGATCAAAATAACCTGATTCCTGCCTCGGAACTACGCCATGTTCTCACCAGTCTAGGTTAGTATAGACCCCGTGCGTAGATAGAGCGCCCCCAAGAGGACGGGCCTTTGTTCCTCTGTGATGAGTAGACACTGCGCTCGTTCGTCACTGTAACAACCCCGTCCTATAGTGAACAATAATTAAAGGCTTTTAACTTGACTTACATGTACACATTATTGCTATATACGCATATACAAGAGGGATACTTAACAGCTTGTATATTTGCTGTGTTTAGTTGGTCGTGCGCAAGTGATGCCAATTGACACATTTGTATTACGACGTACCTTTTTGGTAGCTAATTTTAGGGCTGAGCTTGTCTGTTATAACCATTAACAGTTGGGGTAGCAGTTATTTATTGCAACTATTTTTTATTTATTTTATTCAGGTGAGCAAATGACAGAGGAAGAAGTGGACAAACTGTTGACAAAATTCACAGACTCAAGGGGCATGGTAAACTATCCAGGTGAATTTTTGTGTGATGTTTTACAAATTTTATGAGATGAAGGTGGTCATTGCCTAAACAAAAGCTGTTCAAAACATTTTAAAAGGTCGCATATGGCTGCTAATTTTTATTGTGCACCGTATATGAAGAGGATCTAGTATGAGATGATGCTGTTATCAAGATATATCTTGATAACAGCATCATCTCATACTAGATCCTCTTAAATATTGACTATAATCTATGTACGCATCTGCAAACATAATTCTTTTTCAGTCGAAAATTAATTTCAATCATTCTTCCGATTATAAATTGGTTTAATCTTCAGTGAAACATGCATACGTTTCCTCTGTTTGTATTGCAGAATTTGTCAAAAAGGTTATGACGGGCTAAACCAAGATAGTGCAACATCTACGACATTGCGTTACAGTGACTCAGTGGCCCTTTGCATAGTTAAGTTGGGCTGAATATAGCAGGCTATTTATAATGGCAAGCTTCGGCGACTTAAATAGATTACAAATCAGATACCGGAGCAAAATATAGTTAAGACACGTATAAGTCTTTGCAAGTGTTTTGGGTCGCTTTTGTTCCACCAAAATATTATGCGCCAATAAATGATGTGCGAGCGAGACCTAAAATCGCTTCGGAGTGACGGAAGCAGAACTTCATGTGTGTATAATGAGGCACGAAATTGATTGACCCGCTTTTGGGGCCGATCCTTTGACATCTTCAAGTTGTCATCATCAAAAATGGCTAAAATTAATGTAGCTGCTTTGTAATAATCTGTGTATAATAATGAGGTAGTTGTAGTAATTGATTGTTAGAACAGAGAATGTCGACATTGATTGTTCCCCAAAAATAAAACGTTCGATCAATTATTTAAGCGGGAAACCATCGCTGTAACCATTTAAAAACTATAAATGCCGTTTTGTTTTAGTTGTTTTCAATGGTATCTCATCAGATTTGAGCTTGCAATTGAAATGTTTCTCTTGGAATATTTATTTTTATATGCTTTTTGCTTTTATGGAAGTTGTTTCCATTTTATTAAATTTGAGAACTAAATTGACGATTCAACCTCAAATTAAGATTTTTTTTCTTGAGTCGACTTTCATCTCTTTGGATTTTAAAAAACAAGGCTTAAAATGAGAGTACACATGCTGAGTGGGTTATTTACTCTGACAATGTCATTACTGGGTAAGAACACTCCGTCCCCACCCCGCTCTGGCTCCAGTGTTTGATTTTTTCATAGAAATATATTCAAATTAATGTGACACCCACCCCCCCCCCCGCATTTTCACCCACAAATTTGTTACTGGTACTAAAATCTGTTTGTCCACAAAAATCGAACAGAGCCAGCTGGGTTACAGGTTATTTGTACCATATTGTGATGTAATACAGTGATACTGATCGTCGGAAATTTGAACAGCGCCCCAATTAAAATTTTGGTACGAGCCCTCCCCCCCCCACACACACCTATTAATTTAACGGAGGTCAAGTGTCCGGAGAAAAAAAACTGTCCACATTTCAGCATTGATTTGCTGATGACCCCCCCCCCTTCCAAAATTCCTGGATCCGCCCTTGCACTTTCGTATTGTTAAACAAAAAGTGCTCCCCCCCACCGCTCCGGATACGCCGATTCCTAAATGATCAGTTTCTATATCACCACTCCTCAATCATCGACTCAAATTCACGCCGTTTGAGTCGCAGTTCTCCTAGAATGGCTCCATACAATTAGCGCCATCAACAATACTGCAAAAACTGCAAGGGCAGAAATAGTCACAAGAGGGCGCTATGCGCCCACGCCGTAAATCGCAATTTGTAGCAACAATTTCTTACAACTGACAATGCTGGAGAATATCATGACGTCATCAATCCTGCTCACCTCTAGCTACGGCTACGCTACGACAAAGTACAAAAAAATACATACATGTTATGAGAACTCCTATCTCCCCGTGTCTTTATATGGAGTCTACAGGATCTGTTGCCACGTATTGGATCAAGACCAAGATCTGATCAAGACCTAATATCAGGCCTCTAATAGGGGAGGGGGGAGGGGGGGGGGGGGGGCTCGTACTATGCTTTTAATGTGGGCGCTGTTCACATCAAGGGCGGATCCACGGGGAGATGGGGGGGGGAGGGTACCCGACACACCGTTTTAGGCCTAATTACATAATGGGGTTAATACTTTTTTTTTTACTTCTTTAATAAGTTCCTTAAATATTAACGCCATCACTTAATATTGGAAATCTCGATACATTTCACGCATCGTGTAGACGTGTTGGACATAGGCCCCATCCCCCTTTCCCTTATCCACCACTGCATATCAAATTAAAAAAAATATAAAAAAAAAGGAAATCACAGCACCCTTCTGCCGCCTACCATGCCATAGGTCATGTCAAATGTTCAGTGGCGTTAATCTGTGCCGGGGACTGGGTGGATGACTAGATATTAAAAAGCCCCGGCCGTGGAAATTTGGAAAGCAGGGGGGGGGGGGACACCACATTACACCAGGGGCGCTGTTCCTGATGTATATAGCAAAACGGCGTATTTTAAGCTGTGACATAACTTTATTTCCAGTTTGAATACACTTTGGTTATTGGGAAGTTATAAACAATACCTCGAAATAAACCTTTTTTGGTTTCTCATCATGAACAAGTGGGGGGGGGGGGATTCAATAGCCGCCCCCCCCCCCCGGTCAAAAAGTGGGATATACCCCCATCCCTCAGGATTAATGCCCCTGCAAATATTGGTTTCGGACTGAAAACGGACAAATTTGCTTCATTGTTGTATGGACTACTCATAATATTGGAGTGATTTGATGGACACAAATCACGTGATGCGTCCTTCAAAAAACAAAGAAAGAAGTTAGCCACAGTCACATCATGAGAGGAATGGCCTTCTCTTGGTCTCAGATTCCTGATATCTTTAGAACTGGAAATGCCTTTAATTTGTGAAGGTACAGGCGGGTGAAACGGTGAGGGCCAAGCTTTGACGAGGAGTTCCGATCATCGTTACAATCAACGCAAAAGAAGCAATGTGTCGGAATTCAGTTGCAATGTTGAGTGGGACCGTGGAATTAACGCAAGGACATTTGGGATTTCAAAATTATGCAAATGATTAACATCATGCATTGCACTCGGAGGCATTGGCCGGAATGCACTCTTGACGAAATTTATAGGAAAACGGGCTTTGTCTCGATCGATGCGCATGCGCGTCTATTTTGCATATTGTCTGTCCCCGGAAAATTGACCCAAAACGAGCCTCCTATAAGTTTCCCATAAAACATACCGACCAAGTTTTTAATTGGTACAAAGCAAGGGCAGCAAAACCGGGGGGGGGGGGGGGGGAGGGGGCACTTGCCCCCCGATTTACCCAAGAGCCTAATTGTGCCCTCTCGAGATGAAAACACTTGAAAACTGGCCCAAAAATTTCGGATCATTTGTTTTCAGTATTCCCCATTTCCGCCGCTGGCACAAAGATATGGGAACCGCCAACATAGGTCGCAGGTTCAAGCCCGCTCCAGTCAATTTCTTTGTTCAACTTTTCAAGTTTTAATTTAGAGAAAAAAAATGAAATACTTACTGGTTTGCAACAATTCTTAAAGTTGTTTATTAAGAAATTGTATTCTGGTTGTCAGCCAATTTACAACAAAGACATGCATGTACTTCTCTTTTTGTTTTGAGGAAGTAAACTAAATTATTGGAAGATATAAAGTGGCTAAAAATAAATAAATAATCACAGATGAAATTATAAGCGAAGTAAAGTTATTGAACAATGGAAACTCTTTTAAAATTTTCTGCTTCCAAAATTACCAAGATTTAGTAAGGTTCAAATTCATCCTATATTTGTTCGCCATCGGATCACGTGGCTACGCTCAACAAAAGCAGACGATCAGTGAAATATTTTCGAAAGTAGTATTTTTGTTGTCTTGTTTCCATCTGTTTTGCGCTTTGAATAAAAAATCATTTTTTTGTCATTTCTTAATCAAATTTTTAGCATCCGGGTTTCTGACCACAATGCATTGCGACCGTTTTTTTAGCGGCTGGTGTACGCGAATTCCGTACATTAGTATGGCTTTAGAAGGACACCAGTGAAGGTGTATGGGACAACAGCGCTATGTTCATCGTTCGTTCGTCAATATATCGGCGGATCGTGCGCGTTATTACATCCTATGATATGCGGCTGAACTACCGTTGTCTGTTGGGGTGTGGTGCCTAGATTCTACCTGATATTTCTGCAGCTTCCCATCGGAAATTTTAACCTAAACCACGGGAATCCTTTTTGTCAGGCTGTTGGACTTAACTATATCTGCAGGATTTACGCCAGGCTGGAAGGAGAGAACATATTTTCACGTTGATATTTTTTCGGGGGACTGGCCGTGAAATATAGCGGCAGAGGTGATTGAGGCCGCACCGAACGCTTGTACCATTTCAAAATGGGTTGCGCAACGAGCGCAGAAGATAAAGCTGCCGCTGAGCGGTCAAAGGCAATCGACAGAAATCTACGAATTGATGGAGAAAAGGCTGCACGGGAAGTCAAATTGCTTCTTTTAGGTGAGTTGTTGTTAATTTTGAGTTTTCGCAATCAAGTCAATACGCCACAGTTGTGGACACCCCTATGCGGAAGTGGTATGTCCCGATTTTTTTTAATGGAGTCGGTTCCTTTTTTTTGACGATCGTGCCGCACAGACTGTCTTTTTAATTTTATTCGACAGTTGTAAATAGCTTAAAATATGATATTCTCTGAAATAAAATGATGGGTCTGTTTTCCAAGGAACCTATCGTCCATGATGTGTTAATTAGATCCGTCATAAAGACAATGTAATTATTGCTGACAGTTTCAGTGCCATCCCAAAACGTGTGTAATTGTAAAATAAAAAAAATGTTCCATCATGATTCAGATTGTCACATTTGTACATGTCATGATTTAGCATATTTACAGCAATACTAACTAGGCCCTAGCGCAGTTTTTCTTGGTATTGACTCTGTCCTAGTTGAAATAAATACACATGTACTTTGTTTTACATGATATTGCTTCGTGTGCGTAGTGTGACTCTGTGAGTGTGAGATGTACAAAATGTATACTTTAACCCTAACCATCCCAAATCCTCCAAAATCCTGTTTGCAAATTGGACGAATTTGCTGGATTGAGGTTACATGGCAAAAGTGCGTTGCTGATTTTGGAGGACGACCTGGTGTTGTTTATGTTCAGTCTAGCATAAATTTAGTCCTTGATTATACACATGTACTTGAAATCCTCCGCACTGCTCCAGGATGTCACTGCCTCTGCCTCAACCTATTGAGGATTTTGCAGGATTCAGGTACATGTAGTGGTCACCTCTTCACGGACCATATTCAAGAAAGAATGGAGGAATTTGCAGGATGGAGGCTATAATGCTATTTTTCCATTAGGCCAATTGGAGGATTTTGCAGGATTGGGGCTACAGTACATCCTAGCAAAAAGGCCTAGGGAGTTAGGGCTAAAGCAAAGTCCCTGCCAATCAAATACATGTAAAAATAAAAATAAGTTAGTTTCAAAAAATGAAAGGAGATCCTTCCTACCTACCCATTTTTTTTTTATCTTGGACTACTTTGCTGACTCCATCATACAAACCTTCAAATCTTGAGATGTGTGTGTTTGTGTTTCTTGTCAGAGACTTTACCAGAGCTATTAAAACTGTTATTCGAAAATTGATTTTGTATAGCGATGTATCATGCAGCAAGTACCAGTAGAAGTCTATGTAATGTCTGTTTGATAAGAATGAAGTTATTTTTATTGAACCACTATCAGCTAAATTTATGCAAAATTGACAAGGCCGAATATCTATGGACATGTGAAGGGCTCTGGAAGTGGTTTGAGTGTGTTTAATTTGTAGGCTTGTCTGATGTCATGCACGTGTGCAATTACAAAATGCACTGAAAGACATTATATATGAACAGGGCTGCAGTGTGAGTTGCCATGTGCCCCCGAAACTGCTCAGTTAAAAATAATAAAACGTTCAACATTCAAGCTTATCCTTAATTGTCTCAGACCCCAGCGCAGTGAATAGGTTTTTCTAGATCCCATTACTTTAATTTTTTTTATTATTTATTATTAATATTATTTTTATTATAAAAATAGCAACACTCTCCAGAAGATGCAAGTTTTCCTGCTATAATCTGATGCACTTCCCAACTACAATGTAATTCCAATTTTGTAGTCTTCTTGCTGATTAGGTTTTGTACAATGTACATGTAGTTTAGCAGTTTAGTCATTTTGTTACTTTTGTTTTTCCTACATTTCATTTTCAGTTAGTGTTCTTGATCTACATGTAAGGTCTCGTAAAGGAAAGTAATATCTGGAAACATAACCAATAAAGAGGTCTTACATGTAGCTACCGGTACAATACTGTATGTACGGTACCTTTATGTAAATATACTCGTTGTACATGTACATGTACTTATTCTTCTTTTTCTGTCGTGTGTGTACTATACATGTAAAATGTACATGTACCGGTGGTTACATTGATAACAGCATTGAGAATTAGACTAAACTTTAAGAAATAACTTTAAATTCGTTTTTTTTAATTTGCCCAGCAGATATTAGGTTTTGGAATAAAGTACAGTACACTTTTATTTGAGACACCGTGCACAGTAACCTTTTTTTTTTTGGTAAAATGTAAAGCATTGATAAATAGTTACAATTCCCAAAGGCACAAACATTAAAATAAATGGGAGTGATGCAAAATTCTTCAAGCCATCTGCTCTACCAGTAGCAAGAATGCGTAACAAAGCAGGAAATAAATTGTGTACATGACACTACCCCATGTAAATATAGGATACGTCACTGCATGGTCTCTGAACTGACCGATATTCCTATATGGAAACCGACATCGCTGCCGTGGCCCAACTGTGGTCTTGCCAAAGATGTCCCGCTTCTTGCTTCATTGTGACCAACACTTGACTCCCCGGGTATCTATTTATAAACCTGTGTGATGTTGTCGCTCCCAATTACTGCGCGGTGTAAACGCCCGAAGACAGATGAACCATCGTCATTTTTCACCTCTGGTGTCGCCTCAACAAACGTGCTTCAGATAAATCAGGGTGTTTACATCAGCGAAAGGAAATATCTTTTCTCTTGGTTGTTGGTCTGAATACGGGAATGTTTGTGTCAACATTGCACAATATCATTGGCATTGTGTAAGGCACTTGTATACCTTCTTGGTTTCAATTTATTTTTGATAAAAAAAACCCAGAACTTTGATGAAAGTATATTTAGTAAATACATTTTCTAAGTTATTTGAAAAAAAATTCTTTTTGGAAACAGTTACAGTTTCTACTTACAGTAAGTTTTAAGGATACAAATATTATAATTTTTTTTGTACATTATGCATACGTACCTTTTTTTCAGAATAGAGACTCGTGCATGTGTATGGTAAAATACATATTGTAATTTTTCATTTGTGCAACTCCCTATTACTAGCCAGAGAAAATTTTAAATGTACTGTGTTTGTAAATAATGTAAATCAAAACTACACTGTGGAAGCGGGTATATGTATTTTTACTGGATATTTTTGATCAGTATTTGTTGTGTCTTGTATCAATCTGTACATGTACATGTAGGCTGGCCTGCATGTTGTACATGTGTACAGTACATGTACATGTGTATACTGTATACATCCATCAATGCATTTGACTGGATTGGGGGGGGGGGGTGTGGCCTAGTGGTTAGGGTGGGTGTCCCTTGATCAGAGGGCCAGTGGTTCAAATCCAGATGCTGACCATAGGTTGTGTCCTTGGGCAAGCCACTTCACTCCTACTTGCCGCTTTCAACCCTACATGTACCAGTACTTGCCTCTTTCAACCCAGGAGCATTTTGTGTCACCATTCTGTCCTGCGGGAATATATCCTCAGTTGTTTCAGGCTACTGCTACTGAAGTGAAAGCAGAGATGAAGGCCAGCCTGATGGGCCATACATGTACATGTATTGACTTGAGAAATCCCAGACCATGAGATGCCTAACTGACAGAAAGTACCCATCCTCATGATCGTCATCATTCAACAACTGATAATGATGAATGTTGAACTTTATGACTGTAGATCCAGAAGACTGCAGGAGACTGGACTGATTATTTTTCTAAAGATAGCACTGGTTATCATTTCCAACTTGTGTGAGAGAGAAGACTGGTATTTAAATGCAAATATTGATGCAGAACATGCAGAATGTGACTAAAGTAAAGACAGTGGTACAGTGCAGACATACCGGTACTGTACCTGTTCATGTGATGCACTGTACATGTATGTGTACATACATGTAATTGTACTTGTAGGTTTCCTTAGCATTCAGATGTTATTTTAGAGTGGAGAACAGGGGTATTTTATCTCGAAGCTTCCCGAATCCAGTAAAAAATGCTTCGTCAATTTGTCATCAGACAGTACATTTAAGGACAAATGTTGCATTTTCTTCTTTATGTTCATAACATGTACATGTATTTCACTATCAACGGAGTAATAATTACATTTTACATTGTAAAAGATTCAGGATCCACGCAGACAGCATGAAATCGAACCCTGCCCTGGTCCGCACAGTACATGTAAATCAATGATGCACATTTTTTTGAGCAAAGTCCCTGGAATGGAGCAGAGATGAAGACAGTCAATGATTAACAAACAGGTGAACAACTGACAGAAATGGAATACCTACCAGTAGCCACAGTAAATGACATGTGTACATTGCCTGGTTATCCAATCTGTTATCATAGGACTGTTTATTGATCAAAGATCAAGTCAGAAACAAGTGTAATTTATGCCCTATTTGGGCAAGGAATTGTGTTAAATATTTGGTTAGTGACATATTATCAGTTAAATCTCCAAGGTACATATGGTACTATTTTATAAAGTTCAGTGATGCGTGCCACATATGTACATGAATCAATCAAACTACATGTCTAAGATGAACATGTACTTTTGTTTTGGGTACACAGTATTAAATTTACTCTACGTCCAGCTTTTTAGGGGGCGATAATTGGCAAAGGAAAACAAAAGAAAAAAATTAATTTATTATTGCCTTTGTTTCATTGTTTTCATTGGTTTTTACCTCATCACACTGGACGTACTGGTACGTGTTTATTGAGGGATAATGATATGCATACATGTGTGCACCTGTACACCTTCATGTACAGTACAGTGTTGATGTATCTGGCATTTAAATAGACCGTTACAGTGTGCATTTTCCAAGACATTATAACCAGTGCAGAAAGCAGGCTACCACTAGTTTCAGAGATGTGTCCGCTTCAATATCAGTGTGACCTTATTACAAAAACTGTACAGTTGTTGGCAGTATGCCAAGTGTTGATGATGATGCATTTAATACAGATGAAAGGTCAATGGTCACACAAAGTGGCATCAAACAGGTGCAACAGCTCTATGGACAGATTGTAACCATGTACATGTACATGTATCTGATTATTGTACTATCTCACAAACATGAGAAGAACACAGAAGGCAATGGTGTGTGTCCCATGTACATGTATGTACATGTACATGTCACAGGGCCGTTGGCCTTTTTCATTTTCTTGCGTTCCACAAGTGTGAGTGGGATAACAAATTTATCTTAGAGTTAGAGCAATCTCGACACACTGCAATGTGTACACTATGGTCACATTTCAGCAGTCACATTCAGCAAGAAACCTGTCTAGAAAAATGCATGATGTACCGGTACCATCTAACCACATTGATGTTGCCATGGTTTTACAAAAAAAGATTAAGAATTCAGTTTACTTGGAGATACAAGATATGGGATCTTTTGTTGTCACTAGTAAAGGTAGAGTACTGGTAGCTCATTTGCAGGTATCCAATAATTAACTGAAACAATTGTTATTGAAAAGCATACTGGTAGGCCTTCCGGTTACATAAAGATGGTAACATTTGGCACAACTGCCTGTGCTTACTGTCATTGTGAAGAAGACAATAAAAGAAGACCATAGTGTGCTCTTTGGGGCACAAAACAATATAGAAAAGGAAAGTGTATACCGTACGTACATTTGTATGCGGTATGAATAATTACTGTACTGACATGTTTATAAAAATTCGTTTGCATTGTACACTGTACTGGTACATGTGTACTGTACACCGTACTACAAATGTACATGTACCGGAACTGTATACTTTGTAGTTTGTACATTTTGTGTATTTAAAACAGGAAGAACTAGTCTTATTTGATCTGCCCTTTTTGTGAAGGGCGTCACCGCCATCACATGGTGCTATCAAATGAGGAAGTCAGCCGGTAACCTTTGACCTGCCATATTTAAGGGATATTTAGAATCAAAGGGATTCATGGGATTAACAAAATGTACTGCCTGTCAAGTCTGGAAGGCAAACAGTAAGTTTGCACCCGGGGCAGAAAACCAAAAGAATATTTTCTCACATGTCATTTTGCAAAGACACCATTGACATGTTTAAATCAGTTTTTTAATTTAACAAAGTTCAGAGTTCTAACCCAATTTCTAGAAAAATCTTACCTCCCTATTATTACATGTACATGTACATGTACAGGTACAAGTAATATACTGTATGTATGTTCAAGGACAACAAAAACAAACCTTACATGTATGTTCTTTCTTTGTGTTGTCCTTGGGATGTAAGGTACATGTACAATTTAATACACAAGAGCACACATTACAAATTGAAACTACTGTACAAATAGGTACAAAGTCTTGCAATGGTGTGAAGTTTCCTTGTTTTTTCTAAATGCCCATGCTTGTATATTGTATCTGCATACATGTACATTCATGTACATGTATTTGTACATGGTACATGTATCGGTACATGTACATACATGTGTTTAGCGTACATGGAAATGTTGGAATCTGTACATGTACATTGTATCATCAGACATTGATTACATGTTGTAACAATCCATAATAAATGATGCAAAATTGTCAAACAAACATCAGTTGGTTGTCAATGTGCCTCCTGCAATACATTAAACGCAGCCTGACAAACAAGACTTGTTACCTAGCAACGGTCAGACCTTGCCGTACATCCTACATGTACATGTCTGTGTAACCTGGCGTCTAATTACTGTCATGCCATACTCCTTGCGTATGCACGCAGCCACGCAGCCACGCAGCCACGCATCCACGCATCCACGCAGCGCAGTCGGTTGGAGCGATGGATGTTGTCGACAACAACCAAAATTACGAGATGCATTCATTGGCACGACGTTGATGCCCGTCGTGATGCATTGAGTGTGTTCATGCACACGTACACGTACAATACTGTACCGGACTGTATTCATATTAAAGGGAATATACATCATTTGCTTTTGCTGTAATTTTCAGAAATGGATGGAATTGGGGGGTTGGAAATATAAAGCAAATATAGTTGCACTGACTTTTTGGAGGTTTTGGGTTCGAAAATGCTATAAAAACCAAGAAAAACGATCATTTTCCTGTAGTCTGGTTCCCTGACTCCATATAAGAAGAAACAGAGCAGTTTACATACATTGGGGAATTGTAAGGTCAGGGAACCAGTCTAGCTGGCTCGTACCCGTTCATAGGTTTGTAATCGATTGCAAACAAGTGCAATGGTCAATTGGGGCCAGTATTTGAAAAAAAGCCAGTTGTTTCCAACGCTGATCGGCCGATCAGCGTTGGAAATTGATACAAAAATACCACTTTTCTTGAAAATGACAGTATACCAGGTGTCATAATTTTACAGGATGCTTCAGGCTGTCATTTACCAACATCCTATTAAGGTATTTCGCAAAAACTTGGTAGTTTTTTTTCTCGATGTTTGCAAATGTTGTATATTCCCTTTAATTGAGACAAATACTATATGTATACATGTACATGTACTTGTGTACATGTACAGTACAGTACATCTTTATAAACCTGCTACCTGCAGGTATCCAGAAATATGTACAGTATTGAAACAACATAAATTTAACTGAAATAAAGAACTAATTGAAGCAAATAAAGAATAAACAAATGATACAAACGCAGACATGTTCATGGATACCCCTGTGTACATGTATGGTGTTCTCAAGTATATTGTACATGTACACGTTAATTGTACGTACATGTATGTCCTGAGTGGGCTAAGCTGTCAACGTTGATTACTTCTTTAGGATGTGTGTTTGCACATACACCTGCAGTGAAGTGAGCACACCTACCTGTACATGTAGGAACTCTAAAGCCTTGTAAATGGAAAACAGGATAGCAAAAAGAAGCCTACCGGTACATGCACACTGTAGGCATGTTACCTGGCAATGCAGACATTGATAATCAATTCAATTTGACACAACAAATCATTTCAAGGATTGAAATAAAAACCTATGAGACTTTTCGTCTGTGTTCTTAAATTCTGAAATATTGTTGGTTCAAAGTAAATTTAATGGGCATAACATTTTATGAAAAAGTCAGTAGGCCTAGAGAAAAAGATTTTGATATTGTTCCTAATTTTTTTCAGAAGTGTCTGCATTACAATGTGTTGCTCACCTTGAAGTCTATCATTCCCTTTTTCAGATTTACATATTTTTCCGACCAACAAAGCATTAATGGCAGTACTACTGTATGTACATGTAATTACTAACACTCATCAGAAGTGCATGCATTCATTATTTTCATAACTTTGAAATGACGTAAATATTTAATGGAATATATTCAAAATTGACAATAAAAAAATCTCTGAGCAGCTGAGTGGCTCTCATTTGTGTTGCACTAATAATTTATCCTACATGTAGAGCTTTTGCCTTTGAGCAAAAGCACAGGATTTGATCAGACCTTAAACCTTTGTGTGTGCTTTTGTATAGAATTTGATTGTTGATTTGATTGATTCTTCAAATTTGATTCCAATATTTTTCTCCTCTTAATTGAGTGTTGTACATAAACCTCACCATTTGATTGATTATTTCTTTGTTCCCAGGAGCTGGAGAGTCAGGCAAGAGTACAATTGTCAAACAGATGAAGTAAGTATAAATCTCTCCTTTCATTCTTTTGCAGCGAGATATTCCTGACATTGCCGATTATTAAATTGAATAAACAGCATGCGTTGGTATTGGCATTGTGCTGTAAGAATTCAGCTTACGTACATGTACATGTACACGTGTAATTCACAATTCAGTTGCACAAAATGCAATATTCACTTGCATACATTTTTTGTAATATTCACTTGCATAGTATAGATGTACATGCCTCCTTCAGAACATGTAATGTCAACTTGGTGCAAACATGGGGCTAGTATTAAAACCGTCATTTCATTACATTTTGGCCAGCAAAATAATTGACTGTTCAATTTCAGTGTGCATTTTCTTTGTACATGTACCGGTACATGATGATGTACATGTACATGTACATGTACATGTACGCGTATTATTAAAACAACGGCTACATGTACCTGCCAAATTGGGTTGGCTGTACAGTTTTTGCAAATTAACTGATACAGGTACATGTACATTTGACGCACATGTACATGTACATGGTATACATGTTCATGTACACATGTACGTGTATCAATGACTTACGGTACATGTACATGTAATCAATTGATCAATAATCATCTGGGAAAAAGAACTTAAAAAAAGACAAACGACACCAAAAATGGGAGGATTATCCCTTCCTTGGAACATTAATCCTTGTGAACATCAGGACAGACAAACAAGAAAAACCTTTGTAGGATGATATATAATTAACTCTGAGCAGCGTGTTCCCATGGCGACTGGGCAGCTAAGGTGGGGATTAAATTAAGCGTGATAGCTGCCGCCCACAGCACTCAGGCTGGGCTATTTGGATGTTACTGCTGTAGTGTTACTGTCTATGTGAACAGTATGAAGGCACTGTACATGTACCGGTACTGGTAGATTGATACAAGTGATGACTGAACTGAAGTCCAGTGAAATGCTCTTAACGCTCACAGAAATGGACGATTATGGAAATTTATTTTACTTTTTGAGAACTAGGGTATGTATGTAACTTGTCTACATACAGTATACCGGTCCATTCTACATGTACCAGGTACATGTACATGTACTGCATGGTCACCATACCCGGACCTGTACCGGTATGCATGCTCATGTTTGCATTGTACATGTACTACATGTACGTGTACATTAGTCTTTACTCCAATTAACCCTAACCCACCTCACTCCTCCAAAATCCTCCTGGCGGTTTTGGAGGATTCTAGAGGATTGAGGATGAATGGTGATTGAATCAAATGAGGATTCTGGAGGATTGAGGATGAATGGTGATTGAAGCACATGAGGATTTTGGAGGATTGAGGATGAATGGTGAATGAAGCACAAGAGGATTTTGGAGGATTGAGGATGAATGCATTTTGAGGCAGGACTGTCTGATGATTTTAAAAAATTTAGACGGAGTTGAAAATTTTTTGAGGATTTTGGAGGATTGAGGATGGTTGTAAGCAACAAGGGCCTAGGGGGTTAGGGTTTTAAAATCCATCCTCCCTTTTGGGGGGATTTGAAATGGCAGACAAGCCATGAGTACCAGTAGTTGTTGGTACCGTACATGTACTTATTGAGTAACGATACATGTAATGCTGTGAGTGTGAGTACATGTACATGAGCTGTTTGTACCGGTACATGCAAATGGAGACCATTAAAATATTTAGGCCTATGCATTAATGAGGTACATTGTTCATGTAATACCCTCACTATTAAAAAAAGTTCTGGTACATGTAGTTCAATCATGTACATGTACATAACATGTACATAACATATGTACATGTACATTGTACATGTACATATTTTTTAGAGCCCCATTTCTGCGTAATTTGATTGTTGTTTCACAATGAAATCTGTTTTGAAAATTACATTAATTTTGACGTGGTCTGTAAAATTACCACAAAATAAAGTGCTCTTGTATTGGACTTGAATGAAAAATTAAACTGGAGACTCAGAAAAACCAAGAAAAAAAAAAAAAAATATTTTTTTTTTTTTTAATATTGTGTATTTGTGGAAGTTGAAGCAATGTACATACATGTAGATCATTTGGAGTGGTGTAGGGCCCTGGCCCCTGGCCCCTGTAAATCATACATGTACATGTACATGTACCGGTAAGGTAACTTGACCATCAGATTAAGTGATGTACGGTACATGTACAGGTACCGGTAGTGATGTTAAATGATTCGGTGAGACAATAATTCCACAATGTGTGTGATAACTCAGAAATCTGTTTCTCAATGAAGTGCATAGCCTGAATACATCAATAATATTAATAACCATGACAAGAAATGTGTGCATCATGCCCATTGCTTCAAAAACATGTCGCCGTATCCTCCACATGTATGTTACATTGTACATGTACACGTACATGTACATTGTACATTGTACATATTCATAATGTACAAAATGCAAGTTGAGCGCATTGCACATTAACATACTGTGCGTGTGCATGTGGGGCCTGCCACCTGCACACATCATGCAGCAATAGCCGAATATTTAATGTCGCCATATTTTGTTCTCCTTCCCCAGTGTGTGTGTAATAATCTTCTTGTTTATGCGTTAGCTTTGCTTGCAATCACGCAGGGACGCTGGCGTAGGCCGTCTGGTCATGAGACTGGTTGTTTGTTTCCCTGGATGGAATGACGTAAAGCTACTGATCGTGGACGGGGATACCGTAGGACTAGTTTTATTGTCTGATAGATCCTTAGGTTAAAGCCATCATCGTGATATGCCCTTTGTTGTGCACCTTCTTTTTTTTGCACTGAATTGAAAAAAAAATCGCCGTCTTCAGGCAAATCCATTCTTCAAGCATTATGCAATTTTTGTGCATAATCAAACTTGACGTCACAAAACGTTGACAATAAAACTTGCAGACCTGTGTTAAAATGTTAAGTTGTGAAAGGTAGCGCAGATTTTGGCCTTGACATCACTAATTTCCATTCACATTCTTTCATGCCTACATGTACATGTACATGTAGTAAATACAATTTACATGTACATGTGATTGGAGGTGTCAGTTTAGGAAGCAAGGAGTGCATCTCTCTACCACTTTGGATTTTCAATGGCACATGAAATTTGGGTAATTTCACCAAAACAGTGAACCCTTATTTTGTATACGTGTAGTTGCCTGAGGGTTTGGTAATAAATAAAATACCGTTTAGGGCAAGAAAAGAAGGAAAAAACACCCATTTTTTTTTCAAGATGGCGGATGTTCAAAGATGAATTTTTCCACTTTCTTGACTCTTTTGGTGATACTTTTTTGTGTAACGCCTCAAAAAGATTTTACATGTATACAATTATGCTGCAAGGATAAAAAAATAAATACAATTGTACACAAATATGGCAAAGCATTGATTTATAAAAATATAAAAAAAAAATTAAAAGGAGGCCGCTGGGGGGGGGGGGGGGAAAAAGGAAAGGGGCGGGAACGAGAAACTGGTTTATTTTGTTACTGGCCTATCCTGTGTCTGTATGGCAGACGATTTCACAAGATTAGCTTTACTTGCAGAAATGTGGATGCATATGTACAGTTCAGCACTGTACCTACAAAATGTGTTATTACAATGTAATATCTGGCAAAGTGCCCAGTATTATGGGCTTCAGGCACAATCACCCCAATAATGGGAAGAAAAGGGGAAGAAATGGGGAAGAAAAGGGGAAGAAATGGGGGAGACCCCGTCACACACATTGATGGGGACACCTGACGCCCATGTGAAGACATTATGGCTTTGTGCACATACACATGTATTCAGAAGAAATCAATTTGTGTGCATGAAGTAGGCCCATGCGGTGTGTCCTGCCCACTGGGCTGTCGAAAGTGGTATTACATGTGCAAGGCCCTCTCTTGATCGCTCATGGAGCCCATACATTGTACATATCCTGAACATTAATGTGGTAGTTGGCACAAATCCATGGTGTGCCCCAATGATTTGTAGTCCATCCAATTAGTTGAGTCAGTAACAGGACTTGAAACACAGCAAGTCATTGCAAAATAATAATGAGGCACCTAGTACATGTGCTGGTACACCAGTGCTAAAAATAGAACAGCATGTACCTGGTACATGTACATAACATGTACAGTGGCAAAAAAAGGGGGGGGGGGAATGAGCCAAGTGGGTTGGTGTGCCTCTTCCATTCGTAAAAAAAGGGGTGTGCAAAGTGATAAAAGAAAAAACACATGTCAACCGAAGTTCTTGGATTTCTCATTTTTATCCAATCTCACCCCTGTCAACTGTATCACATTCACAGCCCAAGATCTGACAACATCTGAATACAACAAATTATAGGCATGTAGCAGCTAATAATATCACAAGTCATGCTGAAGTACACCTGAGCCTATGGTGCGTTAATGGACGATTGCTGGAATATTAATGGCCATGCCAAATGTTAATATCTGTATCCTTCATGAAGAGACACAGTTCAAGTGTTCATCTTGCATGACGCTGTCAAAACAAGAGTAAGGCCAATAAAAAAATAGTTCTGCTTCCGATTACATGCCTCTCAAAAATAGGGTCGGTCGGTCGGAATTTTTTTTGCCAATTTTTTTTTTGTGCTGATTGAATTGGGGTATTCAATTATACGCGAATTTTAGCCTGAACTATTTTCATTGCACTACGAAAGCTATGCAAAATAATGGCCACAAAAACAATTAAAACTTAACTTAATTATTGTCAAAATATTTACGGTTGATAATTCTTAAAAATAATGGAAAATTCAGGCCGTGCACACCATACATCGACAATGCTAGTCATGATGGGAAACTAGCCAACACTGCCATACATCGCGCGGTAGAAGCCTGCGTGATGCATTGTGAGTGGCAGGTGAAAACCTTGTTTTTACGCTAGGAAATTTCGGGGAAACATTCTGCATTGTATCACTCCAAATACGAGTAGTACGACATCGAAATAAATTCTTGAACACGGAAAATACATACTCAGACAAGAGAGATCAAGTTCTGTGAATTAATTTGCAAAAATGTTCTTTTTCCATGGGTGTTTTCTTGGCCTTTTAACGATGTCTAATCAAACTTGCAACAGCACTGTCCGCAGTGCAGGGCGGCCATTCCGGATCCCATGCATAGACTGGTTACACATTTCCAGGCGTGGCGGTAACCAGTCATCGCTGCATTCAGCATTAACGCATGTGTTTCATATTGTCACCACGACATTGAATTGCAAACTAGTTATCACGATCAAAGCGAACTTGTAAAAGGTTTCTTCCAAAAAAATAGCAAGTGTAAGTAGGCAAACAATAATTACAAGCATTTTTATTATGCAAAAGGGTTGTTTTGTGAAGATAGAAAAGACATTTTGATTTTTTTATTTGTTTGTTCATTTATTATTATATATTTTTGGGGGGCTTGCCGATAAAATTTTTAGGGTCGCAGCCTAAAAATAGGGTCGGTCGGGTGACCGGAAACAGAATTATTTTTGTGTGTGGCCTAAGTGGATTATCCAGTGTCTGCATTCATTTTGTGGTCAGTGTTGGTCATCAGTGTAGACACTGCTTCTTGGAAAGTGTGCCATGAGAATAGCAAATTATTAAATTCATATCTGTCAAATGAATATTTCTCGCGACAAGTATGAACAATACATTCACTTCAACATGGCACAGTTACCAGTTCAAAAAAAATCATTGAAATTTACAAAAAAAAATTAAAAAAAATTATGACACATGATGGATTTATGTAATATCAATCCTATCATGAACATGTACACTTACAAGTACATGTACATGTTCAGGTGTAATGCAAGACATAGCGAAAACAGCAGTGCTATGCAGAGCTTGCTAAGCAAGAACAAAAGTTGTTGAATATTCATAGTCAGCTTAGGCAGCTATTGAATATTCAAAATGTTAATGTTCATGTAAAAGCTGTGATCTGGCTCCATGATCTACTAGGCAATGTTGATATCAGATTCAGAATATTCAATAATCGATGTAAATCGGAAATCCAATATGGAGCATATTCGATATCGATTATCCCATGTAAAAGTTAAAGACCGTATAGATTACACTTCGATAAAACAAATCCTAAGTCCCAATTTTCCATGGCTTTCTCTGGAGCATATAGTGCTCAATTTTTACAAATAAATCTCAGTTGTTTGTCCAGTTTGTCCAGAAAAGGCAGTTTCTTTTGAGGATTTACATAGGGGAAGACTGCGAATTCCAGTGAACGCAGAGCACAAAGCGACACCGCTTATGATTTCGCAATGTTTTTATTTTTAGAGTCACAAGCACAAATTGCTGCTGAGTTTTATTTCATTATACAGCAAACACTAAACACAAAGTAAAAGCACACACGGGAGATTTATTTTGACAATAATCTAAATAATATAAATTACATTATTCATTCCGCAATATCAAAAATTGTGATATTTCATATGATTAAAAAATTATTATCAGCGATATCAAAATATTATTGAGAAATATTGATATCGACAGTGCTTAGGCCTATGTACATGTACCAGTACTGTATCAACCTGCATCATGCATGCATTAAACCAGTACCACAGAAGGAAGCCCAGATGTCAGGATTACCACTGCGTATACACAGAAGCAAAGGCGTGGGATGTGACAGTGGGATTTTTTTGTCCAATGATGCCATGCGTATGATGTATTGGTACATTGCCTGCACATGAAATTAGTGTGTGAATTGATTGATGGTGGATCTATTGCAGAAATGACTGTACAGGTGTTTTATTGTGAGAGGCAGTGAAGCTTGCAAATGGCACAGGGGTCTACATGTACATGGACATGTACATGGGTCTGTACATTACATGTATGATGTGTGCATACATGTACATGCACATGTACATGTACATGTAGGTAGGATCATAGAGCTACCGATACATGTACATGTACATGTTTAAACTCAACCAAAAAAGCTAAAGTTCTCAAAAACTACTGGGCACATCTTACTCAAATTACGACTGATCAGTACAGAAATTCCTTAGCAATCCAGTTATACTCTTTATTTGGCCCAAAACAGTGATAATGTGTACAAAATCATTCAATGTATGACAAATGGTACCGGAAAAAAAAGTAGCACTTTTGTATACATGTACATTGTACATGTACTTGCAAGGTGAGTGTGAACCACAACTTGTACATGTACATGTACTGTATATAAGTGCAACTGTTTTCGGTATCATTTGTCATACATATAAATTGCATACATTCGTCAATTTAATTTCTGTACTGATTAGCCATTATTTGAGCGAGAGGTGCTCAGTAGTTTTTGAGTTAGACAAAAAAGTGTTGGGGAGGGGCTTTCTTTTTTGGTCGAGTGTATTTATGCACAATATATAAATGTCAACATGTACATGTGGCAGGGCCAAATTGAACTTGTAGTTTTTACTGTATTGCTTTTAGTGTTTAGGTATAGGTGTAGCTCCCCTGAATAAATCACCCCTTTTTATTAGATGTCCCCTACCCTTTCATAGAAGTGTGTACCCCTGATTAACTTTTCCCTCTTCCCCAGTAACATGACCCCTTAGAACATAGCCCCTTTGATAAGACCCTGTAAGTCCACAGCCCCTCACTTAGCAGACCAGCGGCAGTAGAGAGAGGACTGTGTATTATATATCCACTCTTCCCCTTTTCTTGGGAGCGCCTGCCCTGTGTGTTTATCTGCTCAAGTCACATCCTGGTGAGTTTTATTGTGAAATTGTTGTTCTTTTATATTGTATAATCATGTTTTGAGTTCTAGTGCAGTTTTTGGAAGGTTTTTACTTAGTTATGGTCTAAAGTGTGTTTTTGTCTTTGGAAAGTTTTTGTGAAAGTTTAATTTTGAAGCATTGAGATTTTACTGTTCCATGATGGGTTATGATTTGGATTCTGCACAATTATATTTTCTTTCTTACCTTTTTGACATATATGGAGTAAGGATGAGTATTGTTTTTTTACAGGAGTTAAGTTTCTTTGGCTATAGTTTTACAGGTTGGAAGAATGTTTTTCATGAGTTTACATTTATTGAGTTTTGTTTTATAACTTTTGGTTCCTCTTTGAAAGATGACATGATTTGCTTGGAGAATTGATTTTTGTTGAGAAAGATTCACATTTTACCCCTAGAACATGTAGATTGAATGACTTTTTAGTGTATCTCTACCATTGTTTAAGCTAGGTGGTTTGACTTTCCCACAGATCTAGAGACCCAAGTGTATAAATTCCTTTCTTAGAAGATCACCAGATGTTTATTCATGAATTAGACTTGTCTTAGTCCCACTTCCTTCACTGCACTTTCTTTTATGTTTAAATCCACTTTTACCACCTGTTTACATTGAGGCTTAGTTTGATTGTCTTAGACTGGGTGAAGTCTAATTAGAAGTTATGTGGAACTGATAAGGAACATGGATTAGTACTCATTAGATATTCAGCCAGAAACTGTGATGCCATTGTGTATGTTGGGCATTAGTGACCTTGTGTAACATGCTGTACATAATAGAGTTAGACTGTACTATATAACCAATTTAACTTTCTTTTGATATATTTCTTAATTGTATTCTTTCTTTTCCTGTCTTTTCTTGATTTTTAGGTTTCAGTCAGAGTGCATTTAAGGTCCATTATTTTGACGCTCTGTGTTGGTTTTTCTTTTCGTCTTCTTTAGTTTTTTTAGGTTGGGTTTATTTACTTTTCATTTCCAATTACTTTTTGTTTCCAATTTGATTTTTTTTTCCAAAGTTATTAATTTCTGGTTTTGTTTTCCCAAAAGGTTTTTTTTTTGTCACATTTCAAGGTGTTTTTGTGTGAATGTAAAACTTGCAGTTAATCGTGGATTAAATTGTTTTTTTGTAAAGTTCCATCCCAATTCAGTCTGTCTCTTTTCTTTTTTTTAAATTTGTCCCAGTTTTCTATTAAATTTTTCGCGACTTATCAATTTGAACCAGGCCTTTACAGATATTTTCTTTAGTGAACCGTTTTTCTTCGTTACATTTTTGGTGCCGAAACCCGGGATTGATTATTTTCTTTTGGAAATTAGCCATTTATTTATTCGTTAGCTGGGACATTTTTTTTTTTTCAAAATTCTCCGCCATCTTTTCCCCTAGATTTTTTTTTAAAACAAACCAACACAGAGCTGATTTTTAGTGGATCCTGACAGTGCATGATGGCTGAACCAGCGGTACTGACACCACTTCAGATGTGTGGATTCGATCCAGCGCCAGAAAGCTCCAAACTCATCGATCTTGAGTCATTGCCCAGTGCAGAAACGCAGCCAAGCATGCTGGCAATTCTGCAGCACCAGACGTACATGCAGGAGGTCATCTTGCAGCAGTTCAGACAGATCGACATGCTAAAGTCGATAGTCAGTAGGGTTGTTGGGGAACAACAGCAACAGCGGCAGTATATCCGAAGCCTGGAGGTAGCCCTGTTCGAAAGTACGGCCCAGCGTCCACGAGTTTTCCCCATCCCTACCCCTAAGCCTGACCTGAAGACCACCGAAGTTCCTCCCCGCGAGAATGTGCATACCGATGGTGACGAGTCTGGTGGATGTTCTGACAAGGCACAGAGCTGCAGCGATGAAGGCACGAGTGGCCCACAGCCAAATCTACTGCAGGCCCTGCAGGCCCAGCAGAGCGATGCAGCTATAAAGAGAGTCGTCGAGCTGAAGGAGGCAAGTCCAACTAGGATGAGTAACAGGAAGATGGAGAAGGAGTCCCGAGTAGTGAGGATGCTACTCCATGCATGGGATCGCCTTGAGGTCAAGGGCGGACTCCTGGTCTTCAGAAAAGGCGGAGACAAGCCGCGCTTCCTGGTGGTCCTCCCTCGACAACTGCGAAGGGCAGCATTTCGTAGTCTGCACAGAACCATGGAGACATCGAGCTACGGCAGAGTGCTGAAAGTGGTCCGAGAGCGATATTTCTGGCCAAGTCTCCACAATGAAACAATGGGCTATATGAGACAGCATCGAAAGGGAACACGGCAACTGGAGGTCTTCAATGTCCCACCGCCTCATGAGTTCCGGGATGTGGGCCGAGGACCCTGATGATGGCTTTATTCACATTTTTCTAGTCTAGTTTGTGGATATACTGAAGGTGTCGTTATCAATTGTATATTTTTGTTTATGTTTATTTGTTTGTTTGTTTGTTTTATTCATGTTTAATTGAATCAATTTTTTTAATGCCATTGCTGGGGACAGCAATATTTTAAAGATGGCGTGAGTGTGGCAGGGCCAAATTGAACTTGTAGTTTTTACTGTATTGCTTTTAGTGTTTAGGTATAGGTGTAGCTCCCCTGAATAAATCACCCCTTTTTATTAGATGTCCCCTACCCTTTCATAGAAGTGTGTACCCCTGATTAACTTTTCCCTCTTCCCCAGTAACATGACCCCTTAGAACATAGCCCCTTTGATAAGACCCTGTAAGTCCACAGCCCCTCACTTAGCAGACCAGCGGCAGTAGAGAGAGGACTGTGTATTATATATCCACTCTTCCCCTTTTCTTGGGAGCGCCTGCCCTGTGTGTTTATCTGCTCAAGTCACATCCTGGTGAGTTTTATTGTGAAATTGTTGTTCTTTTATATTGTATAATCATGTTTTGAGTTCTAGTGCAGTTTTTGGAAGGTTTTTACTTAGTTATGGTCTAAAGTGTGTTTTTGTCTTTGGAAAGTTTTTGTGAAAGTTTAATTTTGAAGCATTGAGATTTTACTGTTCCATGATGGGTTATGATTTGGATTCTGCACAATTATATTTTCTTTCTTACCTTTTTGACATATATGGAGTAAGGATGAGTATTGTTTTTTTACAGGAGTTAAGTTTCTTTGGCTATAGTTTTACAGGTTGGAAGAATGTTTTTCATGAGTTTACATTTATTGAGTTTTGTTTTATAACTTTTGGTTCCTCTTTGAAAGATGACATGATTTGCTTGGAGAATTGATTTTTGTTGAGAAAGATTCACATTTTACCCCTAGAACATGTAGATTGAATGACTTTTTAGTGTATCTCTACCATTGTTTAAGCTAGGTGGTTTGACTTTCCCACAGATCTAGAGACCCAAGTGTATAAATTCCTTTCTTAGAAGATCACCAGATGTTTATTCATGAATTAGACTTGTCTTAGTCCCACTTCCTTCACTGCACTTTCTTTTATGTTTAAATCCACTTTTACCACCTGTTTACATTGAGGCTTAGTTTGATTGTCTTAGACTGGGTGAAGTCTAATTAGAAGTTATGTGGAACTGATAAGGAACATGGATTAGTACTCATTAGATATTCAGCCAGAAACTGTGATGCCATTGTGTATGTTGGGCATTAGTGACCTTGTGTAACATGCTGTACATAATAGAGTTAGACTGTACTATATAACCAATTTAACTTTCTTTTGATATATTTCTTAATTGTATTCTTTCTTTTCCTGTCTTTTCTTGATTTTTAGGTTTCAGTCAGAGTGCATTTAAGGTCCATTATTTTGACGCTCTGTGTTGGTTTTTCTTTTCGTCTTCTTTAGTTTTTTTAGGTTGGGTTTATTTACTTTTCATTTCCAATTACTTTTTGTTTCCAATTTGATTTTTTTTTCCAAAGTTATTAATTTCTGGTTTTGTTTTCCCAAAAGGTTTTTTTTTTGTCACATTTCAAGGTGTTTTTGTGTGAATGTAAAACTTGCAGTTAATCGTGGATTAAATTGTTTTTTTGTAAAGTTCCATCCCAATTCAGTCTGTCTCTTTTCTTTTTTTTAAATTTGTCCCAGTTTTCTATTAAATTTTTCGCGACTTATCAATTTGAACCAGGCCTTTACAGATATTTTCTTTAGTGAACCGTTTTTCTTCGTTACATACATCACTGCTATTTTTTGTCCATGTTCATGAATATAAAATAAGCAAGGTCTACATATGTAGACTCTTCATCGTTTCATGGCTAGTCTACACTACTGACACGTAAGTTCGTAACTGTCCTTCCAACTAAATTGTTTATGTAGCTTGTACATGTACTTCCTTCTAGGAAAACAAATAAATAAACCGTACCTCAAACCTATGACCTGCACACAATAGAATGAGCAAAGTTGGCGATATTGTGCTGACAAAGGTACTGCAATGTTTCCAGACCTGTATTATTCAAAATATGCTGCATGTTAGCAATCATCATACATGTACATGTACATGTACATGTACGTGTACATCCTCTACACGAGCTACAAGGAAATAGTCTGTCAAGTGTCAGAGGCCAAACAAAACACCTACCGATAGTACAGTGAGAGCTGAAACCCCATTGATTCATACTCGGTATACTTTGTAGTTTTCCTGTTCCTGCTACCACTAAACTGCTGTTACATTTACAGATAATTTGTATCATTCAAAATGAGTTCAAATTATTCTCATTTGTTGGGTCCTAGTACATGTAGTTGGCTTTACATACATGAACCGGTAATCGCTCATGAACATACAATTCTCTGCCAGATGTAATAGTAATAGGGAAAGGGAAAAAAGGTTTACCCTAAATTTATTACAATGACCTACATCATGTACAATGTACATGTACATGTACATGTATCACCAAACATGATGATTTCCTTCTGGAAATGTGTATGTGTACCGGTATCTGATTTCCTTTGTTGTTGTTGGGTTTTTTTTTTTTGGGGGGGTTTAAGATTTCTCTAAAACGGCATTAGATACATTGTATGTTTACTTTGCTCAGAAATTTTGAACGCATTAAAAACAGATTGAGTTTCATGAACATACATGTACATGTATGGTATACATGTACCGGTACGTATACATTGTACATGTACATGTATCGGGATGTGTATTCTCAAGACGAGTGGCCTTTAAGCTGATCATTTGTCAGACTTCTGCAAATTGTTTTCTTTTTCTCGCTCGTATGCCAAGTCTTTGTGACATTCAGTGTATTTGGAGTGTCAACATTTCCAAGTGCTACTAGTGTGCAGTGATTTATTTTTTTTGATGCAAGGAATGCATACCTGGTGTGATTGATGAGATTCAATTTGTTCATTAATTTTTTTAAGACTTGAGGAGTCAAGTGAAATACAGAAGGAGATTTTACTGACATGTTGAGATCTACATGCACATCATGTACTTGTACATGTACATGTACATGTACGTGTACAGTATTATTTCAGAGCCCAATTTTTTAGCTACCGGTAGGTACATGTATTTGCACAGCATAAAATTGCATTGCATCAGTGTGCATACATGTACATGTACATTGCACCAGTACATACTGGCACTTTCTATGACCATGGAGCAAGGAAAATGACCAAATATAAAAATATGGTAATATACCGGTCGTTTTAATGTAGCATACATGGTCATGTGCATGCGCATAGTACATGTACCATATGAACATGCACAACTTTTTTGACATCCACAAGTCTTGGCTCAGTCTGCATCCAGTGAATACTCAAGCGGCATGTACTGGTTCATGTGTCTTTCCATTGCACATGATGATGTCTCTGACTCATCATGGCTCCTGGATGGGCAAGAACATTGCATGAATTACATTACCGGTACCGTACCAGTACACGTGGACTTGTGAAAGTATGTGCATGTATCGGGTACATGTCTTCTTCACAGCCTGTTTATCATTGAAAGAAACAAAAAATGCAGTCTTTCAACTGTAACAGAAATTTTGTGATATTCTTTGTAAAAAAAATTTGGATTATTTGTTACCTGACAATAACAAGACACAATTAGGGTAGTTGGTGGAATTCCATGGATTTACAAATGTACTTTCCTAAAATACATACACTGTACAACTGCCGTACGGTTGTAAGTCACACATTTACAATAATATCAGTGTCTTGACTCTTTACTAATGATGGGGTCAAGGTCCCCCCCCCCCCATCCACAAACAAAAGATTGACAAGGAAAATGAAACTGCAACATTGTTTTTTCTCTCTCTGTGATTGTAGGATTATCCATGAAGAAGGCTATTCTGAGGAAGATTGTAAGCAGTACAAGCCAGTGGTTTACAGCAACACCATACAGAGTATGATAGCTATCATTCGAGCCATGGGCTCCCTCAAAGTAGACTTTGGCGACGGTGACAGAACGGTAGGTTACCCCCTCCTTCACGTCAAACTCCTCAAGATGAGTTGGATTGAACCAAAGACTTAATAATTAAAGCCACTCCCTAGAGAGCAAGCGAAGCGTACAATCTAAAGAATAAAGCTTGCAAGAAATGTATGCATTTATTCATCATGCTCTTTAATTAAAGCTCCTTTGAAAGCTTGTATTGATCAATAAATAATGTTACGAGTTGGCACATTGTAATTTGCACCGGTACATGTGCACATGTACACGTACCGAACTTAAGCATTATTAATTTTATGTACAGAGCCTGGTACCTACATTGTACATGTACACGTATGCATGAACTGAAAGCACTAGTCCTGTGCCAGCATTGTATACACATTAGTTCCGCAGGATTGGTTTAATTCAAGTCTGGCGTGGCTGAAACCTCATTTAATGCTGGTTTATATTAACACAGTCTGCTGTTTGAATATACATGTCCAAATGAATAAAATAATAACAGCTTTCTTTTGATTAATGGACTTCTCCCCATCTGTACCGGGTACATTAATTTCAAATCTACTATTTTCATTTTCACTTTTAAAAAGTGTCACATCAATAATTGCACAGAACAGCAGGATAAAACTGATCGCAGGAAACTGATGTATTATTCTTTAAAATGAAATGTCGGAAGCAGCAAGAGCAACCAACTCAAAACAAAGCATTCAATGGCACAGTTGGTTTATGATTGTTTTTTTAGTCTGCAGAGTTGCACAAGGATCTTTCAGTTTAAGTATACAAGATAGCCTGAAGGTTGAAGCTCTGCAAACTCTAAACAATGTGATTTGCTAGTGTCATTACAGTCTATCAGAGTCCATGTACTGGATATGTGTACCGTAGGTTTAGCAAGTGAAATGTATGATTATGACTGACTGGTCCGAAGCCCACTGAATGCATGTCTCATATCGGTATGAAGGCTGGAAACCAATGCTCAAAACACACATGAAAACAATCCAGGTTGCTCAAATAACATTAAACAAGCGCTGTTAGTGCAAATATTTCAATAACTCCCAATTTAATTATCCAGTCCTGTTCCATTTGTCATTCTTATAGATTTTTTCATCACTCATGTTTTTCCTCCCAATCCATGCCCCGTTTGTTTCCTGGTCTAGGATGACGCACGGCAGTTGTTTGCCCTGGCTGGCCAGGCAGAGGAAGGTGAACTGAGCCCGGAATTGGCAGCTGTCATGAAGCGGTTATGGGCTGATGGAGGCGTCCAAGGTTGCTTCAGTAGATCCAGGGAGTATCAACTCAACGATTCCGCCTCATAGTGAGTAGGATTCATGGAAGTACACAATAAGATCCACATTTACAACTTGAGTTAATTGATTGGTTCACAGGAGTTTCTATCATTGGCATTGCAGATGTATAAACTGCTATCCACTTTTCATCTGATAGTCTTAAAAAAGAAATACATAAATTATAACCACAATTTAAACGATTGTCCTCTGTTTTAATTGGTGTCGTCACGTTATCACTCAAATGTTTCGATATTTATTGTCATATCGGAAGCTTACCAATAGTATCCAGCACCTGAGGAACATAGATAAATTCAGATGGGAAATAATCAAAATTGGTACACGTACAATTCATAAGACTACAATTTTAGAGTATGTAAAACATATTTCCCATAAACAAAAAAAACCACCAAATTATCTTATTACCAGGCCCTCAAAAACAAAATTTGCCACGTGTTGGTGGTGTTTCATACAATGTACATACATACGGGAAAAACAGTTCCAGTTAAAAAAAAAAACAACTTCATTGAACCAAAGACTTTATTAAGCAGGATATCTTGTGTTCCAAACAGGTCTACAATAATGAGAGCCTATGGGGATTATACAATGCCACAAATCTTAAAATAGATGCATTAAAAGCTACTGGTAGGTTGTTGTGCAAGATTTCTTGTTTGCAAAAACAGGACAGAGAACATGCAGAAATATTGTACATGTAAATCAACACTTTTTGCACAGCAGTTCCTTGACATTCATTTCAGAATCACAAGTACGATCTAAACCTATTGTTACAGAAAGCTGATACATTGTACATGCACACATGCATACATAATGGTACATTGTTTTGCTTGAGACAACACGCTGGTTTATTGGCTTGTATGTCTTAGAGCATTGTTTTAATTCCATATATTTCAGACAATTCTGTATGCAAAGTGTTAATCAGATATAGTAAAACGCTGTTATAACAAACACATCTACATACCGAACAGTCATTTGTAGACTCCATTGTGATGTTACGACAATGTTTTACGTACATTGTATTATGTGCAGCAAGCTCATTAATTTGTACATCAGTTTCAATTTCCAGACAATTATTTGAACATCAACCTAACCTCTGTACCCATTCAGTTATGAATAATTACCAACTGCTTTTCACCTCTGCAGTTACCTTAACGCTTTGGACCGACTTGCAGCCCCAGGCTACATCCCAACACAGCAAGATGTACTCCGAACAAGAGTCAAGACTACTGGTATCGTGGAAACTCACTTCACTTTCAAAGACCTTCACTTCAAGTAAGTTGCTCCATGCTGGGCTTGTATTGAGGGCAGTGTGTCTGTTTTGTGTCTTGTATGTCAACGCTAAGTGGGAATAGGTCCTTTGCAATGCTGCCATCTTTGAGAAACGTTTTGTTCTACAGGGATAGATACATTGTAGACCTTTTGTTCTTCATTTTGTTACTTGATTAAAACACAAAAAAATATTGCCCTCTTGGGCTGCAGCTCAATCCACATGGGTCTGGGAATGATAGCCATGCAGTTTACCTCATGCATAGTGCATGCAACACTGCATAAACTATTGGCAATTCCTAATGCATTGCGCCACCAATAGGTTGCCCTCGAGAGTTTACGTTCCACAACAACATGGCCGCCTTGCCGTGATACCATCTTGATAAAAAGAAAAGGAAAAAAGATACTCAATCATTAATGCGCTTACGAAGCTACTGACAGGACAAGCAATTTCAAGTGTCCTATGCTGTAAATGTGTCGACCGTCTCCCACAATGCATAGCGAAAAATGGACTCTCCATGGCAACCTCTTGGTGGCGCACTGCATTGGGAATCGCTCGTAATGACCCAGCTTAAAACAAATGCTAATCACTAATAATTCTTTGCTTGGCAAACACAGGGTTCCAGTCAAAATCGTATTCAATGTGGGTTGTCACTAGTTCTCAGCTAATTCATGTTTAGCACATCAGTGTGCCAGTGATTACTTTGCCCCAAAAGTCTCCATATCTTCCGTGTTTCTTGATGACTGTCTTGGTTTGTTTATAGGATGTTTGATGTGGGAGGACAGCGTTCAGAGAGGAAGAAATGGATTCATTGCTTTGAAGGAGTGACAGCAATCATCTTCTGTGTGGCTCTGAGTGCCTACGATCTGGTCCTAGCTGAAGATGAAGAAATGGTGAGTAGCTCGCAGCGGTTCAATTCTCTACAAGACATTTCTACAAGTTATGGTACGATGTGGTTCTACGTTTTCTAGACTTCAGGATGGTTTGAGGAGTGATGTGGTGGTAAATTGGGTACAGAAATGAGTATACATGTGTAGGACAATAAATATCTGAAGCCTTCTTTTGCCAAGTTTAAGCCCGGTTTATACTTCACGTGAAAGCGAAGCGAAATTTGTGATCTGCCCATTGCTACCTGTAGCGCCCAAACCGCCTGAGCGCACTATGGTTTTATGGAGTCATCAGTGAATTAACACAATGTAACACAATGTAGTAGTTTGTAATGTGTTACTTAAAGAACGACTGTCGAATGCGTCAATCTACATCTTTTAGTAATGGTCACGGTTTATTCATTGGAAACTTTTGTTAAGTTACATCTGCCTTTTTGTTGTGTTTCAGAACCGCATGCATGAGTCTATGAAGCTATTTGACTCCATCTGCAATAATAAGTGGTTCACTGAGACCTCCATCATCCTGTTCCTCAACAAGAAGGATTTGTTTGAGGAGAAGATCACCAAGTCACCACTCACCATCTGTTTCCCGGAGTACACTGGTAAGGAAATAAGACCAGTATTGCCTGGCCAAGATGGACCGGAAAGTATAGGACATTATTTATACTCAGTCAGTCAGACAGACAGACAGTCAGTGAGTCAATCAGTCAGAGGGCAGTTCACTAGCATTGTTTGCTTTGATCTTTTCATAAGTGATTTCTTAAACTTGTCTCCATCTTCTTTCAGGCTCCAACACATACGAGGAAGCAGCGGCCTACATTCAGATGCAGTTTGAGGATCTGAACAAGCGTAAGGATCAGAAGGAGATCTATACTCACTTCACATGTGCCACAGACACCAACAACATCCAGTTTGTCTTTGATGCTGTCACTGATGTCATCATTAAGAACAATCTCAAGGATTGCGGTCTATTTTAAACCAGATTGTAAGTATAAACCAGATATTTTAAACTAATTGAAAGTATAAAGCATGTATTTTAAACCAGATGTTATAAACCAAATTGTAAGTATAAACCAGATATTTTAAACCAAATTGTAAGTATAAACCAGGTATTTTAAAGGGAAATACAACATTTGCAAACATCAAAAAACAAAACTACTAAATTATTATGGAATACCTTACTAGACTGTTAGTGAATGACAGTCTAAAGCATCCCGTAAAATCATGGCACCTGGTGTGCTGTCATTTTCAAGAAAACTGGTATTTTTGTATCGATTTCTAACGCTGGTCGGCCGTCCAGCGTTGGTTAAAAAACCTGGATTTTTTTTCAAATATTACCCCCAATTTACCATATTTAGTTAGTCCGCATTTTGTTTGCAATCGATTACACACCTATCAACAGGTACAAGCCAGCTAGACTGGTTCCCTGACCTTACTATTCCTTGACATCTAAAATTGCTCTGTTATATCTTAATAAGGGTTAGGGAACCAGACTACAGGAACATGATTGTTTTTCTTGGTTTTCCAGCATCTAAGAACACAAAACTTCAAACAAGTCAGTGTAACAATATGTGCTACATAATGCTAACCCCCAAATCCATCTATTTCTGAAAATTACAGCAGAAACAGATGATGTATATTCCCTTTGAACATAATTTAATGTATTTTTGTGTGTGTTTTGTTTTTTACCAGAAAGCTTAGCCGGGGGTACCATGCCTGATGAAGGAAGCATTTGAAGCATGATTAAATCCATGATAGGTTTGAAGGACAGTTGACTGGTCTAGCTACGGCCAATCACTCAGATATGCACCAAGCATTGGCTTTGTCAACACACACGTTCATGCATTACTACGGAACCAGTCTACTGGGGCGTGTCAGTGTTCGACTGTTGTCATGGTTATAAGCTAAGGTGAACAGTGTAAGACATTCTCTAGGGGATCTGGAATTTAAAAAGGGAGTAACTTGTAAACAAATTCATTGACTGCACAATCATAGTTTTGTAAGTGGACTTGTAGTAAACTGTGGAGCCGATTGGTTTTTCTTTTAAATGCTTTAAGATGCTGTTTTCTTCTATCACGTTAATGCTTGTTGTATTTGCACGGATTATGTACAAAATGAATGAGTACCAACTTGAGCATGTGGCCACCGTCTTAGGACATACACCTGCTTAATTGATGGAGTATAATCACTCACGAATTGAATTTATTATTCCCATGTATATTTGACAATAACAGGTGTATTGAGAATCATAGTGTGGATTGTTCATGTGTAGCCTGGGTGGGGGGGGGACAAAAGGTCAAGTAGCAGTGTACAAAGCAAAGTCATTTCCAGTTGGGCCGACAAGAGTTGATAAATATAAAACGAGGAAAATATGACTCGTTTTAAGCACTGTCAAAAAACTATGAAAATATAAAAATCTAAAACCCTGAATATTGATACTCCAGATTCTTCGGACTACATGTACAAATTGGATGCCTTTTTATTTAACATACATGCAGATGAGATGCATTTTGTTACCCCCAAAAAATCCCTTTTAAGAGCTTTCTTAATAACAAGATAGATAAAACTGGCCCCAAAAAAGGTTTTCCATATTAACAATTTCTTGCAATGGATATGAAAAACACATTTTTTTTTCTTCTCGATATTGCATCTCAATTTGTTCTTAAAGTTTGTAGGCCCTAGAGAAGAATGTAAGTAAATTAAAAAAAAAAATTAAATTTGCTTCACCTATGTATAATTTGAATTGTGCATGTAGAAAAATCATTAAACATAATGTTTATTTGCATAAGATTATTACATGGTTTTAAGTCATTACTCATTTATTGTTAAAGTAATGTTTAATTGTTTAAAACTGCAACCCTTTTAAAAGAATGATTGTGTATAGTTGAAAACAAAAGAGTATTAATGAAGAAAGGACCAGTTTATGATGTAAATGTAAAATCGTACACAAATAGAAATGCACTCTCTTGCTTTGAAACAAAATTATTTTATTGAAACATAATTGTTGTTTCCTTCATTTTTGAATTGCTTTTAATTGATAAAGAACACTTCAATCAAAATTGGGTTGTTTTCTTTTGGATGTAAAGTGTTTCAGAGCAGATCATGACTTTTGTTTTTGAGATTAAAGTGCATGTCATGTACAGACAAATTTTAGGATTTATTCCGTCAGCTTAGGGAAAAAAATCTTGTGTCCTAGAAACTTCAAGTGAAGATTGTGATGTTGGTGGCACTATGTATTTTCACAACGTAGACTTTTTTACTGAGCCCACTATGTGTGCGCCTGTGATTTCGTGAAGAACAGAACATTTCTTGGAAGTTTGCACTTTTAAAACGTAAATCCTGAAATTTGTGTAATATTAAAATAAATAACTATTACGTGTTGACTGTATATGAGTGCCTATTGGTCCCCATTGTAGTTTAAAAAAAAAAATACCAAAAAAAAAATACACCAGAAAAGCTGAAAAAATATTTTGAGATTAAAATGAGTTAGAAATGGTACACTAAGAGATGTTAGTGTAAATACTACAGCAGAACGGACAATTGACTTCATGTACTTGGTAGGGCAATGGTCATGTTTGGAGTCAGGAAATGAAGTAGAGTTATTGTGATAATGGTGCAGTGTATGTACATGTAGATGTAACTGATGTAGTGCTAGCTTGCTTAGAGATACAAGCCGCCGCCTTCATCCAATGTTTGAATCTTTCATCTTTGTTTTGTGCCCTCTTTGAGTCACTTATGTACAGCACAAAGTGTTAGCAAATCACAGCTAAGTTGCGGCCCCATTGTCTGAATTTATTTGAAAATGATTTTTATTCCCCATTTTTTTTTGTCTGTGTGTGGTTACCAATGTAATATATATGAACCCCGTAGTGTGTTAAAGCCATTTCATTTACAATGTGACTTGCAAGGAATGCCCATCCGTGTACTCATTAAAATTACGTTTAATTAACAAAAGTATAAGTCTGTTTTGTTTTTCTAAATGTATATTTCAAAAATTATCCCACACGTGTAAATGTATGTCATTTATAATCAGATTTTTTTTGTGGATTATGTTCATCATCGTCATGGTAACGTAAACTTGCTTTAAGGTGCAAGATTATACTAGTTGATAGCATTAAAGTCATTATTAGCTTAAACAAAAAAAGTGACATTGCATTTAATAACAACATTTTATTGATGTGAATATCAAATATATAAAAAAAAAATGTGTGGTCCAAAGTAAACTCTTAAAATATCAGGACAATTTTTAAATTAATAAAAATATCCTTTCAGGATAAAAATGTGTTAGGGTAGTACCAAGATAAATTGGGCTTTCACACATCCGTTGGCATAGTAACAGTATGTTTTTGAATGCTGTTTATTTGCTTAAATTATAGCAGCAGAAACACTCCTCAATACATGTAAGCAGACCACTGCTGTTGCTGGTCAAGCGAAGATCAAAATAGCCAGGTGGCTTGTCGGAACTTTCCGACATACAATCTGCTTCAAGGAACTTTGACCCAACATCTAAATCAGTCCGACCTATTCCATTTGCGAGGACAATTAAATTTTTTAAGCCATTGCCAACAAAAATGAAGTGTCTCATTGGCTGACTAGTGGTCTGAATTGGTGTGTTTAGTGTTGAAGTCAATTTTCACGAAAAATAATTGATTGCCTCACAAAATCCGCATGGCTGAGTAGATTGGTTTGGTCAGACTCACAGCTGTGACTTGCAAATCTTACATTGTGTAGTTCACAGCAAGGGCATAAATGACGCTACAACAGTCCACGACGCCAATGAGCCATTTCATATTGGTGAAGTTGACCAATACACATGCACATAGATCAAAGTGCCTGGTAACACCATATCCACTTCAGCTAGAGGGGTAAAAACCAGCAGACACTAGTCCTGCTGTTCAAAGTGTCGAATACTATTGTTTGGAAAAACCTGGAGTAATTTGCTCGACTTCTTTCTTTCAGTTTCTGTGTATGACACATTTATTGTACATGTAATTCATCTTTGATTATGTAAAACAAATATTATGGTTCATAAAATATCTTTCACTTTAGATGTATTGTTGATGAAGTACATGTAGTGTCAGGCAACAGACCAAACAAAGGAAGGGGGAAATTGAAATTGCATGGATAGGTCCCTCAAAGAAATTTCATTGATGTCAGTTTTTTTATGTATGAATCTCTGGTTAGCATCGAAACTACCAGACTATACACGCAGTATTTTTAAATTAATCTGACATTTCATTATGGACCAATATTGAACTACATCGAGTAGAATAAACAGTTTATTCTCGGCAAACTTTGTTGGGGATTCTCACATTGTGGCCAACAAGAATAGCAGCCATTTTAGCACCGTTTAAACCAGAATTCCGGTTTATAGAACCGGTTTCATAAAAATGGAATCCATGATTTGTTACATTTAAAATGTAAATTAACTGTTCATTATTGAAGAAGTACATGTATAACACAGGCTGCCATAAACATATGAACAGGTTTCAATCCATTTTGAATTCCTTTTCCCACCTGCATGTATGTAATTTACTGGAATTTGGGAGTAAAAATTCCCCTGCAAAGCTCGATGTAATTTTGTTTAAAACTAAGATGTATCTTACAAATTGCTTATCCATCTCTTTTAACCAAAAAAAAAAAAACCAAGTCATTAAGGACTTGATCAGGAATCTTTGTAATTAACTGCAGTTATAAAAGCCTGTCCGTTATAGTCTTGTTTAATATGATCACGTAATTTGTCAATTTGTGAAGAAAAACAAGTGTAGCAGTAGAACATTTCAAATACAATGGAACCACATACAACCTGTGTACAACTGTGTCTTTATTCTGTGTCAAGCGTTCTCTTATCAAGCCTGGGCACATGTAGGTAGAACTAGAGAGTTTTGTTTTGAAATGCCCGTCTCTCATTTATGACGATCCTAAATTCACTTCACGACCTTCATCTCCAACAATAACTGTTGATGACAAATCAAAACAACTGCAGCTATTTCCTGTGAAATGTTGTGAATATGCGCACACTGTCGCTCAAGAATATTTGAAATTACACACAGTTGGTCATTACAGATATCGTTCTGTGTTACATGTATTTCAATTCTAGCTTTTTGAATACTCCACAGTGTACATGTTCATGTAGTGTTCACATTTTACACACAAATGATAATTATTTTCAGAAAAAGAACCAGTAGAGAAAATAGTAATTACTAAGCCATTTTACGATGTCAAATGATAATGCCATGGTTAGTGATTAACAACGGTTCTAATGTCTACATAGGCCATAGTCTCGGTTTTGCAATTACCAATTCAGCATGGTGGTTAATGCCAAACAAATCACGTGTACATCAGCACAAAATGAATTCATTGTCGACTCCAAGTCCTCAACTAGCAACTGTAGTTTTGTGATGGAATAATTACCACAGTTTTTTTTAATAACTTTCGGAGCTAACAGACATTAAAGACAAAAATTCCCCTGACGATAACAAAATGGACAAGTACCAGCAAAAAAACACTAACCATTTAGCAGAAATAATGAATTCACTGAATTATGCAGGTATATAGGCCTACAGTGTAAGAATACCACTTTATGCTTGTGCAATACATTCATACTAGGCTTGGAACGTGCCCCATTACTGTATTGACAATGACCTGGGAAAAAAGAAGCAATCGTGCACGTGAGAGTGCCATGGAAATGTGTCCTTATGAATACTGTATGGTTGGTTGTTTTGTCCTGGGCAATGTACTAATAGGCGTTATTCCTGAACCCATGAGGGCGCTGTCATGATGCTATTTGGGTTATAATTGGATGTGTAGCCAATGTTAGTGACATAAGTTACATGTTGCTTCAATTCACACATTACATGTTTACAATCTTTAATTTTTAGTTTGAAGTAAAAGTACTTAACTGTGTGCGCGTGTGCAGTGTGCAAAATGTTGCTCAAAATTGCTTCGAAATATGGCGTAGCCGATGTACGTCACGAAAATTTGACTCCCAAAATGCCGATGCACGTGACAATGTGTAGGATGTGACATCATTTGAGAGAGACCTATTTGTACCCTTCCTGCCCATCAATCAAACAGTGCACATTGACCAATTAGATCACGACTTTTCGTCAGGTGACTGCGGTGGGCGGGGCTTATGGCCGAATCCTGAACAGCCCATTACCGTTGCTATACACCATCATTCATTATGTTCTCTTGCACTTCTTGACTGTACAGGCCAAGTCGTTGCAATGCCTCAATGAAGTAGCCAGGGGGTGCGGCTTTGATCGAGACATCCTTCTTATTCCGCCATGACGGGAGGGTGACTTGGTACCAGTGAAGAAACAACGGTAACCGTGCCATGTGCCATGCTCTCAAACCAAGCGCTTTCTGTATGGCTGCTGGGATGTTCTGCAACGGAACACATAAAATTTTTAGTCATAATAACACACTGAACTAAGAGATTTTAAACAGATTGAAAAAAATAAACCTGGTCCCCTAAACATGCCAAATTCAGAGGACTGGGAGAAGAGTTGAGAGGTTGACAACAATTTGTAAATATTTTTACAAATAAAAAACTCCCCAAACAATATCTAAAATATCTGTAAACATTTGAAAATTGTCCAAAATTCCTAAGGGATTGTGGATTGTGTATTCAGCTGAAAATTGTCTGTGATACTCAATGCAAATATCCTACATGAATTAATGGCTATGTCAAGTTTTAATGACTATGACTATTAGTTATAGCTGAGTGCAGATAGCCACAGCCACTTAGTTCAGATCTTTCTTAGAGACTTCACGGCTAATTACCCTCACAGGGTCTGCCAAGTTGGCAATTATACAGATTCAGTTAAAAATTCATCGCGTCATGGGAACACTACGATACTAAAAATAAAATCTTGTCCTTCCTCTGATGATTAATATTTGATTCAGGAAATCTGATTCTATTTTGTTTCTCTTTGTACGTATAGCTTTTAAAATGAAAAAAAAATAATAATATAAGCAGATGAAATTATAATGTGTAGACAGAGAACTTGTAAATTAGAAATAGAATACGTAAAGATGGTTAATGCATTTTTAAAAAATACCCTATTATGTTCAAACAGTGTGATAGCTACTTTCACACTAGAATTTTTATTTTTATAAAGAAAAGAAGAAAAGCACAACCTTTTTTTTCATTATGCACTCAAAGGGTTAAACCATACGGTTTCAAAACCCACAACCGTTTTTTCCTTTTATGGGCTCCATGCACATTAATTCCAATGCATGTGCCAAGGACGTCCGACGCTCTGCGAAGCTGTTATGGGGATTGTGTACACTCAGAATAAAATCAGTTTTGCGTAATTCGCACTATACGCGCCTCAATAAGTACATGTATGAGCAAGCGGTTAGTCTCGTCCACGGGGCTCTAAAACGTGGTACACAAGCGCCCTCTATTGTTTGCGCACAGAGCCATAATGAGCAGGGACAAACAACAAGGCGGGCATGACTGTCACTTTGACTAACTGACCAATCGCCGTTTGCGAGTAAGCCACGCCCCTTAGACAACCCTATTTTGGAGTTTTGTATATTAAGTTTGGTTTGTCTCAGATTTTGCGCGTTTCGTGTCCATTTCTATATAATATATTCTATTTCTATATAATATATTCTATTCTATGTAATTGGACAATATTTCACAAGCTGCGTTGACAAGATTCTACCGCGATAGGTCAATAGAGCACCTTTACATGTACATGTATGTGTGTCTTTTGGCTGGTTCCCATCTCACCTGTGTCCCTATGGCTGCCTGGTGTGGATCCACCAAGACTGGTACCCCGAGGATATCTTGGATCTGATTGGAGTACAATCGGTCGCCAAGGATACTGCAAAGCTTGTTGCTAAGATGCACTTGAAACTGTAATTTCTGCACTGTCATAATAAAAAACATGAACAAAACATGAGAAGTTGTTTGGGCCAAGAAAGGAAAAACTCCTCCAGATGCCTCCACAGTAATTTTGGAAAATTTTGGAGGCCAATGGCAAACGTTAATAGCTTGGTGTCCTAATGATGTCATTTATTTTATAATTAATCTTCTCGAGACATTTCTTGCCTTTGATATCCTTGGCAGAGTTGGCGGTAATTGGTAGCTTAAAGGTATGACATCTGAAAGTAGCAAGTATATCGAACATTTTCCTTATTGTGCGTTCTTATCAGACACACTTAAAAATCATCAACTTTAACGCATTTATTATTCAGCACCCACGTTTCAGTGGCTGTAGTTCCAGTAGGGAGCAGTTTAAGTCTTGATTGGCTGACAATAACTGGTAGTCCGTCCTGCAGGGAACCACATCCTTGTGTTCAAAGTTGCCCTTAGATGCATGTCTTCTGGGTAGCATCTGACAAACACATGATGAAAGTGAATTAAAAGTTGAAAGCAAATTAATGGGTACATTGTACATCATCGTATTTATCCTCAAGCAAACTTGACACACTGCAGTAAAGTTGGAAGTACGGTACCTGTAGCACGTTTTACAAAAAAAACTTTTAGTGGTTTAGCACACGCAGCTGGAATGTCGCCCGCATCTTGGAATAGCGCAATGCGCAGAGCACGATATGGACCGTGTGATACAGTATATCACACTGTTGTTGCCATGGATCGACCAATCAGGATCAAGGAATCAAGTTTGCTTGAAAAGAATTACTCAAATACCCACTCAAAATAAATTTTCGGGATTTTTTTCCCAAATAATTCTGACTCACCAATGTGTGATCTCCAATCTTCTCTGAACCGATTGGAATGTCAATGGTTCCTGTAAGGAAATCAAAACAAGGACAACGAAAAAGGAAATAAAACTGCACTAATCCTCAAAAGTATTTCAATTTTACAATTGAACGAAGATATTGATGACTGGCGCGGGGTTCGAACCTGCGACCTCCGGATTACCGTTCTGGTGCTCTACCAACTGAGCTATCCAGCCCTATGTTGGCGGTACCCCAGTTTGTCAATGTCTTTGTTCAAGAGCACTAGTCAGAAGCCATCAACTTGAAAAACTTAAACATTTCATCAATCGAAATCGAAAGACTAGGTAATGAAGTTACCTTGAACTGGTGATGGTATCCCAACAGTCAGAGCCCTAAAAGTACACAAGAGACATTATTATTTTTAATGATAGTTTATTCAATCTCAAACATTTCAAGGCCATCCCTGATTTGATCTGGGCATATATTTTATTGATCGTTGCCTGGTAACCATGCTTTCTACCCACTACCCATACCATGTATGTCTATGAGTAAACCAGCCAGCATCCAGCTTGGTGGTCGAGTGGTAAGACCTCTGCACTAGCAAGCAGGAGGTCGTGGGTTTGAGTTTCACCAAGCAACTTTTGAATGTTTCTGACAAGCACTCCTGCACTGAGTATACATTGCTAATTAAATATACATTGGTAAAGGGCAAACGCAAGTATTCAAATTGAAATGGAAAGTACTCTGAATACTCATATATATTCGGTCAGTCTGTGATGAATCTGTAAGCACACAAAAGTTCAGAAATCTTGTTGATAAGCGACGTTATGACAGATTGCCTTTTCTTACCAGTATTTCCTAATGAGTTGATTTCTACGTCGTGCCTTCAGGAATGTATCATTTAAAGCTGTGGCTGTCTGCTTGCATTCACCTAGAAGGAGGAGCCCTGAGGAGTATCTATCAGAAGGAAAGGAAACATGTAAATACGCTAAATAGTATCTATTGAAGAAGTTCTATAGCAATTAAGTGTTTCAGGCAGACCCTCACTAACTTGAGTCGAGTCGAGTCGAATCAGTAGGTCACTAAGGTTGAGCCTCTGACACAATTCAAGTCTGAAATTGATAAGAGACTCGGGTTGAGTCGAGTCATTTACCAGCTATGACAACTCAAATCAGAGCCTTGGGAGGGGCAGAAAGAGGTTTGGGAAGGAGGTAGGGGATGGGATAACATTATGGAGCAAAATGTGGCTTGCAAGTTGGAAGCTTGCAGCATGCTTGCAGGTTAGCATGTAGGTTAGCATGCCAGCGAGATTTGCTGCAAGCTTGCAATCATTCCAAATATGTCAAATTAGGGCAAGCTTGCATGGAAAGGTTGCAGCAAGCTTGCATGCTACCTGCAAAATTTTAGGGCAAGCTTGCAGACGGCTTCCAGAAAGCTTGCAGTTAAGCTTGCATGACAAGCTTGCCGCAAGCTCTCAGGCAAACTTTTTGCTTGGTCTAACGGTAAGCCCTGCAAATCAATTCTACACTGATTGCTGAGCCATGGAATTAGTTTCTTTTTTTTTTCACTCACCTATCAGCAGCTTTTGCAATCTCCGCTGCTGGTTTGCCGATAGATTCAGCTACTTGCGGGAGGATATCAGCAATATTTCCGCGATCTTGACTGGTCCCCGTCACTGGGACACCAGCTGGTTTGTTCAAGGCAATGATGCCATCTGATTGAAAGTAAATGAAGGGGAAAATTGTATCACCTTAACATTTCTGATGGAAATTGTTGTTCTCTTTTAGCCGTTAATCTTATTTTGAAAACTAAGTTCAGCCTTCTACATGTAATTGTTCCAACGACTTGGACCTATCCTTTTTCAAATCAACGCTGTGGGTGCAGAAAAGAATATGGTCCAAGGAATTTTTGTTTGTTAGACTCTGCATAAGCAGCTGGAATTTTAAATGTGGAATTTGCAGGGTGATGGTCATTAATTGTCTTAGGGAGTAGACTAACCGAATGGTTTTTGGACTTTATTTCCTTTTTAAAAATATCCTCCAAAGCCACTGAATTCAAAGAAGAAATTGAACTGTACCTAAATAAAAGGAATGATTGGGTTACAAATACTTCTAGAATTAGAAGGCTTCTCTCCGTCAGCTGACGGAGAGAAGCCTTCTACATTTTTTATTGTAATTCTAGAAGTAGGTTACAAATATCAAATCAAAGTAAAGAAACCTATTGAAAGAAAAAAGCAAGAAATTAATTGAGCCACGATCGAACCAGCACCCTTCTGCATTGTAGCTGAGCATTTATCCCGAGCGAGCTACCGAAAGAGTTCTGGTTTGTCCGGCCGTTTATCTGATAATGAATATGCATGTACAGTCACATCAGCATTGGACAAAGCAAATGTTGGAGCTGGAATTGGAATTACTCAAGCTACCATGGCTACAGTCGCATTGCCATGATTGTGTTTTTACGATGCCGTAACGATACTCGATAGTGTTTGAAATTTGCATTACGGCTGTCGTAACGACAGCCACTGCGTTTTTGTTTACCATGATCATAAACCTTGCTATTTGAAATCTCTTTTTCAAGTTCGTCCCTTGTTGTGTTTTCTAACTGCAGAAGTCCACATTTTGCAAAAATACTCTCGTCTTCCTTTTGCTGTCTCCTTCGTTTTCTTCTCTTGATCATTCTGAGGTCCTCTGGGTCTGAATTAAGGACTGCAGCCAGCTGGTTTTGTCCATTGTTTTGTTGCACTTTCCCCTCGTCCATCTCATGCGGCGTGCACTGGTGCAATCGACACGCACACATTGAAACTGCACGAAAACCAAGTTCAACTTCAAGTTGACTGATTGCTTTGAATGTTAGCATTTTGCAGAACGATTACCAATGTTCAGTACTGGAAATCAATCCCTTCTTTTTGGACACGTGTTTCACAAAGTCGGGTTCAACACATCACTTAATCACGGAGACCAAATTTTTGCAGAATTTAAGAAGATTTTAACAGCAGCATCATAATCTGCAAAGGCGCCACAGAACGGCAGAAACATCTTTGATTTAAGCCTGGTACCGGTACCTAATTCCGTGCATATACATACGTGTATGAGGCGCAAGGATACCAGACTAGTCAACCTTCGGTTTTCAGCACGTGGAGTTCTGCACTGTGTCGCAGAATGTGAGTATTTCTTGCAAATTCATAAACATTCCTTGAGACCTTTTGCTTTTAAAGTTAGGAGAATAACTTCAGTGAATACAGCAGTGTAAAGTAATACTAAATTTCTTTCAACAATATCATTATAAAACGTGAAACAGCGGTATACTTGTTTGCCCAGTTTCCGGACGCCCTTGTTCCATGCATCAGTACGGCGGGGGGGGGGGGGGGGGGGGGGGGGGTGTTACGGGTACACGCATTGCACAATACAGTTTACACATACTGACATATGATAACATTCACTTTATGCCTACATACTTTGCAAGTCACAGCGAATTGTTTGTGCGGTACGTGTACAACCATACTAGACATGATAGACGGCGATCGTGAAGTGTAGGGCCCCTGTTTTGTTTTGATCAAATTAGAGTCAAAAATGTTTTTTATTGCTCAAAAATCACCTTAACAATCAAAAGCAGACTTATCTCAATTCTAATGTTCTAATGTCTAATGACACCCGTTTTGCAATTTTGAACAGTTTCTTAGGGTAGAAATCACGATTTTCCTGCGCGGATTGTGCCTTGATATTCAGCGCGCCGTGCATGCTCACGGTACACATCGTGCGGTGATCGCCATCTTTTTGGGGGGGTTGCGTGTTGTCGCCGCACTGTCATCGTCATTTTACCCCAAAATTTCCCTCAAAAAATCAAAACCCTGCCCTCTATGACATAACTAGTTTGGTCGGTATACTATAATCATTTTAAAGTGGATTTTACCTCTAGATTTTTGGACTGCCTCCAAATCCTCATAGACTTTGTGTGCATTGAGCAGTTCAACATCTGCAGGACATTTTTTTTCTCTCTTTCACCGCACACAGTAATCCTTCATTTGTCCTTGCAACTAACGTATTAAGTCAAGATGGCCAAGAGTATCCGCAGTAAACGTATGAGGAAACTGCGAGCAATCAAGAGAGCAAGGAATGGTCCACGGGAAACCAAACGATTGAAGAAGATTCTGGGATTACTGAAGCCTGAAGAGGAAGACCCAGAGAACAACGTCTACAAATGTAAGTGAGATAAGGCCAAGAAATACAATATCTGTTAAATTCTGTTTCCAGTTAGGAAACTAATAGGAAAAACAACTCTTGTATCTTTGTACATGTTGTAAGTATTACGTTTTTACTGCAAATGAAGCTCATTGAGTTGCAAATTATAAGTATACATGTTCATGTGTTCATTAAGAATTTGTTTTTGTTTTGTTCTGATAATTGCAGTCACTGATGTCAGGGAAACGATTTTAGACAAGCCTACCCTCAACCAAGCCTCAGGAACAGCGTATGACCTACGACGTGTCCCAGACAGAGATAAGATCAAAGCAGCGGCCGCGCAACCAAAGGAGATCACAATGGATGAAGATGCAGAAAATAAAACAGGTACATGTATAGGGGGAAATGTAATATATATTACATGTAATTAATACAGTGGTGGAGCCAGGATTTTTTAATGGCTTAGCCGAGGGTTTCTACTTTATTTTGAGGAATTTTTTATTTGGTGAGGGGGGGGGGGGGGGGCTGGCTGAGATGTTGAAATCAACACATAGACTGAAGGCCTGAAGCAGTGACTTGAGATTTGCAATATGGTCATTGGTGTGATGTTATTTCAGGAAACTTGGGAAAATGTGCGTCTTTTTGGTCACAGTAATGTGTAAAAACATTTAATTCACATTGATTAGTTGGAGGGGGTGCAAGGTCAGCCACCCTAAATATCCTTCTCAAATCCGCCATTGATGTGGTACCTTAGGCATTTTACCTGCACCATTATGTTCAAGACTTTAAGTAGATTGTGAAGAGAGCAAAAGGTTTATAAGGAGTTGCATTTTCAGTGTCTTTTCCACGTCTCCAAATTATTAACTTCTGTTGAAACCTAGGTATTTATTGAGAGTGATCTCAATAAAACTCCCGGCAAAGTTGCAGGTAAAGTCGCTCAATGGGCTGATCGCATCTCCGTCAGCAATATCTGGGTGCTGTGTTGTATGAATAGCCTTCCTCAGTCCAGCAGAAGCTGATGAATTTTCCCTGGTCACATTCCCTGTAACAATGCAAAGTTTCTATCAACCAAACCCCCAATCAGGCCAATTTCCTCAGCATTCTTTCCGGGATCATTAATGACATGACACCTTATCAGAAGCTGAGAGTTTATATAATTTTGTATATCTTGTTGTCATAGTGATGGATCCAGAGCACCAGGAATCCATGGAAACGGACACTGCAGCCAAACCCAAACAGAAAGGCATAAAGAATGAACATGGCAACTACCCCATCTGGATGAGTCATCGAAGAATCAAGAAAATAGCCCGCAAAGGCAAACCCAAAAAACACACACTCAAGCGAGCAGGCACGGGCAAAACATTCTGAACATTGAGTTATTTTATTTGTCAATATTTTCAAGTATGTCTTTTATCCCAAGTAATATTTGGTAATTTTTCAAATTTCGTTAGAAAATTAGAAGTTGAATTCACAAGACAACATGCACTGTTGCAATATCGTGCCATTTTCACCTACTTTATGGGCTCCGTGCACAGGTACTCTCTCAGGGGTAAGGAAGGTAGAGTTGGGGATGACAACTGGGAGAGACATTCGAATGCATCGATGATGACACCGACGCCCACGCAGTGGCATTATGCACACTCAGAATAAAATAAGTTGTGCGTTATACGCGCGCAAACCAGTACGTGCTCACAGTGTGTCCCTTGCATGGGCTCTTGAAAAGTGGTCGAAAAGCGCCCTCTCTTGTTTGCACGCGGAGCCCATTGGCCCAATAACAATGAGGGCCAAGTTTCTCGTGCCCAACTGCAAAGCCTAATTTATACATTATCTTTAGCCTGCAAATTCAAATTGCCAGAGTTCAATTTGAATCTTTTGAATCCCCAGACTACCATACAAAATTTGTAGCCAACAAACTTGAAAGAAATGATGTTTCACTCTATAAGATTTTCTTTATTGTACTTTACATTACAAACATTGTGATGGATCAACGAACCATTTTATTAAAGTTAGCCACAAATCCGCCCACCTGTGGTTTGCGTCCCTATCTCACAGTGCTTCTGACCAGGTTCCATTGTGGTCATGTGACCCACAGTCACGATCTGATTGGACAATGCACAATGAAGTACAAAAGTCTTTTATGGACTTGGACAATAAATTTGTAAAGTTAGCCAAAGCCAGTGTTTTTGTTCTCGATGTCATGATTGTTTTCTCCTGATTTTCCTAAGGAAATGGTTCCATTTATGACTTGTTTACATTTCACTGACGTGTAAAGATTCCCTTGACCTGATTGAACACTGCACTGCAGCTAGAGCTGTGCAGTTTGCATTCCGTCATTACCAAGGTGTTTGTGATCTTAGTACAGTCACATTTACTGCTTATACAAATTGAGATCCACCCAATATTGCATTTGAAAGTTGATCCTTGTGGCCTCGGAGCACCATGGGTTGGAGGGATATATTTCTTGCACTGATGTCACCAATAGTTTGGACCAGATTGCAGAGTAAGAAAGAAATTTGGGGAATTTGATGTAAGTTTTTCTAGAATAGGAAGAAAAAAATTACTCCTCAGGGGACAATAATAATACAGAATCTTACTATGGCTCAAAAGTCATGTGAAAAATACTGAATGAAAACTCAACATATACGAGGTTCTTTTTAGAAATATAACCAATAACCTGAACATAAACATTCAATGTTGGGTACATATTTAGATTTTTATTACATGTATATTTCTCTGTACAGTTCACAAATTTACACGATAGAATCTCAAGTCTACTACAATATAAAATATGCACAAAATTTAATTGCTGCACAATTTGTATAAAATGGTATTTATTCCCTGATAAATTAAATCAAACAAAACCATACAGTGCTGAGGAGGTGCTGAACAGTACAGAGAGAAACAGTCAGGGTGGTTGGCAGCGGTACAGGGAGTATTAGGCCGGGCAGTTGTGGGTGTTACAGGGAGTAACAGGCAGGGTACAATGTAGTTCGCGTCAGTATAAGGAAAAATGGTTTAATGAAAGTTACGTACTTCTCTTGAAAATAACATTACTTTTAAAGATTTACATTTAAATTTTAGACACAATCAAAATTATCTCTAATTTGGAAATATAAAAAATCATAATATGTACAAATTGTAGTTTTATTATTTAACTCTTAAAAATTTTCCAAAAGGTGTATTTTCGTAAATTTACATTTCAGTAAGAAAGACACTACAAAATGGTGTTATAAAATTCATTAAGTAGGAACTTGTAAAGGCCTCAACTCCTTGATTTAACAAATTCCAGAGTAAATTAATCAGTGAAAAATAACCTGATCACTGATATCAAAAGACTATAAAACATATTTCTCAAGAGAATTATACTTTATATACACTGATCCCATTTTTTACTTTTCGACATACAAGTAAGGGGCCATTCAGAATAGTCAATGTTTAAAAATTCCGATCTTTTTTAAAAATTGTTTTGAATTTAAGATAACTATGGCATTGTGCTAAGCTTTTGTTCCAATAGTCCATCACGGGGCTGTTGCTTTTGTACAATAGCATGCACAATGGTTTCTCCATTGCTGGGGGCCTCGTGAGTGTACAATAATCACATGCCTGGATCTATCTATCATGTCTATACAGCATTTGCATTCAGAAGCCATCTTGAGGTGCTTTATTCTTTTATTATTATGTTTTTTGGGTGGGGGTGGGGGTGGGGAGTACTTTTACTTGCATCATTCTATAAAATCAAACTTACCCAAACTTACATTTTAGTCAAGTGGCTCAGATTCAAATTTTGACAAGATAGTGACTGACTGGTCCAAAGCACCAAACTTGGCAGATAGATTTTTATAGCCCAAGAGAAGATATTGAGAAGGGGTGACACCTGAAATTCATTCGGGAGAGGTGCCTAATTTGCATTAATCGTAAATAGCTGCTGTGTGATTTATTGAAAAGTATATTTTGGGGATTCTACTTACATATCCTTACTTAAATAACATTTTCTAAAGCATATCAGAGACCGGATAATTATGAGGATACAATGTATATGACAGATCCTAAATGGTGCCATTATGCCCAGATATCATCAAGTAGTCTTGCCAAACCTCAGTATTGATGAGCTTCAAATTCAAAGCTTCTCACTGGCATATTTACCCCCCAAAAATGTGAACAATGATAACATCATGATATTATGCCCCCCAAAAAAACCAAAATAAGGAAAATAAGGCACCCTTCCCCCCCCCCCAAATTTCATGTGTTACGCCTTCTAAATATCTTCTCCAGGGCTATAAGAATCTAACTGCCAAGTTTGGTGCTTTTGGACCAGTCGGTCACGATTCCACCCATAAGCCACCTGACAAATTTTACTTTCTACCCTCACTCACAACCGTCATGACTCAACCAGATCACTGTGATTTTACAGGACATCAACAGCTTAACTTCAGTTACAAAAAAATGCGGCCAATGCTACAATACTGTTTGCTTGACACAGGAAATGTTGAAAATGCCTCGACAAGTATTTCATACAAAATTGTAGTTTGGAATTGTGCTTACTATTGGAACCCGCATGTCTATCATAAGAGGCCGCAGACAATGATTGCTAGGAGCAGTGTGAGGGCAGCATTCAGGATCGGTGACATGGTAACGGAAGGAACATTGGAGGATTGACAGGGCAGAAACTGACCACAGCAAGCTGCTTCCTAACAAATGAAAAGAAAATACAAGAGCCACAGAAAAGTAAAATATGAGTATTGATGGGATTGGAAAGCATACATTGTAATATCAAGATTTGTATAGGGTCTGAGCAAGACCAGTAGAGGGCGCCCTTACTTACATTGTCAGTCTCAACTTGAAGCTTTAACTGATTTTAATACTGGCTCTAATGACCACAAAACCTTTGTAATTGCTCTCTAATGTTGGTAACAACCAAAAAATCCATGGAAATTTACTATTACTACTTTCCAGCCTAGTAGATAATTCTAGGGACGTAGTAATTCTAGGGACGTAGTAATTCTAGGGACGTAGTAATTCTAGGGACGTAGTAATTCTAGGGACGTAGTAATTCTAGGGACGTAGTAATTCTAGGGACGTAGTAATTCTAAGGACATAGGAATTCTAGGGAGGTAGTAATTCTAGGGACGTAGTAATTCTAAGGACATAGGAATTCTAGGGAGGTAGTAATTCAGAACCCTCTGATTAGAAACCTCTGTTGTCTGCTCACACTAAAGTCCTCCTGACATACAGGGTGAATCAAAAGAAAGGAATCCCAAATGTCAGGACCATTTTCTTAATACAGTTCTGCATGTAGCACTTTCAAAATCTAGGATATGAAAGCCCAATTCATAAGCTTTCTTTTAGTACAAGAATCATTCAAATCACTCGTGTACTTTTCAAATTACAGAATTTTAAACACAACCAACATTTTAAAGTTCCATCCACAGATCACAAAAAAGGTGTGTTCTGTCAGCAAACGAAAACAATTCACTGAAACTGACCTGCAGGGTTTTAAAGGGTTTTACATACTGCACCAGTGCACTGAATATTGACTTCCTACTAGGAGGTTTCATACATGTGTACTACATTGTATTACATTGTGTATTTTTTTCACGATGAAGCTTTCAACCAAAACAATGCTTCTAAAGGTGGTTTGGTGGCAGTACAGAGACTATGGGTCCGTTCAAAGACAATTATATGTTGATATTAGTCTTACCTTATAATCTAGAGTAGCTTGACTATGCTGTGTGCATTTATCGTAGCGGAATGCTCTATTGGGACAGGCCGTGTCATTGGGTAGTGGACAAATCTGTAAAACATAACAAACCCAATCAGTACAATTCAGGGACATCCGAAGAAACAACGGGGTCAATATGGGCAAAGAGAAAAGAGTGCACTAACTGCTTATGGTCTACATGAAATAAACGGAGAAACGGTTAGCACGAAATAAGCAGTGCTATGAAATTGGGCCAAGACTTTTGGGAAACAAATGATGCAACCTGACGCTGCTTTTTTCTTCTCATATATCATCTCAATGAAGGTCCGTCATTGCAAAAATGATGATAAGACATGAATCTGAGACTGAGAAACATCTCCAATTTTGTTAGGCAATATTCAGAAAATGTTCTTGACTCTCCATAGACTTTGTACACACCAGCTGAAGTAGCGTCAGGTTCAATATTCTTTCCAACTTCATTTTTTTCCACAATGTTAAGTCTTAAACCTTGTATGGTTTTGCTTACATTGCTAGCGTCACAGATCTTATCAGGATTCCTCTCATAGCTGACTGAGCCCCCAGCATACACCTTTTGCCTCAACACCTCCAATTCACAGTTCGAGTACATAGCGATATTGGGGCAGAATGCCTGACGTCTCTGTAGTTCCGTCATCATGGCTGCTTTATTGCTCTCCAACTGTGGTTCAAAATGAGAGGCAGATATCTTCAGTGGTTATTAGCAATATGCAAATAATAGGTTTTCCAAACCTCGGCTGAATCTCAGAATTGACTTGGTCTCAGGCTCCGGAATTACTTTTGAAGCTTTAATGTCAAAACCAAAATACAAATACTCTAAGATTTGGTATCAGAAATGAAAGATTTGATAATCCTAAAATGGATCGGTCAATTACTGGTGTGCAGCCATTTCAACTGAATGTGTACAGCCCTGTAAAGTCTTTGCAAAAGAAGAACAGACCTTTGTTACATCGTGTGCTTGGATAAGTAATTTCATTGGACGGCCACGTGCCTGTACAATATAAAAATAAATATGTTTCTATTGCTCGTACCCAGAAGAGGGCGCTGATACAAAATCCTTGATCAATCTCACCTTCTGTATGTATGCATAGGAGATATCCATAGCCACTACTGCGACTAACTTGCTCTGGCTTGCATCAGAGCTCTCATACACGGCCTTAGCCCCAGTCACGACCATATCAGCACCGAAGGCATCTAGATAGGGCTCAGTCCATATGATACCGCTGGGCCCTTTGTGTAGTGTACTGAAGTATTCATAGTACTGGCTGAGCTGCTCTTGCAGACTAGCTGCGGTGTCTGTCTCTACTTGGGACCACAAACCATGGGCACTGGAACAAAGAGGAAAGTGGCAAATATGTCATATTGTAACACCTTACTCATAGATTCTGCATCTTGATTGGTTGAGAGCGAGTCACATGACATTCACTATTTTTACTTTCTTTCTGTGCACAGCCATGCATAAAGACTATACAACGGCTGAAAAAAGTAAACACATAGAAGTCAACGTAGCAACAAGACATCTGTGTGTATGCACACGCGCTACAGATTGCATGAAGGGATAGTTTGGAAAATTGCAAGTAAATGTTCACTGATTTGATACTGAAATAGAAGTACAAGTACATGTACAAGTACAAGTACATTTTAATTGGATTTTGGTTAAATTAATCTTTTATCTCTTAACGTCAAGCAGAGTCTGTGGGTGAGGAGTTATAATACAAACAAAGTCTTCTTTAACTTATGATGACTAAAATTAGCCTCCCTCGGTGATCCATGAGGCGACAAATCACCTCGGGAGGCTACCTTGTAGTTTTACCACACTTTATCTGAGCTCTCCAAAACAGACAAAGTTATTTATATACCTGCAAGCAATATGCTTGGAGATCTCTGTCTCAGCTACTTCACTGATGGAGTAGGTGAAGATACTAGCAATCTTGGTTCCATCCGATCTGTGTATGGTAAAAACATGGACGTTATGATGTGAATGACACAATGCGATATGAGGCTTTGAAAGATGAAGATTACAACATGGGAGAATTTTGAGGATACACCATCACGTCTTGCAGACTGGTGTTCCAGAGTAGTGCTGAACCAATTTTTTTCGAAGTATTTTTAAATTAAGTACATGAACAGTTTGACATCTGAAACTCACCTTGTATTTAAGCCATCAACAATCTCAGCAAGCGTAGTTGGGTCATCCTCTCCTCTGGTTGGTGATCCATCAGTCATAAACAAGATAGCCTTATTACATGCCGTGGTGCGACCAACGCTAGCTGACCGTTCCAGCACTCGGAAGGCAAGTCTAAAGGCTTGCTCAAAGTTGGTGTGACCTTCAGGTTGAATCTTGTTCACTTCTTCCTGGAGTTCACATGCACAAGAAAACAAACATTAAACTAATAATAATGTACTTAAATAGCGTTTTACATATATTCTTAAAAAAAACTTCCACAATTAAAAAACCCATTCATCAGGCCATAACACAATTTTTCTCCAGCAGCTTGAGATCAGCGCATTCTCTCTGGTCTCTACCCTCCCAGGTACCCATTAATACTCCTGAGTCGAGAGAGGCAATCATTAGTTAAGTGCCCAAGAACACAAGCATCTGATGAACCAAAAAGGGAAAACATGCCAAGAAATTTGACCGACTGCTTACAATGAGAGCGTTGACGTTGTCCCGAGTTGCTTGGATTAATGTGTAGACCTCATCCACTGTAACTTGCTCAGATTCGGTTGAAAATTTGGCCACAGCTACGTAATCTACAACAAATGACAAAATGTAGAATTGTCTAAGACTTTGAATTGGATATATTTACACTGTACATTCTAGGAATGGTTTTAGCCTACTTTACCTTGATCTTGTAAGGCAACAATATATTCCTACTTATACATGTCATTTCATTCACTTCAGTATATTAACCCATGTGCTGATGTACATATGGCTTTACGATAGAGGACAGACACACAAAGGGAGAACAAAAGATCCTTTCAGTCCTCGAGCGTTGGGTCTTTTGTTGAAAACAATCCTCGATCGTACGGTCGTGTGGTTAGTCTATGAGAGAGTGTTACAATCACAGGGACAAAGGGAAAGACAAAGCATTGTCCTCTGGCATATAGAAATTCACAACTGTAGTTCTCTACTTGCGTAAAAATGTAATCTTTAGTTTTTACTTTATTACCAACTTTAACCAGCACATCAGACAAGACCACAAGCTACAATTCTCAAAACCAACGGTTGTACAATTCACATGAAATCTTACCAACAAATGTGAGAGTGCTGAGTACGTGGCTGACAGCTTGTTTGGCTAGCTGCATAAGAGATAGATTACTTGCTTGTCTGCTGCTAGGTACCAGACTCATAGATGCACTAGAATCAATCAGAACGACCACATCCTTGGGACCTGCAGACGCGGCAACAAACCAAGCACGTAGCCGTGGATCATAGCTGTAACATTCTTCTTGAGCAGAACCGGGATAAAGTCTGACAAACATACAAACAAAATTGAAAAATGCAACAATTCCAAGTTGATCTTTTTGGTGGCATGGATGGTATTGGGCTGTTCATGTGCATGTTTCAATCTGTTGTTCCTTTTTTGTAGTTTTGTTGGGTTTTAATCATAATTTCTTTCATTGAGTCATGTGTAGCAGTGTGGAAGTTGGATTGTTTGTGTTGGATGATTGTGTGAAAGGTTGGCATATTGGTCAGACTGTCAACTGTCGTCTGTCTGAAGGAAGTCGTTCACTTTGGATGATTAGCCTATAATTCCATAAGGCATGTAAGGCAAGGTTTGTTACTGAAATTCAATAAAGGCATATAGGATAATTTGTACCCCATGAAATTAGTCAATCTGACTTGCTGTCATTAAGAAGAAATCAGGAAATATAGGTCATTTCCCGACAATCAGCCAATTGATTTTTGGAAATAAACAGTGCCATCGACAAAATCATGTTTAGTGATCAAAAGGTTGTGCTTGATTTGCACTGCTTTCTCAAAAAGTGGTTTTGAACATTGTTCTTTGGATTTTGAGTGGCGTTACTATTGGAAGTGAACAAAATGCATGAAAAGCAATGATCCTATATCTTTAACAATAAATGAAAATAGTGTCTTCTTATGCATACCACACAGGAAGGAAAACCTCTCCTCAGCGAGGGCGCTATATGCAAGGGGTCTATATGCACATATATATTGAGTTACAGACTGCATGGAGCATCTCAAAATAGCTCTGAGATGCTGGGTCAACTTAGTTAAAATATTCACGTGCAAACATGTATGTAGGTTGGGGAAGGACAAAAGCCGCCTAGGTTCAGCTGAGGTGCTCTGGTTACCTGGTAAATCCATTAGTGGTAGCAATCTGTTGCCATAGTAACCCAGAGAGATTTGTGGTTTTTAGGTCATCTTCCACACCTAAGTAAACATGCACAAAAAAGACACATTTTTAAAACTGGCAAACACGTCGTTAAAGAAATGTTGTTAAAATGATAATAATAAACTGTTCTTACATAGCGCATTATACATAAAAGTTCGACCAGAGTCGACTTGATGATAATGAACTCTGAATACACTCCTTTTTAATTTATTACTTGTAGCTTTTTAGACTGCTGCAGATTTATGTGCTTAGCATAAAGTCTTGTCTTCTCCGTACCAGTACTTGAGGCTTATATCACAGCTTGCTTGCATATTCTATTAGTGATACACTAGAGAACAAGTCATGGACTAAGACATTTCAAATTGCCGAAAATTGTTCAATTGCCAGTTCTTGGATGATTGGTAGTTTGTGTTTAAATTTGCAGAGCAACTTTTCCAAAAATTGGCATATATACATTGTGTGTATGAAGAGTTTTAGTCAGAGTAAGTCACAAGAAAATACAATGGAGGATTCAGATGAGAAAAGTTGTTTAGTCTTGAAAACACCGACCTTTTGTCCAGCACATATCAGCATTCATCATGTCCTGACATGTACAGCGACTGCTCGCCGTCCGAACTAAAGAATGGGCTTGATTTAAACGCCTAAAATACAAACAAAACACAAAATTAATAATGGGAATATTTGAATGTCACAGTACATGAATTTTATGAACAGACTTTTATTATCAACTGACATTTCTCTCATGCTGTGCTTACAATGTGAGATCCTGCAATTCATGGATGGGCAATATTTTAAGCTATTATGTTTGCTTGCAGCACGCAAAGAGCTAGAAAACCAAAGTCCAGGTAATAGAGATCTACATGTATATCAGCTGATATGTCGCAATGCATTGTTTTAATTTTTTCAAAGAATGCAATGTATTTCATTGTCAGGAGTTACAAAAATGTTCCACTAGTCCATGTGTCCTCTATTAACATCAAGAATCAAATATGAGATCCAGCAATCGGCTGATCTTCCCTTGTCAGTTTGTTGCTGGGCAGAATCCACCTTCTCTGGTTCACATTCTAAGATGTTTACACAACAGTCTCAGATGTCAACTGCCCATGAAACAGTAACACTTGAATGTTGCCCTCCACTCACCCTCACTGCCAAGCAAGAGCGCCCTCTATAGTCCATGCATGGAGCGTATAGATGTCCTTATAGATGGCTATACGTACTTTATGCAGGATGTCTGATCAAATAATTACCTGTTTTTACACTGCGAACAGCCAGGTTCAGAGGTATAATACGCCGTTCCCTGCTCTGATGAGCAATATGATCCTTCCCCTTCTATTTCATCGGTGCTACAAGCGAAACTATTCCTGAAAACAAAAAATATAAGCACATACACAAGTTAATACCAATAAACTTTGCAATAACTTTGCAATCCCCCCCCCCCCAACCACCAACCAACCTACAGTAGATCCACTACTGATTTGGTTTTTACTTTTAGGACCTCGGAATTTTACTCATCATGAAACATCGGTTTTAAAAATGTCTAAGTGTAAAGGAACAGTCATGTTCAGTGCAGTGCCAGTTCAATAATTAAAACAATCAGAGGCTGGTTGACGGTCAATTATCTGATGTATAGTTTGGGACACCTTCTTCTTTTAAGTTCTGGACGTGTTTTTATCATTCCAAAATGTCTTTTACCACCTCAAGCAATCTTCTTGTAATATTTTTTTATTTCACTGCCAGTGGAGAAGTGTAATAAAATTTAAAAAAAATAAAATAAAATAAACAGCTGTCGTGTAAAAATAAACAATTGTCTTGTCATTAGTTTCTGTTTTATAATTTTTTTTAAACTTAAAGTTAAACACTAACATGACTAAGCTATATTGGGCCTAATATTTTTAGATAGTGGATATTTTGCCGGAGGTAATGACGGCAAACTAACGTTTACTAAACATGCTAAAGGTTTGCCGGCGGCAATCCATATCAACAGAGGGCGCTGTACTCTTTAAGATAAGGCTGAATTATAACATGTATTAAATTCCCACCAAAAGTTGTGTAGCATGTTTGGTGTAGTGGTTAAGCAAAGGCTCTAGTAAGCGGGATGACTCAGGTTCGATTCTGACCGCAGCACATTTTTAAGGTTTTTTTTCCCATCCCCAAATAAATAAGAATATTCTTCTTTTATTATTTTAACATGTTTCAAACATTTTATTGCAGAGTATTATACATTTTCTTTTTCAGATTTGTGGCTCTGGAGGATTTTTTTTAAAAGGGAAATAAAGTCCGAAATTATAAAATGGTCTTACCATCTTCTGAATACGAGGTTACAACGATAATTTTTGGCATGGAGCCAGACTAAAATTTGTCACCAAAAAATGTTTAAGTACAAAAATACATTAACTGCGCATGTTCAGTGCATATCCGGCAAACTAACGTTTACTAAAGGTTTGCCGTCTCCGGCAAAATATACACTGCCATATTTTTACTAATAATATTTTATTCGGCAAATACACACAATTCAATAAACACATAAAATTTGATATTAAAACAAAAGGATATACAAGCATTGTTTAATAACAGTTGAAGAGAGTAATAATACATGCATTTCAAGCATAATTTGTTCCTACTTTTCAAACACGGAAGTGCAGTCCAATGACAGCTCATTGCACACGCCTCGATGCAGTGACAGTGTTTTCGCCGACAACTTGTTAATTTCATTTTCTACATCGTCTAAAAAGATCGAGAAATCTCCCTGACAGGCCTGAGAAACCAATACCAATAAGAGGATGGACGACCAGAATTTCGTCGTGTTGATCCGACTGAAAACGAACATTTTACAATGAAAAAAGTGATGAATGGGCAACCACCACAAACACATAATCTTCTCCATCTTTCTAAATATTTTCGAGGGCGCCCTCATTCGACGAGAGTATAGCCCTCGCGCTTGTTCGCTCGTACCCCCCCCCCCCCTTTCGCTCGGTGAAAATCTTGAATAGCCAGAGGGTGTTATATTGAAATACCTTTATTGTTATTCGCGTCAGTGATACAATAAGAACATTAAGAAATTACAGTTATTTACAAATAAAAACATCTACATTTTGTTCATTATCACACAGAAAACGTCAGACATGGACAAATTCAGCACACATACATGTACACATGTACATGTACCGGTACATACACTAGTAAAAAGGAAGAAGGGGGACCTAGGACTCATGCGTAGGAACAGGGGGGAAACCCTGAAAGGGCCTGGCAAGGTAACTAATTTAAGCGAGTATTTCTACGCCAGCTGATTAGCATAAAAAGTGCCCCCCCCCCCACAATTTCTGTTGAAAACGGAGACCGTTTGGCTTTAAAAACGGTCATGGAATTGTGTAAATATACCCAAGGATCAACTTCCTGGTTTTTGAGCTTCCATCTGAGGGCAGGCTTGATAAAATCACGGATGAAAAATGGGTCCTATTTGCCTGTGAAAGTGGAAGGATGCCACTTGTAAAATGGCTACAGCGGCAGGCTTGGGAACTATCACTTTTCGAGAGGTGATTTTATTTGGGTGTGAATATTTAAAAATGTAATTGGCTAATATACCTAAAATTGAAAAGAAATGAAAAGATGAAAGACACGACAATAATTTAATTTTTGTTTGAGAAACCCCAGTGATGTTGGCTTGCATGTCACTTGGCCCTGAACTTTGTTGATTTTACACTGTTTTCAATGGGGCTTGAATTAGTACAGAGGACCCCAGACGTAGTGCGGTGACCGGCCGGTGAGCAGTGTTCGTGTAGCGCGCCCTCTTTTGTAAGAAATTGTTGCATGAGGATAAAATACGAAGAGTCCTAGCTTCATACTGCAATTTCCTTGAATTATATTACATTCATTTTTCAGCGGTTCCTGTCAATTTTCTAGATTTTCGTGTCAAAAACCATGGAAAATATTGGAGGAAATTTCAATGCAAAACAATGTGATTATCTTGAGTTCCCGATTTCACAATAACTGTGTTAACATCTCGAACGGCCACTCGTCCGGAGCGCGGTGAGCATTATTTGTGAAGCGCGCCCTCTTTGATAAGAAATTGTTGCATGACGATAAAATACGGAGTGTCCTTCATACTGCAATTTCCTTGAATTATATTACATTCATTTTTCGGCGGTTCCTGTCAATTTTCTAAATTTTCGTGTCATACCAATGGCAAAATATTAGAGGAAATTTCATTGCAATACAATGTATTTATCTTGAGTTCCCGTTTTCACAATAACTGTGTTTACTTTTCGAATGGCCAGACGTCGGAGCAGAGGGGGAACCTACCTAGTGTGGGCGTGTGCTATTCCCGCATCTGTGGACCTCTTTCGTTCACAGTTCCACAAAGAGTATGTAAGGCTAGAGTACACATTGAATCGTTTGACAACATAAAAAAAGAATTTGAGGGCAACATCCAAGCAGGAGACTTATATATGTATTACGGCTGCTAATGCGTATCGTTTGGCACAAAATGTCCACCGCGTCAGAAAGTAAACAACGGCGCGTTTTTTCTCGTCATTTCTCTGGAACAGTGCAGCATTATTTAAGCTTCCTTTGAACCAGACCATTAAAATAGACTAGGCCAATTACTGAACAATCTTAAACATAAACGCCAACAAAGATAAACGAACAAACAAAGGAAAAAAAGAGAAAAAATGAATTATTACTTAAACTTATGAGTCTTTAGACTGGGTTCAGTATTTCCTGGTTGGCGTACATTGATTCTCTATAGGTGGGTAGACTTCTTAAATCAGAAATAATTATTGACGTCAATATCGACGACAACAATTCACGACTTGCCAAAAAATACAAATATTGACGTCAATGTCAAACATTACATTTGTGAAGCAGGAAATAAATAGTCTGTTAGTGGGATTTCTTTGAAAAAAAATTAAAGATCTTCACCATTATGAAAATGCACAGTAGCTAAGAAATAATGGCGTTCTGAATTGAGATTGTTGTTTCAAAATGTTCTTTTGACCCAGCGCCTGAGGCCAGGAGAACAACCGACACGACCCAGGCCTTTATTTCGCTTGTTGTTTGGCACTCTGTTGCTTGTTACTAATTATCTCGATGACCAACAAATTACGGTAGGACGGCGTTACCATACCAACCTTGACCTGATGGCTGACTTTACAATGTATGAGAAATAGGTATGCCCACAGAATCCTTCTTTAATTATTAAACAAATTGTGTTAATTGCACAATATTATTACGTAAACAACAAAGCAGCCAGATGTAGGAAAAGATACACAGACCTAAAATCAGGAAAGAAGGCAAAAACAACAACAGGAAACAGACAAATGAACAAAACGGTCAAGAACCCGGACAAATGCAGAGAGCCAAATGGTAAACAAACACAATGAGTGAAACTAGCCCCGGAGAACAGCATATTTAAACTGGAAATCACTTTAATTTCAAACATAACATGAAATATCAGTGAATACGAAATGAAGCGCCTTTTGGTGTTGTTTGCTTTAGTTTCCAAACAGCTCTTCTTTGTCAATATGAAACTGGACAAAACCTAAAAATGGATAGCGTTTCTGTAAATGAGATTGATGATCTTGTGTCTGAGAGGCCACGAGAACAACTGACCCGAAAACAGCTATATTTGGCATCGCTTGTTTTTGATTGGCACTGCTTCCATCAGTTTCAAATTATCTTAATGGCCTCCAATTTATTAGGGTTGACCTTATCTATCCAAAGCACAGTGCCGTGTCGAACTCAATTTGCAAATGGTTCTAAAAGCCGTGTTATCGCTTTGCCGATTTCAAAGATTCAAGTTGATTGGCTTAAACACGTTGGCCGTAGCACTTTATTTAGATGAGACTTGGTGTGAGTTCGCACTTGTGGAGCGAAAAAACGGGATTTTTTTTTATAAAGGCACTGTAGCTGTATTTGGATGAAGGGGATCTGTGAGCCTATAGAGCGAACAATGGTCTGTGTGGCTCTTGAAAAGGGAAATCGTGATCATAACAGAAATGCCCGTATCTACAAGCGTTATTTACCGAGTTTTGGTTGTATGTCAAACGTGTATATTAGTCCAGTATCGAAAGAACAATTGTAGAAAAGAATCTGTACGCAGTGAATCTTGCACGTGACCACAATAAATGCACTTACCTTGTACTTACACCTTTAATGACGCCCCTCTAGATCCCGCAGCAAAACAAGTATATTTCGTGGAAACTGTTTTCTTTAATACTATTCCTTGAAAGGATCACCAAGGGTCTCATCTTTACTTCGTTGCCGTATGGAAATCCGAAAGGTTGGTGGTCCCCCTCTCTCCGAAACAACTGCACAAGCTAATGCCGCAAAAAGTATACATTTCGATTTTACGTTTCTAGTCATGGCTTTAACAGTTTTCAATCAATTCAATTTATTTTTCCACTCTGCGTTTGTATACAACAAACGCGTGATTGAATTAGGTTGCTTGCCTATTCCTGCCTAACAGGCAGCATCGAGCTGTATACTCCCCAGGGAGCTGAGAAGGTATATGGAATGTTTAATTGGCCCAATGATAAGGATTAATAATAATGTAAAGCGCTTTGATCTTTGTTAAAAGCGCTTGATAAGAACCTGTTATTATTGTAACCAAGCTGTATAGTAGGCCATGGACCAAACATCTGTATCAGGTCTAGAAGTTCAGGTTCATCTTAACTTTTTGGTGTCAGCTTGCAATAAGGTCAACTTGACCAATTCGATAGTGCTGAATCTGAATCTGGCTGATCACATTGGCCCAAATTGCAATTAACGTTATGACGACATTTTATCTCATTATTTTGCCCGTTTTTGGTCAAAAATAGTATTTTTTTGCCATAACTTCTATGTTTTAAGTTCAAATGCTTTCAAATTTGACACAACAGATAAATAGGAAGTCGGCATAAATAATTCCGATAATTTAACACACGACACGGTGCTTAAAGTTGTTTTTTTTTTGTAGAATTGATCCTTTCAAACACGAGCATGATGAGATTTCGACGTGGCGTTATAAGGATTTATATTCAATTTGCGTACCTCTGTCGTCCCTTTACAACACAAAGCAATCACAAGTAAATCACAAGTCATTCAGTTTCAAGTAAATGAGTGACATACTATTTGTTCTCCACTTCACCCAGAATACATGTTACTTGTACGAATATACGTTTTTTGACGTGTAAGAGATAATTATGAGCAGGCACAGGGCGCGCAGACTTCGAAGTACGCGCGCAGAAAGCTCTGTTTCAGCCAGTCAGCGCAGCCGTTTACATATTCCCCACGGCCAGGGGTTGATGGAGGAACGCGCTCGTGCCCATGAAGGTGAGGCTGGTACGCAATGGCAGCGATGCATCGCGATCGCCCTCATGTGGTGCAGTTACATTGGGGGAAACAGTCCCCTTTATTTTTATTTGTGCAAACGATGTGATGTGCACATTGTAAAATATCAATTATGCACGACATTTGAGCAGCCCACCTACCAAAAAAAAAATTGCACGGCTGAATGTATGCAAAGAACATTCATATATCGGCGGTCATTATTGGAAGACCGGGTCGAACTGGTCAAAAAGCGACATAACTTTAATGCCGTAATGGCCACAAGCTATCTAGTCAGTATTATAAAGATCAGTGGGTAGATCTCGACATTAACTGTGCACATTGCGTGCTGCTCTCTTTTGATTGGATGACCACTCTCCCATCCCCATGCAATTAAAGGGAATATACAACATTTGCAAACATCGAGAAAAAAAAACTACCAAGTTTTTGCGAAATACCTTAATAGGATGTTGGTAAATGACAGCCTGAAGCATCCTGTAAAATTATGGCACCTGGTATACTGTCATTTTCAAGAAAAGTGGTATTTTTGTATCAATTTCCAACGCTGATCGGCCGATCAGCGTTGGAAACAACTGGCTTTTTTTCAAATACTGGCCCCAATTGACCATTGCACTTGTTTGCAATCGATTACAAACCTATGAACGGGTACGAGCCAGCTAGACTGGTTCCCTGACCTTACAATTCCCCAATGTATGTAAACTGCTCTGTTTCTTCTTATATGGAGTCAGGGAACCAGACTACAGGAAAATGATCGTTTTTCTTGGTTTTTATAGCATTTTCGAACCCAAAACCTCCAAAAAGTCAGTGCAACTGTATTTGCTTTATATTTCCAACCCCCCAATTCCATCCATTTCTGAAAATTACAGCAAAAGCAAATGATGTATATTCCCTTTAAAGTGGAATTTAAAAGTGGCACTGAAGTGAAGCCGAAGGCCTCAGTGCCGTATTTTGCTGAGAGGATAAAAAAGGTCATGAATTCATAAGATGGCTGAGCACTGAGAGCCCAGGTTTCAGTGCTAAGTTGGGATTCGTCTATACATATAAGATGGAGGGAGGGGGCTAACATTTTTTTCTTTTGGGGTTATAACTCTGTATAGAACAACTTCGGGTTCTTGGAGCTGAAATTCTTCATTTGTAGGAATTATGTGCAACAATTCATGGGTGGAACAAGTAGCTCTGCATCAGGGAGAAAGTTGCCAAGTTGAGGTTTAAGTGACCGCCATTAGACACAGGTGAAGAACTTGACTAAAGGTGCAGACCAAACTGCGGTGGAGGAGCCGGGTGGGGGAAGGGGGGGCAAGTGACCGCTTTTCAAAATGGTAAAGCTTTTCAATGCTTTTTTTGTCGATTCCTGTAGACTAAGCTGTAGATGGAAGGGTAGACATATCTGTTAAACATACTCTCTAAATTCCAAAGAGTGAAAATTCACTCCATTCGATTGAAGATTTACTTTTACAGTCGGAAACTACGGACTAGACGTTTTAGAGTGAAATTCCTTCAATCGTAAAGATCGAGTTTTCACTCAAGCTTCGACTGAAGTGTTTTTTTTTCAGACTATTTCAATCGAAAATGAGAGTGATTTTCACTCTAAAACGTCTAGTCCCTAATTTCACTCTTTGGAATTTAGAGAGTGGCCCAGTATCCATACAGCTGCTAAACACTACTACGACATTCGTACAAACAGAAAACTCAAAATAAATAGGAACAACTGAGTTCTGGATTGGTTCTTGTCGCTCGGTTTATTCAACGTCATAGGTCATTGGAACCTTTTTGTTTTGTGCCGCAATTTACAGGCAAAATAGCAAACAGCAAACTGAGTGATAAGAATCAATAATGGTTTGGTTCTTATCACTCAGGTTATTCAGCATCATAGGTCATTATTTATATTATGCAATGTACAGGCAAAATAAACACGTTTAGATTAAAACAAAAATGATCTAGTTTTCTGCTCCCTGTTAATAGCTTTATACTCAAGATAAGCAATTTTTAGTCAGGTAAATTGAATTTTTAGTTATTTCATTTTCTCTAAATTGGTGTCAAAAGTAGACAGTGCACAGGTTACATTAATTGACATGTTCAGTTACGGATTAACTTTAGACAAAAATGGGACATCAACTTGTTTAATTACTTCTCATTTTGGGGACTTTTTTTCATTTCTTCTTAACAACGTTTTAGCGCAACGACAAATCCAAATTGCACAGAACCTGAAATCACAAATCACTTTTCACTTCAGTCATTTGGCTGGATGAAAATATTTGAACCAAACTCTTGAACTGATATTATTTGTTGAACTATATTTCATTGATGCAATGTTTCATTACATGACTCAAACATTTGAAATTGTGTCCTTTGTCCTTTTGTGAGCACTATACAGTTTTAAATAATTTGTTTTATTTGGCTGCCATCGAGCGATCATAAAGCATGCGACAAAGTAAATTTTACGTTTATTCAAAGGTATATATAAAGTGCCGGAAAACTTCAAGTTACCGAATTGTTTCGCTATTGTGGGCTTTACACAGCAGATCTGCTCTGCAAGTAGACTGGTCCTGTCCTGATAGAGGTGAAAACCAGTCTAAATGAACTTCATTTAAGAAATTATTTCCATATTAAACGTCAGCCCATCGTTTTATTTGATGTCATTGTTTTCATTCCGCCTTCTTCAATTACTTTTTATTTTTAGAACGAAAAAAAATGGCGTTTGAAAAACCGAAAATTGGGCCCTATAGTACATAATCATTTAAAAGCAGCTAATTCTACCAGGTACCAAGGGGGAACCTTTCAGGAGTGAACGTTTGATACAAATTCTTTAGCGATTTTTCTTTCAAAATTGGCGACCAGCATTATGCATAGTGTAACTGAGGGAAATATTCCCAATCCCGCTCCAGTGCTGAACCCACTCCTTCCTCTCAAAATTTATAGACATTTTATGATAACAAACCAATAAGAGTGACCCCTCAGAACGATCTGTTTGCGTGGTTCCTTAAGTTTTTATATACAGAAGAACAAAACCATTCTCCACGAAAATAAGTTAATGTCATTGTATTTTTTTAGATTAATATTCAAGAATGTCTCTATCTTCTCTCCTCTTTTCTTCTTCGATATAGAAATGTGGGAGGGGGCTAGGGGGTGATGATTGTTTTAGAAAAAAAAACTGGCGTTACCAAGCAAAACCTACAGCTGTAAAGCGAAGTGATCAATAATGGTGGGGATTTGAAATACAGGTGGGTGGAGGGGGACGAAGTGACATGAAATGATGTTTGGGGGCGCTTTATTACACACACACACATATCAATGTTGTAGCATCCGCAGTGGCGGTTCTACGGGGGCTGGGGGCCACAATTTTGTCTAGCCCCCTCCCCCCCCCCAAAAAAAAATTCCATAGAAAAAATGCACTAGCAAAATGTAAGAATTTGACGTACAATGGAACGGGTAGCTCCCCCTAAATGAGAAGGGTGCATTTGTACAGTTTTAGTTAATATAGTGTGCCTGATTGTAGGATTTTATCAACACACACCATTGAAAATATGGCACGAGCCCCCTCCCCCCCCTCCCCCCCCCCCCCCACACACACACGTATTGATTTTCAGAGGCCTAATTAGTGTCAGGAGAAAATAACCGGTCTACATTTCAGCACGCCTCCCTGAAAAATATTCTGGATCCACCTTGCTAACCGCGCGCTTGAGCATCCGGGGTCGAGGGGAAATTTATCCCCTTCCCCAATATTTTCTCACGAGTTCCCTTTTTTAAGTTTAGGTATACTTGCCATACATCTATTTATAGTTTTTCTAACAATGCATGGTTGACCTCAATCGTCTTTTACATTTTTCGTTTTTTTAATTCTATTTAAAGAAAGGCCGGGCAGGGATTTAACATCCACACTCCGGTCGGCTACGTCAACTAGAACATTCCCCTGCCCCTTTTCGGCAGGCTTATCAGCCTAGGGTAAAAACATTACAGTTTAAGTTCCATTAACCAGCTTAATAACATGTAAAAGTATTTATGGTCTCATCTCGCACGCATTTTCATCCTGCACGATTTCAGAGAATAGGTAAAGCCTTTCCAGAATCGCCAATTCACGCCCTCATTATAAGGTGCGTGCTCATCTGGGTAATAACGACCATTCAAGTCGGAGTGCAAACAATTATTAAACCACCAGGCTCCATGGAGGGATTGTGCACAATTTGACCCCGACCGTGCGTCATTGTCACGATCCTTTGTGGTGAAGGGACGTCCTCTGTGATAAAAAAGAGAGTCACTACCGGCAGTGCTGCTGGCGTCGTATTGGCCAATATTCAGATTGTACTCACCCGGGGATATTTGGAAATCTGAGTACTTTGCCCATGCCCTGTTGCCCTCCCAGTCCTCTAAATCAACTCGTAGCTCCCATGTTCCTTGTGAATTATCCGACGTCAGAGTCACCAAGTTGTCATTGCCCAACCAGAACTCACCGGACAGATCGCCAAAGCCAGCCTGGTACTCGGTCCAGTTACGGTAGAAGTCCACGCTGCCATCTTGTCGCCTCTGAAACACGATCCATCCTCCACCGTCAGTTTCCATGTCACAGTAGACACGAAGACAGTTACCGAATCCCTCTGGGTAGATTGTGTAGATACCGCTTGAACGATAACCGGCATCTAAGAGCATCTTGCAACTTGTGTAGCGATTCAAGGAGCTATCAGTCAGTGAGTAGAGAGGTGTGTCCTCATCTGCATCAAAGTACACACTTCCTTGAGTCGCACTGAAGTCTTCGGGATGATCTCGTCTTGTGGCGAGGTTCAACTCGCATATTTTATTGCAGTCGTTAAAGTTAAACGACTTGCAACGTTCATCCATGCTGCATTCCCGTGCACAGATGACACGAGATCGTGCAGTTTTTATTGTAAATGCAAACTCCCTTAGAGCGCGATTTTCCGTGGCATAAAACGTATGCTGTCCTGTATATGATGGAGTTTGAAATCCGGAGACGGTCAAAATAGCTCCTTGCAATCCGAAGAATAAAATGTGAAATAGTGCTAACGCAAAGCTCTGTTTCGCCATTGTCATCATTATGCTAAAGTTCTTGCCACATCGATCGTCCTTTCAATTTGGTCTCAAAATGGTGATTACTGGTGATAGGCCTATTTTAAACGATATTTCGACGACATAACCGTTGGGACAAAAGACACTCCGAAAAATAGTTTGTTCGTCTTACACAAAAGCTGATAAAATTGAAAACACTTCTGTACACAGTGAGTTAGATAACTCTAAATGATAGAGGATCGGCGTTGATGGATTCACTACTGCGTGGAAAGGAATGGGTAGAGGTAGATGGTGTGCAATTCACTGATTGGTCATCGGAGTTAATACGTCATTATATACCAGTGACATAATTGGTCAGTCTCCCGCCAGTACCAAAACGTAGCGTTTGATTGGTTGAATTTTACAATGAAGGCGCGTATCATTGCTCTGCAACGTGAGGAAAGCGAAGCATCGACCGACGTCTAATTTGGTTGAGTGGCTTGTTCGTATCAAAGGAAACACCAACTATATTACGATAAGGTACAACAATTGCGAACAATTTCACGGTCTTTGATTTCTACCCTCTTCCCTACATAGGTCAAGCTTCTCATCATCTCCAACGCATCCTCCGACAAGCCGGTGCCAAGGTGTACCCACGCATCAGATAACAAGCTCCAAGGCACCGTCCATCCACACCAGGCGCGGTTCGGGGGGGGGGGGGGGGGGGGGGCGCCCTAGGGGGTGTATTAGCCCCCCCCCCCCAAAAAAACCTTTAGTCTAGCCCCCCAAAAATTCCATCAAATATGGCAGTAGCAACTGTTAGAAGGTGACGTCACATGTGAACGGTCTCCCCCTTAACATAAATAGTCGTGAGAAGGAGCATTTGTACACTATTCGGTAATATATTGTGCATGATTTTACGATTTTATCGCCACTGCCCTTGAAAATATGGTACGAGCCCCCCCCCCCAAAAAAAAGAACCTCTAAAAGTAGTCTCGATCGCCATCCCAAGGAGTGACCACGCTGTAAAAAAATAAAAAATAAAGACAATACAGACAGTCGGGGGGGGGGGGGGGAGTCAGTCAGTCAGTCAGCGAGAGACATAGATAAGTCTAATTTCAAGTAATTGGGGGAGTCCGCCAGTGAGTCAGTCAAGTTAAGTACAAATTATGCATAATTTGCAATGGTTGGAGCTAGAGTTTAAACCTAAGCATGTTTGTATTGTCGACAGTGTCACCAGGTAACCCGTATGCCGCCCTCTATAGGTGAAATATAGTGAGCTGAACTAAAGGTTGCAAGTTGCTTACGCCCGGCAATCACGATTCGCATGCCCTAAATTTCTTTGCTATTAGAGTAATTTATGGGCCACGAACTTGAGGGTTTGTAAAAAAAGAAGGGTGGAAGCCTTGAAGAGGACTGCGAGCTCGTTTTTCTGTCAAATGCGATGGAATAGGCTCTCCAATTTCTCTATTTTGTTGCAAAATAGAGCAATTTTAGAGCCTGGGCAACATCCTTTATAATGGCGGTGGGCCTCAGCACTGAGCCTCAGTATCCTTACAGCTGCTAAAAACTAGTACTACTCGAATCACATTCTTGTAAACAGAAAAATTGGAATAAATCGGAAAAACTGAATCATGGATTGGTTCTTGTCACTCGGTTTATTCAACGTCATAGGTCATTGGAACCTTTGTGTTTTTGTGCTGCAATATACAAGCGAGATAGCAATCAGCAAACTGGGTGATAAGAATCAATAAGGCCAAAAAAAAAAAGTCTCCGGTTTCTGGTATGCGCGCGCGTCGCCGTAGCCATGCGCGTCGGCAAAATGAAAAAGTTTTTTTTTTTCATGAAAGATGATGTCCCAAAACCGCCAAACTCACTGGTTTGACTGGAATACTGCTGCTGCACAATTTTAACGTGTTTTTAGATTGGGTTATGGTCGAGAATAAGCTTTATGTGGCCTCTCTGGACTCCCATATATTTGCACTAAGTTTAGTCGGACACCATTTGCAGTCATCAGCACACATTTGAAGCAAAAAAGTCAGGTAAAAAAAAAAAAAAAGCCGCGTCGCCGCATCACTTTTTGGGCAAGCTCCATACCAGAAACCGGAGACTTTTTTGGGGGGCCTAATGGTTTGGTTCTTATCAACTCAGGTTATTCATCCTCGTGTCATTATTTAATTATGCAATAATTTTACAAGCAAAATAGCAAACAGCAAACTGAGTGATAAGAATCAATAATGATTGGTCCTTATCAACTCAGGTTATTCATCCTCGTGTCATTATTTAATTATGCAATTTACAAGCGAAATAGCAAACAGCAAACTGAGTAATAAGAATCAATAATGGTTCGGTCCTTATCAACTCAGGTTATTCATCCTCGTGTCATTATTTAATTATGCAATTTACAAGCAAAATAGCAAATAGTAAACTGAGTGATAAGAATCAATAATGATTGGTCCTTATTAACTCAGGTTATTCATCCTCGTGTCATTATTTAATTATGCAATTTACAAGCAAAATAGCAAACAGCAAACTGAGTGATAAGAATCAATAATGATTGGTCCTTATCAACTCAGGTTATTCATCCTCGTGTCATTATTTAATTATGCAATTTACAAGCAAAATAGCAAACAGTAAACTGAGTGATAAGAATCAACAATGATTGGTCCTTATCAACTCAGGTTATTCAGCGTCATATGTCATTATTTACATTATGCAATGTACAGGCAAGAAGGCAAATAACCACCTTTAGATCCAACCAAATTATTATTATTATTATTTTTTTTACCCTGTAGCCTTATACTCCATACGAGCAGTTATCATTCAGGTAATTTGAATTTAAGTTATCAAACACTGGTAGTAATGCACACGTTACATCAAGCGGTATGTTCAGCTATAGATTAACTAAATGGGATATCAACTGTTTTTTTGTTTTTTTTTTTTTTGTTTTTTCGGATTTTTTTGACAATCGTACTTATCATTTCATTTTTATTTACATAACAATTTCGAGCGAAACGACAAAACCAAATTGTACAACACTCTAAAAACAATTTGGTCAAAATATATTTGTTGAACTAGATTTCATTGATGTAATGGTTCATTTATACAATATTCGTTTCTCCATCAAGACTTAAAACATTTTGAAATTTAGCTTTTATCCTTTTTGTGAGCTCGGGACAGTGTTAAATAATGCGTTGTTTTGGCTGCCACTTATAACAAAAGTATTGAATATAGATATGCGGCGGATTATTTCAATTCACCTACTTTTTTCCGCTTTTGTAGGCGTCCCCCAAAAACCCAAATAAACCTGTTTTCTCTCTAGCAGCTCTGCTCTGCAAGTACACTGGTTCTGATAGAGGTGGAAACCAGTCTACCAAATAAATTGTTGTCATGACGCAAATAATTGTAAACTTGACCAAAAAAATATTTCCCGATTAAACATTAGCCCGTCGTTTCATTCGATGTATTTTCCATTTGGTTTTCATCTATTATTTAAGGCCGGGAAAGGATTTAACATCCATACTCCGGTAGGCTCCGTCGCTTTGGAAATTTGCCACGCCCTCCACAGTGGGCGTGTCAATATTCAATTTTGAGTTTACAATAACCAACTTAATGTCAGTTCGCAAACAAGTACTCATTGAGGCATATAGCACGGAGTTTCATCTGGCAGGTTTTCAGAGAATAGGAATGGCCTTTCCAGTGGCGCCAATGCACGCCCTTTTCATCAGCGGCTGCATGCTCATCTGGGTAATATTCACCATTCAAGTTGGAGTGCGAACAACTATAAAACCACCAGGCTCCATGGCGGGATTGTGCACAATTATCTGACTCCCTTGCATCGTTGTCATTATCTTTTGTTGAGAAGGGACGTCCATTGCTATACGCAAGAGAGTCACCGGCAGTGCTGCTGGCATCGTACTGGCCAATAGTCAGATTGTACTCACCCGGGGATATTTGGAAATCTGAGTACTTTGCCCATGTCGTGTTGCCCTCCCAGTCCCCTAAATCAACGCGTAGCTCCCATGTTCCTAGTGAATCATCAGATGTCAGAGTCACCAAGTTGTCGTTGCCCAACCAGAACTCACCGGACATATCGCCAAAGCCAGACTGGTACTCGGCCCAGTTACGGTAGAAGTTCACGCTGCCATCTTGTCGCCTTTGAAACACGATCCATCCTCCGCCGTCAGTTTCCATGTCACAGTAGACACGAAGACCGCCATCACCGAATCCCTCTGGGTAGATTGGGTAGATACCGCTTGAACGATGACCGGCATCTAAGAGCATCTTGCAACTTCTGTAGCGATCGAAGGAGCTATCAGCCAGTGAGTAGAGAGGTGTGTTCTCATCTGCATCAAAGTACACACTTTCTTGAGTTGCATTGAAGTCTTCGGGATGATCTCGTCTTGTGGCAAGGTTCAACTCGCACATTTTATTGCAGTCGTTAAAGTTAAGCGACTTGCAACGTTCATCCATGCTGCATTCCCGTGCACAGATGACGCGAGAACGCAGAGTTTTGGTTGCATATGCTAACCCTTGTAGTGCGCGATTTTCTGCAGCGTAAAATGTATGTTCGTCTCTATAAGGTGAAGTTCCCAATCCAGAGACAATCAAGATAGTTCCCTGGATCACCAAGGATACTATGTAAAATGACTCCGAAACAAAATGTTGTTTCGCCATTTTCTCCATCTGCAACCGTAGATAACTTGAATGATACCGATGATCGGTGGTGAGGGAATGTGGTACTGCTTCGATAGGAAAGGGTAGATGCAAAGGATGAGAGTGCGTTCGATTACTTCCCCCAGCTTACTCGCGCCTGGCACCTCGCGTGATGACAGACATGCGCAGTGGAGCTTAATAAACGAACGGTTTCGGTGCAAGAGCTGGAAACATGGGCGTCGCCAGGATTTTCTCTAGAGGAGGGCAAAACATATTTAACGAAAAAATCCTGTTTTGCTCAACATCTTCTCGATTTATCAGTTTTAGAGGGTGGTAGGGACATTTTGCCCCCCCCCCCATTAAATTTACACCAATATGACTTCTCGCCTCTTTTTGTTTTGTTTTTTTGTTTGTTGGGGACTGAGACATATTTCCAATTTTGTTAGGAAAACAAAATCTTGACCCTTCATAGACTTTGAACACAATGGCGGAAGTGGCGTCAGGTTGCAGCATTTTTGCAAGGCTGCATCCGAATCAATCAACTGTCTAGAGCAGGTCCACGCCCAGTGAAAATACGCGGGGGCGCTCTGACAATAATTCGTAGCCGTAGCTCCGTGCAGGGTTTGTAGCTCTATGCACCGTGGAAGCCCGTTTTGGACACGGCCTGATGAGGCGCCCGCCGGACGTTGCATGGCCTTATGTGATACTTACCTAAGTAACCGGCTAAGCGAGTCGGTTACTTGGGACAGGCTCGAGTAAGCGCAAGAAGTCATGCGTGAAAGGTAAATCGAACGCTGTCGCGCTTGCACGAGTATTAGCGCGGGTGAAGTAATCGAACGCGCTGTGTGTAATTTACTGATTGGTCTTCAGGTGTAATGCGGCATGCCTGGTTATTGGTCATTTTTTCCCCGGCAGTATAAACCGTAGCCTTGATTGGCTAACGTTATGATGCAGAAGTGTAATCTTCTCCAGGCGCGGTTCTAGAGCCAATATTTTTGGGGGGCTAGCAAGGTGAATCCAGAATTTTTTCCAGGGAAGCGTGCTGAAATGTAGACCGGTTATTTTCTCCGGACACTTAGGCCTCTGAAAATCAATACGTGGGGGCGGGGGGGGGGGGGGGGGGGGGGGGCTCGTGTCACATTTTCTATAGGGAGCGTTCGCTCGTACCCCCGCCCTGCAAACAGGACGCTGGGAAGGGCTGACGAATCAACGCTCTGATTGGATAGATTTTGCGTGACCTGTGACCGGCAAGGCGTCACGGCCACGACCCTGCAAGGTTTGAAACGGCCGTTAAGACTGAGTCATTCGTCACTCTTTTATTCTCATTCATAAATGCGGCGCCCTTTTTTTTGGTTGAAAAGCATAATAATGTAGGAAAATCTGTAAAACTTATCTGTTTTGTAAATTTTCAACTCCCGCCAGTTGCTTTACTTTTCGGATAGTATTTGCGCGCATTGGCTAACCACGGTCTACAGCTGCAGCCAGATGCTTTATACAAAGGTCATGATAAATTACCCAGAATGCCATCCCCACTTCCTTCAAAAGATTCTGTGAAGCTCATCTGCCCTTCCCAGCGCCCTGTTTGCAGGGCGGGGGGTACGAGCGAATGGGGAGCGCTGATAAAATCCTACAATCGGGCACACTATATGAACTAAAAGTGTACAAATGCACCCTTCTGATTTAGGGGGAGACCGTTCCCATGTACGTCAAATTCTTACATTTTGCTGGTGCATTTTTTTTTTTAATTGAATTTATTTTTTGGGGGCTAGACAAAATTTTGGGGGGGCTAAAGCCCCCCCCCTAGCCACCCCGTAGAACCGCGCCTGATCTTCTCGTGTTGTAATACATGGTTAAACGTTATTTAGCATTGAATTCTTTTTGGTTTAGTTGTAGGTTACAATATCGAGGTCAGTTCTGTAATCAAAAGATGCAGTCTTTGATATCAATTTCATGCTCTTTGATTCTATTCTCAAAATTAAACGAAATTAGCCCTTATGGAAATGTACGTCGCCAGGATTTTTTCGGGGTGGGGGCAAAGAACATTTCCCCTAAAATCCTTGTACTTTCTCTAGCATATTCTCAATTTATCACTTTTTCGAGGGTGGGCGGCGGGACATTTGCCAATCTCATCCCCAATGACACACCTGGTTTTTCCATATATTTTTTTCTCCTTTTTAATTTTTTTTTTGCCCCCTCCCCCTCGCGACGCCCATGCTTTTGTATTTCACGGATCTGCCAGCTAATCAAGACGTATTCAATTTAAGCAGCACACTCTAAAAACTGTGTTTAGCCATTAAACACAATCTTGCTATCACTTTGTAAACATGTTTAGAAGCTAAACATTACGTGTCTAATTTCTAAACACCAATGTGCAATTGCTAAACCCTATCCATCCTTACTCTAAAAATGTTTAGTATTTACACATGTTTACAAACTGATAGCAAGAAAGTGTTTAGAAAAGTGTTTACTTGCTAAAAACAATTTTTACAGTGCACTTTTCATAAAACAATCGTACCGATGATACAAGTTAGCCTTCTACGATCGATATTTTATTCAGGCGATTTTAATGAATGGTTACTATGACTACAATATTTTGCCGAAGGCAATCTAAATTATTCATTCAGTGCCATGATATACAGCTCGGCCTACTTACACTCTATAATTTAACGCGTTACCGGTATTAAATTATCAACATGCTTAAACCGCTGCAGAATGCCAAGGCCGACGAGGGAAGTCGGATCGGTAAAGTATTACCAAACAAATTGAAAGGTAGTTACGCTTATCCAGATCCGAACTCTGTACTAATTTCTGAAATTTTTGTTTTGTCGAAACAGAGTGAACAATCTTAATACCTTAGAATGATCACCGCTATTTCAAACAAGTAAGGCCTCATTTATTCCTTTGTTTTGCAGACAATGCATTGGGGCTAGCATGGTTCAGTAAGCGTTACAACTATGTCAGCAAGTCTTTTATCAAATATAATCCACATTTCACCATAATGTTTGCCTCAAAGGGGTACTGCGTCCTGAAATCCCCGAAAATGTTATGTTTTGGATTGCTTACTTATCCTATTTCAGACATCTGGTTGAAAGAAATCCAACCAAATGTCTTAATACCGTTCCCGAGAAAAGACGAAAAAACTCTAATTGTTTACATCAGACACAACGGAGTACGTGTTTCCTGCCGTTTTCAAACAATGTACGATACACGTTGTGTGTGTTTATTACACTAGTGCTCACGAACATACGGTGACCAATCACCAATACACAAAATGTGATTTCTTACACGTCCGCAAAAGGCGACCTCTTAATACCAAAGAGTGAAACTAGGGACTAGACGATTCAGAGAGAAAATCACTCAAATTTTAGATTAAAGTACTCTGAAATAAAGAACCACTATTAGTCAAAGCTCGACTGAAAACTCGATCTATTCGGTTGAATGAATTTCACTCTAAAACGCCTGGTTCCTAGTTTCAGTCGGTCGGAGTGAATTTCACTTCTTCTTTTTTTAATTTAGAGACATTGTCATACGCATACATTTTAAAATATTGCACATCTGGTGCCTGGTGATGCTTCGAATCAATGTTGGGTTAGTACAGGGCATGTCAAAAAATGTCCCTTTGGATATGTTCTTGTCTCCCAAGAAAACGGGAAAGGTAATCAGTTTTTTCTTTGCAGCCAACATCCAATCTAGTCGGAGTATCACCCGTTATCCACGGCGCATAACGTCTGATATGTCAAAGTCAATGTCAATGTCAAAGAGTCGACTTTACTGAATCGTGACGCCATTTCATTCCCAAAATCAGGGAACAATTTACTTAGCACAAAAAAGTCTGGCTTCATAAAAGCAGGTTACCAGCCAAAACCCCACGTGATGTACATTGCTCGTGATTAGTCTTCAGCTGTTTGCTTAGCAAGAAAATCGCATGGAGTTTTGGCTTATAACCTACTTTTATAGGCCAGACTTTTTTTGTGCTAAGCAACTTTTTGTGCTTAGCAGCGCTGTGAAATTGGGCACAGCCGGGCGCGTGTCACAGCCTTTGTTGCCGTGTCTAGTTTTTTTGGCATGTCTATGACGCGACAACTTCTTCAATATTTGTTTCGCTTTTCGTGCTCAAGAGCTGATACAAAATGAGAACGCTTGAGCTGTACGCGGTGATTTAAAAAGTAAATGAAATAGAGGTTTGGCGTTGATGGAGTTTTGTAGCGCTTGGAGGGAGTGGGATAAGCCTGTGATAACCTGCCAGCAAGGTTAAAAGATCCATTTCCCACAACTGTCTAGACCATTATCAACCATTTTGACTCTTACGAATATTCCAGTCAAATATTAGAATGTATAGAAAGCAATAGGCAACGGGTTTTTTAAGCAAATGTTAAGTGTGCCACCATTTTAAGCAGTTTGGTGTAATGTTAGTAAACACACTTGGCTTTTTTAACATGAAGATATCAAAGTATCACCGTTCTGTTTTTTCAGATTGTGTTCATTTGTCTCCCCTCCTCATGTCCAAGCACACAAGACATGGATACGTCACTACATAAATCGATGCGATATACAGGCCTGGATACAATTTCATCAGGGCATTTTGGAAGGTGATTTTTTTAAGTACTCGGTGAATCCACACGAAAATCCGATTGGATTGCTCGGGAAGGGCGCCGCCATGCAGATGTTACCTTTTAGGCCCCATTGGCTCTGAAATGGCAAGATGCGATGCGAGGGCGCAGCCTATCCTACACCATCTCGGGACTTGGTCGCCGCCCTCCACTCATCCCTATCCGGCATTAGGGTCCTCAGCTCCCCTGTGTCACTGAGACCAACGTCCCGCCGCAGCGTGTCGATGTACGTGAGTCGTCTCCGCCCCCTCCTGGCAGTTCCATGAGTCGGCTCCCACAGGATGGTGTCATGAGCTGCTAGCTCCGGGGGGCGGACGCGATGGCTTGCCACACCCATCCTCCTCTGATCTTGTCCAAAATACCTTGAAGGCTTTCATACAAAAACCCAAATAATTAACCAAAGTTCCTTGGGGAAATTCCAAGAGTGGCCACGCTGTGGGGAGACAGTCAGTCGGGGAGACAGTCAGTCAGTCAGTCTGTCGGTCAGCGAGAGACATAGATAAGTCTAATTTCAAATGACAGTGAATGAGTCCGTCAGTGAGTCAGTCAAGTTAAGTACAAATTATGCATAGTTTTGCAATGGTTGGAGCTGGAGTTTAAACCTAAGCATGTTTGTATTGTCGATAGTGTCACCAGGTAACCCGTATGCCGCCCCCTATAGGTGAAACATAGGGAGCTGAACTAAGGGTTGCAAATTGCCTACGCCTGCCAATCACGATTCGCATTCTCTCAATTTCTTTGCTATTAGAGTAAGTTGTGGGCCATGAACTTGGGGGTTTGTAAAAAAGAAGGGGGAAGCCTTGAAGAGGACTGCGAGCTCGTATTTCTGTCAAATGCGGATGAAATAGGCTCTAAAATTTCTCTATTTTGTTGCAAAATAGAGCAATTTTAGAGCCTGGGCAACATCCTTTATAATGGCGGTGGGCTTCAGCACTGAGCCTCAGTATCCCTACAGCTGCTAAAAACTAATGCTACTAGAATCACATTCTTGCAAACAGCACACTTGGAATAAATCGGGAAAGCTGAATCATGGATCGGTTCTTGTCACTCGGTTTATTCAACGTCATAGGTCATTGGAACCTTTTTGTTTTGTGCCGCAATATACAAGCAAAATAGCAAACAACAAACTGAGTGATAAGAATCAATAATGGTTGGTTCTTATCACTCAGCTTATTCAGCGTCATATGTCATTATTTACATTATGCAATGTACAGGAAAAATAGCAAACAGTAACTGAGTGATAAGAATCAATAATGATTGGTCCTTATCAACTCAAGTTATTCATCCTGGTATCATTATTTAATTATGCAATTTACAAGCATAATAGCAAACAGCAAACTGAGTGATAAGAATCAATAATGGTTCGGTCCTTATCAACTCAGGTTATTCATCCTCGTGTCATTATTTAATTATGCAATTTACAAGCAAAATAGCAAATAGTAAACTGAGTGATAAGAATCAATAATGATTGGTCCTTATTAACTCAGGTTATTCATCCTCGTGTCATTATTTAATTATGCAATGTACAAGCAAAATAGCAAACAATAAACTGAGTGATAAGAATCTATAATGATTGGTCCTTATCAACTCAGGTTATTCATCCTCGTGTCATTGTTTAATTGTGCAATTTACAAGCAAAATAGCAAACAGCAAACTGAGTGATAAGAATCAATAATGATTGGTCCTTATCAACTCAGGTTATTCATCCTCGTGTCATTATTTAATTATGCAATATACAAGCAAAATAGCAAACAGCAAACTGAGTGATAAGAATCAATAATGATTGGTCCTGATCAACTCAGGTTATTCATCCTCGTGTCATTATTTAATTATGCAATATACAAGCAAAATAGCAAACAGCAAACTGAGTGATAAGAATCAATAATGATTGGTCCTTATCAACTCAGGTTATTCATCCTCGTGTCATTATTTAATTATGCAATTTACAAGCAAAATAGCAAACAGCAAACTGAGTGATAAGAATCAATAATGATTGGTCCTTATCAACTCAGGTTATTCATCCTCGTGTCATTATTTAATTATGCAATGTACAGGCAAAATAGCATATATGTTGAGTTCCAACCAAATTAATCTAGTTTTTTGCTCCTTGTAGCTTTATACTCCATATAAGATATAAATTGAATTTAGGTTATTTCATTTTCTCTAAATTTGTATTCAAAAGTATTTACTGATTATTATTTTTTGACAATTGTTGTTTCTCTCTTTTATATTTACATAAGTTTTAAACGCAACAACAAAACCACTTTGTACAACAACAACAAAATCCGCGACCAAAGTTTTTAATTGATATTTGTGGTTAAACTATATTTTATCAATTCTATGTTTTATTTGTACAGTATTTGTGTTTCTATCAAGACTAAACAGAATTGGAATTTTGGCATTTGTCTTTTTGTAATATGAGGCAGTTTTAGATAATTTGTTGTTTTTAGCTGCATTTATTGATAGATCATAAAGAATGAAATGATATTAAAAATAACTTTAAATTCATTCAAACGTCAGTTGAATGTAATAATGCGCCGATTTTTCAATTGAACTACTTTTTCGCAATTGTGGGCGTCCAAAAAAAAAAAAACCAGGGAAAAAAAATTGTTTTTGTAAGAGCAGCTCTGCTCTGCAGGTACACTGGTTCTGATAGATGTGGGAACCAGTCTACCATGTGATCAATGAATTGTTGTCAGGACGCAAATAATTCTGAACTTGACAAGATATTTTTTCCAGATTAAACGTTAGCCCGTTGTTTCATTCGATGTCGGTGCTTTCATTCGATTTCTTCAATTACTCAAAATAATTTCAAACAGGGGTATGTATGGGGACGGTTTGACATCAAATGACGTGTTGGGGCGCTGTTATTTACAAACTTATATCAGTGACGTAGCATCCGAGGGAAGGGGATATTCAACGTGTTAATCCCCTTCTCCGATATTTTCTCACGAGTGCCGTTTTTCACGAGTGGGTTTCTTTTGTAACGCCCGTCGTCAATATTGTGCAACAATGAAGAGCGCCACCTATTGTCTGATAGTGCCCAAAATAGGAAGATGTATATGCATCATGTATGTGTTAAATTTAGCCTCGAAGCTGCATTTCAGGTAAACCTGCCAAATATCTATTACATTCATTTTTTTCTAGCAATGCACAGTTTCACCATAGTTGTCTTTTCCATTTTTGTTTTCATCTATTACTTATCATGGCCGTGCAGGGATTTAACATCCACAGTCCGGTTGGCGAGCGCATCAGCCTTCTTAAAAAAAAATAAAATGGGTTACCAATAACCAACCTATTGACACGTTCGCAAAAAAGTATTTATTATCGCATCGCACGGAGTTCCATCTGGCTGGTTTTCAGAGGGGAAACGCCATTCCAGTGGAACCATAACACGTCCTTTTCATAAGCGGCTGCATGATCATCTGGGTATTGACCATTCAAATCGGAGAACGTACAACTATGAAACCACCAGGCCCCGTGGAGGGATTGTGCACAATTTGATTCCCATCCATCATTGTCACGATCATTTGTTGAGAAGGGAAAACCTCTGTGATACGCAAGAGAGTCACCGGCAGTGCTGCTGGCGTCGTATTGGCCAATATTCAGATTGTACTCACCCGGGAATATTTGGAAATCTGAGTACTTTGCCCATGCCCTGTTGCCCTCCCAGTCCTCTAAATCAACTCGTAGCTCCCATGTTCCTTGTGAATCATCAGACGTCAGAGTCACCAAGTTGTCGTTGCCCAACCAGAACTCACCGGACAGATCACCAAAGCCAGCCTGGTACTCGGCCCAATTACGGTAGAAGTCCACGCTGCCATCTTGTCGCCTCTGAAACACGATCCATCCACCGCCGTCAGTTTCCATGTCACAGTAGACACGAAGACCGCCATTCCCAACTCCCTCTGGGTAGATTGTGTAGATACCGCTCGACCAATAGCCGGCATCTAAGAGCATCTTGCAACTTCTGTAGCGATTCAAGGAGCTATCAAACAGTGAGTAGAGAGGAGTGTCCTCATCTGCATCAAAGTACACACTCCCTTGAGTTGCATTGAAGTCTTCGGGATGCTCTCGTCTTGTGCCAAGGTTCAACTCGCACAGTTTACTGCAGTCGTTAAAGTTAAAAGACTTGCAACGTTCATCCATGCTGCATTCCCGTCCGCAGATGACACGAGATCGTACAGTTTTTCTCTCAAGTTGAAACCCTTGGAGTGCGCGATTTTCCGCGGCATAAAACACATGCTGTCCTGTATAAGATGACGTTTCAAATCCGGAGACAGTCAAAATGGCTCCTTGGAATCCGAAGTATAAAATGTACAATAGTTCCATTGCAAAGATCTGTTTGGCCATTGTCGCCATTATACTAAATTCCTCCCCAATTCGATCGATTTTTCACTTTGGTCGCACAATGAGAGAAAAATTAAGTACGGTATCGGGGATAGGCCTATAACTCACGTTTATTCGACGATATCAACCGTGGTAAAAAAAAAAGAGACAAGCGTCCCAATAATGATATCAATTTTCTTACACGAAGGCTGATAAAATTGAAAACACTTCTGTACACCGTGATTTAGATAACGCAAAATGATGTGGAGAATCCGTGTTGATGGCACAAGGTAGTGTCTGGAAGGAATGGGTAGAGATAGATGGTGTGTAATTCACTGATTAGTCATCGAAGTTAATACGTCATTCTACATCAGGGCTCTTAATTGGTCAGTTTTCCCGCGAATGGCAAACCGTAACATTTGATTGGCTGAATAATATACTCGGAGCGTGCTGGTCGTATCACTCTGTATATGGAGAAAGCGAGACGTTGGCGTCTTATTTGGTTCAGTTGCTTGTTATCAGTTCCAATGTAATAATAAAAGCACCAACTATCGCTTTCATCTCCTGCGAACGATTTCACAGTCACTGATTTCTACTCTATTTCTAAGAAATACTCTGGCGATATTGATTTAGTTCCAGCGATTCTAATGACATAGGGGGACAAAATCACCGGACAAAAATATCTATTGTAAGAGGTCAACTGGTTATCGTCGGTACTACTTCGTAATTAAGAATGCTGCCTTAATTCAAGGCGTCTTCATTAAGTGACGGTTGGTGGAATCCAGAAGGGCTTTCTTATTAAATATTGAGAATAGAATCAAAGAGCGTGTAATTGATATCAAAGGCTGCATCTTTATTATTACAGAAACGACTTCAATAAGGTGACCAGCAACTAAACCAAATAAGAATTCAATGCTACGTAACGTTTTACCATATCTTACAAGGAAAGAAGATTACACTCCTGCATCACAATAAATAGCCAATCAAATGCTACGGTTTGTTACTGAGTTCGATATCTAGCCTGAAAACAACACATTTGTTTGCGGCTGCCTTGCTGTAGGGCGCCCCCAACGCGAGTTAATCAAATTCCAGCTCCTTATTTCCACCCCCAAATCCCCCCCCCCCCCCGCTTGAGCATACTATTGGCAATGAACTAGAGGGTTTGCCAAAAGAAATATTGTTGGAAGCCGTGCACAGGAATATGAGCTTGTAGTTCAGTTCAATTTGGATGAAATTGGGGCCCTAAAAGTGCTCTATTTTGCAATGGAGTGTAGGCATCGTTTTTCAAAATGGCGATGGGCTTCAGGACTATTTTAAGGGGTGATCATCTTCGGATGGAAATTTTACCTAAAAGCCATCAGTTGGCACCCGTAAGTTGAAAACAAAATGAGAGATGATGAAATGAGCTTTAATGTGATGTGTGTCTCGAACACCTTGGAGAGTTTTTAGTACGTTTTTACCGAATTTCTGAAGTGGGAACATTTATCATTGGGGTCAATGGCAGTTTACTTACTGGTCTGCAACCTGTAATTTCAAAAATGGCGTCGTCCATCGTTCTTTGTCATAATAGCGATGCGCATGCGCTTGATATTCCGCGACAGTAGTTCTTCGGGGGGGGGGGGGCGTGACCTGGAGGGGCTGGGCAGCTTTTCAAAAGGGGTTTGCAAAAGCGGTTCCGCAACAAATGGGCACAAACCTGCAGGGGACCGATAGACCGTCATCCGATTGCAGAAATTTCGAGCGAAAAGTGTGTGTATGGTAAAACGTTACGTAGCATTGGATTCTTATTTGGTTTAGTTGCTGGTCACCTTATTGAAGTCGGTCCTGTAATAATAAAGATGCAGCCTTTGATATCAATTTCACGCTCTTTGATTCTATTCTCAATATTTAATAAGAGAGCCCCGTTTTTGGATTCCACCAACCGTTACTTAATGAAGACGCCTTCAATTGAGGCACCATTCTTAATTACGAAGTAGTACCGACGATAACCAGTTGACCTCCAACAATAGATATTTTGGTCCGGCAATTTTAATGAAAAGTAAATCGGTCCGAAATTGCCTACGCCGGCCAAATAACGATTTGCATGCCCTCAAAATCTTCAGTATTTGAGCATACTGTTGGCCATGATCTAGAGGGTTTGTAAAACAATTTTGTTGGAAGCCGTGCACAGGACTGTGAGCTTGTTATCCGTTAAATTTGGATGAAATTTCTCCTAAAAGTCATCAGTTGCCCCCCCCCCGTAAATTGCAAGAAAACCAAAGGAAAGATGATAAAATAAGCTTTAATGTGTGTTTGAGAGTTGTGAGTATTTTTCCCGAATTTCTGAAGTGGGAGCATTTATCATTGGCGTTAATGGAAGTTCATTTACTGGTCTGCAGCCTGTAATTTGAAAATGGCGTCGCCCATCGTTCTTGTTATAATAGCGGTGCGCATGCCCTTTATATTCCGCGACAGTGGCTTTTTTTTTTGGGGGGGGGACGTGACCTGGAGGGGGTGGGCAGCGTTTCAAAGGGGTTCCAATGGCGGTTCCGCATCAAATGCGCCGAAACATGCAGGGAGCCGATAGAACGTCATCCGATTACAGAAATTTCGAGCGAAAAAGGTGGGGGGGGGGGGGATGGGGTTGATTTGGGGTGGAAAGGAGCTGGAATTTAATTAACTCCCGTTGGGGGCGCCCTACAGCAAGGCAGCCGCAAACAGAGGTGTTGTTTTCAGGCCAGGTATCGAACTCAGATGATGAAATAAGCTTTAATTTGATGTGTGTCTTGAACATCTTGGAGAGTTGAGAGTATTTTTCAAGGATTTCTGAAGTGGGAGCATTTATCATTGGGGTCGATGGAAGTTTATTTACTGGTCTGCAACTTTGTATGGTGCATGGCTGACTCGAGGATGGGATGGTTCCGCTGATATTTTGCTGCATTCCCGTCCGCAGATGACACGAGAGCGCACAGTTTTGGTTGCATATGCAAACCCTTGTAGTTTAAGATTTTCAGCAGCATAAAATGGATGTTCACCTGTATAAGATGAAGTTCCCAATCCGGAGAAAATCAAGATAGTACCTTGGAATACTAATGACACTACGTAAAATAAGTCCAAAACAAATGTGTGTTTCGCCATTTTGCACCTGAGACTTCTGAACACCACAACGTAGATGACGTGAATGGTATCGTTGATCGCTGGTGATGGAATTCGGTATTGCATAGAAAGAAATGGGTAGAGGCAGACGATGGGTTAGTCACTGATTGGTCTACAGGGGGTAATACGTCAATCCCTGTTATTGGTCAGTTTTCCCGCCAGTAACAAACCGTAGCATTTGATTGGTTATTTATTGTGATGCAGGAGTGTAATCTTCTTTCCTTGTAAGATATGGTAAAACGTTATGCAGCATTGAATTCTTATTTGGTTTAGTTGCTGGTCACCTTATTGAAGTCGGTCCTGTAATAATAAAGATGCAGCCTTTGATATCAATTTCACGCTCTTTGATTCTATTCTCAATATTTAATAAGAAAACCCTTTCGGATTCCACCAACCGTCACTTAATGAAGACGCCTTGAATTAAGGCAGCATTCTTAATTACGAAGTAGTACCGACGATAACCAATTGACCTCCTACAATAGATATTTTGGTCCGGCGATTTTAATGAAAACAAGTCAGGATGGGTAGTTTGCAGTGGTTACTATGACAACATCTTGGCTGTAGGCAATAAGAAATTATTCTTCAATGCCAAGGTATACAGCTAGCCTGCTGACTGGCATAATATAATAATACGGTGTATTTACAATGGTGCCAGTCATCTTTGACTAAAAAGGTCAATTATACGGTATCAACCGAAGCTTATGAAGTCCCTTTAAGATGAAACCACTTTGACAACGTAGATATACTTAAGTATAGTGTATAAGAGTTTAAGCATAGCCCCAGCGTGTTACAGAGGCTAAACACAGTGCTCGAATCAAATTCTTACAAAAACGAAAACATTTAAAGAACCGAGAAAAATCAATCATGGATTGGTTCTTGTCACTCGGTTTATTCAACGTCATAGGTCATTGGAACCATTTTGTTTTATGCGGCAATATACAAGCAAAAAACTGTTGATAACAATTATTAAAAGGTAGCTTCTTATCACTCAGCTTATTCAATGTGCTAGGTGGATATCAATTGTACATGTTGCTATTTACAAGCAGAAAAGCAAAATGTTATACTAAGGTCCACCCCATATAATAGTTCGTACTACCTGTAGTTATATACTCCAAATAAGTAGTTTTCATTGAAGGTAAATATTGAGAACATTCATATATCTCCAAATTGAAGTTATCCCGTTCAAGTTCGCAACGTTTTAGGGATTTGAGTTTATATGAATATACGGTTTCTAATTAGGGAGAGCTTTTGATTTCATAAGCGTTTTCAAATAAGCGTGTGTTCAAAGGTTTTCTTGCAATCAAATCTTGTGTGAGTTGGTTTTGGATTTAGCACGAAATAGAAGAACATGATACAAGTATTCATTCAAGGGCAGTGACATTCGGGTTCAACGTCATGTGGAATTTGCATTATGCTAAACGTCAATCGCAATGGCTTTAAAATATATCAGCTTCATTTAAATATATCGTGGTTTTATTCAAAAAGAAAATACGGCTTTTAAAATCTCTTTTTGAGGTTCCAATTCAACAAAATGATCACACCACTAAAGAGAGGGTCACGTTGGTGTGAATCTATACATGTGTTAAGTTTATCTAGTTTTTTTATCGTCAAGTGTTCTCCTTATCTGTTTCTATTACATTGACACTTTGCAAATGTTTAGTGTCTACAAAATGTGTTGTGCATTCTTCTCAAGCTATCATACTTTTTCTTAGAAATGGCTAGCCAGCTGTACATTCCTTGATTCACTTTCTTAAAGTTAATTTGTTTTGGTTTTATATTTAATTAAACGACACATGCCTTGAACAAATTTCATTGAAAATGAAAAAAATAGCCGAGGGCTGAACTGCAATCTAAAGCTCTCGAAATTACATGCCCGAGTTACAAGATTTGCTGCCCACTTTTTACGCAATTGAGCTTATTTAGCCCATTTTCATATGAATTTGGATGAAAGATTTGCAAGACCAAATGAGCAGGGATTGAAAATGAACGAGAAAACCTCATATTAACCAAAGTAGAGAGTGCATGCGTGTCTCAAAAACTGGACATATTCAGTTTCAGATCAACTAAAGCCATTGCCTTTAACCTTTTCAACATCTTCCTTATATGTAAATAATTACATGCTGTTAATTACATGACAACGAAACCATTGATATAATTTACTTTTTCCCTTCTTTTTTATACAGTTTCTTTTCAGAATTAGTGTCCGTCTATGTAAACGGTCAGAGTGACAAATTAAAGCGCGAAAATAGAACAAAACGCTTTTATATTTCAAGGAGGCATAAACGAATTCTTTGAAAATAGAGATAGACATAAAACAAAACAAAAAACCATGGATTTGCATCATGTTCGATGACATAAATCCATTGTACTAAATCAGAGTCAGTAAAATATGGATCAGAAAAAACCCAGATTATATAGCAATTTTATCAGAAGCAAAATGTCCACGCTTTCTGTTCCCTGCATGCTTCCCTGCAAAAATTGGAAATGAAATATATCAATTTGGCCTTTCTTCAATATTAATGAACGATTCTCCATCAGGACTCAAAATTTGTGTTGGTGAGTTTTTGGCGGTCATTCATAGAACAAAGTTCTGCAATCAGAGCACGTGACCACTGTACACTTACTCGTTTTATACACATGAAGGTTAATGTTAGATATACCAACACATTCTCTAGGGGTCAGGTAAGTATATTTCTCTTAATCATACATAACTTAGATTGATGCCTTAATTTGTGCATGTGATATATGGGTATAAATTTATGTGGGCTACTTCTACTGTTGTGTGTAAATTGCAAAAAGGCTTCATATTTAAAACTCTTTCGACTTAAGGCTCTTTGGATTTGGGGTCACACCCCATAGGTAAAAAACCACCCATTCCTCTTAATTTGCAGGTGTCGTGTTTGCAACTTATAAGAGTTTTATGGTCCCAATTCACGCATTTTCATGCTGCACGTTTTCAGAGAATAAAAACGCCCTAAAAATGCCTGCCATTGCACGCCCATATTTTGGTCTACTGGTCCAAACGGGTAATATGGACCATTCAAATGAGATTGAAAACAGTAGTTAAACCACCAAGCTCCTTTAAATTGCTGTGCACAATTTGAACCCAAAGCATCATTGTCATGATCTTTTGTTGAGAAGGGACTTCCTCTGTGATCCCCAAGAGAGTCACCGGCAATGCTGCTGGCATCGTATTGGCCAATATTCAGATTGTACTCACCCGGGGATATTTGGAAATCTGCGTACTTTGCCCATGCCGTGCCCATACCCTCCCAGATATCTAAATCAACGCGTAGCTCCCATGCTCCACGTGAATTATCAGACGTCAGAGTCACCAAGTTGTCATTGCCCAACCAGAACTCACCGGACAGATTACCAAAGCCAGACTGGTACTCGGCCCAGTTACGGTAGAAGTCCACACTGCCATCTTGTCGCCTCTGAAACACGATCCATCCTCCGCCGTCAGTTTCCATGTCACAGTAGACAAGAAGTAGACGACCAGCACAGACTCCCTCTGGGTAGATTGTGTAGGTACCGCTTGAACGATAACCGGCATCTAAAAGCATCTTGCAACTTCTGTAGCGAACCAAGGAGCTATCAGTCAGTGATAACAGAGGTGTGTCCTCATCTGCATCAAAGTACACACTCCCTTGGGTTGCATTGAAGTCTTCGGGATGCTCTCGTCTTGTGGCAAGGTTCAACTCGCACATTTGATGGCATTCGTTAAAATTAAACGACTTGCAACGTTTATCCATGCTGCATTCCCGTCCGCAGATGACACGAGATCGTACAGTTTTGGTTGTAAATGCAAACTCCCTTAGAGCTCGATTTTCCGCCGCATAAAACGTATGCTGTCGTGTATAAGATGAAGTTTCAAATCCGTAGACAGTCAAAAAGGCTCCTTGAAATCCGACGTATAAAATGTCAAACAGTGCCAACGTAAAGATCTGTTTCGCCATTGTCGTCATTATGCTAAAGTCCTGCAAATTTAATTGATCCTTGTTTGGTCTCACAATGGGAGAAATAGACAGTAAAGCGATATGTCTTGCCTGGTAAACTATGGTATAAACGGTGATAAACCTATCTCGTACGATAATACAACCACATAAGCGTTGCAGGAAAAAAGACAATTCGAATTATTCTTGCACAAACGCTGACAAAAATATCCACACTTCTGTACACCGCAATTTCGATAACTGTAAAACGATGTAGAGGATCGGCGGTGTTTCCAAGCAAATTTGGCGTTGATGGCGTTAGGTAGTGCTTGGAAGGAATTCGTAGAGCCAGATGGTGTGTAAGTCGATGATTGGTCATCCATGTTAATGCGTCATTCCAAACCAGTGGCTTGGAATTGGTCAGTTTTTTTCCGCCAATAATAAACCGCAGCGTTTGATTGGTTGACTTTTACGATGAAGGCGTGTAATCTTGTCGCTGTATAACAGGTCGGGGAAAGCGAAGCATCAACGTCGCATTGGGTTGAGTTGCTTGATGCCATTTCAAATTTAATAATAAAACCAGCAACTGTTTTGTTCGACCACTGCGAACGATTTCACGGTCTTTGATTTTCTCTCAATGTGAAACGGAAAGGAACTTGAAGCTTCCATTGCGTAATAATTGCGTCTTCGTCTTCAATGTTTTTGCAGCAGTCTTAACAATAGGAACCCCTCCACACGATAACAAGAAATATTCTGGCGATATTGATTGTTTCTCTGGTTATTATGCCTACTCTTGAGAGTGAAGGCCACAAGCTAATTACTCTACAATGAAAATAATTGCCAAACCTCAATTGGTGGTATGAAATTACGAAATTTAAACGCCATCACAAAATATTCGGATTTGCGTCCACAAAACATCCAGACTCTAATATACTAAATTCTGACATAAAGTTGATTATGTTGGAAGAAATGAACAAGTCTGATCGCTTTTGCCATCTTCCATCCTGGATTTCGCCTCTTCTAATCTCATATATGCATTGACTAAATGTGATTTACAACAAAACTGTATCGGCCGAAACAACTTGACGTAGAGCATGATTATTTCAGCTCAACCAAACAAAACATTTTGTAATCATGGTAACGGGAGGGCACGGAGGTTGAAGGAGATTCCATTGCATTTCTAGGGGTGTATATTTACAGATAAACAGTCGAAAAGTCCGATGAAATAGGAAATGTACACAAAGCAATATATATGCAAAGGAATTATAAACGGCTCTGTTTAAGCAAAGGTTGAGTGTGAATGATTTTTTGGTGTAATGCAGGTTGAGACGTTTAACAAGAACATATATAAGCACCTGCAATTTGTTTCCGAAGGTTTGTTGGTTTGCCTGCCCTCCTCACAGCGCCCTCCTCACAGCGCCCTCCTCACAGCGCACTCCTCACAGCGCCCTCCTCACAGCGCCCTCCTCACAGCCCCCTCCTCACAGCCCCCTCCTCACAGCCCCCTCCTCACAGCGCCCTCCTCACAGCGCCCTCCTCACAGCGCCCTCCTCACAGCGCCCTCCTCACAGCGCCCTCCTCACAGCGCCCTCCTCACAGCCCCCTCCCCACAGCCCCCTCCTCACAGCGCCCTCCTCACAGCGCCCTCCTCACAGCCCCCTCCTCACAGCGCCCTCCTCACAGCGCCCTCCTCACAGCCCCCTCCTCACAGCCCCCTCCTCACAGCGCCCTCCTCACAGCGCCCTCCTCACACAGCCCCCTCCTCACAGCCCCCTCCTCACAGCCCCCTCCTCACAGCGCCCTCCTCACAGCGCCCTCCTAACAGCCCCCTCCTCACAGCCCCCTCCTCACAGCGCCCTCCTCACAGCCCCCTCCTCACAGCCCCCTCCTCACAGCGCCCTCCTCACAGCGCCCTCCTCACAGCGCCCTCCTCACAGCGCCCTCCTCACAGCGCCCTCCTCACAGCCCCCTCCTCACAGCCCCCTCCTCACAGCCCCCTCCTCACTCGCCCTCCTCACAGCGCCCTCCTCACAGCCCCCTCCTCACAGCCCCCTCCTCACAGCCCCCTCCTCACAGCGCCCTCCTCACAGCGCCCTCCTAACAGCCCCCTCCTCACAGCCCCCTCCTCACAGCGCCCTCCTCACAGCCCCCTCCTCACAGCCCCCTCCTCACAGCGCCCTCCTCACAGCGCCCTCCTCACAGCGCCCTCCTCACAGCCCCCTCCTCACAGCGCCCTCCTCACAGCCCCCTCCTCACAGCGCCCTCCTCACAGCGCCCTCCTCACAGCGCCCTCCTCACAGCCCCCTCCTCACAGCCCCCTCCTCACAGCCCCCTCCTCACAGCGCCCTCCTCACAGCGCCCTCCTCACAGCCCCCTCCTCACAACCCCCTCCTCACAGCCCCCTCCTCACAGCGCCCTCCTCACAGCGCCCTCCTCACAGCCCCCTCCTCACAGCCCCCTCCTCACAGCCCCCTCCTCACAGCCCCCTCCTCACAGCCCCCTCCTCACAGCCCCCTCCTCACAGCGCCCTCCTCACAGCGCCCTCCTCACAGCGCCCTCCTCACAGCGCCCTCCTCACAGCCCCCTCCTCACAGCCCCCTCCTCACAGCGCCCTCCTCACAGCCCCCTCCTCACAGCCCCCTCCTCACAGCCCCCTCCTCACAGCCCCCTCCTCACAGCGCCCTCCTCACAGCGCCCTCCTCACAGCGCCCTCCTCACAGCGCCCTCCTCACAGCGCCCTCCTCACAGCCCCCTCCTCACAGCCCCCTCCTCACAGCGCCCTCCTCACAGCGCCCTCCTCACAGCGCCTTCCTCACAGCCCCCTCCTCACAGCCACCTCCTCCCCCACACAAGACCTGGCTACGCATTTACACCAATCGATACGTTTAATAGATACAATGCGATATTGTGTAGCGCGCCCGCTTTTTGAAAAAAAAAATTGTTCCATGACGAGAAAATACGGAGCGTCCTTACAGTGTATTAAAATTCCCATGATATACATTCAATGTATATTCCCCTGTATAACGTGAAGTTCCAGAGACAATGAAATACCAAGGAATACCAAGGACACTTTGTAAAATAAGTGCAAAGCAAAGACAACGTAGACAACTTGAATGATACAATAATTAATGTTGAGGGTATTTAGTATTGCCAGCAAAGGAAAGGGTAGAGACAGACGGTGTTTAAGTCCCTGATTGGTCCACAGGGGTAATACGTCATTCCTTGTCATTGGTCAGTTTTCCCGCCAGTGACAAACCGTAGACTTTGATTGGCTAAACGTTGTGATGCAGAATGGTAAAGTGTCATCTTCTTGCGTTGTTAGATATTGTGGAACGTTATGCAGCATTGAATTCTTATTTGGTTTAGTTGCTGGTCAATAAATTGAGAAAACTGAATCATGGATTGGTTCTTGTCACTCGGTTTATTCAACGTCATAGGTCATTAAACCTTTTTTTTATAGTGCGCAATATACAAGCAAAATAGCAAACAGTAAATTTAGTGATAAGTTTAGTGATAAGTTGATCAATATTTAAAAGCAGTCAATTCTACCACGCACTAAGTGAGAGCCTTGCAGGAGCGAGTCTTTGACACAAGTTTTGTAGCGATTTGTCTGTTAAAATAAGAGACCAGCACAGCATACCTGATATGTAACCAATCCCAGTTAATTAAGGGCTGGGCTCACCCCCTTCTTCTCAGAATTTGAGATAGCAAATTTACATTTTATGACAGCAAACCAATAGAGTGATCCCTCCTGTGCATACAGCACCTCGGTTACCATATTCCAAAATCACTACGTGTTTCTGGAGACGTGGTTCCATTCAGTTTCTTATATACAGATGAACACAAGTGTTCCCCTCGAAAAAAAATGCAAATTACATGTTTAAATTAATATTTAAGAATGTCTTTTTCTTTTCTCCTCTTTTCTCCTTCGAAAATGTGGGAGGGGGTTAGGGGTGTTCATGATAATTGTTAACAAAATGAATACAACTGGCGTTACCGAGCATAAACTACAGTAGTACCGTCAAGTAATATATTGTTTAGTGGTGGTGTTTCCAAAGTTAAAAAACAGGTGGATGAATGAGGACGGTTTGACATCAAAATTATGCTTCTTTTTCTCAAGAGTGCCCTTTTTTTTACGAATGCTTTTTAACGCCCCGCAAGTATTCCACCATGAATAGCGCCACCTTAGTGCCCAAGATGGAAAGATGGTGTATTATTATGCATCGTGTAAGTGTTATACAAAACATCATAGGTGCACCTGCCAAACATCTATAAATATTTTTTTGTTGTAACAACATAGCTTAACTTTAATCGTTGTGTCTATTTTCTTTTTCATCAGTCTGTTATTTAGGAAGGCCGGGCAGGCATTTTACATCCACACTCCGGTCAGCTCCGTCACTTTGGAAATTGCCGATTTCATCGAACTCTTCGTAACTTACGATGCATCGCAGCGCTGCGACACGTCGTATCCCTACGATGCTTCGCAACTGCGACGCGTCCAGCGATCCATTTCACAAAACATGTAGTAAGTGCGACGCGTCTTAGGTGTATTTATAGCACAACTCGGTGCTGTTTTATGTATTAAGTCAGCGTACAGTAAATAGTCGTCTGATATTCAACAAAGAGTCGTGGGATCTCCGCTCAACATTTGTTAAAACGTAAAACAAAATGGCGGTCGTGCGATGCAATTTTGAAGGAAAACAAGCTCTCAGTGGACTGTATAGCTACTTTGAAATTTCAACTGCAATATTCCAGTCTAATTCATAATTATTCAATGAATTTTCTATTTACAACTTTACACACATTGCCTCGGTATTATAATCTCGTTTATGTAATGTTTATGGCATAAACTGGCTACGAAAGGGTTTTTCTTATTTTGCAATGACCACTAGACACGTCGTAACTTGCGACATGTTTTAAACCGTTGTCAAGGAACTTACGACGCGTTCAACACATCGCAACTTTCGTGAAATGGATGATACGACGCGTCAACTCGAGTTGCGACGCGTCGCAGCGCTTCGAGAAATCGGGTGCTGCCCCTTTTTTGGCGGGCGTATCATACTTGGGTAAAAAAAAATATGCAATTTTAAGTTTACAATAACCAACTTAAAAACATGCTCGAAAAAATGTATTCAGGGTCCCATCGCACGCATTATCATCTGGCAGGTTCTCAGAGAATAGGAAGAGCCTTTCCATTCAAACCAATGCACGCCCCTCTCATCAGCTGTTACATGCTCATTTGGGTAATATCGACCATTCAAGTTGGAGAGCAAACAATCCTTAAACCACCAAGCTCCGTGGAAAGATTGTGCACAATTTGACTGCCCTTTATCATTGTCACGATCGTTTGTTGAGAAGGGACGTCCTCTATGATACCGAAGAGAGTTACCGGCAGTGCTGCTGGCGTCGTATTGGCCAATTTGCAGATTGTACTCACCCGAGGATATTTGGAAATCTGGGTACCTTGCCCATGCCATGTTGCCCTCCCAGTCCTCTAAATCAACACGTAGCTCCCATGTTCCTAGTGAATCATCAGATGTCAGAGTCACCAAGTTGTCGTTGCCCAACCAGAACTCACCGGACATATCGCCAAAGCCAGACTGGTACTCGGCCCAGTTACGGTAGAAGTCCACGCTGCCATCTTGTCGCCTCTGAAACACGATCCATCCTCCGCCGTCAGTTTCCATGTCACAGTAGACACGAAGACCGCCATTCCCGACTCCCTCTGGGTAGATTGTGTAGATACCGCTTGAACGATAACCGGCATCTAAGAGCATCTTGCAACTCCTGTTGCGATTGAAGGAGCTATCAGCCAGTGAGTAGATAGGTGTGTCCTCATCTGCATCAAAGTACACACTCCCTTGAGTTGCATTGAAGTCTTCGGGATGCTCTCGTCTTGTTGCAAGGTTCAGCTCGCACATTTTATTGCAGTCGTTAAAGTTAAACGACATGCAACGTTTGTCCATGCTGCATTCCCGTCCACAGATGACACGAGATCGTACAGTTTTTGTTACAAATGCAAAATCTCTTAGAGCGCGATTTTCAGCGGCATGAAACGTATGTTCCCCTGTATAAGATGAAGTTTCGAATCCAGAGACAGACAAGGTAGCTCCCTGGCATATGATGGATATTATGTAAAATAGTTCACGACGAACAATTTGTTTCGCCATGTTTCTATTAATTGAAGGTCTCATACGACGGAAGATATTAGGTCGATCTCAGTTTTTTCCTTGTATTGTTTAATACCAGATAAATGCAGATAAACTTGCAGGAAACAACATTCAGTGATTTCTCTTGTATGATTTAACTATCAACCATGGTTGTAAAACGACTAACATTTCAAGCCACACTGCCTTCGTTAGCTGTCTTCTTTACACAACTGCCAGATTGCTGTGTTGATACAGAGGCCTGATGATGATGGGTTTTGGTAGTTCACAGAGAGGAATGGGTTTAGGTATAGACGATGTGGATCCCTCTGATTGGATATCGACATAAATACGTCAGTCCACAACAGTGGCTTTTAATTGGTCAGTCTTCCCGCCAGTCACAAATCCTAGCCTTTGATTGGCGGATGTTTTACCGCTAACTAATGACCTCATCTGTCTGTAATTATGGATAATTTTATGTTGTGAAGCGCTGAAGTCTGCATTCGTTTTGATAATTAATAATCGTCATAAAGAATTTTAAGTAACAGTCTTTACAATAAGTAGTCATACCGTTGGCAATAATAGCTCTAATAGCTCTCACGATGTTGATTTAGCTCCAGCGATTATAATGAAATAGATAGCGGGAATATTGTTCTCGTGGGAGCAATATGCCAGTTACGATACCTTGCCCTTAACCACTGAAGCTAATTGCGTTCAAGGATGAACGATTACCAAACCTGAATTGGCTGCCTTGAAATTAAATATAGTCGCAAATGTTAGGAGTTGCTATTGCCATCTGTTATAGTGTCTTGACTCCTTGTTTAAGGCAGATTAATGTACTGTCCTAGACCGCCACTACCGAATCCCGCTGGGTAGATTTGTTAAACGACTTGCAAAGTCCATCCATGCTGCATTCATGCCCGCAGATGACGCGAGAGCGCACAGCTTTGGTTGCATATGCAAATTTGTAACGTACGATTTTCAGCAGCATAAAATGAATGTTCTCCTGTGTAAGATGAAGTTTCCAATCCAGAGACAATCAAGATACATGTAGTTCCCTGGAATACCAAGGACACTATGTAAACTGACTGGGGGGGGGGGGGGGAGCAGAGGCAGGACACTCGAACACCTTCCCACAGTTGCTACGTCATTGGGAAAGTCCCACTCCCCCATCCCCACCCCGCAGGACCACCTCCCTTGGGTAAAAACATTCATTCTATTTATTTGCAAATGCCAACTTTCAACATAATTAATTATTCATCGTCCCAATTAACGCATTTTCATGCTGCACGTTTTCAGAGAATAAAAATACCCTTTCCATGTCTCCCATTGCACGCCCATGTTTTCTTGTACACGCCCATACGGGAAATATGGACCATTCAAATGAGAGAGAAAACACTGATCAAACCACCAGGCTCCTTTCCAGTTTTGTGCACAATTTGTCTCCCATGAATCATTGTCGCGATCCCTTGTTGTGAAGGGACGTCCTCTGTGAGTCCCAACGAATCTGTCAAAATAACCAAGAGAGTCGCCGGCAGTGCTACTTGCATCGTATTGGCCAATATTCAGATTGTACTCACCAGGGGATATTTGGAAATCTGAGTACTTTGCCCATGCCGTGTTGCCCTCCCAGTCCTCTAAATCAACTCGTAGCTCCCATGTTCCTTGTGAATCATCAGACGTGAGAGTCACCAACTTGTCATTGCCCAACCAGAACTCACCGGACAGATCGCCAAAGCCAGACTGGTACTCGATCCAGTTACGGTAGAAGTCCACACTGCCATCTTGTCGCCTCTGAAACACGATCCATCCTCCGCCGTCAGTTTCCATGTCACAGTAGACACGAAGACCGCCATTCCCGAATCCCTCTGGGTAGATTGTGTAGATACCGCTTGAACGATGACCGGCATCTAAGAGCATCTTGCAACTTCTGTAGCGATTCAAGGAGCCATCAGTTAGTGAGTAGAGAGGTGTGTCCTCATCTGCATCAAAGTACACACTCCCTTGAGTTGCATTGAAGTCTTCGGGATGCTCTCGTCTTGTGGCGAGGTTCAACTCGCACATTTTATTGCAGTCGTTAAAGTTTAACGACTTGCAACGTTTCTTCATATTGCATTCCCGTGCACAGATGACACGAGATCCCACGGTTTTCTTAGCATATACAAACCCTCGCAGTTCACGATTTTCCGCGGCGTACATGATTTGTTCGCGTTGATGACATAGGTGTCCACTGACAACAATGACCGCCCCCAAAAATATCATCAGCTCAAAAACAAATTGCTTCATTGTTAAAAATTCAACCAAAACGACGTGAGTTTCTTCAAGTGTCAGTAATCAACAATTAAGACTCAAACAAAGGCGTTTTCTTCTTTGATGACCCAGTTGCATTCAATTGCGATCAAAATTAAATCGTGATAACCGACTGATTTCCAGATCATGCGAGCATCCTTGTCTTTGTTTATCGTATTCAAAGACGTCCAAGTCATGAAATCAAACCCAGTTCACCATGTTCCATACTCGGCTCTGAATTCGCTTACTTCTTTGCATCGATCATCGCTAGCACTGCAGATATCAACGCGTTACCACAGCGCAGCGTCTGGAATGAAACTGGCGACGTAGCGCTCCTGGTTTTCATCCAACAAGGTAAGCATCAAGCGGAGACACTGATTGGTCACTCAAATGACTGCTAATGAGCAGCTCGCACTGGATTGGTTGATACCAAGTATGAACGCAATGGCTCTGTTCGAGCGAGTTGCTCCTGGTAACACAAGTATACTCCAGAGCTCACGAACGGTAATCTTGATTTCTCCCATACCCTTCCAAAATTACCTTTTGGATTATTTATTGTTGGAAAGAGCAATGTGTATGGAACAAATTCCAACTCTCGAGAGTATCGAGAGTGATCCTACTCGAAGGCACACATCGTGTCTATGTGGAATTCCGTATTGTCGATACACTAATGCAAATGCGGATCGCAAGGCCTTTTCTAAACACAGCGTTATGGCACAACGTTTAGATAGACATTATAGAGTATTATTATATATAAATATATACAGCGCCATATTCACGCCAGCCATTTAAATTCTTCAATGGAATTCTTGAATTTATGGTTACTTTTTTGTTGTTTTTGGGTGATTTTTTGGTTGTTTGGTTGTTGGGTTTTTGGGGTTCTTGGTGTTGTTTGTTTGTTTGTTGGGGGTCGTTTGTTTGTGTGCTGGGGTGTTTGTTTGTTTGTTAGGCTTGTTTGTATATTTGTTTGTTGTTTTTAGGGAGTGGGTGTTTTTTTGGGGGGTTTTTCAGTGGTTGGTTAATTTCAAACATTATATAGGCCTAGGTAATTTGTTGGTAAATAAAAGTAATGTACACCCAGTTTGTCTTTTTTGGCTGTTTAGATGTTTGTCTTCTATCCGTGGCAATTAAATAAGGGTTCTATGTGCATTGTATTGACATTTTGTCTGCCTATTTATACACAGAGGCGACCATCAGTATATGGTTGGCAGGGTTACGTACCCTAATAAATTGGAATATCCTCGAGATAATGTCCACATATTGGTCTGTGCCGACCAAATAACAATCGAAGCTCAGTAGGGGTTGCTTCGTGTCGGTAGCTGTCGAGGCTTCAGATGGATCGATACTCAATTACGGAACTGCGATCTCAATTGCAGACACGCTATCAGTTTTTACCTGCAGTGCATATTTATAATGATGAAAACCATTTAGAAACTAAACCAAAATCAATTGAAAAGGCAGTGTATTTTCGAGTACACATGATACACGGTTGGGGAATTCTATCAACTTCCAATGAAGGCTTTATTTTTGTGAGAAGAAATGACACTGTCTCCTCAATAATCTATAGATTTCGACTGGTGTTAATATATCACAGTTTTAAAAATTGAAATCTCCTTGTTGACTAGACGGCAAAATATGGACGTATTGCCTAGCAACGACGGCCGGTGAAGGACACCGCATTTTTTGTATGCACGCAATCTATTCTTATATTCAAAAACCAATGCAATAGACCGAGTGCAATCTATAGACCAATTTACTCAAAAAGCTCTTTCGTCCAAAATGCAGTTTCAATAATCGTCGGCACAATTGTCTTCATACATCATCAGTGATGAAACTTCAGTGTAAATGTAAAAACAAAAATCAACAAAAACCTTTTGAAGGCCCGTCTTTTAGAGAAAGATATTGTGTACTACAATTCTTGACAGTTGTTAAAACAAGTATTATGTGTCATTTTCTTTGTTGGACGAAATAGGGTTTGGGGTCATTGTGTTTAAATGGTGATATTCTTTGACCGGATTGAGCAATTTCAGTATTTTGTTCATCTAAAAGTAGCTTATGAATTTGCTTTCCAGTCATTATTTTGTTTGGTGCTACATATTGTTTTAAATATGAAATGTATTTTTGGGGTTTGGGTTACTTTTTTCACACCCTGTACTTGTCGTTGCGACGTCTATCTCGCTTTGATGAGTTTTAACTCCACCCTAGACCCTGACGACGCGACTCTGTGTGTTACCGTTTCCCAAATATTTGAACATAGAGAACACTGTTCGGAATTGACAATCTAGTCTGGTTCCCTGTCCCATATGCATTGTCCTTCGGACTTCAAATATGGGGACAGGTAGCAAGCAGTGAATCCTGAATACATTAAGAGGCTTTTCTCGTAATTTATACGCAAATTATATGCAGGACGTGCGTAGGTCTGAATCCCGCCTCCTGAAATTAAAATCACAACGGCAGTGGCGATTATAGAGGGAGGGGGAGGGGGGGGGGGGGCTAGTGGGGGCTCTGTCTTGGCCCCCCCCCTCCCCCCACAAAAAAATGTCTCGCCCCCCTCCCCCAAAAAATCCTCAAAAAAAAAATTGCACTAGCAAAATGTAAGAATGTGACACACATGCGAACGGTATCCCCCTAAATAATAGTCTTGTGAAGGGTGTAGTTGTACACTTTTAGTTAATATAGTGTGCCTGATTGTAGCGCTCCCCATTAAAAATATGGCACGACCATCCTGCGTTCGATCAAAATAGTCGAATTGAGGTTGATTATAGTTGTCGCCAGAATTAGCTCAATGTTGCGCCCTAAGCTTATCACGCATTTTTGATGCGTGTGCTACCTTCTGTAGGCTGAATGTAATAAGGTTCGGCAGTGATTATAATGGTGGATGGCTGAATGGTTTGGCTAGTTCTCGGTTAACTGGTGCACCTTGGGTGCAAAATTAAACATAAGAAGTGGACTAAATTGATGTTTATGGACTAATTAGAAAATTGGAAACGGTCAATTCCAATGAAAAACGTTTTAAAATACCTAAAAAAAACCTATATATACAAACGAATAAATAATATTCATATCCCCGATGTCCCCTCTGGGTCTTCGTACTAAATGCTTTTTAATTTTTTTTTATTTCATTTTTTTTTAGGGGGGGATGTTGCAGGGTGGGGGAGGCAGAGCGTCCCCCTACCCCTTACCCCGCGAGATCACATCCATTTTAGTTTACAAGTATGACCATAAACGAAACATTCAAGTGACTAATTATTATTCAGGGTCCCAATTCACGCATTTTCATGCTGCATGATTTCAGAGAATAATAATACCCTTTCCATGTCTTCCACTGCACACCACGGGCATAATCTACATGATCAAACGGAAAATATGGACCATTCAAGTGAGAGTGAAAACAGTTATCAAACCACCAGGCTCCTTTCCAGGACCATGCACAGTTATACGACACGGCATCATTGTCACGATCATTTGTTGAGAAGGGACGTCTCTTATGCCACCGCAGAGAGTCACCGGCACTGCCGCCGACGTGCCCATCATACTTCAGATTGTACTCACCCGGGGATAGTTGGAAATCTGAGTACTTTGCCCATGTCGTGTTGCCCTCCCAGTCCCCTAAATCAACGCGTAGCTCCCATGTTCCTAGTGAATCATCAGACGTCAGAGTCACCAAGTTGTCATTGCCCAACCAGAACTCACCGGACAGATCGCCAAAGCCAGACTGGTACTCGGTCCAGTTACGGTAGAAGTCCACGCTGCCATCTTGTCGCCTCTGAAACACGATCCATCCTCCGCCGTCAGTTTCCATGTCACAGTAGACACGAAGACTGTCATTACCGAATCCCTCTGGGTAGATTGTGTAGATACCGCTTGAACGATGACCGGCATCTAAGAGCATCTTGCAACTTCTGTAGCGATTCAAGGAGCTATCAGTCAGTGAGTAGAGAGGTGTGTCCTCATCTGCATCAAAGTACACACTCCCTTGAGTTGCGTTGAAGTCTTCGGGATGCCCTTGTCTTGTGGCAAGGTTCAACTCGCACATTTTATTGCAGTCGTTAAAGTTAATCGACTTGCAACGTTCATCCATGTTGTATGAAGCTGAATGATTTCTAGGGCATTCAAAGCAAAAGCTTATCATTATTAGTAATTTTCAACATTTGTCAGTGATGTTTGTCACTTTTGGGCGACTTTTTTTCAGTTCATGAAAGCAGACTAAGTTTAACGAGTTCTGTCATCAAATCTCCACCAGCGTTATTGCATCAGACTGTCGCTAACACTGCAGATATCAACGCGTTACCACAGCGCGGCGTCTGGAATGAAACTGGCGACGTAGCGCTCCTGGTTTCCAGCTATGTTAGCATTCCACGGAGATGAGAAACACTGATTGCTCACTGAAAAAAAGGAGCAATCGACGAGGCTATTTTGTGGCTGTAGGTTTGTGTTTTGATTTGACATGCGTGTGGTGGGTATGTTGGTAACATCTAGAGAGACACTGATTGCTCAGTGAAAAAAAGGAGCAATCAACGTGGCTATTTTGTGGCTGTAGGTTTGTGTTTTGATTTGACATGCGTGTGGTGGGTATGTTGTTAACATCTAATTAGAGTCCTTTGTTGTCAATGATGAGGATGCTTGTCTTATGGGAGTGTCAGTCATCGATCTCTTGGTGTGCCGAGCATCTCGACAATGAGTATGGACTTGTTTTCCTATCTGTCAGATCGCAGGCGCGTCTGAATTACTTGACTACGGCTGAAGATAACACACAGACTATGCGAAGCGGCTGCCGGGAAAAAAACTTGTATTTCTTTACAATATGTGTAGGCCTAGTAGTAGACATACAGTGTATTACATCCTTGAAATTAAAAAAATGTGTGAATCGAAATTTGTAGAAAGAAAACCGCACCCACTGTGTCGCATGTTTTTCTTCTACGGCCTTTGCGACACCACCGCGCGCCAGCCAATCCAGCCAAAGTCGACTGTAGAAATTAAGACAATACATTTCGATCATAAAAAACGAAGACTAAGCTTTTGATTGGTCAATTCGGTTGCCATAGTTTTCTATATGCATCAACGGGTTACAGAAGACTCAATGTGCCCTCTGAACGGTCAGAATCTTGAGGTTAAAACGGAGGGGGGGGGGGCTAGAATGTTAAAATGGAAGGGGCGCCAAATCATCTTTATATTGGTGCGTCCTTCAGAGCGGACATTATTGGACAAGAAGTGACGCTTTTCATTTAATTTAAGTACTATCGCGCAACGTCAAAAAGGGGAACTCGTAAAAACTAGAGATGTTGTGAAAAAGGAAAAGCAAATTTCCGTACCACAGCGAAATACAGACCAAAGGGAGGGGGCGGGGGGGGGGGGGGCTAGAGGCAGCAGTTCAAATGTGAAAAGTGGGGTAGGGGCTGGGGGAGGGGATGAATGCCATGTGACGCTAGGCGGGTGCTCTTTCCTCATTTTATTAATTTGCTTCTTTCTATGTTGATATCACCTGTCTCCAAGAGGAAAAAGATTTTGTTGAGCATTGATGTTAAAACCTCGGTTCACTCCCCTTCTGGTCTGATTAAAGACAATAACGATTGAAGTTTTCTTTTTTGTAGAGGGCGTAATCGCTCTTGTGGTCCTTTTGATTCGCCGATTTACTGAATACTATATTCTAACGGAGTATCAATGGCACTACGTGTAGACGAAGTTGTAGATTTAAGTGTAGACATATTTTGAAGTATACCCCTAGTATCGCTACAGCTGCTTAACCCTAGTACTACTAGAATCACAATCTTGCAAACAGAACACTTTCAATAAATTGGGAAAACTGAATCAAGGATTGGTTCTTGTCACTCGGTTTATTCAACGTCATAGGTCATTCGAACCTTTTTTCTAGTGCGCAATATACAAGCGAGATAGCAAACAGCAAACTGAGTGATATACGAATCAATAAATGTTTGGTTCTTATCACTCAGGTTATTCACCGTTATAATTAATTATATATGCAATGTACAGGCAAAATAGCAGATAAACACGTTTAGATCCAACCAAGTTATTTTAGTTTTTTGCTTCGCAAATCTTAATATCTTCCGTACTATTAGTTATATTCAAGTTGAATTAAATATGAGTTATTTCTTTTTCTCAAATTGGTATTCGAAAGAAGACAGTGCATACTTACATTACGTGACAATTTCAGTTTCGGATTTACTGATATAGCTTCTTCTCTCATTTATATTTACATAATAATGTTTAAGCGCAACGACAAAACCACATTGTACAACAGTTGATATCGCAAATCTTCGTTTAACTACGATGACTTTGAAGATTAGTAAAAAAAAAAAAAAATTCACTTGTATTCTTTTGGCAGGAAAAAAATACCAAGACAAAAGTTTTGAATTTATATATTTGTTGAACAATAACTCATTTATGAAATATTCGTAAAATGTTCGTTTCTCCAGCATCAAGACTCAAAAATATTTGGATTTATGTCTTTTTCAGTTTGTGAACACTAGATGGTTTTATAATGTGCAGGTTCTGGCTGCCATTTATCAATAAAAGATGCGACAAAGTAAATTTCACGTTTAATCAATTTGTTTTAATTTAAGGTATTAAATATAATAATGTGCCCGCAAACTTAAATTCACCTTCATTTTGTCGCTTTTGAGGGCGTCACACAACCCTGAAATTCCCCCTTTTTTAAAACCAGCAGATCTGCTGTGCAAGTACACTGGTTCTGATAGAGGTGGAAACCAGTCTCCCCTGTGACAGATGAATTGTTGTCACGGCGCAAATAATTCTTAATTTGACAATAAATTATTTCCCGATTATACGTTAGCCCGTCGTTTTATTCGATGTCGGTGCTTGCATTCGATTTCTTCAATTACTTTTGTATTTCTAGAAAAAAAAATGGCATTTGAAAAAAAACCCCGGAAATTGAGCAGAGTTACATTAAGTATTTAAAAGCAGCCAATTCTACCACTTACAAAGTGGGAGTCTTTCAAGAGCGAACTATTGACATACATTTTGTAGCAATTTTTCTGTCAAAATGAGAGACCTGCGTAACTGATGGAAGTATGCCCAATCCCAGTTGAGGGCGGTGCTCATCCCTTCCTCTCAGACTTCGAGAAGGCAAATTTGCTCGGTTTCGAAATTCCAAAATTACTACGCGTTTCTGGCGACATGGTTCCATTCAGTTTTTATATATACAGATGAGCACAAGTGTTTCCCAAGAGAAAAAATTGTATTTTTATATTAATATTATTTTAAGAGTGTCCTGACCTTCTCTCCTTTTCCTCCTTCGACATTATAGAAATGTGGGAGGGGGCTAAGGGGGTGTTTATGATAATTGTTTAAAAATAAATATTGGCGTTACCAAGCAAAAACTACAATATAGCGAAGTGATAGATTGTTTAGTGGTGCGGTATCCAAAGTTGAAAAAAGACGATTAGACATGATCACAAACATACATCAATGGCGTAGCATCCGGGGGTGAGGGTATATTTCTCCCCTCACCAGTATTTTCTGAAGAGTGTCATTTTTTTCAAGAGTGTGTTTTTACTGCCCGTCGGCAATATGTCTGTGGCAATAATGTGCCAAAATGAAGAGCGCCACCTATTGTCGAGAGTGCCCAAGGTAGAAAGATGGTGTACCATGCATCCATAAATCAATTTTCTAACCACGTAGTTTAACCTATCTATTCGTTAGGAAGGCCGGGCAGGGATTGAACATTCGCACCCCGGTTGGCTCCATCACTTTGGACATTTCTTCTGTCCATCTTTGGAGGGCTTAAGCCTTTCGCAAACCATCCGCTTTTAAGTTTACAATCAGCCCCTTACGTCACAAAAAGGTATTCATAGTCCCATGATACGAATTTGTATGTGACAGGTTTTCAGAGAATAGAGAGGGCCTTTCCAGTAATACCAATGCACGCCCCTATCACCAGCTGCATGCTCATCTGGATAATATCGACCATTCAAGTTGGAGAGCAAACAATTATTAAACCACCAGGCTCCATGGGCGGATTGTGCACAATTTGACTGCCCCGCATCATTGTCACGATCCTTTGTTGAGAAGGGGCTTCCTCTGTGATGACTAAGAGAGTCAACCCCGGCAGTGCTGCTGGCATCGTATTGGCCAATATTCAGATTGTACTCACCCGGGGATATTTTGAAATCTGAGTACTTTGCCCATGCCGTGTTGTTCTCCCAGTCCTCTAAATCAACTCGTAGCTCCCATGTTCCACGTGAATCATTAGACGTCAGAGTCACCAAGTTGTCGTTGCCCAACCAGAACTCACCGGACAGATCGCCAAAGCCAGACTGGTACTCGATCCAGTTACGGTAGAAGTCCACACTGCCATCTTGTCGCCTCTGAAACACGATCCATCCTCCGCCGTCGGTTTCCATGTCACAGTAGACACGAAGACTCCCATTACCGAATCCCTCTGGGTAGATTGTGTAGATACCGCTTGAGTTATAACCGGCATCTAAGAGCATCTTGCAACTTCTGTAGCGATCCAAGGAGCTATCAGTCAGTGAGTACAGATGTGTGTCTTCGTCTGTATCGAAGTATACGCTCCTTTGAGTTGTATTGAAGTCTTCGGGATGCTCTCGTCTTGTGGCAAGGTTCAGCTCGCACATTTTATTGAATCCGTTAAAATTAAACGACTTGCAACGTTCATCCATGCTGCATTCCCGTCCGCATATGACACGAGAGCGCACAGTTTTGGTCGCATATGCAAACCCTTGTAGTTTAAGATTTTCAGCTGCATAAAATGTATGTTCACCTGTATAAGATGAAGTTCCAAATCCGGAGACAATCAAGATATTTCTTTGGAACACCAATGACAATATGTAAAATAACTCAAAAACAGAGTTGTGTTTCGCCATTTTGCAGAGACTTCTTAACACCACAACGTAGATGACGCGAATGGTATCGTTGATCGCTGGTGATGGAATTTGGTATTGCATAGAAAGAAATGGGTAGAGGCAGACGATGTGTAAGTCACTGATTGGTCTACAGGGGGTAATACGTCAATCCCTGTTATTTGTCAGATTTCCCGCCAGTAACAGACCGTAGCATTTGATTGGCTATTTATTGTGATGCAGGAGTGGTAAGAGTAGTCTTCTTGCTTTGTAAGATAAGGTAACACGTTACGTAGCATTGAACTCTTATTTGGTTTAGTTGCTGGTCACCTTATTGAAGTCGGTCCTGTATTAATAAAGATGCAGCCTTTGATATCAATTTCACGCTCTTTGATTCTATTCTCAATATTTAATAAGAAAACCCTTTTGGATTCCACCCACCGTAACTTGATGAAAACGCCTTGAATTAAGGCAGCATTCTTAATTACGAAGTAGTACCGACGATAACCAGTTGACCTACAATAGATATTGTTGTTTGCGATAGTTACTATGACTACACTCTTCGGCTGGCACAGTACGAATTATTTCTTCGATGCCAAGGTATACAGCTAACCTGCTGACTGGCGCTGTATGCCATAATGCGGTACTGGTATTAAAAATAGCAGCACTCTTAAACTGTAGTATAATAAATGTCAAAGCCGAAGAGGAAAGTTGGTTGGTGAATTATAACCAAATTTACAGTTTCGTTGCTATCAAGAGGAATCCAGATGCGAGTTCTGTTTATTTATTTTTAAAAAAAATATTGTTTTGTAGATACCAAGTGAAAAACAATAGTGATATTTTTTTTTTAAGAATAATCACCGTCATTTCAATTGAGTAAGGCCTCATTAAATCTTTGGAATTATTAATTTATTTACGGGCAACAATATACCCCATCACGTATACAGCGAATTTGGACAAATATTTTTTTGTTTGCCTTTGTTTTGTAATCAATGGTGCTCGGTCATCTGTGAGTGAAGAGGTGCATGAACTAATATTTAACATTGTACAATTTCCTAGCGTGTACACGTGAGCCCATTGTTTTTGGATTACCTTTATTTTGATACACCCTGCATGTAGATGGAAAGGTAGATATATTTGTATTGAAGCATAGCTCCAGCGTGTCACAGCTGCTTCACACAGTACTAGAATCGAATTCTTAAAAAATAAACGAAAACGTTTAATGAATCGGGAAAAATCAACATGATGCATTTCAAGCTTTTATGCTGTTCGTTCTCCATATTTCAGTGTTATACATTAAACTTGGGGGTGGGTTGGAATATACCCTCACATTTGGCATTATTTGTTACTCACAAAAAAACATCTGGGGCTGATAGAATACCCCTCTCCCTTGGTCTAAAAGTGGTACCCAGGATTAACGCTCTTGCATCAAGGAGATAGTGTTTACGGCTTGAAATACGTATGCGTATGCCATAAAACATCCGCCGCGTCAGAAATAAACAACCGGGATTTGTTTGTCTTTTCTCGGGAACACTAGCCCGACATTAAGGTTAGGTTTCTCCTAACATTATTAGGATAAGTAAATAATCGGAATAAAAATTAAAATTGCAACGATTATGTTCACCTTTAACTAAAACTCACACGATTTGGCGAACGGTGCAGCAGTTGCAGCATCGGGTCACGGGATCTTTGAGAGACGTTTTGAAAGAAGAAAATTATGATATGCAGTATAAGCATGTGCTAGGGTATTCCCTGTAAGTCATACTATTGCTCAACCATGGCTAAACAAACGGCCTCTGATAAACTCGTGACTCTTTCAAAACTAATTGAAGGATGGATAAGCACGGTAAGGAGTACGGAAACAAAGCATTATTTTTGCGACATATTTCCTCATGGACGAGATGTTTGTATGCCGAAAATATATACCAAAGTCCAATGCAAATGCCAAATCAGTTAGGTCTGTATACGTTGATAAAAGCGCGGATTCTTTAGGGGAGTTCCATTGCGAGTTCAATGGAGCCTTTCTTTTGTCACCATTTTTTCACAGTGTCCGCTTGGGGAGAAATCAAAAAGATTGGAACAAACTGCAGTTAAGACACGTGCTCCCCTTGTTGGATTTGAACCCCATATCTAAACCTTTTCCTGGGAAAGGAATCGGATCTTTCAACCCAGAGAGCCATATAGCAGACTGCAAAAAGAGTTGAAGTGATAGAAAGGCTTCTTATGTTGCTGAACAGTAACTACATTGACCTATAGACGCCAGTGAATGCATCTACCTCCACTTCCAAAACTCAGGAAAAATACTCACAACTCTCCAAAGTGCTTGAGACTCACATCGAATTAAAGCTTAATTATTACCGCAATTATTTTTTCCATTTTGGCGAGGTGCGAAGCATATCGCAAGACGCGCACTTTAGCTGGAGCGACAAGATCGATTTGCATAACACGACGTCACGGCTTTGGGGTCATCGCTTCTTACATTCAAAATGGCTGCTACCGACAAACGTTTTACGTGTGTATATGGACCCCAGAGAGATGCTTAAATTCCTCGAAAAATTTGATATAACTTAAGATAACCTAATCAACCCAAAGGGCAAAGAAGCTGACACATCATAGAATACAACATGTCGGTGCAGTTTCGTGCGCAAGTGCCTGACACTCTCCCCAGCAGGTTGGTCTGCCTGCTGTATCAGCGTTGGTACAGCGCAGCAATACCTTCGCCATACCAGCGTGGCTAGGAGAATCTGTACAATGCAAAAGCGAAGCCCGGTCTTCTAAGAGGGTTGCAGACGTCAGATTTGCGGGAAAATTACCTTTCATGTTAAATTAAATAATAACACTTGAATAATTTGAAGAGCACGGACGGTACAATCTTTAGCTCGCAAGATGAGATGCGAAAGATAAATACTATTATTACAGTCAAAAACGATTAAACCAGGATATGTTTTTTCGGCTTGCAATCTCTGACGACTAAATTCAGTTTTCCTTGTTTTTCCAGCTCTTTCAGTTTGGTGTGTTCCAGGGCGAAATGGTGCCCCGTTTTGAGAGAAAAGTTGAATTTCCCATTGTCAAAATAATGATACTTGACTGCTCGACCCTCCAAATCTTTGTAGAACGGGTAGAATCCGAAGAGACTGATGTTGGAGCAGAACGTCCGAGCGACTGCGTACATGTCTAATCCAAGCGTAGCTGATCCCATTGGTAGACCCCATGCCCTGTAAGGAGGGAGAGGCGGGGAAAGCATATTAATCAAGTAGGGGGAAGCATTATGAACGAACGCTCAGGGCACGCTAGCTTTCACTGCAATTCAGTTTCAATCATTGAGGGACGGATTAACTTTGAGGAAATGGGGGGGGGGGGGTGATATGAAGAGAGGGGGGTGGAGTGGAGGGGTGCCGAAGCCACGCCTTACTGGAGGGGTGGGGAGGTCCGGGGCATCCGTCCCTCAAAATTAAACTCTACGATGCTTCAGTCTCGACTGTAGTCAATTTAAGAATACATTTCGGAACTTAAGCATTCTATTCATTAAATTTGCTCCCATCTTAGTATAACATTAGCCAGCGGCCCCGATACGCCACTGATCATGGGTTATGAGTTCGCTTGATCACGATTGTTCATATTCGTGTCTGGTCCCAATGTCATATGGGTAAGCAATATACCATCGATGTTTTGCTAATTTCCCCTACATTCTCTGCTTACAGAGCTAGTACCGAAATTAAACAGTAACCTTACGGGACTAAACGTGCGCACAAGCCTAAACTCCTTGCCAACCCGTGAAATAGGACAAGCAAAGGCATGAATTTGCGCCCCAGGATTCTTCCGGGCGCCTTTCCGTCGCTTAGGTACTGAGATAAGAAACATCCATAGTTATAGGGATATCGCACTCAGAGGAGAAAAAGCAGCTAAAACATTGTCAACAATTTCCAAAAAAACAGTAATAATGATACCTACTTTTCGACTTGGATTGGTTTCCAGTTGAAGGCGAAACGAATACCCGAAAGTCCATTTTTCTTTATTGTGTCAATTACTGCTCGGTATTGCTGGCTAGCCGGATGCACACCGCCGCTTTTAACAAGATGTTTCGGATACCACAAAATCGATTCTTTCAAAGTTCGAATGTGTTCCAGGAATCGAAGTAGTATCTCTGGTTTCTCAGCAATTTCTTTGCTTTTCAGAAAAGCGTTACCGTACGCCGTAAGCAGACCTCTGTTAAAAGCATTCAAACTTGACTTTTTGCCGACGTCACTTTCGTAGCCTTTTATCAGCCCCATATTGGCGCGGATAACGAAGTCATGTGAGTTGATGTAATCCCCACAACTGCTGTTGTTTAAGATACCGCTGTTACCGATCACAGCACAGCTTGTCTGCCGTGGGATGAGCTCTACTCCAGGGAAATGTTCCTCCAAGTTACATCGCTCCACGTCAAGCACTGAGGATTCGTGCGAAGTGTTGCTTTCTCTTGCTATATGCACAACAGGATTATACTTTTGCAAGTTGAAGGTCATGTTGTCAGTTGGTGTATCGTTCTTGTAGACAAAGATGGCCAAATCCAGAGGCACACAGATATCAGCTGCAGATCTGAAAAATGAAGAAAGAAAGAATTGTTTTAGATTCCTTCCTCCCGAATCGAGTTTAATCACCTTTGAGTCCAGATGCAAGGACATTGAACATTTCAATTCAATTCAATTCAGTTCAATGCAACATTTCTTTCTTTTAAACCGCAGACTACTATGAAAATCAAGTAGCATATACATTGAGAGAAATCAAAGAAGACCATGTAAATGGAAAAGCAAAAGAAACACAGACACAAAAAATAATATAGGTTTTCCCGGCCAATTTCGCAAAAGTAGCATTCAAATTCATCTTGACACTCTTTGTTGAAACGATAACTTTAGAACAACATATTGCATTGGTTTCAAATTGCGAACGGTTATTAACCATAACATTTGACACAACCCGTTTGAAAATTGGCGTGAACCATGGAAGAATATATTAAATATGATTAAAGGAAAGAAGGGCTGAGAATTACGAAAAATTCATTCCGAATCTGAGTCTATTTTTATTGAGAAAAAAAAATGAAGCACTCTTTTGGAGACAGTAACTCCAGAAAAACAATTTGTACTGAAACGAAACTTCGTTCGATAATAAGTCGTGATGTAATGACAGAAAAAGTGGAAATCGACTGGAACCGTGGAAGAAAAAAAAAATACACACAACGACAATAACCAACGGCCAAAAGTGCACTAGGACGCTCCGTACATTTTGCTACCCTCTATGATTTTTTTTCCTTTAAGAGGGCGCCGTACACAACCACTGGTCAGCATCTTGATAGTGGCCAATTTGAAGCAAAGTAGCGCCCTGCTGTCATTCCCGTGGTTGTTATTAGTGTTCAAATTCGTTTTAAGACCTGACATGTTCATGTTTAACACATCCTGAATTGAAGTTATGTCACTGATTCGGTTAAAGTGATCATTCAATTTAGCAGTCGGTTTGGTTTAGGGTTATTTGCATGAGATTCTTGTTTTCGTTTTCATTTCCGGGCATTCTATTCAGCACTTTTTGCATTCAAAATGAAAGTAAACGAAGGTATACGATGCGAGTCTTTTAATTTCTTTCACCTTTTGATTATTTCTGCTTCATGTCGTGGTCCATTGTTGTGTTTCTGGCCCCTCCTCTTGGCAGGTTTTCCCGTCTGCCAGATAGACTTACGCGGCTACAATTGACCTGCAGCAGTTTTTATGATAGACATCTCATAAAACTTTTTTTTTTTACGAAACTGATCCAGATTAGAGAGTTTTTACCATGGGCGTCGCGAAGGGGGGAGGGGCAAGGGGGCTTCCTCCCCCCCCCGGAAAAGCAAAAAATGCAAAAGAAAAAGAGGCGCGAAGTAATATTACTGTTAATTTAATGGGGTGGGGGGGGGGCAAATGTCCCTGCCCACCCTCGAAAAATGATAAATCTAGAATATGCTGGAAAAGTACAGGGATTTCGGGGGGGGGTGGTTTACCTTCCTCTAGAAAAAATCTTGGCGACGCCCATGGTATTTACAGAAAAAATACCATTGCTCAGTTTAATTATGGCGGTAAATAAAAGAGCGCCATCTGTTGGTGTTGCCACTGGTAAAGGTCGAGTTGCGAAAACTGATTTCCCTTGCAAACACGACAAAAATAGAACTCGGGGTACATTGAAAACGTAACCTCTGCACTCCATCACTGCACCTAAATCCGGAAGTGTGCCCGAAAATTCAATCAAACTTAATTAAAGGGGATCCTTAATTGTTAAATATAGGGGAAACCAAAATTATAAGAATAAATTATGAAACTTGATATTGCTGTGAGAGTTCCATTTCGAAATATTTGTTAATGTTTTCACATCGATGTCATTGCCTCACATTTATTTCGAAAAAAAATTAATAATAATCATATAAAAATGGTGAGTTTGTAATGAAGGGCTTGTTTTGATAAAGAAAACAAATGAAATAGGCTCTGAATAAGTTGAGTAGGACAACGTTAATGAACGTGAGGGATGAACACTATCATGAAGAACACAGGATGTATGAACAAAATATGGAACTACTGTTGCGTCTATAGTGCGCCCTCTTGCATTCTTGAGAGGAGTTATCGCCATGTTCTACTTTGCATGGTAAATGTGTTGCATCGATCAATAATTATGCGTTCGTGTTCACTACAATCACTTTGATGATTGTCAAGTTCATAACTTTCACATACTAACGCATTGCTTTTGGAAATCATGCTTTATACACCCTGCGCTCACACCCATCGTCATATAGGCAGATTCAAATTAGCATTGAGAACGAGGACCTTAATTGGCGGCTTCCTTCTGTGCATTGAAAAGAAAGGTTGGACATTGATGGCCTCGGACTTAGCGGCTCATTTAATAACAACCTGTATTCGCCACTGCACTGCGCTTGACGATTGCCGACAATTATTCTCTATTGCATGGGTCACAGAACTCGCTCAAAAGAGATATAGCGAACGCAAATCGTATTTGGGGGTTGAAAGGCAATTTCTTCGCATTGTTAGTCTCACTGCTCCGTGCGGTTCACCGTTATGCACAAGGTCACACGTTCTTGTGTTATAAAGGCAAAGTGGGTTTTTTTATAAATAACGACTGGTTTTTATCAACCCTTTTGGGGGTACTTTTTGTAGTCTACAAACGCAAACAGCGAAAGGTTATTTTGTTCAACAAGTTATAACCGGGTGAAGGAGTGCAAAATTTCAGATTTTCTGAAGTTCCCCGACCACGGACCCTGACTAAGCTCCTCCTTGATGCACTTACATGTTACTTTAATTCAGTACAACTCACTGCTAAAGAGCCACAGATAAGGCTAAACTTCAAGTCGATAGTAGCGGATCTAGAGGGCGATTAGGAGTTGTAACTCCCCCACACCCCCTCCCCCTCCCTCCCTCCGTTCAGCCGCTGACTTATGTCATGATACTAGTAATATAGGGACAAAAATAATAAATGGAATACTGAAGTTCCTAAATTATTCTTCATTGCCTTAAAATGCAAAAAGAAACATCATAGATTTCAAAATGTTCCGGGGGCATGCCCCTGAGGCCTCCCCCTCCCTTTACATCAACCCATTGTATCCTGAAAGTTAGATCCGGCCCCGTGTCGGCTTTTAGTCCGTTTGGTGTGGCCAGGATCTATTCATTTTCGAGGATCCCAAATTCAGAATTTTCAACAACAAAAAGTATTGTGTGCACAACTAGCAAAACTTCCCAGTTTTTTCTTTTTAGTTTTAAAGAATCCTCAGGAAAATAGCAATTAAGGCTATCCACCGAAACATATTGGGATGTTTTCAGGGCCGATAAACCATGGCGCCGTCCCTAGAAATAAACGTCCAACTTACTTGCTACACACCGTCTTGCAGTGCAAAGTCACTTGTCGCATCTGCTTGGCTCGGACTACCGGCGATAGCGTCGTTCTAACCGTATACCTGGCCGTCGATGCACGTTGCGTCGTCATCACAGTCGGTAAATCGCCCAGAGTTTTGGACTCTGGTCGATTATACGGCGTTATATTAGTCTTTTCAACTTGAAGAATGTAAAATCTCATCATTGATCCCATAATTGAAAGGCTACATATTGCTAAGTACCACCACCAAAGTGAATGGCCCGCCATCATTTGTTTTTCCTCTGGGCACCGGCAGGTTTAAAACTTATAGTATACGAGATACAGCCACAATCATGTCGAGTTGAAATATTTACAGGTCAATGCAGCATGCTCAGTAGACCGTACGAAACCACCCGCGCTGTGATGACGTTTCTTGGTTCCAACACTAGATTAATTTAAGTAGCTTTGGAAACAGAATAGTAAGTTGTGTTGGTGCATTTCTAATGTAAAGTCTATAAATTGACTCATTTGTAACCTACCAACTGTACAAAAATAGTTATAAAGTTGTAAATTTTGAAGACCCCAATTGATTTTTAGTGGATTCTGATAGAGGAAGACATACTCTATCAAGTCCTTTTCATTTCGTGATTTTCGGAATGATACATTATTACATAAATTGGGTCAAAGTTCACGATAACATATTAAAGGTCACGTGACCTACTTTTCACAAAATTTAATTTTGACGAAAGAGTTGATTTGAGCATGCAATTTTTATTATTTTAATATCTTAATATCATTTAATATCATTTAATATCAATATATTCGATGGAAATGGACATGGTTTGACATTCTACCAAAGGATGGTATTTGACTCTAAAAATGTCGGATCATATGGTAGGTTATGTCATATGGTAGGTCGGATCGGGCTAAACATTGGTGAGCATTCATTGTTCATCAGGATCTACAAGCACAGCAATTTTTATCAAAATCGGAAGACATGAGGTAAAAAAGTGTGTTGGTCTAACATGGAATGACCCATATGGGATTTGGGATAGAAAAACAAGGAGAAGCAAAAGAAAAATTAGAACAAAAATAATGGCTATTCCGCAAAGTTGCGGAAAAACAAACAATAGGAAAACTAGCGTAAATCAAGAGAGATACAATATGCATTTTATATTTTCAAAAAGTGTAACAATAATCGCTTTACCTGTTGTTACATTTTTACTTTAGGCGATTTCGATCTCGTTCCCGCCACACTATTATTAAAGTTTCATAGTGAAATCTTTACTTGAAGCGTCAAATGTATCTGCTTACGGAGAGTTTTAATAATGGATCTAATTCTGAAGGGCTTTAAGAAGAAAAAAAACGCCACGGAACATTCGGTGACCTTATGCATTGACCAACTCACGAGTCAATTGCCTGGCCAACCGTTACAAAGAAAGACAGGCCTCAATATCAACAATGTTTCCGGCCCATCAGCGTAAATCGGTGGGGGAGGGGGAGGGGGACAGTCCCCCCTTTTAAAGTGGGGGTATCATATCGTTTGGCACCCCCCCAACTTTTTTCGTCCACAAATAAAAATTGCAGCCTATATTTCATTTTATAGCTCAGAATAGCTGATCTAATGACTCCAAACTCGAAAATGTTGTTTTAATGATGATCTCTTGCTAAAAACAAATTGGTTAAAGTGGTAAGAAAATGCCTCAGATCGTACCACAGAGCCTCTAGAATCCAACATATTCCGGGTCCCTTCAGCAGACCCCGGACCCCGCGCCGCAAAGACTTCGCGTTTCGCACGCTCGTTATAGTTCTGATCAAGGTATGTCCTCCCCCTCCCCCCCCCCCTCTTTTGAGAAAATTGACGTCAATGGTCCGGCGATCCGACCAGCCAGTTTAATAATAAACGCCCTAGTTATATTTGACACTATCGACTAAACAAAATTAGAGGGAAATAAACGAACCAATGGGCTAGTTTAATGTAGACTGATTTTCAGCCCGCCATCTCCCTAACTTTTGAATGCCTGAAGTTAGATGTTCATGCTTAAAGTTGGTCGGACACCAACGGCTATGTTATAAAATCAATGCGTTTATTTAAACGGTTCAATGGCCATTTTGCATTAACGCGGCCAAAGCCGGTGACGAGGCCTGGCAATCACCAACGGCGGGCCCAGGACAATACACTTGACCTCTAGCTGACCACTCTCTCCATCATCCATTCTACGAGTTCTCTCGTCCTCAGCTTGCGAGGCGTCTTGTACTGGTTGGAGGACGCGGTGGTGCGAGATATGGTGAAGTCCTTGAGGTCTGTGAACGCGCCTTGGGCGACGAGATGCACGTGTGGTGCGGAGATGGTGCGACTAGCGCGAAGGTTCTTGTAGTAGTATTGGTGATTCTGGAGGTACTCATCAAACTGAATCAAACGGAAAAGGTACTTTTGGTATAAGGATTGAAAGTTTGGTCGGCCTGAAGATTTCGTTGTGACCTCTAGCAAGATAAGGCGCCAACGTACCAAGGTTATTATATAGACACATTTACTTAGGAATTGCACGAGATAAAATTGGACGGACTAAAATTAATTTCAACCCCCTTTCTCTCCAAAAGTCTCGTTAATTATTATATATATTTTTTCGACTATCAACTGACGTTTTCGTTCTAGGAAATGCCCACGATGGTTTGAAAACTCGAATCTTACTTTTGACATTTGTTCTTCGGTGAACTCTGTCTGCTCTACGTCAATTTCGATGAACACAATGTAGTATAGCTCTAGGATATTAAAACAGTAATACACTTGATTTTGTTGATGTTAAAAAGGGCAATCAGTAAACAACAATCAGAATTTGATTCTTAATGATCAGTAGTCTGTTGTGGGACAGCAAATGCATACATGATGACATAATGTTAAACTCTTGATACCAAAAAACAAGACGAGCCAAAGAAAAGTAGAGTGCCACACATTTTGTTCTAGAGAAAGCTGTCTTTAAACTGTGCGGCTGATGAAACAAGTTGGATGCCTTTCAGGCAATTATAAGGAAATCACAAATGTATCCAAGGGGGTCAAGATGATGTTCTGAAGCAATAGAATGACTAACTAGCATGTCCCATTCCTTGGAATATAAATGTCCTCCTTGTCATCGTCGTGTACTCACCAGGACTGTCGTTGTCGTAAATTGGGCTCTCTGCGCATGTCCAGTCTACCAACTGCACTCCAGGCCAGCTTCCAACTGTCGCCTTTACGGCAGCGTCCACAACTTGGCTGTTCATCTTCTCGTAGACTAAATTCAGATACTCCCCAATTCTACATTCAAGAGGTGACGAAGAAAAGGCTTTACCTCATTTGGCCAGTAAAAAGCCAGTACACCATTTCTTACATTTATTTTCTGACGACTGTATACCTGTACAACATGCGGATGACAGGGCATCTTTCATGGAATCCGGTGACTTGGACGACATCCCCACTTCTGTACCGGTACAGACCGGTCCGAGTCGTACTCACCAGTTCGTATCTACCCCCAGCCTCCACCTCATCTATTAGCAAGGTCGTAGGATCTTTCTCAAGGCTGGGGGAAATAAGAATCAACACACTCATTCATAGACAATATTTTCGACGCTATTTATAGAGAAAATGAGCTTATCAATACCGGAGTCTTATATAGCACACGTATCTACCAACAATTAGGTACTCAAGGCGCTGGAAATTATGTCTATTGTTATAGACATGTGCGTTAGCACGTGAAGCTGATGGTGATAGGCTATTTCTTGAAACATATCGTAAGCTCAAAGCTTAACAAATTCCATTAACTTTAATGGTCAGTGCAACAAAAGCTTGGATTTCAAATAAATGAGCCTGATAAAATTACTATAGAACGGGAAGATAAAAAATGTACTGACCATTGCTCTTCTGGAATGAACTCGTACACGACAAGGTGCGGTATTAGGACGTATCTTGGCTCCTCCTCCGCGATCCACATGTTGACGGCTGGGGTTCCACACTCGGTCGTACCGTAAAATCCATCAACACAAACAAGACCTGCTCTCAAACAGTCAAACATCATTTAAAAAAGATGTATCTTGATAGCTTATGGAAAATGTGCATTATAAAATTTAATCTTCATGTAAATTTAGCAACTTCTGACGGTAAGGGAATTTCAAATTGGCACTTAGGCCTGCTGCTTGAGAGGATAAAAAAGGTCGCAAGTTCATACAATTGCTTAGCAATGAGAGCCCTGGTTTCAGTGCTTAGCACTAAAGCCTTGTTTAAGTTACACAGAGCTATGAACCAATGTCCTCAGCTAAAAGGGATAAGATGTTCTTTTAACAAACACATTATTATGATGATTATGTATCAGGTCGAAGAGGTGCTAAGCTAGCTCATTCAGTTGTTTGTAAAAACAAAAACCGTTACATTACCTTTGGCGTATTTTTCCTGAAGTTTTTCCTTAAAGCCCAAGACGTCGACTGCGTCAAGTGCTCGCAAGTGAGGCCACATTCTCTTCACGATTCCGTCAAAACCTTTCTCGAATTCCTTTCTCAACTGAGATACGCGGGCCTGGTCGGGTCTGAGATAGCCTTGGAGGGACCGGCGCACATCAGGATCTAGAGGGATCTTAGCATTGATCTTCCTGGTAGATAGGTCCTCCAACATCGCCCGCCAGTTGGTCTCGAGACACGTCAGAGCTCGGTACAACTGGGAGGTGAACGTCGCATTCAACACTGCCAGATTGGGGTCGGCAATCGCAAACAGCATGTGAACATACATGGCAGAAGGCTCATGGGTGATGGTGAAGGCTGGAGGCGGAGAGCTTTGTTCGGGAATAATAATATATGATATTTCCTTCTCTTTGACAAACAGATAGGCTGCGGCGGCTAGGCCAGCCTTTGTGACCGAAAACTTCGGATGGGTGTAGAGAAAGCAGCGCTTCTGCACCAAGCTTGGCCGACTGATTCCTTGGTAAAGAGCAAGGCGGAGGAGTTTGAAGGCAAATGATTCACCCTCCCAAAAGAAATCACCGTAAGGGATCTTCTTGCCGGTTCCAGTGGTTCCCGAAGTGACGGCGAATCGCAAGGGCTTCTCGCCAAGAAAGACGCCTTCCTCGCCGTCCGCAAGCCGCTGGATGTAATCCTTGAAGTGATCGTACGTGGTGAGAGGATGCTTCTTGCGGAGGTCTTCCACCGATCGGATTTCCCCAAGACGGTTCTTGCGCCCGTACTCCGTCTTAGCATGTCGCCTGGTCAGCTCCCTGATCAGATCATCCTGGGTTTCACGCGGATGTTTCCACATACGGTTGGCCTTTGCCAAGATAA